TTCCTAGTTTTGAAATAAACGTTGAAGTTCCCTTTAAATTAGATTCATCTTTATATTTAACTTCATCTTCATAGTTTGAAATAGTCGAAGCATACATCTCTCTATTAGATGCATCATCAAATAACTCTCTTAAAACAATATCCTTATCTTTATCTTGTATTTTATGATCATCTAATTGCTCTAAACTATCTAGTGATCCATTAGTAGAGTAATCTTCATAATTCGTTTTTGCAGGTTTATAAGAAACTTCATACACCAAATTATCTCTAAATTTTTCAAGTATTTTTGATGGTTCAAAATTCCGTTGTCTTTTTGACTTTTTACTTTCTTTTAAATCAACTTTACTTTTAGTTTCATGAATTACATCCTCATCGTTATGTTTAAGTTCAAAATTAAAAGTTTTATGCAAAGTTGGATCTATTCTAAGTGCTTGAGATATATCACTTTGTTGAGTTACTTCACTAAAACTTTCAACTTTAGATTGATCATACTCTGGTGAATTGTTTTTATCTATAAATGATTTATCTTTACTTTTGTCTATAATTTCTCCTGGTGGTGATATTGGAGAATATAAAGATTCCTCAAATTGATGTAAATTAGAATTATTACTGTCTAATTGTTCAGCTTCTGAAACCTCAACTTCGTTGTATTCAGATCCTTCCCCATAAAGTCCTTTAAAGTCACTTGGTAATTTAATACTTGAATCAAGACTACTTACTTCACCAGAATATGGTAGTTCAGATGTATCTGATTTGTCAAAACTTTGGTATACAGGTTTTTCTAAAATACCAGAAGAATCTTCATTTATGTCTTTTTTTCGTGATTTTTTCCCAAATATACTAAATAATTTTTCGAAAAAACCAGGTTTTTTTTTTAAAGTTTCATCATTTAAACTTGTTTTACTATCTAACATGTCTTGTTTGTTCATATCAAGTGATTCATTACCTAAAAAATTATCTATTTTAGCCGATGTCTTTCCAGATTGACTTATTTTATCTATTTTATTACTAGAATTACCTGGTACTTCATTATCTGATGAAGAATATTGATATGAAAATTTAGAATCCGCAATAACCACATATATAAAAAAAGTTAGTAATATTAATATATAATTATGTTTCATATAAACTCTCATATAAGATTTAGAAATAAAGCAAATTCAAATATAAATTCTAATCTTATAATTTTAATAATTTCTTAAAAAATAATTTTTAGATCCCTAATGGCGTCGTGTCCTTTCCTGAAATTAAACTTATATAACTATAATATAAACTATGAAATTTTTAAAAGATCAATATCATAAATGGTTACAATGAGATGCCAATTTATTATAAATAATTTGCAGCTTCTCTTTCAGCATTTGCAATTTCTTCACTAGTAAATAAATCAGGTCTCTTTCTCATTATACTAGATTTAAGCTTTGGAGGGAACTTCATAATCCATTCCCTTTCATTTTGAGCCTCCTCAACTTCTCTTATTGTACCTAAACTTCTTCTTCTTTTAGAATTATTATTATCATTCTCTAGTCTTTCTTCTCTTGTCCCCCTTAAGTTCCCTCTAACATACTTTTTACTTGAATCTGAATAACTATTTCCTTCAAACTCTAATATATTGTTTTCTTGACCAGGTACTTCATTAGTATTGTAATACTGTGTTTTACTATCTTCTAATTCAAATTCATTCTTATTATCATGAAGATTCTCATTTTTTAAGTCATTTATTGGGTGTTCTACTTCATCATTTATTAATTTATCTGTAGAAGTTTGAACATTATTGGGAGATGAATCAAATGTTTGAATACTTTGCTCCCCTTTATCTAATAAAGGGCCTTGATCTTGTTGTATTTCTAATTGATTATTTCCATCATAATTATTTAAGGGAATTTTGTGACTTGTTGATAATGATTTAACTTCGTTTGAACTGCTATATTTCAACTGTTTAGTTATATCATTAATTTCAATTTTTAGTTTTTTTTGACCGTCTTTTACTATATCTATGCTGGGTAGTATGCTTGAAATATCGGAATCTGATTTTTTAGAGCTCATTTCTTCAATAATTATTTTTTGTCCATAATTAGTAGGTGGTATTTCTTCAAGTTCAATATCTATTAGTTCTGGGTTTTGAGTTATAAGTAACTTCAATGAGTTATGAATCGAATTTAATAGACTTTGTAAATTGTTTTCCTCTTCTTCTATTGCTATTATATCAGAAGTTAGAGATCTCTCACCTTTATTTTTGGAGTTTAAAACCTGCAAATTACCAATCATATTTTTTATTTTAAGTTGTTGCTCATCTAGTTTTTTTAATTTTGGTGATAAAACCCTGAAACTTTTTTCTTCAGCTAATTTTTGAATTTCTTCACGTATCATATTAACAATTTGTTCATCAGATATATATTTCTGATATGAGGAAATTTCAGGTTGAATATATGTATCTAATTTTTTTTTTTTCGGACTGTTACTTACCATATTTGATATACTCTGTTTTAGTCTACTCATAGGTTTACGAAATACTTTCCTACCAAGTTTATTTTGGTGCAAATCAGAACTAAAAAGTGATTTGGATTCTATAAATCCACGAGGTTTAATTTGTTTTTCAGTTTCATTAATCATTTCCCTTGTATTTTCTTGTTCATTCTTAAGTTGAGAAATTGCATTCTTAATAGATTCAATAACTGATTTAGATTCCATAAGTTCAAGTGGTTCAATTTGTTTCTCAGTTTCATTAATCATTTCCCTTGTATTTTCTTGTTCATTCTTAAGTTGAGAAATTTCATTGTTAATAGATTCAATAAATGATTTAGATTCCATAAGTCCAAGTGGTTTAATTTGTTTTTCAGTTTCATTAATCATTCCCCTTATATATTCTTGTCTAGTCTTAAGTTTAGAAATTGCATTCTTAATAGATTCAATAAATGATTTAGATTCCATAAGTCCAAGTGGTTTAATTTGTTTTTTAGTTTTATTAATCATTTCCTTTGTATTTTCTTGTTCATTCTTAAGTTGAGAAATTGCATTCTTAATAGATTCAATAACTGATTTAGATTCTATTGGTTCAATAGATTTAATACGTCTTTCAGTTTCATTAATCATTTCTTTTATAGATTTTTGTTTATCTCTAACTTGAGAAATTTCATTTTCAATAGATTTAGTAAGTGATTCAGATTCTATAACCCCGAGAGGTTTAATTTGTTTTTCAGTTTCATTAATCATTTCCCTTGTATTTTCTTGTTCATTCTTAAGTTGAGAAATTTCATTGTTAATAGATTCAATAAATGATTTAGATTCTATTGGTTCAATAGATTTAATATGTCTTTCAGTTTCATTAATCATTTCTTTTATTTTTTTCTGCTTCTCTTTAGTGAAATTTATAGCAGTTTTTAAATCTAGATCCTGAAAAGGGATACTATCATGAATGATACTAGCATCTGACATTTTATTTTGGTTATGAGGCACATCATAAATTACTCTTTGAGAGGATTGCTCCACAAAACTACCACTAGGAATATTTTTATCAATTGAAATCTCTTTTATTTTCCCACCATTATCTAGAGAATTAGTATTATAACCCATTTCTGGAATAATATTTTCTATCCCAGCTTTCTTATATTCAATATCAGAGATTATTGAATTTTCATGAGATTCATTAGTTAAATTTTCATTGTCATATCCAGACCTTAGAGAATCGTCTACTTTCTTAAAAAATCCGTTATCTTGAATATCTTTTATACCTTCCTTTCCTTGTTCCTCAATATATCCTGTTTCTCTTTTATCTTTTGTTTCATAGATGTCTTTTAATATACCATTATTGAATTTCGAAAACTCCAGTTCATCCTTATCTACATTCCTATATTTTTCGTTATGAAAATCATCAAATAAATGATGACTTTCAGTAGTTAATGTATTTTCTTCAGGTAAATATTCAGTTATTTCTTCAGTATCAACAATAGATTGTATATCATCCATATTTAGATGTTTGTTGTTTTCATTTTCAAAGGCTGGTTCATATCCAACAAAATCAGTTTCAGACATGACTACATCTCCATTATTTGGAGTCTCATTTACTATTTGAGTTATTTGGTTATGATATTCATTATTGTTTGATCCAATATCACCTATTCCTGCATGTTGATTTACATATTCTAGATTATCATGAATCTTTTCATTTTCAGGAGGTGCTAAAAAACCATCTTTTTCTGTATCCACATTTGATTCACCAAATTCTTCTATTCCACTGTTATTTTCTACTTCTGCTAATTGATCTCCAAATTCTAGTTTGCCATTATCCTCTTTATTTATATTTTCTTCTTGTTTGTACTTTCCACTTTTACTTTGATATTCTCCCTGGTTCATATTCTGTTCAGATTCTTTATATTCATGTTTAATCAAATCAAGATCTTCTGTATCCAATTTTCTTGTTTCTCTATCGTTTACATATTCATAAATAGATTTATTGTTGCTCCCAATAATTTTTTGATTCCCATCAATTATTGTAGCTTTATTGCTAAGATCATCCCAGTCATAAAGAACTTTATCCTCTTTACCAGTTGTCTCTTCATTATCATCTTCAGAATATTTCTTATGAGTTCGAGATTCTTGCCCTATATAATTATTAACTAATTCTCTGTTATCTTCATCTTCTTTATCTTCTTTATAGCTTCCAAATAACTTTTTTTCATGAACTACATCATTTCCAACAAATTTTTCCTCTTGATTATTTTTTAATCCTTTATCTTCATGACTATCACCATCCAACCCTATTTTTTCTCTATCTCTAGTAAAATCACCCAATTTTTTATCTAAATTACTATTAGTAAGATTTTCACCATCTTTACTTTCTACTTCAAAATCTTTATTTCTAATCTCTTCATCACTATTATCAGTTACTCCCTTGTTATTTTCATTGTTACTCCTAAAATATTCTTCATTTTCAATATCTTCATATTCGCTTAATTTCTCCTTACTATTATTAGAACTTTTATCATATTCATCTTCTTGATCAATCTCGCCACCACTTTTCAAATACCTCTCACTTTCAATTCTATTATTATTGTATAACTTATTTTCATTATTATCAATAAACTCTCTATATTCATCACTTCCTCCGAGATACTCTCTATTGTCAACTTTGCTATCCTTAATTAACTCTCTTGCTAGATTTTTATCATCATTTCTTTCTCCTTCACTATAAATTCCAAAATATCTATTTTTAGTTTCCTTATCTTTACCTGATTCCCCTATATTTTCGTTATCTTCATTTTCTATTATAAAATCCTTAAGAGTTTTTTCATTATTTTCATTTAATTCTTCTTTAGTATTATTAAATTTTCTACCTTCATTATTAGTTTCTAAATTTTCACTTTTAATGTTGCTATCATTAAATTTTTCTTTATCATTCTCTACTATAAAGTTTTCTCTATTGATAATATTTCTATTATCTTCACCTAATTCCTCCTCTCTAATGTTATTACTTAATTCCTTTTCATTTTCATCCTCTATTTCAGTCTGTCCTTTATTACTAACATATTTATGATCTCCAAATTTCTCATAATTATCTCTATATGTTTCATCAAATCTTCTAGTCTCATTAATTCCAACCTTATTATCTCCATTTTGTTCTTTATTTTCATCAGACTCCTCGTTATCTCCATTTTGTCCTCCATTATTATTAAATCCTTCATTACCTTTCATTCCCAAATAATTATCTTCATTTTGTTCATTATTAATAAATTCTTCACTTTTATTTATTCCCAGGTCATCATCTTCATTTCGTCCTTCATTATTAATAAATCTTTCATTACCTTTCATTCCTAGATTATTATCTTCACTTTGTCCTCCATTATTATTAAATCCTTCATTACCTTTCATTCCCAGATAATTATCTTCATTTTGTTCATTATTAATAAATTCTTCATTTTTATTTATTCCCAGGTCATCATCTTCATTCCGTCCTTCATTATTAATAAATCCTTCATTACCTTTCATTCCCAGATAATTATCTTCATTTTGTTCATTATTAATAAATTCTTCATTTTTATTTATTCCCAGGTCATCATCTTCATTCCGTCCTTCATTATTATTAAATCCTTCATTACCTTTCATTCCTAGATAATTATCCCCACTTTGCTCTCTATTATTATTAACTCCTTCATTTTCCTTCATTTCTACATTATTATCTCCAATTTCTCCCTTGATCTTCATTAAACTCATTATCACCACTAGTTTCTATTTTCTCATCATTATTAAGTTCACCGTCTTTTTCAAACTGATTATTTTCAGTATTGATAATCCAGCCACCTTCTTTAGGGCTATAGGAAAGAGATTTTGCAGTGGAAGGTATAACACTAAAACCACTAGCATCAACAATTTTTAAACCATTACTCTTAATATCATGTACTGGAATAATTCTTAAATCAGGTCTTTCCTGAAAATTTGATTTAATTCCACCTACTAAATTAGCAGATTTTATAATCTTTGCTTTATTAAACCCTTCTAATAAAGTAGCCTCTAACTTTTGTTCTTTTTTTGGTAAAGTTTTCTGTGGATACTCTATTTTACTATAAATATTATTTTTATCTGTTATAAATTTTGATTGTTTTTTCAAAATTGGTCTAATTTCTTTAGAGTTTTTATTTATTTCTTTATTTATTAATGTATCAGATTTTGTTTCTTTCTTTAAATCAATTGGTGTATCCCCAATATTTTCTTTAACTTCAGTTTCAGCAATACTTATTGCTTCTTCCTCTTTTATTTCTGAATTATTAGGAATATTAATTTTTTGTAGTGTAGCAAATGGATCTTGTAATACTATTGCTGTATCCTCTAAATTTTTATCTTCCAAATCCTTCATTCCTACTTTATAAGCATAAAATAATATCTTCCTAAAGTGTTGATACGCTAACTCTACATTATTCTCTTCTATAATAAATTTTTTTAACAAATATTGCTTTATTATATTTTGTATACCATCTGGAAATTTATTTTTTCTTAAATTATAAAACAGATACTTATTTAATTCCAAATCGTTATTATTTCTAATACTATAAATAAATGCTACTAATAGCTCAAGTTGTAGCTCAAATGGTAATTTTTTCCATAAATCAAGGGAATGATTAGGGACACTAAATAAAGTCTTAAAAGGTTCTATATCTATTCCAGGCTTATAAAGTATACCTAATTTGCATAATTCCATTCTAGCTTCTCTTATACCTTCATCTGATGGTATCTCTAATTTCTCTGGAGCATTCATTGATGAAATAAAAGCATTAACAAATAGTTTATGATTTTCAAATTTTGAATAATTTAACTTCTTTTCTATTAAAAGATATAAAATATAATTATTTAATATACGGATTTGCAGTAAAAGTGGTAATGATTCCCAAATTACCAAATCATCATAATCTAAAGTTAATAGAACTTCAACTGCTAAAGGATATAATTGTTTTGGATACTCTATCTTACTATATTTTGTAGGGGTACTCTTTTCCTTTAAATTTTCTAAATCATTATTATTTAAATTAGTGATTTCATTTATAGCTAATTCTTTTAAAGAATTAGAAATTAAATCGTTATCTTCCTCCAATAAGTCTTCGTCAAAATATAAATCATTGTAAAATATATCAACAACTTGATCAAGGAGTCTTTCATAACCTCTAATAATATGTTCTTTTTCCTTTTTTTCTTTTGGGGAAAAATTTATAATATTTTCAGTGATATTTGGTAGTTTATCTTTTGATAATAACTTTCCTGAAGAACTTTCACCAATTATTCTTGAAACTTCCTTTAAAGCATTCAAACAAAGCAAATAAACTTCAGATTTATTTAAATATGGTTTATGTATAGGTAATTGAACTTTACATTCTTCTAAAAACTCTTGTTTTGTCATAAAATTTGTTATTAAATGAGATGCTAGAAGAGCTATACTTGATTTATCTATTTGTGAACCATTTATTAATTCCATGAGTATTAAAGCCAAATAAATAACAAATTTAATACTCAGGAGCTTCATTGCACCACATAAAATCTTAAATCACCATTGTTATGGTAAAAAGATTCTATTGTCTAAATTTATAATACCGGCACTACACTACGTGTACTATGTATGCACCTCTACTTAGCACACTCACCCAAAAAAAAAAGGAAAAGGAAATCTTTAAAATTTAAATAACTATAACTATACTTAAATAATAAAGAAATATATATAATTGATATTTTCTTTTTCTCTTTCTTCTTTTTTTTTTTTAAATAACTAAATAAACATAATTATTTTCCAATGCATGCATCCAGAATTGTGTGTAATATTTAAATATATTCTCTAAATATATTATAAAATAAACATAAATGTACATTGGGACTTATTAAATTACCTAAACAAAAATTATTATATTAAAGATACTATCTTCCTTTAATATCTAATATATATTTTAAATAAAATTTTCCAAAATTATAAGACAAGAAATATGCTCATAAAAAATATGAAAAAAAAGTCTTGAATTATTCCTTATTTAAATCATAAAATATATTTATTAGAGATTATAATATATATAATTATAAATCTTTATATATTATAAATTTATGAGACAAGAATAAATATCAATTAAAGCTAACATAAGTAAATTCTAGAATCCCTTAAGTATATAAAATCTTTAAAATAATCTAATATTAATATTTATTCTATATTATTAATCATAAAGTTATAAAGTGACGTTCTAAATTTCATCTTTGCTATTTCAGAAAATAATGATGCAAATATTTTTAAATTAACTTCTGCAGGTATTTTATATTCTTTAAAATTACAATCCCATAAAATAAGTCCAATTTCAGAAGCCATTGGAAAAAAAGGTATCTCATCTTTATCAAAATAATTATCTAATAATTTGGTTATACATTCAGATCTAATTTTACCAAGTGATATTTCAAACAAAATACCTACCATTAATCTTACTTGATGCCAAAGAAAAGCTGAACCTATTATAGTTATAACTCCTAATTTTGTATCATTAATTGAATTATCAAAACTAGAAGATGAAATCTTATTATTATTAAATACTTCAACTCTAAAATCATAAATAGTTCTTACATATGTCTGATTTGGACGATTCTTTATATCCATTTTGCAAAATACTCTAAAATCATGAGTTCCAATAAATTGTTTGCATGATTTATTCATCTGATCTATATGATTAATATTTAATTTCGGAAAATAATTATGTTCAAAATTTTGTATTTGATCTATTGGAAATATATATTTGTAAACTCTTGAATCACAATCAAATCTAGCACTAAAGTTATTATTAACTTGACAAAATCCTAAAATTCTGATATCCCATGGTAATACACCATTAATCATTTCTTGATAATTGTATGGGGATGTATCTCTTGTTCGTAAATTTATAGAAATATAATTACCAGTAGAATGTACACCTTTATCAGTTCTTCCACATCGTATTAAATCACAATCTTCTCTATTCTTTATTAATTTTAATCTTAAACATGCATTATAAAATTCCCTTTCAATTGTTGGAATTGTTTCATTTTGATATGCCATACCCTAAAAAAAAAAATGAAAATTAATAATTTTATAAAATATTATAATTATTTATATAACTATATAAATAGTTAAATTTGTTTAATTAATATTAATAAACTTAAACTTACATAATAATTCGTACCAATATAAGATATACGAAATAAAAATCGAGATATTGTTACTACTGACCAATCTATACGTGAGATCTTTTGTTTTTTATTATAAATACTCTCTATATCTTCCATTTAAAGTTTATTAATTTACCTATTATCTATAATATATATTCTCAATTTTAAAAATTATATACCGCTATTGATATTACAAAATATTTAACACGCTCAAAAGATGTAAAATAAAGATCCTTTAGAAATATAACAAATTGTATATATAATTAGTCTATATATATGCATCAATTACAAATAATATAATCTATCTTATATATACAATTTGTTATATTTCTAAAGGATCTTTATTTTACATCTTTTCAGAGTGTTAAATATTTTGTAATAATTAGATTTTCTTTCTTTTTCTTTTTTAAAATATTATTTTTAAAATATCTTAAAGATAATATCTTTTATATTATCTTCTAATTTTTTTTAAATAGGAATTATTTAAATAGTAATGATAATAACAATAATTAATGATAATACAATTTCTAAATATATTAATTAAAATGAACTATCTTTAATTTATAGATTTTCTTTTTTTTATAAATAAATAATAGAAATATTTATTATTGTATTATAGGTAATCCTTAAAATATCTTTAATATTATATTGAATTCTTAATTCTTAAATTAATAAAATAAAATATTAAAATTATACAATTTTCCCATTATTAAATTCTAAATTTTGGTATTTAGAATATAATTGATCTATAATAGCTGTTATAATAATTATGAAAAAAATAACTCCAATATAATATAATGATATATAACTACAAAATAATATAATTCCAAAAATAACTGGTGGAATACATAAAAATATATATATTATTAATTTAACTTTCAAGGGTAAATTAAAAAAATATATAGCATCTTCAAAATTCTTAGGTGAAAATAATAATAAATCTTCATTTTGAATATCTGATATATTATTTATTTCATCTTCATTATAAATTAAAGGTAATTTTAAAATTTCATGATTATAATAATTACTTTGAAATTTCCATAAACATTTTAAAAATGCTATAATAGTTATAAACATAATACAACTATATAAAGTTGAAACTGAACCTATTAAATATTCTTGAGGAATAAAAATAGATAAAATAAAACATAAAGTAATAATTATAGCTGATATATAACCTTTATTTATATAATATAAATTTTCAATATCTTTATTATAATAATTTTTCCATTTTATTAAAAGTAAAAGATGAATATATTCCAAATCAGATGCTATACGTCCTATTGCTGAAAAACAAGCTGCTATTACAATTAATGAAGCTAATGGAGTTCTACCAATTAAATAAGTTGATATAATAAAAAAATTTCCTAATTTAAAAGCTTCACTATCTTTATTAAAATAATTAAGGACACTACATCCAGACCAAAGTGATATTATATATGTCAATGATATGATCAATATATTTGCTAATAAAATATAAATAATTTTTGAATTATTGATTATTTCAGGTTCAATATTATTAGGATTATTTCTAATTATAATAAATAATTTTTCATATCCAAAATTAAGCCACATAATATATTGTAATGCTAATATCCAATTTATTTCATCTGATTTTGGGAATTGGGATATAATAAACCAAGAAGAAGTTGGTATTTTATATATAAAAATAAAAATTGTTAAAATTAAGGGTATCATAATAATTATTAACATATATTTGATATATTTTTCAAAGTTTATCATATATAAAGTAAAAATAGTGAATAATGTTAAAATTATTGATAATATGATCATCTGTTGAAGTGGAGTAAACATTGAAATATGGATATAATTCATAAAAGATTTCTGATATACTAAAGAAAGATTAATAAGTGAAGAAATCATTCCACATTCCATAAAAATATATAATGATTCAACATATAAGCTTATAGAAGTTCCAAATAATTTTTTACACCAACTACTTAAATCTTTACTCTGAGGAAAAGATTGAAACATAATATTATAAATTATAATAATTGGAATAACATATAAAATAGATATTAAGATTTGAACCCATATAAAGTTATGAATCCCAATAGTAGATATAACTAATTCAGAACCATATGGTCCACCACAAATAGTAAAAAAAGATATACATAACATTGTAAGACACATATTTTTCATTTTTTTACTTTAACTATATTATATTATAAATTTAAATATTAAACATTATTTAGTTTAGTTAGATTATGCAAAATTTTTTTTGGGTGCATTTTTAATAAACTTTTTTTTTAGCGCTAAAAATAGAAATATAAGGTCTGTTAGAAAATTTTAGGATAAAAAAGGATTATAGATTATTTAGGATAATAAATAATAATAATAATAAAAGTAAAAAATTAGGATTCCAAAGTTACTTAAATATACTATTTACAACAGTAGATACAGGTAAAGTTCTCAGATTAAAATATTTCTGACCTGTACCAATAAAAATTATAGGTTGACCAGTAGAATATACCATTGATAAAGCTGCACCAATTTTATCATCTACTGTATCAAATTTTGTAAGTAATATTCCATCAATAGGCCTATTTGCATGATCTATAAGAAATTTATTAAATGTTTGAAGTTGATTTACAGCATCATTACCAACTAATGCTTCACCTACAAATATAACAAGATTAGGATTGTTAATCATAACTAATTTAGCTAAGGATTTCATTAATGGAACATTATCTTGCATTCTGCCTGCTGTATCAATTAAAACAATATCATATTTATTTTCTTTAGCATATAATATTGCATCTTTTGCTATAAATGCAGCATCTTTTCCATATCCTCTTTCATATAAATATACATCTAAACAATTAGCATGTGTTTTTAATTGTTCAATAGCTCCAGCTCTAAATGTATCACATGCAACAATCATAACTTTTAAATTTCCTTTATTTTTAAGATAATAACATACTTTAGCTAAATTAGTAGATTTTCCAACACCATTAACTCCTAAAAAAACAATTGAATATATTTGTCCATGACGCTTTGCATCTATTGCTTCATTTAAAACATCAATAATTCTTTTTGGTGATAAAATACGAGTAATTGTATCTCTTAAACAATTATCTAATATTGTATTAAGTTTTGTAAATCCCCCTTGAACTTTAACACCGATTAATGTTTTATTTATAGATTGGATTATATCTTCAGCTATTTCTGGAGCTACATTTTTTCCAATTAGACGTGATTTTAAATCTTGCAAAGGGTTATAAATAATATCTTTAGTAATAATAGTATTATTTTGTAATATACCAAAATTATTTGTTATCCAATTATTCCAAAATGACTTTTTTGTATTTATATTTTCTTCAAATTCATCAGATTCTGATTCACCTTGATAAAATTCTAATTTTTTTGTTTTAATTTCATTTCCATTATTTTTGAGTGAATAATCTAATTGTTCCATAGCTTTTTTTGTTATTTTTTGATGATTCCATTGACGTTCTTTTTTTCCTTTATTTGAAATATTTTTGTTTAATTCATAATTATTACTTTCATCTAAACTTTTAGATTTAGTCATATATTGTAGATCACAAAAATAAATTATTTCATCAAATTTAGATCTAAATAATTCAAAATACTCATGATTATCATGATTATTATAATTTGTATTTAAAATTTTCAAGATCTGTTTTTTTGACATAGTTAATATTTTATCAATATATGAGGATGATATATAACAATATATACCCTGATATATTACAACTAGAATCAAATCCCTATCATTTAAGATTGTCCAATTAACTCTATAAATATCATATTCATAATATTTTAAAGAGAGTCTATCCTCTAGGAATACTTCTTGTATTAATTTATTGAGAATTTCCAAATATAAAGTGAATTTATTTTCATTATTTCCTTTATAAGACCATAATATTAAGCCACCTTTATTAAATATAAAGAATTCATCAATCATTATTAAAAATTTACAAAATTGAATTTGATCTAGGATTACAGTATCATTAACAGCGGTTTTTTATTTATTTAAAGGACGAAAAAAAGAAAGTTCTTAGCTATATTTGACTAGTTATTCCACAATTTTATATTTAATTTTATAATTTTTTATTAGTGAAATATTTAAAGAGGTTTTACTTATAATATTGTTAAAATAATATATATATATATAAGATTATAATAATATGGTAATTCTCTTTTTTATATTTTTTTTAAAATGGATGAATTAAATATATTTTCTAATAAATATCATCTAAGATGTGAATATACAGGATTAACATATTGTACATGTTATGAAGGTTCTAAATCTTATTCATTTCATAAAATTGATGATTTTGAATCACTATCTCAAAGTATTTTACCTTCTACAAATTTTATACATCTATTAAAATTATTAGCAGAATATTCTGATATTCGTACAAATCCTAAAATTGAATATCTTAAAAAAGTAAAATTAACTGTAGAACGAGAAAGAAATAATTTTAATGAAAGGTATACTCAAGAATTAAAGCGTAAATATCAAATGGACATGAATAAGAGAATTGAAACAAGTATATCTAAATGCTATAAATGTATGAACAATCCATTTAGAAGTAATAATACAGAGGATTTTATAGAATGTAGTATATGTAAAAAAAGTTATCATCTAACTTGTTGTGATCCAATAATTGAAAAAGTTAGTATAAATAACTCTAAATGGATCTGTTCAGATTGTAATGGTTGTATTGTTTGTAGAAAAAGTGGTCGTGAAGATTATCAAGTATTATGTGATGTTTGTAATAGAGCATTTCATATTTATTGCTTATATCCTACTTTAGATTCTGTACCTCAAGGGATTTGGATATGTGATGATTGTTATGTTTGTGCATTTTGTCAGGGTAATATTAAATATAATATTGAGGATAAAATTGAAGAAGATACTTCATATTTGAGGTTTATAGATAAACGTTTTAATGTTCGTATATGTATCAATTGTCGTGAAAAGAATTCAGATAAAATTTTAGAATGTATTGTATGTGGTGATATATTAGAACCTTCAAATAATTATATCTGTTCACATTGCCGATTACCAGTACATAGTAAATGTTTTAACAAACAATTATGTAATCTTTGTAATAGTAATGTTTATATTTAAAGCCATCTACTTAAGAAATTAATAAGATATATAACAATAATAAACTTTATGAATATATTACAAAAACAATGATATATAAATAAAGATTGTATTTAATATATATTCAATTTATATTAACATATATTAAATATTTTATATTTTCAGATTAGTTTTATTTTAATATAAAGTTAACAAGTTAGGAAGATTTTTGTTTTATGGAAGATATATAGTTTATTATTATATATTTAATTAATAATTTTTTAAATTAATAAAAGAAAGAATTAGTAGATGTATCTTATTATATATTTATATATTAAATATTAATGATTATTAATATTTCGTTGTTTATTCCACATTTCAATCATTTGCCTTCTTTCCTCAGATGATTGTCTTATATACTTTGTATGTTTTGTATAATCATATCTATCATCATCATCTAGTAATTCCCTTTTTAAATCATCATGTCTATAATCTGAATATCTATCAGACTTTTTCTTAGAATATTCAGGATGATCCCTATACATTTGTTGAAAAATCTTATTTTTTACGCATCTAGGAATATGTTTAATATGCATAAAGTTGCAATAACCACCTCTATTACAACATCCATCAATAAATTGTCTACAACGTGCTTCTTTAAAATCACTAACTGGTGAAAGTTCAGCATCAATAAGTTTACCTGAATATGATCTACCTTTTAATTTATCTAAAGCACTTTTAGCATATTCTTCATTAGTATAACGAACATAAACATTTCCAATCATATGATCACCAATATTATCACAAACAAGTAAATCTGAGATCTCACCATATTTTGCTAATTCTTCAAATATCTCCTCATAAAATTCTTCAAATCTATCTGATTCATTATCAGCTAATTTATCATCAACAACTTGACCTTCAGCAATTGCTAAACTTATAGGACTATTTTCATACATATGACGAATAATTACTGTGGGACTATTTGTTGGTTTATAATGACTTCTACTACATTGATCACCATGTCTACAGGCTCCTATCTTCCAATAAAATGGACAATTAACACGATCCTCCTCAGTTCCAATAATACGTGCAAGATGTTCTGCCATTATATTTTATTGTTAATAACAACATCTAAAGATAATAAGACTAATAACTCGGAACTTAGGGATGACTATTGTAAAGTTACTTAAGCGCCATTACAATATTAAATAATAATAGAGAAAAAAAAAGTATTATGAATATTATAAATATAATAAAAAGTAATAGTAAGGATATTTATATAAATGAGACAAGTTTCATATAAATATATTTTGTAAATAATATAAAAAAATTTAGTATATAATTTGTAGATCTAATTTTACAAAATAGTGTGGAATAAATACCCGGTAAAGACGGGATTTTTAAAAATATTTACCGCCAAAATGCCGTGGACTATATCCACTGAAATAAAACTGGAGACAGAAGAGTTACGTACGTATTCGCGATTATATTCCACATGAAAGTGTGGAAATGTTTAGATAAACCCCCTTAATAGCTAATATACGAACGAAATCTTAATATCAGTCGAGCGCAGTTTAGTTCGAACTCCATCTAATAGAAGTAAATATTTAGAAATATTCAGAAAAACAGGAAATGTCTGGTCGTGGCAAAGGAGGTAAAGGTTTAGGTAAGGGTGGTGCTAAACGTCATCGTAAAGTCCTTCGTGATAATATCCAAGGTATAACAAAACCAGCTATTCGCCGTTTGGCACGTAGAGGTGGTGTGAAACGTATTTCTGCGCTTATTTATGAAGAAGTTCGTGGTGTATTAAAGACGTTCCTTGAATGTGTTATAAAGGATGCCGTTACTTATACCGAGTATGCTAGGCGTAAGACTGTTACAGCTATGGATGTAGTTCATGCCCTAAAGAGACAGGGGAAAACATTATATGGTTTTGGTGGTTAAACTGTCATAATATTATGTTAGTTCTGTCACGAAGAAATAAGAAAAAACATGAACAAAGATGGTGCTCGTAATAATCTTATGAGACTGTTGGGAATATGGAGCTGATTAATCTTGCCATTGTATAAGTACAATGTAGTAATCAGGCTATTATATTAGAAAGTCTTAGATAGGCGTTACTAAACGCCACAAGATGTTAGATAATTAGAGTTATAAATTTCATTTATAAATTGTCCTTAATTAAAATGTTAATATTTCCTTAGAACTAAATTTACTAGAATGAGTTCCCTCTATCAACTATGAGAGGACCCTTTAGGTAACCTTCTGGTGGATAAAATGTTGGTGAGTACCACCCTACTTTAGTTGTATATGCATAATGTATAGATATTAATGTGGAGACAAGTGCTGCAATAAATAATGGAGATAGCCAACGTGGTATTCTGAAGAATTTAAAATTGAGTTTATTACTAAAGAGAAATGGGATTAAAAAGAGTATAAGAGATGCACTTGTCATTAAAATAGATGCTAAAATACCCTCAGTCATATTTTGTATTCTTGGATTTCTTACAAAAAATTCATTAGCTTGTTTTCTACCATGTTGGATACTATATACCATACCAGACATTGATATTGAACAAATAATAACAGTAATAATCATAATAATAAATGGTTTCTTTCTTATTAGAAGAACAAGTTGCCAAAATATTACAATAATTAATATTAAACCTATAAATAAAGATATAAGTCTAGATATTTTTTCTTTAGATGATATATATATTGTAATATTCATTCCTGTCTTTTTATTAATAAATCCAAGCATTGCATTAGTGGAAATATCTTTTTGTTCTGGTATTCTCCATTGATTATCTCTTCTAAAAGTTAAAGAATTAGATGTAAATTTCTTAGTTGACTCTATATATATTATTGCAGGCAAATTCCTTAATTCATGAATAGCCATAATATTTTCTACTCTATCAACATAGACTATAGCAAAAATTGCCTTAGGATTATTTTTAAATTCATGGTTGTAGTAATTCCTTGCAACTTTTTCATAATTCGTAGTAGATGGAATACAACCCTGACAGGATTTAGAAGTACCTGTATATAATATAATTAAATCATATGGTCTTGAGTCATTTAAGACATAATATTGATATCCAGTATAATTAAATATTACAAGACCATTAAAATTGTCATCACAAAATTTAATAAGTTCTTCTAACTTATCTGCCTTAGCCAAGAATTGTGAAAGAATAATAATTATAGAGAAAATAAGTATATTTTTAAAATGCATCATATTCACACAAAGATAATAATATTAGAATAATTTACCAGATAACATAATTCAAGAAGACAAAACTTAACTGGTAATAAATTTTTAATTGGCGCTAAAAATATATTAATTATAGCGCTAATCACGGGTACCGAAGTTGATATAAATATTGCACCCTTATTAGAACTATTTATTGTTAATAAGGATGTTTATAGTTTTAAGTAGATGTATAACTTTATAGATTATAATTTAACCACACTAATTTATACGAATAGGAACTTTTTTATTAAATATAAAGTTATAATCTGAACAAGTTGTATTTCTTTAATATTACCTGTAAATATTCTTAATATTTGGAATTAGGTAAAGTGTTATATATATTAAAAAAAAATGATAAAAAGGGTTTGAACTATTATAGTTTTCCTTGAAATTTCTTTGATGTTAATGAATACTACTAAAACTGTCTATGGTTTTTGCCGCTTATATTTATTATACCCGCCATTACATGCATTTAATTAAAGAAATAAATAATGGACATTGCATGCAATATAAAAACACTACTAATTTTTTAAAACCATAAATTAATTCTTTTGTATACAATTATATATATAATATACATTAGAGATTTGATATTATTATACTATACGGAGATTTTTTCTTAGATTACTATTCAAAGACATACACGCATGGGTGAATTAGAGGAAAAAAAAAAGTCCCTTGAATAATTTACATTTTGGATGGGTTTTAAATCATTATATGAAGAAATTCCTCTTTGGTGGCGCGATAAACCTAAAAGTACAGATAAGAAACCAAGTAAAAGTAGAAAATTAAATTTATCTAATTCTAGGACTTTAAAGTTATGGATACCACCAATACCCCCAAAATCTTCTGAGATAGAAGATAATAAAATAAATAGAAATACAAAAAATATTAAAATTAATAATGAAAGTACTGAAAATAAAATTTTACCTTTTTTTTCTCATGTTAACACAAGTGAAGAGTATACACATTCATTGTCAGAAATATCATTAAGTACATTAAACTGTTCTTCAAAAAATACAAGCAGTAATTCAAGTAATTTCTTTGAATCTTCTAGTTTATCATCAAGTTGCTGTACTAATTGTCCAGAATGTAGAAAAGTAAATAGTTTAAAAAAGACATCTTTTACTTCAGCAATATTCAATAAGATACTTTGTCAATGTGATCCATTTCATAATAATGAATCAGCTTCTTCACTTATATCTATTCCATCAGGGCCATATTCTACTTCTATACATTCATCATCTATATCTATGGATACTTTGAGTGGATTGGAATCCTCTAGTACATGTACTTCTAAGAAAGATTCTCATATATTGAATTTTGTAAACAAGTTAAGTGGATGGGAGGAAATGAAACATGAAGTGGGTATTAAAGATATTTTAGATATTTCAGGAACTGATGTCATGCTATCATTTAAAGTATATTATATTAAAATAGATGGAAATTTTATAAGACAATTTCATAAAATTGAAGAATCAATTTTAAGAATTACAATTAAAATTAGGAATGGTATTTTAACTCGTCAAAAAATACAGCAATCTTCAAATATTAAGGTTAGAATAGATGAGAATAATAATATAATAAAGTGGGGATATGATTATGGAGAAGATAATAATCATTCTAGTTATATTTCAAAATGCACCAATACTGATATATTATATAATAAATTGGAAGGTATTGAAATTAAAATACCAATAGTGCAAATAGATGATCCTGAAAATTATTTTGAAATTATTGTTGAATGTATTTTCTTAAATAATCAGAGAGTTTATCCTTTAGGACATGGTTATTGTCCTTTACCCCAAAAAGATTGTGTTTGGAAAGTATGTATTCCATTATTTAGATGGGAAAGTGATGAATGTATGAATGATAAAGATTTTTTCAATAATAAATCATTAATTGCTAATAAATATATTGGCATGATATATTATATTATGTGTAGGAATAATAACAATAGAACTACAATAATAGAGGAAAATAAAACAAATAAAAATATAGATATTAACAAAAATAATTCTAATTCTAAAGATATTATTTCTAAAAATGAATATAATATATTAGATAATCATAAAAATTCTGATTCCAAAGTTGTAAATAATATGAATAAATCTTCAGAAAACAAAAATAAACTAAAAAAAACAGTAGTAATTGGAGAAGTCCAGTATGTAATTTGTTCAAATAATAAAAGTGATGATATTCATTTAAAAGAAAAAGAATTGGAACTTAAAAGAAGGGAAATGGATATTGTAGAAAAGGAGATGAATATTAAACTTAATACTTTAAAGGAACATAGAAATGATTATATTATTAATACTAATGAAATAATTAAAGATAATATTAAAAAATCTAAAACTAACATAAATAATCAATGTTACAAAAATGATTCTGATCTAAATAATTCTAGAAGTGATAATTCAATTAAAAATACTCATACTAAATTTAAAAATAAAAAATATAAATATCTAAAAAATTCTTCTAATCCTTATATTTTACATCCTTCATATATATCAACCTATCAACCATTCATTCCTCATATATACCCAATTCAACCTTCAAATCATATGTGCTACTATCCTATTTATAATCAAAATACTAATTTTTGTTCTCATTTACATCAAAATCAAGATGATATGAGTTCTTCATGTTCTTCACCACAATCTTCTCATGAAACCTTTCCAAATAATAAATATAAAAAGGATTTATATTTTAAGATTGCAAAGGATATTACTAAGAAAAAAATAATATTAGATGATACAATCTCTTCTGTTATTCAAAATGACTTCCAAACTGAGAAATCTAAAATAAGTGATATAAAGAAACAAAAAGATATTAATACTGGTATAAAAAATATAATTTATATGAATATTAGAATTCCAAAAAAACAAATTTATTGTAAATTTTCAATGACAAATTCTAAATGTATTTGTACTTGTTGTAATATCACAATACATAAGCATGAATTTCAAAATTATATATCTCAAACTAGTATAATTAAACAAGAATATGAATATTGGGGTTTATGTAATAATTGTCAATATGAAATTTTTCCATCAATTTTGTCTTTTAATAATTCAAATATATATTTCGAATTTTTATTTGAATCCAATATCCCAATAGCATTTCCATCTAAATCAATAATATGGAAATCAGCTTTACATTTATTATTAGCTCAATATATTAAAGATATCACATATATACAGAGTTGTAACTCATATCAACAGATTATTAAGCTATATATTCAAGTAAATCCTATGATTGATGAGAAGATGTTAGATAAACATATCAAGATTATCCTAATGCTTAAAATATTTCAACATCCACTTCTACAATCATATCTATTAACATTTGATGATAAAGACTTTGATAATTTAAGAAATTTTTGGATTGAAAATGGGATACTAAATTTAAGAGTTAATTTAAAATATGAAATAGTTGACAGTCTTATTGATTGTCTAATTAGTATTAAAAAGTATTTATTCCAAAAAAGTTAAAAAAAGTATATACACTATAAGCTAGTTAGGAAGTGTATATAATGGAATAATACGTGTATACAAATGTTTATTTAAGTGTTTAGTATAATTTTGTTTTTAAATTATTATATTACAATAAATCTCCGCCTTAACATGTATTATTAGCGGTAAGTATTGACCGTCTATAAATAATAGAGCGCCATTTAGAAGAGAGAGAATGGTGGTGTTTAGAACAATCTATTGATTATTCTCTCTTATATCCTATATAAGAGTAAGTTATAAAAGTTGTAAGAACTGGAGGATCTGTTATATATTTAGAGAATATAACTGCAAGGCTTTTATCTGATACTGAGTGTATATGAACTGGATGTTCTTATGAATATATTGGATGTATTCTAACTATTATGATAGTGAGCAATGGTTCATCTACTCCCAAAACACCTATAACAGATGAAAGATTACCAAGCTTACGAAATATAAGGCAAAATAGATCGGGAAGTATTGTAACTTCAAATTTTACTCCAACTATCAATAATAAGGTTGAAAATGATTGGGATACTACAATAAATACAAATAAGATCTTGGAGCAATATTGGAAATCATCAGCTGATCTATGGCATGATCTAGAATGTGGTATTATTTATCCTGAGAGTATTATATCAAATTTAGGACGTTCAACAGTTTTTACTACTAATGGAATCTCAAATCAATGCAATATTTCATATGGAATTTTTTCAGTGTCCATACATCCAATATACACTAGAAAAAATATACTCGCTATATTCTATAGTTTTATTCCATATATAATAGGTATAGCATTATTTGGATGGGCTGTATTAGCTGATAACTTTATACCAGCCTTTGGACTTATAATGATGATATTTTCATCTCTAATTAATGAACTGTTCGTTAAAAAGATATTTAGAAGTCCAAGGCCACCAAATTCTACTTGTATCTCTTATGGTATGCCTTCAAGTCATTGTGTAGCTTCTTATTCATTTCTGATATGGATAATACTTGAACATATTAATGCAACTAGTCTTAAATCAGGATTTTATTTTAGAACTCTCATTGTATTTATAAGTGGTCCTGTACCTTGGGCTAGGTGGTATGTAGAGGATCATACTGCTATTCAGTGTATATGGGGTTGTATAGGTGGTTTAATTCTTGGTATTTTTTCATTTTTCCTACGTTCTTATTTATTTGCAAGTAACTCCATGTTCTGAATTGATATCTATAATATCTAACCTTTTTAGACAAAATAAATTAGTGTAGAAATAAGAAGTTTTAATCTTAAATATTGAGTTTAATATTCTTTATACTACTGTAATTTCAGGTAGTTGTATTCTACTTTTAGTTATTTTGATTACCAATTAGGTGAAGGGGGGGAGTATTTCGGGCTGATAGTATAGTGGTACTACGTTTCGTTCGCATCGAAAAGATCGCGGGTTCGATTCCCGTTCAGTCCATATTTTTCTTCTTTTCAAATAAAAGAGAATAACCCGGTAATATTTGAGGGGAAGAGATACCAATCATTCTATTATGCATGCTGCTCCCGCTCTTTAAACTAGCATTGTACTAGAAAGTAATTATTCCGAGGGTAATTAGCTTTAAACAAGCAGAACGAGAAGAGGGCACAAAGTATGCTTTATTTAAAGCTAGCTAAACTTGATAATTTAATATCCACACTTCGATGTATCTTATACTTTAGATGGTTAAGCATTTAAATTTGAATATAGAACAATATAAGTTAGCTTGTACTGATGAGAAAGAAAACTACCAAAGTGGTGTAAAATCTTCTCCTTGCTCTAAATTACAGTTAAGAAATCTAAAAGAATGTGTCGACATTATTGGGACTACTTCGTATCAAATGGAATTCCCTAATAATATAAAAAGTAATGTAAAATTACTATTGGATATTACAAATTACAAAACTAAATCAATAGAAAGAAGTAATAGAATTGAATTACCTAACCAAATTATAAATAAAGCAAAAGATATTTTAAAAGACTCTGAAACTGTCATAGATGGGGATATAGTAGGGAATTATGTACCGTCAGACCTAAAAATTGAATATAGTATACTACAAGAATTAACCTACTTTAAAAATACAGAGCTAAATGATGAAACAAATAACACTTTATTATCTCTACTTACTGATTATAATAAAGATAGTATAGATGCATCTACTCCAAATATAATGTATTCTGACTTAATTAATGAAGAAAGAAATATAAATAATGAACATAAAGATAGAACAGAATTAAAATTAGAAGTTAAAGATATGGATTTATCTATACCTATTACTTCGGCCGCTTGTAAATCATTAGATGTAGATCATATTTATACTACAAAAGTAACACAAACATTGCTAGATAAAGGCAACAATGAAAAAAGCCTTGATATTAGTAAATTCTCTTCAAATTGTAATAAGCAAACTAGTGAGATTTGTTCTGGTTATTCTGATGTTTTTCTTCCTATAGTAGATACCAAGACAAAGGGGAGTCAAACTGATTTATTAGAAGCTAGAACAATGTTTACTACTGATGGTAATTTTGATAATATTCGTGGTGATAAATTAATTACTTCAAATATAAATAATTCTAAAGATTCACCCCAATGTTTATTTTCTACAGGAAGTGGTAAAAAGATTAATATAAATGAAACGAGTATAATAAAGGCTAAGAAAATGCTTAATACAGATAATGATTTTGATGATAATTTTAATAACAATAAATTAACTACTTCAAATATAAATAATTCTAAAGATTCATCCCATTGTTTATTTTCTACAGGAAGTGGTAAAAAGGTTAATATAAATGAAACAAGTATAATAAAGGCTAAGAAAATACTTAATACAGATAATGATTTTGATGATAATTTTAATAATAATAAATTAACTACTTCAAATATAAATAATTCTAAAGATTCATCCCAATGTTTATTTTCTACAGGAAGTGGTAAAAAGATTAATATAAATGAAACAAGTATTACAAAGGCACGATCAATGTTTGGATATACTGAGGATGAATTGAGTACTCAATATAAATATGATAAACATGTCAATTTGGAATTTCAAGATAACATAATATTTTCATTAAGAACTCTTAAAGAAACTGAGGATGGAAACAAGGATAATATTAAAAATTTGAAAATTTTAAATAATGGAAGTTCTAAAGATTTGAATATAGAATACCCAGAATATCATACAGATTTAAGCAACTCAAAAGATCTAAAATATGTAACAAATCAATATTTAGATATTAGGCAGTCTAGAAAAATTACAATAGAAGATTTGAAAATTCCGTTATTTTATCCCGATTATCAAATAGTGAGATTTGCACAAAAACACTTGGAGGCATCAAAACCAACTTTAATCTTGATGAACCCTCTCAAAAATATCTTAATTTATGAGTTCATCTTAGAAAAAAGGCAATTAAATAATCAAATTCACTACAGAAATATTGGATATCAGGATATTTTGAAAGAGTTCAAAAACTTTATCAAGCAATATCCAATATTTCCAAAAGCCATTGAGAAATATATTGATAGATGGTTTAATATCCAATATTTAATAGTGTTATACACTGAATCTAGAAATTGGATAAGGAATATAAAGCAGAAATTAAAAATGGAAGATTTATCAGAATTAAAGATGAATAAGAACTGTTTTAAAAAGCTGTTTTTTTCAATAGATAACATTTTGAATTTTCCATCGGCTCAAAAAGTATTCCATCGTATTTGTAAGAGGGCTATTTGTGAATTTTTCAAGGCTAAGCGTTCTGCAATTGTTAAGATTTGCGAAGGAGATATTTCTGTCAGTGTTCCCTTAGCATTGAAAGTCCTAACATATGAGCAAGGAATCATAGATGGAATTTGTGATAATAGCAAAGTTATATTCACATGTACTGATGGTTGGTATTTAATTAAAATTTGCTGTGATTTTGGAAATTTAAAGTGCTCAATCAAAACATTTCCATCAAAGATTTTTATATGTGGATCAACTTGGAAAAGCAATGTTGAATTGGGTCATCCATTAGAAATAGAATATTCAATTGGAGATATACCAACACTTAATGTTGGGCTAAATTTAATAAGACCTTTAACTAAATCAAAAAGTACAAAGTTAGGGTTTCATATTAGCCCACTAATTTTTCGTTTACATAATTTATTTTCAACTATTGAATATCATCCAGAAATAGATAAAAATAGCAAAAATGACAAAATGTTAGTAGAAAGAGGTGCTGGATTATCATTCCTTACTCAATTAATTGTTTTGTATAAATTTCCAATTTGTTATAAGGAAATAATTGATAGAGATGATGATAATAGGAGAGTCTCAATATTACGTGATGAAGTTGAAATGGATTGGTTAAATGATCAAACATATCAAATAATGGATGCAGTAGCTAAAGGATTTAGTCAAAATAGTATAGAAAATATGACAGATTTTTCAACACGCAAAATTAATATAGAATGTAGAGTTCTTGTTATGGATTATTGGAAATTTCAGAAAATTGATAAGTTATCTAAAAAGTCAGATAGTTTAAAAATAAACTTTGATTTATCAGAATATATCCCATATTGTAGTTTACTTACATTACCATCTGGAATATCGTTAGATGATATATATAATATAAAAATTGGATCTATACTTCGTTTTTCTTGGTTACGCGTTCATAAATATGATAGAGTATCATCACATGAATTAAATTACTCATTATCTCGCTTATTCCCAACATCAAAAACTTCATTTAGATTACTCAAATTATTAAAAAATAATCAAACACTTAGTAATATTGTACGAATTTTACGTATCCCAGTATTGTCAGATCCACTTCAGAACAACATGATTGTCAAATATAGTGGTTGGCCATATAATTTATTGGGTTTACTCTTGTATACATATCCAGTAGATGAAAGGAGACGAAATTTTCAGCAATGTTTTGAATTTCGGATATTACTAGTTACATCTAATGGATCAAAAGTCTTTGTTCGTTTTTCTACAGTTGGTAATGATGACTCACAGAAGCGTATGTGCTATAGATTACATTCTATGCTTCAAAGGTACTCACTACTTGAGAATTCACTTAATTATACAAAACGAATTACTTTCCTTGAAAACTTAGATTTTCATTCATATGAGAAATCAACAGGTTTATTTTTTTTTATTGCTAAAGTACCATATATCAATATTACAGTACCATATGTTTCACATGATAATGTATTCTCTAACATTAGTACACAGCATATTTTATCTGAAGTAATTGAGGATTTAATAGCTTATACTTCTTTAGATATCCCCAAATTATTTGAATACCGTTGTGAAAGTAAGAAGCGAAGGGGGACTCTTTGTGCAACCTGTGGAGTTGTCCTAACTAATTGCACCTGTACTTTACAACAGCTTCAAGTACTAGAAGATGAATGGTCTCTTTTTATGAGTTAATGAATTTACTTAATTCCTAGTCATTAACCTTTTAGTTTCATATATATATTAAAATTAACTAGTTAACAATTTTTTTATACTTCACTACACGCATTATCTTCGTCATTAAGGTGTGGGCGGGCAACATTTTTGCATGTGTTGTCCTATACCGGTAGTGCATGTGGGGTTAAATTTGAATTTCCTTATTATTTTGCAATATATTTTCTTTAAGGCAAAAGATTTCTATTGTCTGTTTAATGGAGACCATATTTGAAAGATTTCAATTGGGTATTATTGATAGGGATAAAGCTCTAGAATTGTTAGAAAATTATGTTAATAAGGATAATCGCGAAAAATTTTGCATTAATATTATTTCTCATATTATTAAGGAGTATGATTTAAGAGAATTGCAAATACAGAATGTTATGAATTTGTTAGTAATGTTTGCTTGTTTATATAAAAATAAGAAGTTGGATCTAATAAATAAATTAACTGAAGAATTACTTTTGGTAGGGACAAACGTTAAAGATGTTAAGGTAAGAATAAATAGTATAATAACCTTTAAAATATTTTTGAAAATAATTAAAGATCTTGATTTAAAATTTGAAATATCTAAAGGCTGGCTTTCAAGAGTTCTTATATTAGCAACTAGTGATAAGTCATCTTTAGTACGAATATGTGCTATTGAATGTCTTAGTTTATTAAATGAATGTAAAGAAGGTTTGTTAGATATTTTGTGTAATTCAAAATATCATAATGAACGTATAAAAGCTATGATTAGTTTATCAATTGAAAGCTTATCAGAATCAGAATTGACAGTATATTTATCACGATTACTAGACAAAAGTCCAGATGTAAGAAAATCATTATTTAAAGTATTAAAAAAGAATTGCATTTTATTATATAATATGATGAATAAAGAAATGAAATGGTCTCATATCTTAATAGTTATACAATTTGGTTTAAATGATAGGGACGAGCAAATAATAAAAGTAGCTATTCGTTTTTTATTAAATTATATTCTGAATAATTATGGAAATAATGGTCAATTAAGACTAGGTTGTGCATTAAAAAATTTTATAGAGGATATGTTTTTTGCTACTACAAATACTAATGATATAACAACTCCTAATGTTGAAGCAACAGCAGAATTAATTTTCCAGCATTTAATAAAGAATTGCAATTATAATATAAGAGAATTTCTAAATGAAATTTTTCATAATAAAATTGGAAATCTTAGAGATTCAAGTAATATATTTTCAAAGATATCACCTGGACAATTGTTATTGTTACGCATTACTATACAAAATAATATTGATATAATATATGATGAATATTTTTTATGGTTATCTTCCTATAATGAAATAATTCAGGGTATATCATCATATTCAAATAACCCTTTTGTAATAAGACAAATATTATTAATAGCTAATAGTATTGATTTAAGCGATCCTGAAATAAGAGGTACTCTCAAAGATATTGCAAAAGAGTGTATTCAACATTGCCCAATTGAAGATTCATGGAATTCCTTGGAGACAGAATTAACACCATTAGAATCTCTAGTTAGGATTCCTGAAGGTGGTGAATGGGTTGCATACTTCTTGCATCGTTCTGCATTATGGTCATCTCTCCAATTATTTCATAAATGCCAAGATTCTTTTGAATCCATAGATGATAAAAAATTCATAAATGAAATCCAATGTATAATAAATAATATTATTGAACCTGAATCTAATGATATAATTGTAAGTACATCACATGATTTTGAAGATCAGTTTGTATTAAATTTTTTATCTTCAAAAACTCTTCTGGAGCACTTGAAATTGGAAAGAGGAACTAACAGATCATGTAGTGCAGTAAAATGTGATAACTCTATTTATAATTCAATAAGGGATATATTAGAATTACGCTGGATGCGTGTACTATTTATAATTGAAGGTTCTTTATCTATGGTAGATTCAATGTCTATTTGCGTAATAGATTATTGGTCAAATAACATACTAAGGCCTTGCATATCTTTTTTTTTGGAATTTAATGATAATTCTAGTATTCCCCAGATCTTGTTTGTACGATGCATTGCTTTGATATCTATTTTTGAAGAGAGATTAAATTTGGACACAAGTTTAGTTGTTGAAAATCGTTTATCATATTTTATTCAAGGTTTGAAAAATGCATTAGAAGATTTGGAAAATTGCATTAATAATCAGAAAGGACTGGAAGAGGTTATTTTATCAGATTCACTTCTACTAGCTGTGCAATGTGAACTTTATGTATCAGCTATTACTGATATAATAGTTATAAGACAAACAAATAAATATAATGATTTATCATATGATATTCAGAATGATTTAAATACAATGGAAGCTTTAAAAACTATATGGAGTATAATTAGTTCCGAGAAACTTGCAACTTATCGTCTAACTTCAATATCTCTAAGAGGTTTTTGTAAGTTATTATTATGTTTTCAATTGAATAATTCATATCAATTTATGATGGTTAAAAATGCTTTAAATTCATTAATTTATTTTGTCTATTGTAATAATGTCTGTAATGAATTTGAAGTGCTAATTAAACCACAACATGTAATCAATAAGATTTTCTATAAAGAGTATAAAAGTATAAGGAATAATTGTGAAATATGTAGGGTAGATAATATTCATAAAAAAGAGATGTGCTTTTTAATTCAAGATATTATTGAGCTAATTAAAGGGAATAATTATGAAGGAATTAAAGATAATTGTTCAATGTATACATCTTCTGGTGATAAACAAATGATTTTATATTTCATATCATTATTTATTACTATTAGTATTAATCATTTAAAATGTTTGACAATTGCATTATTTGATACATTTAATTATGCCATATCAAATATTTCCAGGAGTACTTGTTTTAAATCCTACAATGAAGAAAATATTAATAAATTAATAGTATTTGGTATTATTCAAATTAGTCAAGCATTTAGATTTCATCTATCAAATAATAAAGAAATGAAAATTGATACCCAGGAATTTAATCCACAATTCTATGGAATAATATGTTTAATGCTTTCAGCTGTACAGTATCCAAAATATTGTAAAAAAATGAATATCGATAAGCAAATACTTGAATTATTACAATACATGTTATCAATTACTCTGCCTGAGTACAGTGGTAAAGAGTTAAATAATGATTCTTTTAGTGTTTCATCTGAGCTCAGTATATATATGCAAGTAATTTATTCGTTGTTAAAGAATGAAATTGTCAAAATTATTAATGATAAAATTAAACAGAAATTATTAGATGAAATTCAGTCCATTAAAAAAAAATATACACTTGTAGATATAGGATATGAAATTAATTCAGATATTATAAAAGATAATCTAACAAAAGCAAAGTTGGAAGAATTAATAAACTTTGTTAAATATTCATCTACACACAAGAGAAATACAGGAGAAATAGTAAATAAAAGAATTAATAACGAAAATATCAGTTCAAATCTATAAATAAAAAAATTAATTAAGAAATAAAAATAATTCTAAAATTTTAAACAAATTATAAAGTATATTAGTTTGAAAAAAATAAATGATTTAGTGCTTGAGGTGCTTTAATTCTCTTATTAGGATCAAGAATTGTGCACTTTTCTATAAGATCAGCTAGTTGCTTGAGCTTTAAATTCTGAAAATCTAGTGAATTAGTTTCTTTATAAGGATGGGATTCACAATAGGCCTTCAATAAATTATTATATATATTCTGTTTTGGTGCAAATTGTTGAATAATTTTTAACATTCCATCCGATAAATTTATCCACTTAAATTGGTTATAACAATTAGAAAAATGCCTTGAAGTAAATATACCCTGTTTCAACATCTTAACTGGAAATTTCCCTTTATATTCCATTATTATACGTAACATATCATTATTAGTCTTGCCATAAAATAGCGTATTACCAGTAAAACATTCATATAAAGTACATCCAATACTCCAAATATCTATTGGTTGACTATATGAATATCCAAGAATAATTTCTGGAGCTCTATAAAATCTACTAACTAAATAGCAAGTAGGTTCATTTCCTATAACTTCTAATGCGCTTCCAAAATCACTTATTTTTAGTATATTGGTATTTTTATCAATCAAAATATTATCAGGTTTTAAGTCACCATGAATATAATTCTTCTCATGTATACAATTGACTCCAGTAAACATTTGTTTAGCGTATAACTGTAATAGATTAATATTTACTTTACAACCAGATTCAATATAATTTCTAAGTGAACAATTTAACCATTCCAAAATTATACAATAATGATTTCTATAAATAAAACTTGCCTTAGTTTGAACTATATTAGGTGAATTAATAAATAAAGTTAAAATGGAATGTTCTTTTTCTCCTATTCTTTTCATCATATTATTAGAACGAATAATTTTTATTGCTACCTCTTCATTATTTATAATATCAAGGCATCTTACTACATTACTAAATACTCCCCTACCAGTGCTATTACTTATAACTTTATATTTGTCATTAATCATTTCGCCAATGAAGCTAATATAATATCCCTCTTCATCATCACATTCTAATAAATTTATTCTTATTCCTTCATTATTTAATGACGATTTATTAATGTATATCGGTGACTTTGTAGAAAATATATCATCATCATCTTTTATTTCCAAATTCTCCATTATTTCTTTATTATTTTCAAGTTTGTAATCTTCCATCTTCCTTTGTTGAACAATAAAATTCTGAAGTTTTTTCTTTTCCATTGTTAAGTTTTTTTGCAATTCTTCATATAAAGCGAATTTTTCATCTCTATATTTGCTATCTAATACTAAACAATTCATTAAATTTGGTTGTGATTCAGCATTAATATGGATTTCTTTGTCATAATCTTCTTCATCAAATTTACCATTAGATTCCTTTTCACTTAATTGTTCCTTTTTATCACTTATTTCAGATAAATTATTTATGTCTTTAGGTGGAAAATGCAATTTCTTCTCTTTTAACTGTTCCAAAAGTCTTTTCCTTCTTATTCTCCGGATTTCTACAAGATCATCCTCACCAGAAAATAGACTTACTGGGGAATATTCAACAGTGGGCTCTTCTGATTCTTCAGGTATATCTATTGTTTTATCTATAAGATCTTTGTTTACATTACATATATTATCGTAACTATCATCTAAAGAAGTAGTACTGTATATTTCACCTTCTTCGATATCTAAAAAACAGGAAAATAAAGTCTTACATGTATTATAATTGCGATTATTTAAAAGATCTATAAACATACCTTGAATTATAGGAGATATAGAACGGCTCAAAGATCTCTTCTTCTTTTTATGTTTAAACCTATCATTGATATGTAATATATAGTTAGAATTCTCATCACTTGTAAAGAATTTATGCCCATAATTTATTTTAACCTCACCATTTACTATGGTTTTGTTCTTAGGATGTATACTTTCCATTATTTACTATTACAATAGAAGAAATATTCCAAAAATATTAAGATAATAATGGCGGTAAACAACAAAGCGCCCATTTATTATTTCGATACCCGTGTAATAAGTAATAAATACTAATGTGAAGGAAGTTGTTCGGCATTAATCAAAAATAAATGATACTTATAAGATACATAAGGGAAAAGTTAATATATATGCATATTTGAATGATGGATAGGACTTTTGACTTTTTTGAGTTATGTGAAATACCCTATATAAATAATAATAATGAGGTTTCACCTTTTATAGTAAAAGCCAATCAAATTGTGAGTTATAAGTTACAACATCTCTTATATTCTCTTATTGTTATTTAATTCCCTACTCAGTGTTATAAAATTCAGGATATAATTGTGCAGTTAGAAAAAACTAAAATAAAGGATATAGCAAGTCTAGTTACTAGTAAAGATTCAAGTTTAGATTTATCTTCTTCTATAACTAATAAGGTACAAGAGTGTCAGGATGATATAGTTAATTTAGAGAAATTCATAAAACCAGATATATTAGATAAGGATGAACTTAAGGCATTGGAAGCGAATAGAAGGATGATAGTGTCATGCATATATACACTATTAGGAGAATTAACATCTAAAGTACAGGAAATGATGACAAGAAAATTAGAGCATCAATATCAAAAGAATAAGAGATTTGTGGCTAATAATAAATACTTATATAGTACTTTATATTCATCGTTAAATAACAAAGCTAATAATGAACAAGATTTATACAATATAAATCCGGATGATGGATTAACTCCTGAAATGCAAAAAATCTCCCAGGATTTATTAGCTCACTTTACATCAGATTTAGATATATTAAGAACATCACAAGATCAACTACATGAAATTTCAAATTTAATGACCTTTTTTTCAACAAAAATACAGGAACAATCAGAAGTTTGTTCATCAATACTTGTTAATGCAAGAGATACAATAGAATCAATGGATAATTCTAAAGATCACTTGGATAAATTAGAAAAATACAATAGGTCGAGAAGGTAAGATATTGATGTCTTTTTATTCTAAAATCTAATTTTATTCATGATGTAATTCAATGTGAATTAAATACAGGTATCAATTTTACATAATGACTTTCCAATTCTTAGCAGCAGTTATTCTACTCCTCTATGATTATTTTCGTAGTAATAAATATCCATAGATATCTCCTAATTTATACCGGGTACAATGTCTCGGCAGCACTTTCAACTGATTCCTTTATTTGTTTGGAAACATTCGCAATACCTTTGGTAACTTGATTGGATAAATCAGAGTTTACTAATTCCTTAATGCCAACTTGAATTTTATTTGATGTATTATAAACAGCTGGTGCTAAAAAACAGTAAAAGAAATTAATAAAATGAAGTGTTTTAAATATTCAAGCAAGCACTTCAATATATCCGTTCATAACGATTTACATTATAAAATGATAGTATTAGTTAAAATTGTTGCTTTCTCCCAAAACTTTAGAATTACTTTATTTGTTATATATATGTCATTCGAAGTTACATTCAACTATATACCCTAAAAATTAAACTTACCTGCAGTATCATTTACAAAGTTTGATATTTGTTCAGATGTTCCATATTGTTGATCTACACTATGAAAATATGATACTATATTACTCCATAATGTTGGTTTTTCATCAACAAGTCGACAATATATTTTATACCCTTCATTGTATATTAGCTGAGATTGTTGGATAGCTTTTATTGCAAAGTCTGGTGCTGCAAATACCACAACGAAGTTGGTTTCTTTTTGAACAGACGGTGCATTTGCAATATATATTACTGGACCAATCCATGACATAAAATTTCGGCACTCTTCAATATTTGTACCAGTTGGAAAGTTACATGCTATAATACTACTTTCTGTATCATATTCATCAGGTGCATATACTTCGTGCAATTCTCGTGGTATAAATGCAGGATTTATCGCCATTTCCTATTTAGTGTTCTCTTATGACTCTTTATAATTATTTAAGGAATCTGTATCTATTTATTACATTCTGCTGTCTAAATTTTTGCATGACTCCACCGCCTGGCGTTTCCCGTCTCGATACTTCTTAATAAGCGGGTAAAAGCTGCAATGTCCCCTAAAGCTTGTGACAAATAGATAAGCAAATGGATTAACTCAAAGTAAAGGATTATTGAATCTGTTAATATATATAGTAATTTCGTGGGTATAATGGGTTTTCTGTACTTCTCTAGGTGTATATATGTGAATACACTTAACTCAATAGATCCCAATATTCTAAATTTGGAATGAGCTGTAATTTAATATCAATTTATTAGTTATATATTGATATTTGTTTATAATAAGCATATTCCAAAGGGTGTATTGGTACAAGTACATATTTTGTAGGGATAGAATTAATAGGAACAATGTATACTGGCAAAAAAGTCCATATATTTACAATTTGAATTAATCTTCTTTTGTCAGTGTTACACTTTGGTAGATGATAGAATTTATTTCTCCTAGATATATTTTGTATAAGGTCAAAGTATTGTTGAATAGCTGACTTATATTTACAAGTAGGAGAATTCATGTCAGTGATAAGTTTATCAACCATTTCATCAGAATATCTCCATGTAACCTCAAATTGATTACTTAATTTATGATATTTGTAACTAAGAGGTAAATTAATACTATTATTTGAAAATTTAAAACTATTAAAATATTTAGAATCACTATCTGTTACCATACAGAGATTATGTTGTTCTGTTGGGGACATTAATACTACCTTTATATATCCAAAGTTCTTTGTACAAATAACACAGGACATATTTGGATAATCCATACGTTGCTTTTTCAAAATATAAGAAAATAACATCTTCTCGGCCTCTCTCTGTAAATCTTTACTAGCTTTCGACTTTTTATTAGCACTATTACAAATCTCAGAAATATCATCTTGAGTAAATAAAACTTCAAATTCATCTTTAATTTTACTATTTTTTGATTTACACTTTTTTGCACTGTTTGAATTAGATGACAAACTATCTTTATCTAACTTATTTTGGCTATTATGCATTGAATAATAAATTAGTTGGTGTACTATGATATCTGCAACACGGCGAATAGGAGATGTAAAGTGAGTATAGAATGGTACATTCAAGGCATAATGGTGAGCTTCATTTAATATACTATTTGAAGAAAGGTCCAATGAAATATATTTAGCTCTCTTAAATATGTCTCTAAGTAATTCTGAAATTGCATTATAAATAACATATCCATATACTTTCTCAACCTTACAAAGTCCTTCAAACAATGTTTTTCTATCATTTGAATCCCCAAAAATATTACCCATACCATTTCCTCTTAAATATTTAATTAATTTACTTAATTTACTTTTTTCAATTTCAGCATGGCAACGAAGAACTACTTTCGAGTCCAAATTATTAATAAGATATTCAGCAGTTAATTGATTAGCTTTTATCATAAGCTCTTCAATAATAGAATGAGAAATTGAATATTTGTTTTCTACTGACATATGCTTAAGTTTACTCGAATCTAAAGATTTCTGAATATTCTTTACATTGTGAACTAATAAATGAACATGAAATTCAGTAGTTTTATATTCTTGTAATTCTCCATAATCATTGTCATTAAAAGTAATACTTTTACATTTTATATCTTGATCATCATCTTCTTTTTTATTATCATTTGTAATATAATAATTTATTCTCATCTGACTAAATTTAATTGCCATATTATTTCTTCTGTTATTTCTTAATATATTAGTTAACTTTTGTAAATTAAAAATATCTAATAATAGCTTTTTCCAATATCTCTGAGGTAAATTTACATCTTTTAGTATATTATTTATACTAGTATCATTTCGAATAATTGAAAATAAATTATTCATATCACGTTTTGAAAATTTAGATTTAAGATAATAAATTCGTAACAAAATTTCATCTACTTGTTCATAAGAAAATTTACATAGTGAACATATAGTACCATGATAGTATTTTACATCTTCTAATAAATTCCCTAATTTATCCAATTTAAAAATTATAGAAAGTGTACGACGATTAACAGAAGGTAATAGAGAGCATAAATTACTAGATAAGAAACCAGGCAACATTGGAAAATTTATATGTGGTAAATAAATACTTGTACAATATTTTTTAACTATATCAATTAGATCATTCTTGTCTTTTAAATAATATGACACATCTGCTATGTGAACTCCTAATTCATAAATTTGTTCTGATTCATTCCATTCTATATGAATTGCATCGTCTAAATCACGTGCAGTACTTGGATCTATTGTAAATACCCGATATTTATTAGGATCAAAGTATTTCCTATATTTATCATATTCAGGATTTACATCTTTAACTTCATCATCACAAGCATCACTGTTATTTAAATGATCACTAACATTATAATCATCCATTAAAAAATTCATTTGAGTTCCAATGTTCTCAATAGAACCATATATACCTTCTAATATTCCTTTTATATATCTTGAAGTTGATGTTCCTTGTAATATATTACAAGTATATAAAATATTTAATGGTATTGGAATCTTCTTAGTATCATTAATATTAGAAGTAAATGGTGCCAATAACTTTTTAATTACACTATTTCTTAAATGAATCTTTATTAAAGGATATACTTTTAATAATGGTACAAATACTACTTGCCTTGTTGTATAGGTAATACATGATTTCGTCTCAATTAAGTCTTGACGATATTTCCTCTTATTATTGCTATTTAATGAATTTCTTATTAATATTTCAGTTTTATTTAAAAGTTTATTATTTCGCAATTTTTTTTCATTAAAATTCTTATATAAATATGATATTGGACGTAAATAGCCGATTATATATCTTTTATTATCATCCCTATATATCTTGTATACTTTTCCTTCATATAGTAAAGTCTTAGATTTCAAATATTTATTGACTTTCTCCTTAATATATGAAATTTGAGTTTCATTTGATTTAATTATTTGTTTATACCTTCTAGTAAATAGACCAATTATTTCAACACCCACTTTATCATTATCAATAGCCCCATTCAAATTTCTCCATCCACTTATATATACATCATATGGTTCAACAATGTTATTGAATTCACTACTAACTGTTAAGAACCCTTCATAAGGATTTATCATCTTTATTATACCTATTACAAAAGTCTTGCTATTATCCTTAATATGAATATCTTTAGCCTTAGTATCTTCATTTTCAGTTGAACGATTATCCATGGTCAATTACTACTTTAGTTTCAAATTTTTTCAATTATTAAAATGAATATATTAAAAACCTAATAGCGGGGTAATATTCTTATGACTTGGGAGAAATCATTTTCTTTAAGTAATATACTTGTGAAACAGTCGCAATTAATAATGTAATAAGCTGGGCAATTGAAAAATATACTAACTTAGTACTTGTATTAATGATTGTAGCTAAATGATTTTTGGTTTTAGTCCATAAATATTGGGTTTCTGTAACGACACTATTTAAGGCGTTGTCTATAGTACTAATAGTAGTTGAAAAGTAGTTAAATTCTCTTTTATTAAGAATACTCTTATTTACAATATCTTTGGCAACTAATAAAGTAATTTGTTTATTATGATGCCATTTAGAATTAGAAAATATGATTGTATAGGTACCTGGAATACGATGATGTTTAATAGCTTGTTGAGCTTCTGGAGAATATATCTGATTACTATATACACCATCACATCCTATCTTATTAAATATTTTCTTAGAATCTGGATTAGTAATTATTACATGTATGTCAGATTCACTATTATCAGAACAAAAGTAGCCAATTAAGATATTATTAGTATTATTGGGAGAAATATCATAATAAAAATATTCATCAGCTTTTGAATTTAAATTAAAAGTAAGATGTGTAGTTATAGTAAAATTTTTACTCTGTTGAGTCCATTCTAATAAAAAATTACTTTGCTTATAATTAGAATGATTAAATTCACTAATCATAATATCACTATAATCAATAACCTCAATATCAGAAGAAATTCCAGTTGGTCCAAAATCTTCAAATTCTATTTTTTTAATTTCACCTCCATTTTGTACATGACTTGATGTATCTAATAAAGTATCACTTGCTAAAATATAAGGCAATCTTCCATTATAAAGTAAAATTTGAAATAAAATAAAATTCTTTAGGCTAATCATTTGTTATTTTCAAGTGAAATTAAGGTATATATAAAGTGACTAAGAGGTTGAATTACTAATAATCACAATTAATAACCAAGATGTGAGGGTAATATATTGATGAAATCCTTGTTACCGCATAGGGATAAAATTTAATACTTGTAAATCTATATTGTTACAAGACTATAATCACTTTAATAATGAGTAGATATTATAGATATTTTATTATTCTAAATCTAATCAATCCTTCCTACTAGGTAAAGTTGAGACTTTAAAGTCTGTCTTTCCATCATATAGAAAGGCTTCGATTTGTCTACCATCAAAAAAACGATTATTTAAATAACTAACAGCTATCTCCGCATCTTCTGATTTTTTAAATTTAACACAGACAATACCATGTGGATGTCTTGGAATAGATGTTACATTAATAACTGTACCAAATTTACTAACCTCTTCATATATTTCATCCTCAAGTTCTTTATAAAATAAATCATCTTCATTAAATTTTTCTGCATCTTGTTTAGAATACATATGACGTAATACAACAATTCTAGTATTTAAAGATTTTCCTTGGGATATACCAATAACTTCTTCATTACTCCAAGACATTAAACGTTGTTCCTCTAATTTTGCAGCTATCAGCTGCTTTTTATGTATATCTAGTAAGTTCTTATCTTCTGGTTTATTATATTGAGAATGATTAACATTAAAGATTGCTTTTTGTATTTTAACTGAATATCCACATCTAATTTCTGTTTGGTCTAAATATTTTAGTGCTAACTCTACACTTTCCTGGAATTTATAAGAAACCAAAGCATCACCCTTTAATTCATTTGTTTCCTTATCTTTATATAACTTTATTTTGGGTTCCAAAGTACTAGGATCAATCTTTATTATTCCACAGCGAGTAAAAAAGTTCCTTACTTCTTCTATTGTTATATCTCTTGGTAATCCAGTTACATATATAGAAGTATTTTTAACCAAATTTTCTGTATCTTTACTATATTTCTTTTTTGACTTCTTCATTTAAAAATAACTTTATAAAATGAAGTCGAAAATTCCCCAAACTTTCCCCTACCTTTTTTTTTAGAGAAAAAGTGGACCCGCCGGGAATTGAACCCGGGACCTTGTGCATGCAAAGCACACGTAGCTACCACTGCACCACGAGCCCCTTTGGGGTGTGAAGGGAGTTATATGTTAAGATGAGGTTTTCGTAATTTTAACCACTTTAGAAACTCAAATCTATTTGCCGTACCTTGACGTAGCCAATCTGAACATTGTAATTGTTGTGCAGTAGCTCTATTTTTAGGATCTATTTCTAAACAATTTCTGAGAAAAGAATTAAAATCTTCATTATTTTGATAAGAAGATTTTAATGATCTATTAAAAGAATTTTGATCCACTAAATTTCCTACTTTTTTAGAATCTGAATCATTACATAACATATAAACCATATCAAAAAGACTATAACTTTTAAATGGATGAGATCCAGCAGCCAATTCATATATACATATACCTAAACTCCATATATCACTAGAAAATGAGTATGTCTTCCCTTGTAATCTTTCAGGACTCATATATATTTGAGTTCCAACAAAAGTTGATAAATTCTTACCATCATGCTTTGTTGTATTCTCATTTATAAATTTTGAAATACCAAAATCACTAATTTTTACAGCACCATCTTTATTTATTAGAATATTGTTTAATTTTACATCACGATGAATTCTATCATTTCTATGTAAATATGCTAGACCATCTACTATTTGAATAACTATGAATTTTAAATATTTCTCCTCTATTCCATAAGATCCTTCAGTTTCTGATTGTTTAGGATTTTTATATAGTATATCATATAAACTACCATATTCCATATGTTCCATAATTAAACAAACTATTTTTTTGAAAGGTTTCATATAAGCACCTAAAAATTGAACTAAAAGTGGACAATAACTTGTAAGTCTCCAAGCATTAATCTCTTCTGATAACTGAGTTTGATGTACTTCATCTCCTACATAAATATCTTTTATAGCAACTTTTTGTTTTGATAATTTATGGATTGCACTATAAACCACTGAACTTCTACCATGACCTAAAGGTGTTGGTAAAATTTCAAAATCTTTTGAACTTATCTGAATATCACCCAATCCATGGCGAGATTCCATTCCAATAGTTCCCTCATGTGTTATCTGTAATCCTGTACTCTTGTGTAATAGGCATGTCCCATCAGAAGATACTGACCAATCAGTATGAAATAAACTTCCTGCACTTTCTTCACTACAACTACCATTTTGATCTTCATTTTCTAATAGTTCTAATCTCAGTCCACTCATAAATTATGGGTCAAATCATCTGTTCATGAGTTAATTTTATAATATCTTTGTTTTAGTGCGGCTGCGCCAGTATGTGCCACATTAAAAAAAAGTCGCATGTACTTTAGTAATATATAATATTAAACTGTATTTTTTTTTATTATTCCTATTATAATAAATGTTAATTATACACTTTGATATTTACATAATTATACTTCTTTCAGAATAAATCATGTATTTATCTTCTTTTAAATGTCCTAACTAGTATAACATCAATAATATATACCACTTATATAAATTACTGTTATTATTAAAATTTATTAAATAAAATTTTATAATATAGGGAAGTTAAAATCTCTATTAATAAATTATTTAAACATGCATTCTGGCGCCATTTTAAACCGCTTAATACGGTACCTTTAAACTAGTTTAAGAAAATTTATATATTATTAAATACTTTTATATATTGAAATATAATCATTCCTGTATATTAGATTGTATTAATTAGGGTAGTCTGATTTTTTATTATTATAAGATTTAAATTAGTAATTAAATCGTTTTTCCCAATTTCTTATGAATTTTTTTTTAGAGATAAATTTCCGCCATGTTTGACCTCTTGGATAAGAAGTATCACGATAACAAAAAGGACAAAGGCCTACCAAAAGGTCAGGACGCACACCTATCCCATTAAGAATGACATTTTAATTACTAAGAATTTAATTATAAACTAATTATCTATTTTTATTTTCTGGAAAATAAGCAATAGCTAATATTTGTTATTCTTCTAGCTAAACCCTGCTGACAATTCAACTGCTTTTTTTTTTTAAAAAAATGCATCCATCAAACCGTAGAAAACCTGGAAGACGATATATTTTGGATATAGAAGCTTCACCTTATTTAGAAGCAAGAATTAGAAATATTTTGACAGATGAGAGAAAAAATTTACGTAGATATGTACAGAAATCTGTCTATTTTCAAGAATCTTCTACAGAAAGATTTTCTAATAATGAACAGTATAAATTGGAAGAAATAAGTGAATTGGATAAAATGATTCATAAACTTGAAGAAATTCAAAATCATCTATTAAGATTATTAGTATCCAAAAATAAACTTTATACAGAATTAATAAAATTAAAAGATATACAAACTAAAGAATTAAACGAAATTGAAACTACAAATAAATTACAAGAATGTGAATTATTACAACCTAATAATATATTTAAGAATAAAATTAATGATATTATAACACAAATTATTTCACTTAGGAATCAAGCAGATAATGTAAATAATTCTAAAGAAGATCATATTTCTATATTATGAAATATAAATAATTAAAATATACTTTAAAGAATTTCAAGTTAATATGAACATATTATTAATGTACAGTATGTTTCTTTTTAAATATAAAAGTAATATTAAGTGAATTGTTATTGTTATATTTGTTAATTATTACTATTATATATTTTATAAGTATAAGTATTAGAATTTGTAGGTAATAATTAAATTACTTTATATTTCTAAGTTATTATTTATTTTCCACTACAAGAGTGAGCATGAATATTATTTTTAAAATAAATTAAATAAATTATTGTTATTTTATATTATTACAAGTTTCCCTCTTATTTGTTTTCATCCGTCTTTATTTTTGTAAATTAAATATTATATATAATAAATATATGTTAATAGCTTTTTATACTTTTCAAATTATTGATAGCGAAATTTTAAATGTATCTAGAATCTCAAAATTATCGAAATTATCACAAAGTATCATTTCAACAGGAAAGAACCTTCCTCAGATTGCTATTTCAACATTATATTCATCCCAATTTGATTCGGAGAAATTGAGACAGGTAAGGATTATATTATTTAATATTGATTATATATACATAAATTTACTAAAAACTGGAATTATACTTTTTTTCCTAATATAAAATCATATGATAATTAGGATGTATTAAATATAATTATTCATCATATTGAATTAATGAATCCTATTAGGTAAGATATATTTATTGAAATAAACAATTATAATCATTAATAAATTTAGACTTTTTTTTATATATCAATATTTTATATTTATGATTTGACTGTAAATATAATTATTATTTACTTGTTTTTATTTATTAATGTTATATTTATTTTATTTAAAATAATTTGTTAATAAAGATTTGAATCTATCTGTCCGATACCTACTTATAATTTAAATATATCTTGGCAAATATCTATACATTTAAATTTAATATTTATATCAGTATTTAATCATCTTACACCTCCATTTAGAGTAAGACAATTCTTATCTATTATAGTAAATTGGTGTGAAAATAGATTTGATACTATTGGCCATTTATATTCTGATGAGATTCAAGTACTATTACATGTTTTTGCACCTGCTGGATATATACAATTAATGAATATTCATATGGCAAATTGGATTGAAAATATAGTTTCAGATGGTTTAGATAAAAAAAAGTATCAAATAACCAAAATATAATAAAATCAATAATAATAATAAATCCTTTTTTTGGAATATTTTAAATATTCTTTAATATACATATATATAAGGAACAAGAATATTTGGTGCATAGTAATAAGGATTACCATAAGGGGCAACATATGGATTTCTTGGATAATAAGTTGGAATAACTGGATATATTATTTCTGGATTATAAGTCCAATTTTTTGTTGTTGTATAATTATAATATCCTTGTTCTCGGAATAATCTGTCTATTTCATGATTATTTACTTGATTTTTAAAATCTACTCTTCTAAGTTGTGAATCATATATATTATTTTGTAAAAATCTTTCATTTTTAGGATAATAATTATTAGAACTATTATCAAATATTTGTTCTGATGATGTTTTTATATTTGGATCATTTTCAAATGATTGTATTAAATTAGAACCTTCATCAAAAACTTCAACATGGGAATTTTTAATTATTAGTTTATGACCTAAAGAAAGGTATAGAGTAACTTGATTATCATATTTTGGAACCATTTTATCTAAATTATCTATTTTTGATGTTTCAATAGCTAACACTTGATAACTTCTAGTTGTATTATCATTAATAGGAACCGATATTGTCATTCTATTTAATGGAGAAGTCAATAAATCTTTATATAATAGATCCCATATTGGGTGCATCACGTGATGATATTGATGATTTATAAATTCTTGATATTTCTGTGGATTATTCTGGTCATTATTATTACTATCACCAATATCATTTTGAATAAATAGAAACATTGGTTGGGTATGATATCTAATAATTAATGTTAAAATTAAAATTGATCCAATTATTGAGAAAATTATAATTGTTACCTTCTTACAATTTAATTTTGACTTCTTTCTAGTGTCTATTGTATTTTCATTATCAATAACTTTTTGATTCCCACTATCAGTTGACCAACTATGAGTTTTTTTCATACTTTAAAATTTGATAATATTTCAATAATAAAATATCAAGATTAAATTATAACCTATAGAAAAATAAAACTCGTAAAGTAGGAAATATATATAAATTAGATAATGCTCGTTAAGATGATAATAAATACTTAGGAAAATATTCAAATATATATTATTAAATGATTTATTTATATATTAAATATAAAGAGCAAATCTTTAGACTTAATTTGGAATTTCTTTATTTACTAATTCTTATACAAATATCAAATGTAATAACTTCTAATATATATTATTCAAGTTCTCAAGTACTTAGTCAATTAACAAATCCAACAAATATAGAAATTGAACAACTTACAGATTATCCTTATATTCAACCAGAATTCATAATAGCTGGATATGATACACCATTTATTAGGGAACCCATAAATTCTTCTAAACATATATATAATAATAAAGATAATATTAATAAAACTAATAAAATAAAGAATAAGCGAGATAATTACCAATTAGTTAAATATTTTAGGAAAGAACAAAAAGAATTTGAAAAAATTGAGAAACAAAGACGTAGGTAAGCTCTTTAGAAAACCCTAATAAAATAATTTAAAGTTTGAAAAAATTTATCATAAGTAATTTATCTAATAACTTATTTAATTTGATAGAAATGAAGAAGATAAAAAGAAGTATTTAGAAGATTTTAAATCTGAATATAAATATCAAGATTCAGCTAAACATATTGTTGAAAGTTTTGTAAGATCATCTAATACACCAAAAAAAGATATTAAAAATATGAATAATGAAAGTAAGATAATAAAGTATATTTTCATATTTCTTTTAAGTAATAAATTATTTTATTTTATAGTTATAAGAAAATATCAATCTACAAATAAAACAAAACATCAAGATGTAGACATTCCAGTTTCATTGGCTTCAAGTAAGTTTTATAGTATAATTATTAATAACTATAAGTATTAGAAAAAAATATAGTATTAATTAAAATATTATAATAATGATATTATAGATATAAAAATATCAAATGAAAAGGTTAATTTCATGAAGATAAATCATAATAGAATTCATTATGCAACTGGAGAAACACGGCATACTTCTAATTTTTACGATATTAATTCTAATTGTTATTGGACAAAAAGAAATAAAGGATTTGTTTGTCTAACAATTAGTAAGTTTATAAATATTATTAAAAAATATATTTTATAATGAAATTTTAATTGAACTTCACTATAGATGAATTAAAGTCATTAAATCATATTGATCCCACTATATCTGTTGCATTTGACTCTTCAATATATTCACATCATCCACAACCTTATGGTAATGATCAAGAATGTGTTACAACTCATCGTGATACACGTAGTGTAAATAGAGTTTGTACTAGATATGGAGGTAATTTTCTTAATATAATATTAAAATAAATAAATGTAATTCATTAATAATCTATTTATTAATTCAGGACATATATCTAAAAAGTCTAAAGATGAACAAGAAAAAGATAGTAATTATATATTAATAACCTAAACATTCTATAAATATTCTTATGAATTGGATATTGGATATATTTAGTCAAGAATATCTTCGCGCATATACAATATGATATATTATAATTAAGATAATTGATATTGTAATAAATAAAGTTTTAAATAAAATTCTTTATTCAATCGAATGATATTTATAGAATGGCAACTCCTGTATCAAATAATGGTGGATCTTTAATTTTTACAATTGTAGGACGGGGAGATTCACCAATATATGAAGTAGATCTTACAACTAATTCATCTAAATTAAGTATACAACCTCATATTGATCAACTACTTATTCATACATCTTTAGATGCAATAGATGATAATTTATGGATAAATCCAGCAATGTAAGTTTTAAATAAATAAAATTATTATTATTACTTTAAATTAAATTAATATTAATTGACTTTATATTCTTTAATTTCTATAGATTTTTAAGAACTATAGAAAGGCTTGGTGATACTCAGATCTCAGCTTTAGTAACACCAGGACATGCAAAATTCTTATTATTACATAAAGGAAGAAGTAATGAAAGTGTCAAACTTTTTTTTAATGAAGCAAGAGATCTATATGTTAAGGCTATATTAAACCCATTCCAAGATGCAAATCAACCAATATTAACACCTTCATTTGATGTTAAAATAAGGCAAGCTGCTAGACGTTTCCTAACATAATTAATATAATAGAATAATTTAGTCAATATATTTAATAAGTGAATTCTATGTTATATTGTAATCATAAATAACAAATAAAATAGACAACTCAGTTGAGTATTTAAATCAAGCTAAAGTTCTTATTTGATACCTAACTAAAGTTGGAATTATTCATTATTAGTAGCTAAATATCTCAATAGCTAATTTAAGATAGTTATCTTTGTATTGCTTATTATTAGCAACAACCAGAACGTTTCTTTTTTGCATGTTTTTGGTGAGTTATTGGTGGAATAATTCCTGGATTAATCAAACCATATGGATCATAAGTAAATGGCATAGTCATGACATTACCACTTACTTGATTTGGCATGTAAAAGCTACTACCCATTGCAGTGCCATATGGTGTTGCATACATATTATTTATTGCATTTGGATCTACTTCATACATTCCTGGCATCCCCCCCATAGAAGCATAAGACATTGGAATACTTCCAATAGATGCTTGAGGATAATAATACCCATTACCAGCTATAGTTGTAGTTGGATACATCATATTAGGAGCACCTGCGCCATATGATAGACCACTTTGTAATCCTTGTCCTTGACTCATTTGTGGCATACTCATTTGACTTCCCATAGTTGGTCCCATTGATACGGGTTGTTCATTACCTACAGCAATACCTTCTTGTTCACTCATTTCTAGTCTATTTGTTCAAAATTAAAGAAAATCAAATTCTTATTTCTTCTTTGTAGTAGAATTCAAAAGATTAAAGGCCTTGGTGCTTATAAAATAGTGTATAGATAGGTTTGTGTGTGGGGGGCGCGTGGTGGCAAGTATACCTCTCGGGTCCTTTTTCCGAGTTAAATAAAAAAAAGAAAAATATTTTTAAAATTTCAATAATAAAATAAAACTCAAAGTAGTATTTGTATTTGTTTAAAAGTTTTTTATTTCAATATATAATAATTAATATGCTTTATTACTTTATTAATTTACTACTCCTTAGAAGGGGATGTCAGACCCCGCTAGACATTCGAGCGCCAACATATTTATTGTAATGATTTGGTGGCGTCTCCAATGAACCAATTCTGCATTCTAAAAATGTACATGTGTACTAGCTAAAATGCATTAACATACATAATAATAAAATAGAGCTAATAGATTAATATAATTTTGTAAGGATAGTCGTATTAATGTAAAGTTTTAAATTATAAGTGATTTGCTAGGTATTATTTAATTCATTTTTAAATTTTGGTAATATATTATTATAATATTGTAATATTAGAAATAATTCATGTATATTATTTGGAAATTCCCAATATATAATTAATGCTTTCTGATTGATCTTTTCTTTAAATAATAAATATAATATATTATTAAGATAATAAAGATAATTTATCAATAAATCTGATTATATATTATTAATATATATTCTAAATATCACTTCTTTTTTTTTTTTTTTAAGAAAAAAAAAAAAAAAACACTTTAAGATATATCTTGAAATCTATATAATTAGGAATTTTAGAAAATAAATTTAATTAAATTAAGATTTAGTTAATTTTATAAAATATTGTGGATCTATTTATATATATAGGAATTTATAGTTATATCTTGAATATATTACTAAAATAATAGAATATTATAAATATTTATTTAAATTTAATATTAATCATTATAATATTTTAACTAAAAAGATATCAATAAATAAATAATAATATAGAATTCCAAATAATACTATAGTATAAGTTGGAAATATTAGATATCTGATTCTTATTTGCATCATTTAATAGATATATAATATATATAAATATAAAATCATCAATATGTAATATGTAATAATATTAGTTTTAATATATTATAATTAACTTTATATTTAAATCATATCCATTAATTTAGTTTATAATAGATAATAACAAAATATACTTTTTTTTTTCTTTTAAACCGCTAGATCATTTAATATCTTATATCTCCCTCTTTAGTAAAAGATACTATCATTAAATAAATTTCATATAAGGAAATAAGATTATTATTATCACTAATATAGACTCATGACTTTGAGAATTAAAGTAGGTCTTATTGTATTTATTTTATTTATTAATAATTCTTTATCAAGGGAAGAAAGTAAATTTAGATGGTCTCCTGGCAACCAAGATGATAAGTTGAACAATTCGATTATTAGAAGTAATTATAGTGACAGTTATTACATTTCTTCCTCTAGATTTCTTCAAAATATTAGTAGGTCCAGTTCTCCTGAAATATATTCTATGACTAATGTCTACAAATCTACTATTCCGAAAACATCAAGAAGATTAAAGACATCAGAAATGTTAGAAATTCCAGAAATATTAGACATGTCAGAAATAGAAGAATTATCGGAAATGCTAAAAATACCAAAGATGCCAGAAGTAACAGAAATGCTAAAAATATCAAAAGTACCGAAAATAACAAAAACAACTGAAAATGGAATAGTTCTTATGAACAGATATGATATTGATAACAAATCACTATTATTTTTTAAATTATGTGATAAAGATTATCAAGGTAAACTAAGAATATATCTAAAAGATAATGATATATTGGGAATAAAAAGTGAATTGGATGTTAAAACAAGTAAAGCAACTAATAAAGAACATTTAAATGTTCATTCTTCTCTTGAATTATTAGTAAAAGGAGTACAATTAGATAAATCTTCTGCAACATTAATAAGATCAAATTGTACTTTAATATTAACAGCTCCAAAAGCTTAAAGTAATATGTGGGAATTCTAAATGACTTTTTTCAAATATCTGATTACTTTTTTTTTTTTTTGTAATAATTTTCTATTATTTATAAATTATTAGACAATATTAATGATTTAAAGTGAATTTACTAGAAAAATGAAGTGTGTATCAATGTGTATGAAGTGAGTTTTTTTATTTATTTTAGATAATACTTTCTTTTATACATTAAAATATGATTTACTTTACTTTTTAGGTATAATGGGAAAGAATAGTCCATCACCTTGAGGTAATCCAACTGGGAAGAGCCATAGTACTGGATTTGTTCCAAATATACTTTGATAATTCTTAAAGCATCCTCTATCATAGGTAAAATTTTGGAGCTATAAAGAATATTTTGCAGTTATTGAAATATGAATGATGATGGTATTATACTAACGTAAAGTGTATAACTAATTAATTGATAAGCAGTAAAATACTGCTTAATATTTACTTTTTGTTTATTTCTATTTTTGAAACAAACAATTTTGGGTTATTTTAAGATAATTAGAACTTACCTTTTCTTTTCCTCTTTTCTCGCAAAATTCTATTGTAGTTTGATTTCTTGATGTTATACTAAATTAGAGTAATAATACAGTAATTTTTTTTTAGTACTGAAATATTGTTTATTTGCTTTATATTTAACTTACATTGCATGAAACAAAAGAAATGGGATCATAATGATCAATAGTACTATACAGAAGCATGATCCCAATGATATTAGATAAAGTCTCCCAAATGTAACCTGATTAATATTAAATCAATATTGTATAATTTAAAAAAAAATAATTAAAAAAGTTAAATTATAAATAATTATTAAGCTTACATTTGGATCATTCCAAACATTGATAAAAGTATTAATTTGTCCGAAAAGCATATATAATAGTGTAATGCATCCATAAAGTAAAGTCAAAAAGAAATATTTGTAATTATAGAATCCAATACTAAAAAAATAAAATAGAATATTATACATTAATCATTATAATTATTAATTATGTAAAACATACCAATTTCCAAACCATGGACAATAGTGGTCCATACGAAGTACATTACGTTGGAGTTGTTTGCAATAGTGAGATCTATCAGGCTAAAAGAAAAAATAAAAAAAAATTAACTAAGAATTTTTTTTAAAATGATATACTCACCTTATATACTAACTCATATTTACAAAATCTGAGTCTTCCATCATCTTTACGCTCATGTAATTGATTAGGATCAGGTGAATTTCTCCATTCTTCAGTAACTATAATCAATAAAATAATATTAAATTCTTAAAAATAATATTATTACTATGATCATACCTGGAACTTTTCCTGGATCTGTTATGAATGATTTGAGTAATGATGCTCCATACAAAAGTACTAAACAATGAATGATTACAAAATCTCTTATACCTGTAAAATTATTTTAATTTAAAAAAAAAAATTATATAATAATATAATATAATATAATATATAGAATTATTTTTATCATACCTTCATCAAATTTTTCTTCAACTTTAAATTGTGATGATATACCAAATTGTAATAAAGGAAGTAGATGGAACTATAATTAAAAGAGACAATAAATAAGATATTATGTTAAATATACTTAAATCACTTATTATAACACCCATATAAATTTTATACTTACAGCCAAATATATATAATAAAGTATTGTAGTTAAAAATAGTACAAACTATAAAATAAAATGTTATTATTTTTTGTCTTGCTATTATTGAATTTGTTAAGCTGTCTCCTCCTACTTACCAAAAATGGGAGATACTTGAATAGTAGTACTATTTCTTCCATATTAAAATTTCATTATAATATACAGTAAGGATTTTAATTTTAATTCTTTGACTTCCCTTCTTATTTATCATACGTGGTTAATCTTTTTATGTAGTAGTACCGTCATTCTACATGCATGCTTACATGCATAAGCGGGTCAAATAGGCGCCATATTAATTACACTTATACTTAAGAAAAGTAAATTCTTGTAATTATTTATAATTTTATAAAGTTACATTTTATTTTTCATAAAGAATAATAGAACAAATAATTTATATTATAATTTATTAGATTATAATATATATTTTCTATAATGAGGAATATAATTAAGATTAATTAATATATCATTTATTATTCAATTTATAATCTAATATTAAAAGTTATTCATATTATTTTTAATTTGAAAAGAAAGAAATTAGTATATATTTGTTGATTTAATATTAATATAATATATAAGCCTAAGGAATACAATAACAAGTGGTGTATTATTTAATTCAATATAACTCTAAGGAAAATTTTTATAATATTTTCAAGTAAGATTAATATTAAATTTTCTAATATTATATTTTTATTGCAGATTAAAAGTATTAGATGAAAGAATTAGTAAATATAGTGGAGGTATTAAAGACAGATTATACTGATATTGTAAAGGATGTTAAAATAATACAAGAGACTCATAACTATATAAATCTAATAGCATATATAAAGAGGGATGATTGTATAGAAAAGTTTGTATTAACACTAGATTCTAGAGGTTTTAAGATTTTAAAAGGTAAATTAGACAATTTAGAAGGAGAAATATATGAAAGTATAGAGTCATTATTACAAACAATAACACCAAATAATTGGATAAAATATATAGAAGATTTTCTAAGAAAAATTGTAAATTAAACAATAAATTTATTAATGGACTAATATACCAAATAGAGACAAATAAAAAAGACTAAATCTACTTTATTTTATTTTATTTTGATAATAAGGAGTCACCAATTTCTCATTAAAAGAAGGAATATATATATATATATATATATATAAACTATCCAATTATATTATATATAGCATTATAATTAAATTAAATTCACTTCTTTTAATATATTAATATCAAATATTATTTTATTAAATATTGATAAGAGAAAAGAAAGGATTATAAAAATCTAGTTATTTTGATGAGGTGGCATCATCCTTACATTAACTGGAATATTACCTTTCATAAATTGTGGTAGTTTCTGCTCTATTGGTTGACTACCTTCAGGTAATGGGAATGGAGATTGAATAGCCTGAGGCTGTATTTGAGAACTTGAAAAGGGTGGTGAACATTGCAATAAATCTTGTTTTCCCATATTAATTTCTCTACCATCTGGACCAACTGTAACTTTAACTGGTGGTAAATCTTTGATTTCTGGTTGTACATAAGGTACAATAACTGGTGCTGGACATACAACTTCAACATCAAATTTAGGTACATACTTAATAACTGGAATATCATCATATATTTCCTTCCATTTATATCGGATAACTTCAATTGGTTCCTCTATTTCAACAACTTTTGGTACAACTTTATCAACAACATCAACAACAACTTCTTTTTCAGTAACTTTATCAATATACTGTATTTGTGAAATTTCAATATACAAGACTTTTTGTTCTCCAACAAATTTTGGTACTAATTTAGGAACTTCACGAACTTCCCATGTAGGAATATATTTTGGGTTAAAACCCACAATATGTTCCAGATCTACAACTTTTTCAACAACAGTTACATTAGGTACTTCAACTTCTTTTTCAAGTACTTCAACTTCTAATTTTGGCACTTCATGTATAACTTCTTGATGATATATTTTTGGTAAAATTTTATCTTTTATGATAGTTTGTGGTACTTCAATAATTTTATCTCTTCTTTGGATCTCTTGTACAACTGGTACTGTTATTAATGGTGCTTGATCTACTTCTAAACGGTAATATCCAGAAGTATATTGAGGTTGACACTGATTAACCATACCAGAACTATTTGGTGGATCAACCCATGTTGCTGTAACTCCTTCACCTAAACCTATTTGCTGTGCTTGTGCTTGTGCTTGTGCTTGTGCTTGTGCTTGTACTTGGGCCTGCATAGTTATATCTTCCCTGAAATATGTCACTATATTATCTTTCAAGTTAAGACCTTATAAATCCTGACTCAAATAACTTCAAGAAAAAAATCAAAAAGATATTCCAAGGGTTTTGAAGTTTCTTGAAAATATACCTTAATATTATGATACGTAAATTTTATTTTAATCTATATTTATATTACCCTCAATGCAATAATAATACACACAATATATTGCGACATGACGTTTTATAACCGCGAGCGGTTTTATGAATACATATTTTAAATTTACTTACTAAATATTAAGTGGAATAAACCTAATATTATAATAATCTTAGATATTTAATAAAAACATTCTATAATTAGTTTTAATTGAAAATAAACGTATAATTATGTTAAATATAAATTTACTAATATTTATTTAGTATTATATTAAAAGAAAACAATATTAGCACCCAATAGGCGCCAAAAGTGAATATTACTGTTAGTAAAATATTACTCAAATTGAATTCATGAATTATTCTGTTCCTGTACAGGAGTACGAAGCCTTTTTCTTTTTTATGTAAATAAGGGGTTATTATTGAAATATACATATTAGATAATCTTATTTGGTATAATCAGTAGTATAAACCTGTACTACTTTTGGTCTCAATATTTACAATCAAATAATCATCCAGATATTTAAATAAAATCTAAGAGATAAAAAAATAAAACAAATTATATGGCAGAATCACAAAAATTACCACATAATAATCGAATTATAACAGAAGAGCATAGATTAAGGACAAGAAGATTATATGAGAAGAGGTTACATGAAAGAAAATTAAGAATTTATGAAGAAGCCTTAGATGAAGCTCTTAAAAGAGAAAAATTGAGTACAATAAGAAATATATTCTTTTGTATAAAGTATGAAACTAGTTTTGGACAAGATCTCACTGTGGTTGGGAATATTCCAGAACTTGGAAATTGGGACATTAAACAAGGAGTAAAAATGATATGGTCCCCTGGAAATCTTTGGACGATAAAAGTTGAAATCTTTTCAAAAATTGAAAATATTGAATACAAATATGTTATATCTGAAAATTATGGATCTCATAAATGGGAACCAGGACAAAATCATAAGGTACAAATAAATATGGAAAAAAAAAGTACTAATCTAAGAGATGCCTGGGGTGGCGGGGGATTATGATACCGCTTTAAGGTGCAAATGTTCCTGTTTATACACCTTAATATTTAATCTTTAAATTTTTTTTCTTTATTAGAAAAAAAAGAAGAAATATTTAAATTCCAAAATATATATTCTGGGATATTTTATATAAAATATTAATAGGAATTGTTGTTTTTTTTTTTTAAAATTCAGTAATAAATCCAATACCTAAACTCCAATTACTTCTTCTATTTTATCTAATCTAACTTGTTGTGCATTTTTCAATCTCCAAGGAGATCCACCTTGGGCCCTTATTTCCCATGTAGATCTAAATATACTTATTGATATTATATTGAATATTATAGCTGCAAACCATATACCAGTAAATATAAACACAAGTTGTATATTCATCTTAAAATGTCCCACTTTATACCATCCATATCCCCATAATAACCATTGATATATTAATTCAAAAATTATAACAATAGCAGAAAATTGGCTTATAAAGTATGCAAAACTAGCCCCTCCACTACCACATAAAAAACTTAAGCCTGCAAGTATAGTTGTAATACTAAATAATGCCGATGAAGATAAACCTCCAATTTCAGTCTTTGGTGTTTGTGAAAATTGTAATGTTGAAAAGACCCCAATAATAATTGTTAATAATGATGATACTATACCAACAAAACCTAAAGGTATACAACAACAACAACGTCCACAATTAGCTGATCCAATAAGGCACATTCTATAATTTTATTATTATTAAAAAAAAATAAAAAACTTTAAAATATGCATTAATAATCTTAATAATAATAAATGATGATGAAAATTTAGATTATAATAACATAGGGCGCAGAAAAAGAAAAAAAAAAATTGGACTAACGTATAACGTTTGGTTCTTAAAATAATATTTGAAAAATAATGTAGATAGGAAATATAAAAAAAATTTTAATTATTCATCTATACTATCTTCACTTTTAGATGATATTTCACTTACATTATCATTTTCTGATAAATTATAAGCATCATCAGATATATCCTCATCTGTAGAATTTACTAAGCTTTGTTCAGAAACTAAATCATCCATTATATTACCAATTTGATGTGTTATTAAAGCTGAATTGGCCTCTGTTGAAATTGTTTCGCATAGATTATTCATAATCTTATTTTCTTCAGTAATATTTAGAAATAGATCTAATATTGATTGAAGATTTATTAAATCATTATTACAACTTAAACGTGAAGTTATAATTTCATGAAGTTTACTCATATATTCTATGATTTTTTCATTATATTTACTATTTATATTTGTTAATTTTGCAATTTTCTCTAGAATTGAAACAAACCAATTTGATATCTGCAATAATCTCATTGGATTGCTTTGTATCTTTTGAATGATCTCATTAAATAAATCACAACATTCTGTAATATCTAAGTCCTTAATAGATTCATCTATTATTACCTTATTATTTAATGTTAATGCATCTTCTATAAGTTGTTTATCTTTACTTCGGATTCCCTGATATAATATTAAAGATATTGTTAAGCCACCCTTAGTTAATCCCTTTTCATTTAATTTTCTATATTTTCTTTTATTTATTTCAAGATCCTCAGTACTAGATAAATTTTCAGTCATAATTTGATTGGTTTGATTTATTAGTAAAATATATTATTAGATAAATTTGAAAATATTTCGGTACCAGTAGCATCACGTATTGACCGCCATATGGCGGTTTTATTTTAATAATTTTAATTTTATATTTTTTATGATTATTTTATTTTATTGTATTTTTTTAATTATATTTTAAATAAATGGAATATTATTAAGTAAAATAGATTATATTGGATATTTTAATAATAATAAATAAGGGGAAATAATGCTAAAAAGAATTACAAATAATGTTTTATTAGATAATAATGATACAGATATAAATAATAAGAGAATTATTACATTATCTTCAATATCTAATAAGAATACAAATAATTCTAATATAAAATCAAATAAATCAAATACATCACATATTCCTGACAATTTAAAATCAATAGTTTCAACATCTATGCAAGATAATACATTGCAACGAATATTTCCTCAAGAACTTGATCGTAATATATTTAATGAAGATATACCATTAATAATGTTCTGTGGATTAAGTAATAGTGGTAAGACTTCAATCATTAATGTAGTGTATAATAATGTTCCTCCTCATGAAAGTTCATTATTTGCACCTACTCAGCATGGTAATATAATCCGAACAAATTCAAATTCAAAATTATTTACTTCTATTGGTATAATAGATTTACCAGGACAAGGATCAATTCAAGACATATTAATAAATGAAGTTATTCTTTCTAAAATATCATCTATTGTTTATGTTATAGATGCACAAAATGAACCATATACAAATGAAATATCACGTGCAAAGAATTTATTTAAACGTGCTATTAAAGCAAATTCAAATATAAAGATTGATATATTTTTACATAAAATTGATACTGAAATATTTGCAGTAGATGATTTTAAACTTGAATATCAAAGAGATATATATGAAAAGATATCAACTTTTATATCTGAAGATGGTTTTGAGATAGATATTAGATTCCACTTTACCTCTATATATGATTATTCTATATTAGAGGCTATAAGTAAAGTTACTCAAAAGATATTTCCTTATTCACAGATTTTAGAAAGATTATTGGATTTACTAGTTGTTTCTTGTAGATTCGAGAAGGTATTATTAATGGATATATATTCAAGAACATTTTTAGTTAGTGATTCATCATTATTTGATCCTTTAGGATTTGAATTATGTGCAGATATTTTAAATGTGATTACAGAGATTAATGATATATATAATGGGAATAATAATTTATCTAGGAATATTTCTGAATTATCTTGTTCAATACAACTTAATACAGGGCATACTTTATATATAAGGAGTATTGATAATAACTTTGTTATAGCTTGTATTGTAAGGAATGAGAATTTTGATAAACCATATTTAGTTAATCTAAATGTAGATATATTTAGAAAAGTATTAATTATGAATCTTATATAAAATAACCTAGAAATATATTAATTAGATATATATTGGATATTGACCGCTAGTTAGGTTCGTGTTGTCGCCTAATTTCATTTAAATAGCTTGAATGATCTGAATTATTAATATTAATAAACTAATATAATATGAAATATGAGAAATATATGTGATGAATCTATAAAGAGTTGTAAATCATGTGAAGTATATCTTGCGAAGATAAATGCTTTAGAAAAGGAGATTGAGATACTTATAAATAATATGACCTGTCTATATAAAACAGCACAAGATGAAATAAGAAGAAAAGATAGGAAAATTGATCATCTTAATAAACTAATCTTTCGGACAGAAAAGGAGATTTCCTAATTTGACTTGACATTTAAGCATTAATATCTATATTTAATAAATTAATTTTATTGATTTTATATATATATTTTCTTTTTTTTTTTATATTATTATTATTGTTATTTTATTTTATCTACTCTCTTTATTAATATTAGTATCCTACGTATTTAATCAAACCAATGATAACCACAAAAACTAATAATAATATTAATAATATCAATTGGAATAATTCTTTGAGAAAATTTATAAATATTGTTGTTAGATATAATTTGATAATAATTATTATAATCTTGATTATATAATAATATATTAGTAACTTTTCTAAATGATTGAGGGTAAAAATAATCAAGTTCTTTAGTCCATGTAGATAATTTTAATGATATAATATCCATACAATCACCATTATTATAAGAATCTTTAATTCCACCAATAAGAAATAATTGATCTTTCATATATACACAACCAGTAAATATTAATGATGGTCTATTATGAATAATTAAATCATGATTATTTCTATTATTGGTTATAAAATCTACTTTATCACAATCTTCATAATAAAAATCAATTTTGTGATCTTGTTTATGATCATATATAATCATATTATTAATATTATACCAGATATTTGTCTTAGTATCAAATATATAAACACCCTTATATATATCCCATATTGAATTTTCCTTTTCTAATAAACCATCAATAACATATATAAAGTCATACCATTTCATTAGTATACTACATGATAACCCAGGTGGTGGACTTCCACTAAATATTTCAATAATTTCCCATGATTTACATGTACATTGATAATTATTTTCATTAGAATAATTATTAATTGTATCATTCATAACAGTAAATGGGCTTGTTTTACAACAATTTGTACAAACATCTAGAACATCTATTTTTTTAGATTGTGTCAAAATATCATTTAGTTTCGTAACATTAAATATTAATATTTTATTAGTAAATCCACCAGTTGTACAACCACCGAAATAATAAATCTTTTCATTATTTTCATTATCACTCATTATTATTGATGAGTGACCACAACGAGGTGTTATATTTAATGGTACTCTTATACGACGACTTTTAACAACTTTATTATATTTGTTATTATTAATAAAACTATTATTAACTTCTTCTTTTGGGTAATTCCTTAAATTATGTATTAATGAAATATCATTGTCACAATTACTTGGAATGTTACCTTGGTTATCAATATAATTATTAACTTTTTTATATAATATATTATTCATATTATTACTAAAACCTTGTTTAATTATATTATTATTATTATTATTATTATTACTACAATTTTTTAATATTGATTTTCGAATTAAATTTGATGATAATATATATTGATCTTTATTTCCATTACTTTCAGTATTATTGTTATTTGCATTTATATTATTGACTTTATTATTTTCACTCTTTAATTTATGATAACCATCCCCAGTACTTAATATAGATGACTTAAGTTTAGGTAGTTTTATTAATTTATTATTAATACCGTTACTATTTCTTGAACTAGTATATGAATATTTTTCATTTGAATTTAATAAATTTGTAATATCTAATTCATACATTATATTAGTACACCATAAATTTCCAATAAGTAATATATTATCGTAATCTATATTATATTGAGATATTCTACTATTATAAATACTCTGATAATTACTATGATTACTATGATTATTTATAAAGTTATCATCTAATTCACTATTTATATTATTATAGCTTTCATTAGTTATATCAACTGTATTATTCCACATTAAAAACCCACCAAACATATATATACGGTTATATTTCTTTATTAAATTAAAACTTGTATTTGCAACTCTTGGTAAATAGTCACCATCAACATGTACACGTTCAGATATTAAAATCTTCTTATTTAATGAATATGACAGTGATAACCTTAATATATATAAATCACTATATATATCACTACCATTACTACCACCATATAAGATAATACAATTATCATATAACTTCTCAACTGATGCATCATAACGACTTGGGGGTATATCACCAATAATAGAAAGTTTTTTCCATTCTTTTTCTTTGATACTATAAATAAAACAATCCGAACAATTTACATTATATTTTGAATTAAATCCAAATAATAATAACAATTCTTCTTCATTAATTAATACACAGCTGTGTGAACGTCTATAACATGGAACATTCATATTATTAATATCTTCATTGTTCTCACTATATGAGTTACTATCATAATTCCTATTTCCAGTACTTTCTATTGACCACTTTAATATTGGATATGATATGTTGCTATTATTATTATTATCGTTATATCCCATATTACTTTCAGCCACTTTAAAGTAAGATAACTTCATAAACAATATAATTGTAATATATATTATCCATGCATATATGTTAGTTTAAATTATTTCCTATTTATTTAAAAAACCTTGTATATAACTATCATCTCAAAATAAGATTCCCTATTTTTAAAATAAATAGTAAATTTTATTTTATTAAATCTTCAATTCTTAATAAAAAAAAGGTTTTGTATTAATTCTTATTTCTCAATATTTAAATAGTATCCAATAATAAAGACAATAATTTTGGGGAATTATTGCGCCACATATAGTTAGGAATGATAATATTGTATCTTTTTATTTTAATAATTAAGGAATATAATAATTGAAAATAAGTTATTATGCCACTTTTATCTTTTTTTATTTTTATAATGGTGTAGAATTTGCTTAATATTTACTTTTACTTTTTAAGATGATATGAACAACTTTCTCTCTTTAAAACTTATTAATTATCCTTCTCCTCCCCTACCACACCACCCCTCTCTCTCTCTATTTCTAAATAACCTCAGGGTTGCACCGCGGAGTGGGTGCGCTGTAAATCACATAAGAGGGGTACAATAGCATTTGCGTTATATATTGCCACTAAAGAAGGCTCTGCTGGGAATCGAACCCAGATCACAGGAATCAGAATCCTGGGTGATAACCATTACACTACAGAGCCTAACGGAACACACTAGATATTTTTTGGTATATATAATGGAGGTCTCTGATTATGTGGAATGTCGAAATATTTGTAGTTTCTATATGGATCCTGCCATCTTCTATCTTTATTAATATCAATAGTCCCTTGATTCTTAACTTCAATTGGAAGCATATAATTACTTGCTATTCTAGTTTCATAGTGTGGTAATACTAATGATTCAGGGGTATTTCTAATAATTTTATCATAATAATTCTGTTCATTAATATTATTATGATTATTATGAATATTATTATGATTACTATTATAATTATTGTCATTATTATTACTATGATTATGATTATCACTATGATTATTGTTATTATTATTAGTTGACATAAATTGCGACTTTCCATATGTATTTTCAAGTTTATCGTTTTTAATTTTATTACTAATATTACTATAAGCTTGTAATCCATATATATATTTGCATTTGCTATTTGTTTCTTGAAATAAGTGTTCTTGTCTTTTGTTCCTAGTTTCTGGATATAATAACTCAATCATATATTTTTTATGGAATTTAGAAAGTAATAATCTAATTAAATTTAACAATGTTTCGATATCTTTTGTATCTGCTCTACCAGTTGATATTCTATGAATAATAGATGTACACCATTCATATGCACCATTTGTCTTTTTTTGTATAATTGCCTCATATATATTATTACATATATCTACTATTGATTCCCTAGATTCTGCTGTAAGAATTTCCCAAAAAAGTGATTTTTCTTGTGATTTATGTCCCATTTGTCTTGGACTCATTGTCACACTTGCACCAATATGAAGATTATTTATTATATTATTATCAACTTGACTACCATAATTATTAATATATTCTACTTGATCAATATCATCATCTTGTCCTGTATTTAAATTATCAACAATATTATATTTATTTATATATTCACTTACTTTATTTCTTAATTTTCTTTTATTATAATCTTCTAGTTTATTATTTTTAATATTTTCATTTTGATTATTATTTATTTGATACCCACTTAAATTATTTTTATTTCCAGTAATTTTTCCTATTGTAAGATCTTTAACAAATTGAGATGCACTTGAAGATATAGCTATAGTACGAATAGAAGATAAAATGTCAATATAATCACTTTGATTCATTGAAAACAATGCAATAACTAATTCATGTTTTAATACCCATAATATACGATTATACCATATCTGATTTTCACTTTCTTTATCATTACTAACATTTATTATATTTCCTGTACCTCTAATATTTGTTAATAATCTTTGTAATAATGTTTTACATAATATTAATGCTTCTTCACGAGATTTTGCTGAAGCTTGATCAAATATTGATTTTTCCATAACTAAAATATCATCATAAGTTACTTTTTTAGGGAAATTTCTCCAATATGGTCTAATATAACTAATTCCTTGATAATTTGATTCATCATCATCACCATCATCATTACTCATTTTTTTATTTTCATTAATATTGAAATTATAACTATTGTGAATTTTATTTTTTTCACTATTTTTATTATTATCTATGTTATTTTGTATATAAAAATTATTATTTTCCAATATATCACAATCTCCCATATTAGATAATTCTCCTTTATTTGTTTGTATATTAGTTTGTCTCGTTATACGGAATAAACCATCCACCATTTGATTTTGAAATTTTTCATCATTCTCAATTTGTCTACCCTGAAGGTTTAAAGGAGGAAACATAAGATCACGGCAACCTGTAATAATTCTACATCTTGTTGATAACATTAACAACTTTATAGTAAATTTATGAGTAGGACCAATATAATAATCTAGTTTTGGAATACAACTTAGTAAAATTTTGGCTGCATCATCATATTTACCAGAACGAATTGTTGCTTCACCAATAATATAACGGCAAATAGATTCTGAGTATATTTGTTTAGAATTACTTTTTATAATTGATCTAAGCATTCTTTCACCAATTACTATTGATCTTGCATAATATCCTGAATTTAAAGAACACAATGCCATAAATTTTAAATTTATAATGGTAATCCAATGTGTTGATTCACATAAATTCATTCCATTTAATATAACATCTAATAATCTTTGTATTTTAGAAGAACTTTCATAACATTTAGTATAATTTTTATTTATATAATATACCATTGAAAAGCAGAGTTGTAATTGTATTAAAATTAGACAATATTTACTTTCACCATATACTGGAAATGTTAATTTATGTAAATAATTCATATCAACATCTGCTTCCTCTAATTTATTTAATCTTAGATAGCATTGAATTCTTAATATTAAAACTAAAATTTGTGTTCTAGGAATTTCTGGTGCATGTGTTTGAATTAAATCACATATTGTTAAGCATTTTTGAATATTATTATGTTGTAATGTTAAATATCCAATAAAAAGGACAGAATAAATAATTCCTTCAATATTTTCCCCTGCTAATATTTTAGTAATTGATATATAATATATTGATGCAAATGCTTCATTATACCATATACATTTATTAAAACAATTATATGATTCATCTATTTTATTATCTTCAAAATTTAAAAATGTTGAATATTTACATTTTGGATTACATGGTGTACCATAACCATTTAAACTTGCTCTCATTGGTGCAATATTACCCATTGTTGTTATATTTGCATATATAGGATTAAATAAAGTAATCGATGATGTAAAGATCCTTTTTATATTATCTATTTTATTACTTTTTTCTTCCTCAATACTTTCATTTATTCTGTTATTCCCTAATAGGGCACTATTCCATGGTAAAATTTGTAATTTCCATAAATATTGACATAGTATACTTTTGCATATATTAATACTTGTTAAAGTTTTTGGAATTATTATTTTAGATCTTGGATAATAACCACGAATAACTCTTGTTTCATTCCATGCCCATACATCTGTAATATTTGATATATTGTTCTGATTAGATTCAGTTATTTTTGATGGACTTTGATTATTCACTTCTTTATAATCTAAATACTTTAATAGTGGTGACACTTTTTGTCTAATTTCATTATTTACTTTTGAATCTGTTTTATTTGAAATATATTCTCCAAATGACTTATCTACTGTTTTAAACCTCAATTTTTGAGTATGGGCCAAAGTATATTTTAGATATTTTACTTGAGGAAAAAGGATATTCATATTTATATTAATTTCACTAAAATCACATAAATCGTCAATTTTTAAAGGTAAAATCAATACTCCTTCTTTTGAAATAACTGAAGAGCGAAATTGTACACCTAAATGATATTGAATTGAATGAAATAATGGAGGTAATAATACACTAGATTTTTGAATTTTTGATGACTTATTTAAATTAAACCTTTTATTTGCTGATGGTATAATTTTTGTATTCCAATATATTGTAGATTGATCTGTATTACATAGAATCTTATTTAAATAATCTACTATAGTAATTTGAATAGTTTCTTCATTTACTAAATTTTGATTTTTAAAATATCGATGTACTTCTTCTTCCCATAATCTCTTAATTGTCCTTGCAAATATTTCCCTAATTGCACTACTACGTAATGGTTCTATTACATTATCTTGAACTAATTGCCCTAAACCATAATGTAAATTAATACCAAAATTATGTAAAACTTCAGTTATTTCCCAAGGATCATAAAAATTAGTATATAATTCATTTATTGTTGGCAACAGATTAGACATAAATTTTAGTCTCATTGATTGGCTTGCAGCACAAAGTAATTGATGACGAGATTCCATACTAAAATTTTTAGATGACATATTAAGCTTAGATACACATGACTTATTATTAACTTTATCCATATAATAGCTACTTTTAATATCACCTGTAGCTGTATTAAAAAAAAGTGGTATTGATTGTGTTGAGGGTAATAATGATTCCTTATAGGTAATAAGAAATTCATGCCTTAAACGGGAAAATAGATTAATTTCCTTATTTTCATCTATATATACTGGAAACATTTCTCCACAATTTCTTATAATAAAAAGACCATCTGATCTATGTTGCCAAATATGTGGTTTATATTTGATTCCATATAAAGATGTCAAATCTGATGTTTCCATAGGAAATGGCCAACCTTGTATATTTAATTGTTTCGATATAAAAGTCATTTGACTTGCTAATTCATTATTATAATTCCAAATTCCATCAAAAATAGTATTTTTTATATTTGAATTATTTGTTAATTTGGGTATATCATTATTATTATTAGATAAATTTAATTTATTAAATTCACTATCAGCATCAAAAATTGAATCATATAAATTTCTATTTTTACAAAATTTTATAATATCTTTTATAATATTTTTTGGTTTAGGATTAAATGGAATTAATGGTTCACAAAATACAGAGTAACCCATATATTTTATTAAGCAACAAGCTGGAAAAGAAAATAATGATTTACTTCCTATTTGTATAAGAACTTCACATAGTGCTTTTTTTGCTCTAAATTCATTATTATAAATTCTTTTGGCCATTTCCTTTGTAATACCATAACTTTTACTACCAAATATAATTGTGTATACAATACTATCAAATATAAACACACGATCATCACTAAATACTGGTTTATATATACTCCATAAATTTGCATCTGAATTCTTATTAATCTCATAAAAACACTTTGAAATTCCATAATTAAAAGAAGGATGACAATGTAATAAGGCTACTACTCCGCTTCTACAAGCAGTATAAAATAATCCTAACTCATGAATAAGTCTTAGATCACAGTCAATAAATTTATTATCAGATATATCAGATACAATATCAGATTTTTTTTCTCTATCCCAAACATGTTTTGATGTCCAATTTATGCGATGATACCAATTATTACTTAAACAAGATCTACTTGGAGGTCCTGGACAAATGATCGATTTTAATGGATGATCATCATCCACATCCCAACTAATAGCAGGTTCCTCCAGTTGATTTGGACCCCTTGGAAGTTCTAAAAAACATTGTGATACTATCTTTACATCACTCTCTCTTGATTTCTTAAGTAATAGTCTTTGTTTCCCAATAAATTTAGATATAGAACGTAATAAATTCAAATTTCTACATGTAATTTCTTTTTCATATGTTTCACAGTTTGTTTTTTCCAAATTTTCTTCAAACCAGAGATCAGGATTTAGTTTAAGAGTCCTTTTCTTTTCTTTGACTTCTTCCTGAGATGTCAATAGGTAAGTTTGTTGTTCAGGTTTCTCAAATACATCAAATTCACTGTTATCTGATGGTAGACTAACTAGAGGTAAATTAATCATCTTATTTTCATCTCAAATACAAAAACAAAACAAAAATAAATAAGCAATTCATGTTTATTAAAATAAAAGGTTTTAACATGTCAGCCACATGCAATATAAATGGCGCCAAATTAATGCATGTATTATAGGTTATTGGAAAGCTTTTTTTATTCTAATTAGTAAATAAAAAAGTAATTATTATTATTAATCTGTTATTATTTTAGACAAACAAATATACAAATTAAATACAGAATTTTTTATTATAAAGAACAAAGTGTTTATGAATAATAATTACTACATGCTAATTCTATTTTTCAATCTTATACTAAATTAGACTTAAAATATTAATGTAATTTTTTAGTTATTTGATCTAATTTCCACTAACAAAAACAAATAAAGTTACCTATAAATTTCTCTAACTGATATATACACATAATAGATATGGTAATACAATAAATGTAATTGAAATACAGGGTTAATATTATTCTAAAGAAAATATATATGATTTATTTATTAAAATATATTAATGGTAACTACTTTATATTTATATTGTAGTTAGAAATATTTATTAATGATATATTTTATCTTAGTAATAATACCTTTATAATAAATATATATTAGGTAAGATTATTATTGATATCCAAATATAAAATATTATTAGAAAATATCTTGATTTATTTTATTTCAATATAATATACTTTCATATAAATTCTAATACTATGTTTCATATATTGAGTCTTAATAAATAAGATTTGGAAAATATCATTGGTACTACAATATTAGAATATATAAGTACAATCACTCTAAAATTTACAGTAGAAAATTATAATAATGCATAATATATATACTAAAATTTGATAATATATAAAGTGATATATTTTTAAGATTGTAAAATTAAAGGTATTATTGGTAATACTTAGGAATATATTTAACTATTAGTATTAAGAGTCTATATATATAAATATTAAAGAACAAAAGCCTAAATTTTAGTACTTCATAAACTTTACTAATTAATTCATTAGTTAATAAATTTGAGTATATATAATTACAGAGTACTTATTGTTATAAAGTGAACTGCATCTCATTTCATTAAAGTTGCACCCCACATATATTGGCGGGTTGTCTTGAATAGTATACCTTTGTGCATGCAAAATACAAAATAAGAAATTAGAACTAATTAAAAATACCTATAGTTAATTGGCTATATAGCTAATTAAAACAATGGTTGGGAATATTAGGAGAACTGTAAAGTGTATATATGATGGATCCGATTTAAATGAAGATATTTTAGCAATGCAACTCACACCATATAGTGAAGAAGAATTTTTATTTTACAAGGACAAGTTAGACAAAGCTATAAATGATCTAGTAGATTTAATTGACAAACAAATAGATAATTCTGGGAAATTAGGATTTAAAGAATCCTTGAATAGTATGAAATTATTAAATAGCTCCTTATCACAAGAAAGTCAGGCTTCCAACTCTTCTACAAATATTTACAATAGATATTATAAGGTACATACAGGATTAATGAAATTGGATATATTAAAGAATGAAATAATAAGGTGTTTTGTAAAATGGAAGAATGATTATTATTATACTCAGTGGGATGAACTTAAAAATCCTCCTCAAGAGCTATTGTCATTATGGTTGGAATTCAAGAATATTATTTCAGAATTAGTAGATAGCTGTGATAAAATAAGTAAACAACCTCAACCAAGATTATCAATAGCTCCTAGTCAAGGTAAATGTATTGATAGTTTAGATGATTCTGATAATAACATAGAAAAAATGAAGCAGATAGATTTAGGGAGTAGTGGGACAATTACACAAATTACAAGTAGCAAAAAAGAAGAATATGAGAACAAAAGTGAAAATAGTAAGTTAAATGAGCTAAATAATAAGGAAGATGTTTCGAAATTAGGAGAAGCTAATAAAAATAACAGGAGAGTCAAGGTAGTATTGAATGGTTCAACAAGTTTATGGGGTCCAAAAGAGGTACCCAAGAATCAAAAACATTATATTAGTGGAATGGCTAAAATGAAGTCAGTTAAAAAAAGATTATATAGTAGTAATGGTCGTTTAAAAATATTGCAAAATAGGAACATTTCAGATAAAATAAGAGGTGTAGATAATTGTAATGTGAATGAAATAACATCTCTTGATACAAACAACACTGAAATTGTGAGAAATTTAAGAAATTGGGAGAGAATTGAGGAAAAGAAGATTGAAAATAAAAGAAAAGTATTTTTATATGATGATATAGCAAGTAAGAATTTAATTAAACATGAAAAGGATTTTAAAAAGGATGTAAATTGGATTACTTTTTCTAGTAACTTCTCTAAGGGATGCAGGGAACTTGCAAATGTAAATAGAGACGAAGAAATTAAGATTGTAATTAATGAACAATTAATGAATCAAATACTAAGTAATATTGAATCAACTAATAGTAAAGTACAGCAACCCTCTCATGAATACAATAATATGAAAGATTTTTGTTTATTAGATAATTCAGATATTGATAAACTGGAATTAATTAAAAGTCAATTTAGTGATTCATTGAAACAGCATTTTGGATACGAGGAATTTAGAGAGGGTCAATTAGAAACTATAATGTCTATATTATGTCCAAATATATTAAATATTAGTCAGAATAGAAATAAAGCTTTAAATTGTAGAAGCATTCTTATATTACCTACCGGGTATGGAAAGAGTTTATGCTATCAATATTTATCCTTACATTTAAGTTATTGGTACTCAGAAATAACACTAGTAATTACACCATTAATATCGTTGATGCATGATCAATTAAAAAATTTGCCCAATTGTCTTAGAGGTGCAATATGGAATTCCAATGTCCATATTGATGATAAGAAAATGATTACAAAATTAATCAAATTAAGAAAGTTGGATATATTATTTATTACACCGGAAAGTTTACATTCTAAATTGCTTGTTGATTCACTGATTATAGGAGATTGTAATAATGATAAGAGTAATAATTCAATAGGTATGGTATGTATTGATGAGGCCCATTGCATAAGTGAATGGGGTCATTCATTTAGACCTAGTTATATTTCATCTATGAAGATAGTAATAAATGAGCTTAAAATAAAGAAAATATTAGCAATAACAGCTACAGCTCCAAAAAACATTCTTTCTGAACTAAAAAATTTACTAAATATTTCTGAAGTTATACAACCTCATAAAAATAATTCTATCCAAAGAAAAAATCTTTTATGTAAATTCATATATTTAGATTTATTAAAAGCTAGAAAACCTCTAGTAATAGATAATAACAAGGTACCTAAGCAGTATAATAAATATTCAATACTTTGGGATTATCTGAAATATACAATTAATCAACCTTTTGAGAACAATAAATTAGCAAAAATATATAGTAAAGAACAAAAGAAAAATTCTAAAAGTGAAGTTTGGTCAAAATATAAAAATATTCTAATATATGTATGGCAAAAGAATAATTTAGAGACTATTACAAATTATATGAAAAATAAGGGTTTAAATGTTTTATATTATCATGGTTCTCTGAGTAATAATGAACGTGAGATAGTACAGAACTCGTTTATGGAAAATAAGGTTAATATATTTGTTGCCACTACATCATTTGGAATGGGTATAGATAAAAAAGATATCGATGCAGTTGTACATTGGGATATGCCGAACTCTTTGGAGCAATACATTCAAGAAACTGGTCGTTGTGCTAGAGACAATAATAGGACTGGGACTTGTTTACTCTTTTTGTGTGATGATGATTATAAATCTAAACGTCAAATAATTAGCTCTAATTTGATTGATAAGGTCTCTTTAAGAAGTTTGGTGCATATAATACTAGGAGATGAATATTTTAATGAGACATATAATGATGATATTATAGAATTAAATAATAATAATCCAGTTAATAAAGGTTTTCAATACAAAGTTTACCCTTTGCAATTATTCAGAAATATTGCTAATATTAGGAATAATGAAGATATTGAGATGATTATGTATTATATAAAAATGAAGATGGATAATTGGCTACAAAAAACTAAAAATATATATAAAGACTTAAATATAGTGAATTTGAACTATTATATTCGTGGTAGTATAAATTTAAAGTTACGTTGCTTTAATGAATCATTTCAAGAATTAAAAAAAAAGAATGATTTTCTAAATAAAATAAGTTGTGACTGTACTGAAATATCCGGAGTAATAACTTTAAATATACTCGAGGTTTCTCAAAATACAGGACTATCAATAGAATATATTGAAAATGAAATTGAATCATTACGCACAACACTTCAAATTTCAATGGAAAAGCCTACTGACAAACCATGTGTAGTTTTATGCATTTCATATAATGAAATAAATGGTACTACATCTGATAATATGGATGATGGAGGGACAAAGCAAAACATCAAGGTTGATGATCAGGATAGAGCTTCAACAGAATTAGAACAAAGAACTGAAATACATAGAAATGAAATGAGGGATTTAGAATTAGATAATAAATATATAAAACCTGGATATTTATTAAAAATAGATCAACTATCTATAGATTACATTGTTGAACAAATATTTAGTGAAATTAAGGAAAAAAAACTGAATGAAATAAGAAAACTTGATATTGCATACCTAACATTTCAAAAGTCCTGTGAGAATAATTCTTTACTTGACGATATTTTGGATTTGTACTTTAATGATGATAAAATAGGCTTTTATAAAGTATTATTTGGGGAAAATAAGAAGAAAGTAGATAAGTATAACAACAAAACTTTTAACTCTATAAATACTTTAGATAATAGTTTCATCACTCAAAATATAACACGAAATACTGACTTTACAAATGATGAATGGCAAAGTTTACTAAATGACATGTGGTTGTATAAATGGAATGAAGAAATGAAAGACATAGTTTTAAAAGATGGAACTGACTTTGTAAATAAAATCTTTAAAGATGCTAAAGAAAAAACCTATGCATCTATTAAATCAACAGTAAATTTCACTTTAGATACTTATTTGAAAGATTTTATTCCTATTCAATGGGAGACATATAGGCAAACAGTGAATTTGATAGAAGATGTTATAGAACAAAGTACAAAAAATTCTGTAAATAAAGATTGTGAAGCAATAAAAAAAGGGAAGTTACTTAATAAGGTACCTTTTACTAAATTGTACAATTCAGGTTCAATCATTGATCAAGTAAATTTTGTCTTTCCAAGTGACTTGGCAAGAATTTTTGTTGGAGTTTCCACATACAAGTTTGGATACACAAATAATTCAAACTATCAAGGGAATTCAATGGCTATTCGTAGAAAAAGAGTGATAAATAGACTAAGTGATATTACCAATACAAAAATTTGGGGAATCTATAAGCATATTCCATACAATGAAGTTCTGGAAATATGTACAGATACATTTAGAGAAAGAACTGTGAACAAATTAATATCAAATTAAATGATTGTATAAAGTGAAAATTCCAAGTTTAAAGGTGTAACTTTTTAAAAAAAAAATATTAAATTTAATTTGTCATAGATAAAGTTTGCAATACCTCAGTTACTTCTTCAACAGAGTGAACATAATAATGAGCAACAGATGGATGTTTGCCAACTACTACAGTAAAAATCGAAGATATAGAATTAAGGTCTTCGTCACATGAAGATAATAAATCATCACATATATTTATATTTGGAAGCAATGTTGAAACTTGGTAGTTAGAGTTTGTGCAGGAATGAAGAGGGTGATTACTATTAGATACATAATTTCCAGCATTATTTGTACTGTATAACTGATTAATAGTGAAAAACATATCTTCATCAGATCTATCATCACCTATACATAAAATGAAGTCAACAAATTTATCGTTATAAATATTCTCGATTTTTTTTAATATTAGTTGTACAGCCATACCCTTGTTTATTCCACTAAGTCTAACCTCAACATAATCACTACCAGAAATCACATCTACTGGGTAATTAAACATCAATTCAGTTAAGTAATTAGATAATTCTTTAGCTTGCCAAGATCCAAAATCTAAGTCGCAATATTTATATTGAAAAACCAAAGCAGTACCTTTATTCTCAATATAAGCTCCCTGTGTACGTAAAACATATTGTTCCATTAACTCGTAAGCAATATTTTTCCATTCCATAATATTATCAAGAGATTTAAGTGATGAAGATAGAAAAGTAGGATTAGAATTATAACTTGAAACATCAGTTAAAGTTTTAATATCTCTAAGTATATCGGAGGACACATTAGGAGAATTTGAAGGTGTTTTATTTGCATCTTGTATTGTAAGGTTAAAATCAGATTTAGATTGAGCACCACTATTCAATCCATTATTTGAGTGCATTCTATTAATAAATAGAGGAGATCTACCAATCTTTCCGTTTACATTAACTGTACTTGAGCAAATTGAAGTAGATATATCGAGTTGTTTCCAAACATTTGGCTCTTCAGTTTCAATAATTGGTGGTAATTTGAAGTAGTATCCATGTTCAGCACATAAACCCAAATTTTCAATATCACCAAACCATTCATCTAGCATATTACGTTCTCTTCCAGAAATGATTATTACAATGTTATTTGGAGAGCTGCACAGTCTACGCAGTGATTCTTTAATATATTCGGGTGGATTGCAAGAAATATCATTAGAATATAAATCTCCTAATTCATTTTTATAAGCTTCAAGCTCTTCTATGCAACTCTCTTTATATTGACTAACTAAATTGTTAGCCATTTTCAGTTTATTTTCAGCTAAATTCATTGATTTGGAGATTTCATGATATTCACTTCGAGTACTAATATTTTCAAGTGCATCATTTCTTTTGGGAATACACTTTGGTTCGAAATTACATTTGTTTATAATATTTAAAAGATCATCGTCACTTTTTTCACTATCCAAATTCATATTTGATTTATAAAATTTTTTATAACTCGATTGCAAGCTATAATGTCTATTAATTCCTTGCCTCTCTCCAAGTATAGAACGATAATCTTGTGTTAAAGTCCCTTCATTATCAAGTAAAAAAAGACGTAAACCACTTTTATTTGAGTTTTTATTTGAATCTATTCCAATAAGTGGTCTCTTATATTTATGAATTAATAAATTTAGATTTAAATGACGAAAGTTCATGTCCATACTTATTCCTCTTAGTGATGGACCCAAACCACAGGTTGTGTAATACAGCATTTCCTTTTTTTTTTTTTTAGTATACATTCCTAAATCCATTATAAACTCTTTTGCCCATGTCACAGTACTATGAGAAAGTAAGTAGGCTCTATCCATTTTCCAGTGATACTTCTCTTGTTGAGAAGAACAACGATTTAATGAGACAGCCTTATCTAGTGTCTCCATAACATTCATCACATTCCAAGGATTGATTCTATATGGACTTGATAATGTTTTAGAACATCCCGTAAACTCTGATATAATTAATGATGGTATTGTATGATACCCACTTTGTTCATTATAAAAAGGCTTTTTTTGAGTCTTATCCAATATTTTCTTTGTATCTCTTAAATCTTCATTATCACTTGTATCGTAGTGTTCAGAAGAGCTTGATGAAGATGGGAATGGAGAAATGGAATTTGATACTGATGAAAGTTTAAAAGATGGATCCTTACATGCAATATATTCAAAAGGATTGACATTTAAACCATCTCTTACACTTGTATCAAATAAACAGTCAGCTGCTAGAAATAATGCATATTTTTCTTCATGTGAAATTGAGCCAAATTTCAGCTCTATGACTAATCTTGATGAACATATTGAAGCTTTTTCACATTGAAATTTAGTAGAGCTACTTTCTGAAAGTTGATATAGAGATTCTCGAGATAAATATGGACTAGATATTTGGGTATTTTCTGGAAAACTTGGTGAATGTTTAGAATTTATTTCATTTACTAAAGTAAAAAGCTCTTGAATAAGTTTTTCACGTTTCTCAGCAGTTAAAGTTGAAGTAGGAAATATATATTGAATCAGAACAACTGGTTGTTTATGTTTCAAATATGGGTAATTTTGAAGAAAGTTATCAAATGCTTTGAGTTTTAGATGTAAACCACTTAATTGATCTAGTCTATCAATAGACCCAAATATATAATGACCATGATATTTCTCACGTATTGTTAATGCTTGTTTTCTAATTTCGATATTTGAGTAGATCATTTGTAGAATATCATCACATTGAATATGAACATGGCCTATTCTAACCAGAGTTTCCTGTTTGCTTGAGAGAGATTCATTTCCTAAACTTTGAATAACTCCACTTGAACAGTTGTTATCAATTCCAATTAAACCCCCAGGCTTAAAATAATGGTCAATTCCTAAAAGTCTCTTACATGAAGATAAAAATTGCTTGGCATAAGGAAAAAAGTGAAATCCTATTAGATCAGCCCACAACATACTTCGAAGTAACTCCTCTCTAACTGGTAAGCAGCGGAATATTTCATAAGACGGAAAGGGAATATGTAGAAATAATCCAATATTAATTCCTTTGACCTTTCTAGCTAAATATTGACTAAGTAAAAGTAAATGGTAGTCATTTACCCAAACCATATCCATATGGTCTGGTGAAACAATAGGAGTAATAATAGAAGACCATAACATATTAATCTGATGATACACTCGCCACTGGTCGTGATCAAATGGTGTCATATATAATTCTTCTGTATTCAACACATTATGAAATAAGGACCATAAATACATGTGACAAAATTCGTTAAAGATCTCAAATTCTTGGATTGGAGGGAAAACAGGAATGCAATCAATTGTTTCTAGTAATACTGTAATTTCTTGTTTCTCCTCTTCATTTGTTGGATGTATCCCCGGCCATCCTATAAATCTCACTGAAGATGCCAATTCACGACGATGTCTATGTAATGTTCTCATTAAGGATAGCTGAGATGTTTCCAAAGCAAATCTTGGTTCAGTTTCAGTTGGAGATTCTTCTAAACGTACCACTTTTACTGGGAGTTCTAGAGCTGCAATAATTAATGTGTACTGGGATGTTTCACATGATTTAAGCCATTCATTCTGTTGTGTTATCAACTGACTTAAAATACCATTGCTATTACGATTCACTTTATATTTGCTATTATTTGAATTGACCATACTTTCTTATTATATTATTGTATATAGTGTGAGATCCGCTAATAGATATCACTGCAAACTTATTCTGTGATTAGTTCATCTCAGCACGTTATAACAGATTTTTATATCTACCTTTCAGTATGAAACAAATACTTTATTTTCTTAGGAAATGATACAAAGGATATCACTCATACAGTTCGATACCTGGCGCCTAGAACTGGAGACAGGATATTGTTTACACACATGGCACACAAATATTTTTATTTGATTCATGTTCCATAAGAGATTAAGAGAGTATCACAAAATAGGCAGTATTCGACATGGCAATAATATAAAACAAGGTAATAATACTGATTTAGAACATGAAAGAGCTTCTGATTCCACTATCTCTAATAACTGGACCTATTCACCAATCTATAGTGCCTCAGTAGAGAAAATTGACACATCCTCATCTTATGTAAAAAGCCTACAAACTTTGAAATCATCTAAAGACTTATCTCTAGAGGATATTTTATCAGATTATATAGAGGTATATCCTAAAAAACTTAGGAATTCCCAAAATTCTTCACCATTTCGTAAATATATAGGTACTAAATCACCTATTAATAGCAATACAGAGCTACCTGAATTTCCTAAATCTCCAAATACATATAAAAATAAGAAATTAAGCTACAAATATTATGATACTTTGGGGATTTCTCAGGGATCAACAATTGAGCAAATAAAAAGAGCTTATAGAAACAAAGCTACAAAACTCCACCCAGATAAGAACCGTCATAATTTAAGTTATGGAGATAATACAGTTGCTACAACAGCATTTCAAGAATTGCAAGAAGCTTATGAGCTATTAAGTAATCAAACTAAAAAAGCTATTTATGATGAATATGGTGATGATGCTCTTAAATTTGGTCTATTTAATCATTTGAGAGATGTATTACCTTCAAAGGAAGAAATACAACTTGAGAATACTTTTTTTAATACTAATAATGTTCCTTGGAGTTTATATTGGATGGACATTATAGAATCTTTATTTATTAATCCACTTACACAAAGACAAGGTGCTGAGCTACATTCACTCAATGCTCTAGGTATATCCATGAACTTATATGAAGAATTATTAAAGGCAACCTTTAAATATATCAAAAAGTCAGAAGATATCCCAAGAAAATATTTCGAAAATCCCTTAATATTTCCACAAATTCCGGATCTTTATAAAAGAAAGTTTAAAATAGTTCCAAGCATTTTTTCCAGATTAAATGAAAACTTGGAATCAATACCTGTGGAACATTCAAACTTTAATTATATTCAAATATTTGGAAGACCAAATGACTTATTAATAAATTCAAATAAAAATATTGAATCAGAGTATGAAAGTATTTTTAATTTAAACAAACAAAATATTAAATCGATATTTGGGTTTATTTCAACTAACTCAGAAAGTGCTTGGAAGGAGCTTATTATAAGCTCAAAAAGACAATATAAAGTAAGCTCTACTATCTCGCAAACTAACTCATTAAAACGTCAACTGCAAAAAATTATTTCAAAATACAATTGGATCATAGTTTTGTTCGTCCCAGAATCTTTCTTACCCTTTTCAGATAGTGAATTCCTACTCCAGTTACAAAATGATACATTTAAAAGACAGAAAAACAGATTCCAAGATATTTCAAATAAAAGTGGCTTTACAAAGGAAATTGAAAGTCTAAATATAGATGAATTATTAGTATTCCCAGTTCCATTATATAAACCAAAAGTTAGTGACACAAATAACCAACCACAAATTATAATAAGGCCTTATTCATATCACATATATTCAATAATACAACAGATATTATTAATAAGTAATGATGAAACTCATTTTATTCCAATTGAAGTAGAGTCTACTGATTAATTGATTAATAGGAGTAGATAATACCATAATATCGATTATTAGATGCAAAATTAGATTCTATCCAACTCTTACCTAGTACAGTTAATATTAATAATTATTCATCTAGTATTGTTTTAAATAATGCTGTATTATTTGCTGTCTTTGTTTCTTTCCTGAATAATATCCATTACTAAATCCCTTAATATTTCAGCTAACATCAAGTTAATACCATTTGATCCAAATAAAAGTCTTCTAATACTTGTAATTTTAATCAGCATATTGTAAATTTCTATATCAGATTTATTATTTATAATATGTACAATTTCGTTTGCTAAATCTCTAGCAATATTCTTGGAGCTGTGAAATTTTGATATGTTTATTTCAATAACAAAATCTGGCCAATAAAATATCCTAGAATAAGGTAAAATATTATTCAAGCCATATTCAGTTAATAAAATAGGAATACATCCATATCTTATACTATCCCAAAATGAATTTAAAGAAATATCTTCATTGATACTAATCCTTATTGGATCTAAAACAAGACAAAAAATTGCATTTTTAAGTATAGAAGAAGGTATTAAATATTTGTTTATATCTGTGGAAATATCTGAATTAACTTTTTCAATTTTATTATACATTTCAGAATCTTGTATAATTATCCAATTACTCTTTTTGTTTATAGTTTTTAAAATGTTCATATTCCTTATTATATCAATTATTAGAGTTTCTTTAAGTGTTACTGAGTTTATAATATCCTTAATACCTAAGTTAAATAAAAATTTTTGTTTTATTATCAACTCATTATAAAGGTAGTCGAAATTCGCCAATAACTCAATAGATCTTTGTGTTGGGTCTGATAGATCTAAGTGGTCAACATCCAAAATTGATAAATAATTACTATGAGTTTCTATTTTTCCATCTGATCTTATTATATCAGGTGTACAATCAAATTTTTCCATTATAGGAGGTAATATATATGTTGATGTTTCATCGTTTAATGGACCTGATGGCTTAATTAATATCTCATTTTCTCTTAAATTAAGTAGATTTCTTGCAGAGTTTTCAAATATATTATTTTCAATCATTATATATAATATTAGTGGCATTTTTATTAAACCAAATTTAGTCTTTGAATTAGTGAAACTTTTACTAATACTTTTAATTTGGCTTCTCACTAGTTCTATCTGTTTTTGTAAATTATTCAAGCTGTCTCCTTTAAGTGAGGTAATAATAATATCAGAATCTTGAATATTTAAGTTAACATTTATTCTTATATCCAGTAATTTCTTAAAACATCTTAGATAATTATCTGTATCTATTATATATACAGTAACAGTAGAAAGTATGAAGGGGAGTAATTCATTATATAGTATATCTAAATCATCTTCTATATTTTCTGATATTTTATCCCTAAAATTATCTGATATTATTCTATTCAATAAATTTCTTATATTAACCAAATAATTGCTATTTCCTTCGACCTCTCTAGGTTTTATTGTCTCTTCATATAACTCCTGATCTGAATCTTGAAGTCTAACTGGTAACTTTGGACCTCTCTTAGTTGCAACAGGATTCCAACCTTGCAGTCGCTTATTTGAATCAGAGTTATCTTCCATTAATATACGTGGTTGGTTATTCCCTACATTTAAATCTTGGGGCATTTCTTCTGTTACTAATATTTCTTGCGATTTGTTTTGTACCCAATAAGAAACTGAATTTCGAAAGATGTGAACTAAGCTAAAGTAAACAACTAGAACTCCAATAGCTGTAAGAGTTATAATTAATATAATTCTTAAATTCTTATTTTTAGCTATCATTTTACCAAACTCAGCACATATATTGTGTGTGTACCGTGTGTACAGAGTGGCGTGGTATTAAGGCAAGTAAGGAGATAAATTGTAAAATAGTGGTTAAATATCACAATCTTGCAATATAATTATGAGTTATAAAATATATTCGTTATTTATACTTATTACATAAGGAGAAATCTTTAATTTAGTCCCAATTTTGAAATATTTGAAAAATAAATAGAACTAAAACTAAAACTAAAAATAAGAGGGTAGAAGCTAACTATTTTATTAAATTAGTAACTATAAATATTTGTAATACTTTGTCATTATTCATTTAAATTCAAATTCTTGCAATATAATATATTATAAGATTCAATAATACCCTTTGCAAACGTGTATAAGCGTCTCAATTTAAATTTTTGAATTGATTGTCGATAATCTTCATCTATTTTTGTAAGTTCATCATTTATACCATCTATATCTATAATATACTGTGACCACTGACTTATAGAACTTAAAAAATCCACTTGAGTGTTTTCTGTTAAATCACGTTCATGAATTAAATAGCATCCTGTACACTCTGAAATTGTTTGATAAAGTTCCTCCAGTTTATCAAGATCGCAATTTACAAGATCATCTGGAGAATTTGCATCCTTAATAATATTTTTGACTTGTTTTACTTGATCTAAAGTAACCATAGTAACAGACTTTGAATTTTTAACCTGTAGATTCTCCACATCTTTTATCACACTGCCTACCAGAGTAGAAGCCAACTTAATTATTGGGTGTTGCTTATATTGCAATTTAAAATTAGGATCTTGACTTGCTTCAAGAATATTTATTGCATAATCAGTACATTCATCTATTAAAGAATTTTCATTATCTTTACAAAAGTTAGGGTTCAAATTTTGAAAAATCTTTGCCAATAGATTTTGATTTATTTGCTCAAGCTTCTCTTGATACCTACTTTTTTCTAAATCTGCCAACAAATTTAGATGTCTTAAATACTTCATAGTAAGTTTATTATGAGCTTTAATTAACATGGATTTTCTATATTGAATTAACGATTCTATTATTATAGGTTTTAAATTTTCAAGAACTTCTAAGCACTCAAAATCCTTACTATACACTTGTATTTGGTCAAAAAGTGCATTTTTTTCCCAGTTTATAATATCATCAATTTTCTCTTTAAGTTCCTTTTTTTTATTTCTATACTTAGGAATTAAATAATTATGTTGTAAGTACAAACCTGTCAAATATATAACACTAAAGAAAGGAAGTGTCTTGCTAAAAAAGAAATAATTAGACATTATACCATTTTGTAATGCACTCCATAAAAAAGAAAAAGTAAATCCGAATCCTAATATCCAATTAAGAAGTTTTGGAGATTTTCTCAATGTAGCTACTAGTGGAGCTTCTCCATTAAGCTTTTTCTTTTTAATACGATAGTAAAGGCAGAATTTAAAAAAAATTTCTTCGTGATCATTGAATAAAATAGCTAATTCTGGGTAGTGAAACTTGTAATCATCAGAATAATTCGTTTTAAAAACTTGAATTTCTTCTTCAGAATATCCATTTTTCCATAAAAGTTCTAGTAGCTCTGATTTAGTTATATAAACATCTCTTTCAACACATATTGATTCTCCATCAATGCATCTATTACGAGTAAAGCTCTCCAAATCTTCTTGACGATTTTCTAACTTCGCAATTCGCTGTAATAACGTAAGGGTTGTCTTAATATTTTTGGTACACTTTACTAGATCTGATGATGTCATATTATCTGCTTCCAAATGAAGATCTTCGTATTTTATATATTCTGGTGTAGTTTGTATATTCATATCTTCAGTTACCTCTTTTCTAAACTCAGTGTTATACTTAATTGACTTGCTAGATTTGGTCCAAGATGACGCGAATTTTGTATATTTAACATATCTTTGCAGTGGATAATTACAAGATAGTGGTATAATTTCATAAATTAATCTATAATTTCTGATTGGAACTTTCATTATACCTTAATCAAGTGAAGTTTTATTATTATTGTATATTATTAAGAACTTCACCTTTAATTCCTATCTCTTCAGTTGTATAGCTAATATTACTTTAAAAGTTTACTTCAATCTACATCCGTTATATGAGGATATCCATATATTTGTGTTTCACCAGACTTTATTAAAACAAGAAACTTACAAGCATTATAGGACACTTGTATATATAAAATATCTATTTCACGTATATACAAAAAAAACCATTAAATGTAGAGTTAATGGGATTCTTTAGACTTAAGAAATGAAGTCTCAGTGTAGACAAAATACTTGAATTTATTTAATATTAAAAGTGCTTCGAAAATTGCATTTGGAGTTACATCACAATAAGTTTCAAATATAGCGGGATTTTAATAGCGGGAGAAAGGGTACCGGATTATATGCTTTTTAGTTGACAATACACTCCTGCTTTGACTCCTTTTTTTATGTATAGAAGTGCCATATTTAAGATATGCAATGCAAAACTAAAAGTTGCCTGCGAGCAGAAAATCTTTAGTTTGTTTCCAAGAAATATTTCAACAAATAATACTGGATCTAAAAAGCTATTTGTATTTGCATCTGTACATATTGCTGCTTTTTTAAGCTGTATATGTTGGTTTAAATATAGGATTAAAACTCAAATAGATATTGAGACATCAAATAAAGAGCTTACAAGCAACAGTAATAAGTTAACTACGAAAATAAACCAAGTAAGTTAGATCTTTGTTTAGGTATCAGTTGTTTCAAATTATAATTTGATTACTATTTTCCCATTTATCACTTGTTATTTTTCTTAGATAATTCAGAGAACCTCTTCAGGAATAATTATAATTATCCAAAAAGACAACTTAGTGTGTATTAAAGTTCCTATTACAAATAAAACTAATACTCATGACCAACTAACAAGTTTGGTAAAGATCAATCCTCTCCATAAATTTCTCAAGATATATTTTAAACAAAAATACCAAGAAGATTTGGTATATGAAGATCACTTTTCGTCTATATATATGCCACTACCTATTCATTTAATAAATACCATGTTAAACAGTAAAATATTAGTATTACTTAGTGATGATAAGTATAATCATGTAATATTAAATGGTAACATTAGCCAACTTGATATAAAAGCTAAAGCAAATTTATGGAGTAACTTATGGGACTATATGATACCTGGAAGTATAAGTGATCCAAATTATGGAATATTTAAATTTGAAATATTAAATGCAACAATGCAATTTTGCAGTTCAAGTGGAGATACATACTGGAAACAAGCCTGCATACAGAAAAGTTCAAATTAAACTGAATTTTTTTAAATTAAAATTCACTTCTTTGCTAACATCTAAAGTACTAATAGTAATATATTACAAAACATTTATATATTAGAATGATTATTTAGCTTGCATATAGAAAATCGATTTAATGCAGTTCGCAAAGAAAATTAAATTACTTTTTTTCAATACTTGACTTAATATTAAAATTATATAAAGAAATTATATGACAAATTTATCTTGGAATAAATCCCAAATAGCAATAAGGGTATCATCACTAGAAGCAAATCTTCCAGTAAAGTGACAAAAAACAGTACTTGAAATCTTTTTTTTATGCCACTTTAATTTACCAATGTGTTTTAAGCTTTTATTTTCGTACAAGTCCATAACTCTATTTGATGAACTTAAAGCAATTGTTATCATTGAATCGGTTCTAGTTTCTATATTATCGACAGAATATGCTAAATTTAAAGTATTTATTGGTATTTTAAAGTCTTTTCTATTATACACATAAAGATTATTACTATAGTCTGATATCCATACCCTATTATGGGCTCTTGAAATAGATAAAATCGGACTTTTAGATGGGACTATACAATTACTGTCAAGTGGATTTCCAGGATTCCTTGCATCCCATTCAAGAATTGCTCCTGATTCATATCCAGCTATAAAATTATGTTCAGTAGTCTGTTGCATACTCATTAATATTCCTAAAGAAGAGCCAAAATTTTCACATCCTTTAAATAATACTAGAGTTTCTTCAGGTTTAGGTTTTTCAGTATCAATTATAGCAAAGTTATACTGTTCTTTTCCTGGTATAAGCAACAGGTTGCTTGAATTATTCCACCTGCTAATTTTTGAAAATGTAATTTTCTGTATTTCCCATTGCTTTGATAAGTTTAGATTTTGCAATGAAGGTGAGTTATTTAAAATATACTTTGATACTAATCCATTGTTCGTTTGTATCACAAGAGATAAATGTTCTTTTTCAATATCTGTAAAAGTCCGTATTACTTTAGTCTTTAACTTATTATTATTACTTGTCATTATGCGCTTCTCAAGGTCCCATAGTCTAATTTCACCTTTAACTGTTCCACATAATAACTGCGTTTTAGAAATGAATTCTAGAGAAGAAATAGCATTTTTAAATTGATCTCTAAGACAAAATATTGGTAGTTCAGATTTTATCCTTGTTTTCATTAGACTATATATGCAATTTTTTAATTAATTTGGTAGTACTATGAAACCAGATTAAAATCAAACAAAAAAGCTTTTCAATATAACCCTTTTATTTATTCCTTAATTTTAAAATAGATACGTTATTTATATTCAATGTATTAAGAATATTATTTTTAAATTGTAAAATTATAGTAAGCTAGATTCTAATTTTAATTAATTTGAAGATATGAAGATATAAGATATTTGAAGTAAGTTTTGTCTTCGTTAATATTAAATAAGTCTTATTTTTTATATTTTATAATTGATGAACTGTATTTTGCCTGGATTCTATAATTATAATTTATAAAATTACTTGTTAAGGTCCCTGGAATATATGCGAAATTTTTAGGTTGTGACTGAAATAAACAAAAATTATTAAATTAGAAATAAATAGTATGTCTCAATACTGGTAGTGAGCACTTCTTTGAGTAGAAGATATTCAGTATTCTAAAACTATTCTAAATAACAACACATATAGGAAAGTGTATTTGTAAGTTATTAAAAATATTTCTGTGTAACAGAAATGGGTTAATTAGCTACAAAACAAATATAATGGGACAAATAACTAGAATATAAAGTGGAATAGTGTAAATAGGTTTAATGAGTAATATGAAATCAGAATATTGATAAATATTCAATATTTAGCTTTGTTTCCCCTATATTTATTATTAAACGCCTAAAGTATTAACTATCTGTTTATTATTAGTTTGACTATTATCCAAGGCTTCTACTTTCCAATCAGTTGCATGTCCCTTCGAGTAAAGATTAGCTAAGAATTCATTCCAAACTTGCCGTTTCTTTAAGTCTAAATACTTAAGAAATAGTTCGTATGCAATTTTAGCATCTTCTATAGAGTCATGACCTTCACATTGAATGTTTTTATTTAAAACAAATTTTGCAAGAAACCTAAGGCTAATAAAACGTTCTTCAGGTAATCTATATATTTCAACAGTATCTATAATCTGTTGACATGGCACATAGATATTTATAATTTTGAAGTCACTTGATAAACCATGTCCAATAAAAACAACTCCACTATCTACCATAAATTGAAGTTTTTTCAAAATAAGATGTTTACTTGTCAGGAAATGGGATGAATACTTTGGATCTAAGTCTCCAGGTTTAACTCCGGAAAATCTAGTTAGATAATCCATAGGTTGTTGAGTAGTGCTTCCATAAGATACATAGTGATCCATAATAATGGTATTTGCCTTATTTGTATGATTATCGGAAGATTGCCCATATTCTTCTATAAGCTCTTTAAAAGAAGATATACTTCCACATCTAACAATTGAAACTCTTGCTAAAGACATCTGAGATTTCTTAAGCACTTCCTTTGTTCCATCTGGTCTTAATATTGACTGTTCTGCATCTAGTGCAACATATTCTGAATCCAATGCTACAACCATAGGTGGATCAATACTTTCAAAATCAATTTTTGTATCTGAATTAGAAAATTTTTCACTTGAATCAATAAGTCCGCGATACCTTGGATACCGAATAAAATAATGTAAACACAATAAACTCAATTCATCATCAGTGAATGGCACTTGTTGGGATATTTTAACATTGTCTGGATTTTCAGAAAGATTTATTTCATTTTTTAATAGTTTTACAATAGAATTTAACATTTTTAAGGTGTGAGAATGGATTGGATCTGGATATTGCCATGGTAATGTAACAGAAATCCCTTGTATACAAATTTTGGGTGATGTTTCACACAACTCCATAATTTCTGACTTTAAGCTCAAGTCACTATCAAAATTAACAGTAGGAAAAGGGCTAAATGGATTTGTATTTGGTGGGTTATATCTTAAATAAACCAAAGAACAAGGTAACTTCCAAGAATTGCAAAAGTTTGTAACTTCACTTTTATTTACGGAAAAAACAGTAGAGCCATTCATTAAATACCACTTATTCTTATTATTCTCTGAGGGAGTTACCAGTTTATGCTTGAAATACATACAAAAATGAGTGCCAGAAGGTAATTGTATTGAACTGCCTTGGTATACTCCAAAAATTAGAGCAACCAGTTCGTAGTCTTGAGTATTTAATTCATTATCAGAATTATAAACAACACTTTTATTGTCTTTAATTGAAATAGCTTCTAAAGCTTGAATTTCATTGTTAGTTCCACTAACTTTTGTTCCAAGAAGTGGTAGAGATTTATTTACTGAAGCAAAAGAAAGGTAGAAAGGAATACTTAAAAGAGGATTATTTAATGAATCCTTTGTATTGGAATTGTATGTTTCATCATATTCTAAAGGAATAGTCCCCCCATAGTATTGCCATTGTTTAACAGATTGAAGTGAGCAATTTACTAATAAAAGACTTGCTAGAGAAGTTGCAAATCTCATATGCTGACAAGCTGAAGTTTGAGAACACTCTTTGCAATAAGATCTTCCAGATATTATACGGCATAAAGATAAGTTAAGACATTCCAAAAAGTTTTGTTCCGCAGAATTATTGTCTTGATTTATCTGATTAGAGGAAGAGTTTAATACCTTCGAGGAATGACTGAGACTTGATACATTATTAGAGTTTGAGCTATTCAAGTTATGAGGATAAAACATTTCTAAGGCAAATATATTGTTGTTAGATTTTTGTATATGGTTAAAGGGAGTACATGAGCTAATTGTAGTTATTTTTATACCAAAAAAATCCTGTATAGTTGAGTTAGAATTTCTAACAAAATCTTTATGAATTTGTTCAATAAGGAATCTCCAAAAAGCCTCAATTTTGCGGATTTGTGTAAATACAGCATAAGGAAGATAGCTAGAAGATTCCAATGAGTTCAATTTAAAATTTGAAGCTGATGAATTTAGATTTGATATTTGATTAGAAATGGTAGGATTAGGTTTAAATAGGGTGGATGGAGTATCTTCCAGTTCTATTCCTACAAGTTTTACTTCAGGAAGATGTCTGAGAGTTCTGAGAATATTAAGAGCAAAAATATGAGAATAGTTATTATTGTATAGTGGAAGAGAAAAAAGTTGATTACGTTGTTTGTAACTTCTTCTACAGCAGTACAACATAAAACTTAAGTGAACAATTTCACAGGATATACAGAATTCCATTTCACATTCTGAAACATGATGCATAAGTAGCATATATGGAATAGTTGGAATAAATGAAATTAGCATAAATAGAGGTTGAGTAAAATCCAAAACATCATTATCAAGTTCTAGACAAATAAAACCTTCACAAAATGTTACAGACTCCTCTTCTCCAAGTGATCTTATTTGATTTGTACAAGTTATTGAACCACCATCAGTATTACCAAGAGTTTCAATTGGTACTCTCCTTATCTTCGGCCTATCTCTACGATTAAGGTTTGTTTTAGGGCGATATTGAAATCTAGAGGGTACCAAGGATAAAGTTTTAATTCCAAGAGCATCAGTAAGGCCAAAACACAAATTTGTATTTCTTTTCAAACGATAGAACCACGTTGGGTATGCACCTCCAATACATAGTAAAGGTAATCCATATACTAAATTATTTGCTTTATATTTACTAACATCAGGATTAATAGCTACTTTAATGAAATCCATTGACTTATATTCAAGATTTTTAAGTTTAAAAGGTTCAATCTCTGGACGGATCTCGCGGATGTACTCAAGAGATAGTGCTAAAAAATTTGATGAAGACGATTTATGTAAATGATCATTAATAAGAGTCTCCCCCATATCACCTATTACATTACTAGTTGAACTAGCTTCTGTATCACTTATTTTCCCACTATTGTTAAGCTTAAATAAACATAATCCAGGAGGTAATTCATCTGAAATTTTGAAGCGTTGCCATGAATAACCTGTCTGAATTTTACGGATCTCATCCACATCATAGAGATTCTTAAAACTTACAAGAACTTCTTCTTTAATTTTCATACGACCATTACTTTGAGTTTCAATTATTGGAGGAATTCCTACAGGATTTAATGAATCATAGGCCACAACTGGGCGTCCCCTTAAATATCTTAGAGCTACAGTTAAATTTGGAGTAGTTGGATTCCCCAAATTCTGTGAAATTGACTTTGTTACAGGATTAGAAGCAATGCCCATTAAACAGTGAATAGATTTAACATAAGGAAATACATATAATGCACTTGTTGAGGAAATACTTGGCTCACAGAAATTTCCTAAAGTTTCACAAATAGAGGATGGGAAGTTATTTATATTAGGATTTTCTCCAGATCCTAAGGGTATATTTAATCTCACATTTCTTCCAATACTTGGTAATGGATAGGATGGATAGAGATTGAAAGGATGGCAAATATTCGATGTATTTGTTGGATCTGTAGATGGACTATTAAGATGCTGATCAGATTTCCTGAGAATTAAAGATGAACTTGGTCTTTGCATTGTATGTATAGATCCAGATGTATCAGCTAATATAAAAAATTGATTAGAGGAGCTAAAATCTGCAAATGATATAGGTACAGAAGGAGTAGCATAAAACTCCATTTGGTCAATATTAGAGTGATAAACTTGCCATTGACCATTATTACCAATTATATAAAGATCTTCAAATCCTGAATTTCCAGAATTAGTTCCTCCTGAACCCCCAGGTCCTGCTGTTGAGCATAAAGAATCATGATTCCATAATATATTTATGGGCCCAGGAGAAAATGGAATATTCTTACGAGGTCTAAAACGTCTTATATCATATAATCTAACAACAGTATCTCTTTGAAAATTCGAAATATCCAAATTTTTCTTAAAGATCATCATTTCGGCTGATGTAGATACTTCTCCAGGATGCATTCTAATTAAGTCCAAAACTGATAATCCATGAACTCCTCCAACACTTGACAAAAGCTCTTCAAAAGTAATCTTCTGTGTACATATAGAACTAGTTATAATCGCTACAGTATAATCATTAACAGCTAACCCACTAACTATTGATTCAGTAAAATTTGATATAGGGTTTGATACAACAGTCACTGTCTGACCAAGACGTGGAAGACGAATATCTGCTATCCCAATCATATTACAACCTCCAACTACAAAATTTGTCGAATTAGGAGAGCCTTTTAAACATGAAATACCACCATTATAAGGAATCTGATGTATAAGACGAAGTTCATGAAGATCTAGTATAGAAACACCTCCAGATGTCCCCAAACCTATAAAGGGATTTGGGTTTCCTATATATGATGAGTATTTCGTTGAATCACTACATAAAATCTTCGTTCCTATCTTATTATCTGTTAATAATTTTACAGAATGAGTAGATACAGAGCTTCCTCCTCTCGTATAAACTCCAATTCCATTGTTACTGACAGTATAAATATGAGATGAGGATGGAAAACCTACATTAATTACATTATCACGACAAAGAATTCCATTGATTATATTTCCACCAATACCGACGGGAAATGCAGTATATCTACTACAATGTGGAAATTTAAAGGAGCTGAGAAAACCATTAGTCCAACCTAGCCAAAATAGTTCATAGAAGGGATCACAGAAAATACTCGTTATAAAGGGACGAATACTTTTATTTGATAAGTGAGATGAAAATAAACCTACTACATTATAACTTGTATAAGCTTCCCAACCCCAATTAGAAGCTCCAATAGAACTACTTAAAGCTCTATTAGATACTGATGATATAGAAGTCCCAGATAAATTTACTCCGGGTGTATTATTAGATATATTATATGGATCAGTATATGTAGCACCTGATAACTGATTAGAAAAATAACCACCTTTGAAATCAGATCTTATATACCCAGAATTATCAATTCCACTATTAATAGCACTATTATCCATTTGTAGTTGCCCAAAATTTGAAGTTTTTGTAGGTGAAGATTCATTATAATCTCTATTTACAAATGGTACCCTATTATACATTTTGACAAAAAAACAAGCTATATTCAGCTAGTCTTCAACTCTAACATGCCCCCATTTAATTATAGTTCTATATATTGTACTTTCTCCTTTAAACAAAAAAAAAAAGGAAATTTATAAATAATTATACTCAAGATTAGAGGGGATATAAAAGGCGCTTGCGCCAGATGTTGATAAATTTTTATTATAACCCTTTTAGCGTGTTTAATGATGCACAATGATCAAATTTATATTACTAGTTAATAAACAAGGGCAAACTCGCCTTAGTCAATATTATGAATATTTAACAATAGAACAACGTACAATATTGGAAGGACAACTAATTAGGAAGTGTCTCTCAATTGGAGAAAGTCATTCCCCCTTTATAGAATTTGATAATTATAAGGTATGTCAATTTCTGTTCAATATAATGAATATTCAGAGTATATTAAACTAATTAATTAGTTAAAATTTTACACTTCTAAATATATGAATATCTAATATTGTAATTTTATATATTCGTATTTATTATACCTACTATATGTTATTTGCCTATTATCTTACCCTATTATTATCATCTTTTCTTTTTCTAGATTATATTTAGACGTTATGCATCTCTCTATTTTATATTGGGTATTTATAACTGCGAAAGTGTGGTTAGTTTTACTGAAGTATTTGTGAAGAAATTAGATATTTGACATTTCTCTATTATGTAGAATGAATTAGCATATTTGGAACTAATACACTTTGTTGTTGAAACATTAGATAAATACTTTGAAAATGTGGTATGTTTAAGAGATTCCTCTACATTTAATAATAATAAAAAAGAAAAAAAAGAAGAGAATCTTTGAATATACTTTATACTTTTTTTTTTCCTTTAGTGCGAATTGGATATAATGTTTAATTTAGACAAGGCTCATATTATTATTGACGAAATAATTATGAATGGATTAATAGCAGAAACAAACAAAGCTAATGTAATGCAATATATGAATCTAATTGAGAAAGCAGCCTCTGCACCTAAAGATAATATCACATCAATGAATTTAGATATAAGAAAATAATATCAGTTGCATTATACTGAGGTTTAATATTACTATATAATTAAACTTTTTAAGAGAAACAATGGAACGTATAAAACTTTAGTATAAATTATTATTAAACCTATTTAATATGTATACAATATAATATTCTGTATAGTATTTTTCCTCTTGTTTTCTATAAAGAAAATATTTTTTATCAAATTTGTAAATAATTTTTTCTTTCTAAATTTTTGGAGGTATAAACAATTTATATTTGGCGTCAGTTTTATTTTGTATTTTATTTTTAAGTAATACTACTTAAAAATAAAAATGAGGCAAGCTATACTTAAGACTCGCATAATTTCAGTAAGTATTATCCTAATATTATGCTATTTACAATATTAGAGTGAATATGACATACTCTTAACCTAAAAAGTCTTTTTCAGACATTTTACAAAAACTACGAAATGTAAGTTAGTAATAAAATGAAACATTAGACAATATCAATTATGTTTATTACCTCTTTTAGGAACGTTTTATAAGGTCAAACATAGCAGAACAATTATTAGATAATGCTTGTAATGCTGCTCATGAAGTTATAGATGAACAATATTCTAGGATAGACAATCGTCATTTGGTGTATTTAAGCTCAGATATAACAATACAAGGAAAATTAGTTTACTACAAATATTATAAAAAAAAGTGGTACATGTGTATATCTCCATCAAGAGTACAAACAACAAAATCTAATCAATCAAAATTATCAAAGATACATAGTATCCCATTTAAGAAAAGCTCTATAATTGCAATAGAAGCTATTGAATATTCATCTTGTAATATAGATAAAGCTTGTAATAATGAAATGGGACACATTAAGATAGATAAGGATATAATTGTGAAATCAGACTATAGATAAATAAAATATAAATGATAATATAAAAATTCCATATTAACTTTAATATATTTATCTATATAATTAATAATTTGTTAGAATGAAATAGTTCATAGTTATATTACTATCTATTTCGTCTTATAGAAGGTTTAATAGATGTCAAAAACCAAAACTAATATAAGGATTATAACTTGGCAGATTATTAATTGGATAAAATGCCCAAATAGATCTAGGATTTCGAGTATTTTGTGGTATTAATGGTTGAGATTCATATGTATCTTGTTGATTGTTAGATGTAGACGAAGATAAATTAGTATTATTTAATATAGGACGTGAGTTAGTTATAAAAAATCTTTCTTGGTTATTTGGGGAAATAGATACTGTTTCTCTAGCATTTACATTTCTTTTATCTAATTGATTATGCCAACTACACTTCTGAGTATATAGATTTTTAATAAATAATAATGAATCCCCTAAAGTAAAACTTTGAATTATTAATAAGATAAGTATAAAAACTAATAAGTAAAATCCCCATGAAAGTGATCCATCTAACGATTCTATTGTATAAATTGGTGATGGAGAATGAAACACAAGAAGACTTGGTAAATTATTACTACAATAAAAGATGATAATACAAACAATAACAATTGCCACTATAGAAGACATATTTAATATCACTGCAATATATGCCAATAATATTTTCGGTGGAGAATTTAGTGCTATTTCTTTTATACCATTATTTATTCTTTCCGATATATTGATACTCCTACTATATATAAACCAGAGTAGCATACTTAGAGTAAGTATTACACTTGAACTTATTAGAATGATAAATACAATATTTAGTAAAGTTGTAAGATATTTTGCATCATTACAAGCTTTATTTAAAAATTCGTATTTACTAGGTGGTACACATATTCCATTAACCACATTAGCAAAATCTCCATGAATTCGTTTAAGGCCTCTATTACAAAATTTTAAAAATTTCCTACTTTTTGATGAGCAATTAAGTGTTATCAATAATTTGTAAGAAACAAAGTCCCATGATAATAATACTCCTTCATATAATAACCAATTATGAGATAATAATGTGCCTCCAAAAGTTATAGCTAATAACTGAGAAAATAAATTAGCAATAAAAGAGATAATATATATTATTTAGAGAAGGTACAGATACCTTAAATGGTCAACTTACTAGTATTAAGATTACTAAATTTGATAAGTTTGTAGTCAAAACCCCCCTCCCAACCATAATATATTTATAAACAGGAATTAACTTAGTACTGACTATATTTAAGATTTTAACCTAATTCCCTAGTCTCTTAATAATTAAAGTACTTATATAATTTACAACTCCATACTATCCTTGAATTACTTACAGAGACTCACCGCTTAAGTCTGATGAAAACTTATTGGTAAAGAAAAGTAATAATTGTGGCTCAAGATACTGTAACAGCTTTATATCTCAATGTGACGATATATATCGCTGTATACAATTTTGATTTAAAAATTTACAATATTTACGTTAATGTATATCAATATAAATCAAATTGACAATATTACTATATTAATATAAACATCTCATTATAATTAACTATTTATAATCATATCTTCACTTTATTTCTTGTTCTAGTTCTCTTCTTCTTATCTTTATTCTGAGATGTAAGATCTGGTTTCTTTTTCTTCTTAATACAAGATAAAGGATTAGGATTTTTCCTTTTTCTCCTACAAAGAAAAAATGTAAGATAAAGAAATTAAAGAATTTACAAATATATACATTGGAATATTTCCTTTATTAATATGAATATAATAAAATATTCAACTTATGAATTTACAATTAATTGAATATATATATATGCATAATATCCACTTTCTTTTCTATATATTTGTATAAATTACTTAACTTACCTTTTCTCTTTAGTTTTGCTATCTTGATTAAGAGTATTTCTTAAACACGAAATATAAGAGTATTCCCACTTTTGAGGAAGAAGCTTTTCTTGTTCTTTTGAAAACTGTTGAGAACAAGTAACTTGAGATGGACTTTCTAATATAGGTATCTGATTATATAAATAAATGATAGGTACACCAGGTATTTTACGTAGCTTTTTCCTAAGTAATACATCTTGTGTTGCAACAATAAACTTTTTTGAATTACCACTTTTTGATACTATATCCAATATACATCTAAAGGAATCAAACTTTTTTTTATTTTTAAATTCACTATCTTTATCTATAATACTGGGATCTATTGCATTTATATTTTCATTATACAAGATAGATTGTGATTGTTTTTCAATAGTATCAGTTTCATAAATATGATTACATTTATATCTAAAAAAAGCTCTAGCAGCAAGTTTAGCACCTGAAAAATCAGCTTTAGTTGACTGGTTAGAAAAATTTAATGTTTCAATTTCTTTGACTATACAATTAGACACTATTGGAGTTATACGTCCACATAGAATTTTTGAAAGTTGCTCCTTAATATGAAATTTGACTTTCAATGCTGCCAGTATAAATGTACCATCAACTACAATGCAAAATAGAGAATATTAAGTAATTTATAGAGCTGTACAATATGTAATGTATTATATTAGTATTTAATATTAATATAAAGCTTACCTAAAATTCTATATGGTTCAGTAAATTTGAAATTCATTCTATAATACTGTAGAATATGTTTAATATATTTTTTTCGATTAACCTTCATTTTTGGGAGGAAAGGACTTTTTGTAAAGTTTTATTTTAGTATTTTAAAAATACCCTATAATTTATTTCGAAGGTTATAATGCGGTTATATTACGTGCTACAATAATTTCTAGATAATAGTTAAATTTTCAAACATCTGTAATTATTACATATTATAGAATTTAAGATGAAAAATAGCAAAATTAGTGATCTAAATTTTTTAATAGTAAATTGAGTATATTTAAATATTTATAGAAAATTAGAAAGTGTATTGTTAACTTGTTTTTCGAATGATTATGACCCTCGTATTTTTAAAGTTCCATCCTCATTTAGGATACCTAACTTTTCAAAATTGGCAATTTGGCTTGAAGATAATTTAACACCTTCCTGTTTTGTTACATTGCAATTGGGTAATGTAAATCCTGACTCAGCACATGCTCTGGCAGCTTTAAGAACTTGTGTTGCGAATTTCTGTTGTGTTTTCTATAATACAAAAAAAAGAAATATAACAATAACAATGTGATTTTCAAAAAAACAGAATGTATATTAAATATTTTTATATTTCTTTATTTTAATTTGAATTAAATTCACTGTTAGACTTACATTAAAATATTTTGGTTCGAGAAATTCATTATTTTGGAATAATGCTAGTGTTGATGAATTATCTATGAAATTCGTTATATTACCTCCCTCTTCAAGTAAAAACATTTGTGTAGGACCTTTTCCTATTGACTCTAAAGTTTCAATCTAATAGAAAATAAAAAAGTGGTTTGATTAAATATTATAAAGAGATCTTAATATATTGTTTTCAAAACCTACAATTGGCTCTTGCTCTATATAATCAATAAATGTTGGAGTTAATCCCATTGTTGCAGTTCTCTAAAATAATAAAATAATGATATTATATCCTTAATATTTATTTTTAATTCGATTAATGTAATATGGTTAGGGTATTTCTGATAATATAAACTTACCTCTACATCATCTGCTAACTCACTAAAGCGTCTTTGTATTTTACCAATTGTAGACATATTATAAATGTTCCAAAGTGGTACTCCAATTGCTTTTCCAAGTGTAGCAAGATCAGTACACTTATGGATTTGTGGATTACAATAAAAATCTTGATACATTAATTTTGGACCTAGTTGATTTGGCACCAACTCAGGTTGTGGTGTATCTGATTGTATAAATGTTGTATTAATAAGATATTCCATTGGAAGTGACCAATTTTCAGATTTAAGATTATTTAGAGCATTAGTTATTAGCTGATCTCGAGCTGAAGTTTGGTTATAAATATTTGGAATTTCTGTTTTTTTTAGATCTATTGCTGTACCAATAGTTGCATGTGTTTTCTGATCCTCTTCTGGATTAATTATTTCATTATTATTAAAAGATATCGAGTTATTTAGGAGATTATTTTCCTCAAATAATAAAATCCCTATATCTTTGATATCACCTTTTATTATATCTCTATGGTTAGTCTTATTATCTTGAGTTATATTAGATTTTAAGTCATGGATAAAATTTTTTATTTGATCTGGATTATTTTTATAGTATTGGATATTATATCCATTAAATTTTGTGCTTTCATTGAAATTTTCTATACCATTATAAATAGAATCTGTTGATTCACTTAAAACAATTTTATTTTTAGTATAATTTCTAGTATAGTTTGGATTTTGATTAAATTCTATATTTTCTAAATTGTTATGAACTGAGCTATAATTATAGTTACTTAAATTATTATTATCATCAATCAAATAAAAGTCTATATATTTAGTAACATTACCAATACTTTTATAAATATCCAGATTTCTAGATAATTTAGTATCCTGTGCTAATGTATAATTATATTCATAATTTTTATTATCCATACCAATTAAATTATCATGAATAGTTTTATTACTTGCTGTTGGTTTAGTATTAAGATTCACCTGAGATTTTGTTAAATTTGTATCCTTAGTTTTAATATTATTGTTTTGAGATATTTTGTAATTTCCTAGTTGAGTTATGTTATTTTGTTTATTTTCTGCAATATCCTTATCTTTATATATAGAATTCTTATTAGTATCATTTAATCTGTTATATATTTCTCTATTTTCCACACTATTTTCTTTCTTTTCAGTAATATTTTTTGAAACTTCTGTAAAATTAGTAATTTTTCGATTAAGCACATCTAATCTACTATTTTCTGTAGAGTTGAAAATTCCTATATTCAATAAATCACTTTTTTTTTCATTTCTTGTAATTATATTTTCTGATTTTAACTTTGTACTAGTTGACAATTGATCTAATTTATTTTTCAATGCATTGTATTCAATATTATCATCAACTTCATGATATAACTTATTATTTGAGTCAAAGTCTTCATTTGTCTTATTTAAAGATTGTTTATTAGATGAGTTTTCTCTCCTAACATTTGATCTGTAATAGTTTGGAGTTTTTAAGACTGGAGGATTCCACCATACTTCATTAACAGATGGTATTTTGCGTTTCGATTCATTATATGTTTTAGAGGCAAGGCTATTTCTTAAAATAGGTTTATTTATATGCTCCCACTGCCAAACTGTATGTTGTGGATTTGGAGGAGGAGCTGTTGAAAGATAGTATACTGAAGAATATGGAGAAAACTGAATATCTTTTGTTTTATTAGGACAATATTCATCTACAATTTGTTTTCTGCTAATCACAATTGGGGGTTTATTTACTATAAATGGAATTTTAGTATTTTTGCTAATGTTTCCATATATATCAGTATTCATATACTCGGAAATAGCAAATGTACCTACTATATCTCCTCTTGACTCTCCTATTCCTACTATTCTTTTTCCCATACCTTCAGATATTAGCATTTGATCAGTATTTTGTCCATTAGAAGAAAATTCTAAGCTATTGGGAATCTTTGTTGAACCATAAAGTGCTAGGGTTTCTGCAAGTGCTTTTGAGTGGTTTTCAGGAACTACAGAACCTTGGGTAGTTGTGGTATATAATATCCAATATTGAAAAGAAAGTTGAGTAGCTAAATTTAAGAAATTGTACATGAAATCAGAAATTGTTAAATAATATTTATACTTCTAACTTTTTATAATTTAGTTTATAAGACTTTCATAAAAAATTGTAACAATGCATGTAATAATAAATTATTTCTGCTTAGCCAAAAGGGGGTTTATCAAAATATATAATGTAATAAATTTAGTCTAATTATAGATAATAAAATTTGTAATATTGAACTAGTGAAAATAATTAGTACATCAATAATAACAAATAGAAAATATAGAAAACATTGCATGTAAATTACCGGTATAACGGTACCATATATTCTATTGCCGGTATATATCGCGGTTCTGTCTCATAGTTTAACCTTTGTTTCAAAATATTTTTAAGGGCTCCTAAAAATTAATAAATATTAGTTATATATTCTTCAGAACCATTCATTTTCATAAATAATTGGCTAGGAGGCAGAATTCCTTAAATTTATGGGAATATGCAAATTGTTGTCATTGGTATTTTTAATAGTTAGTAATTTCTCTATAAAATGTAAATGCACAGATTTAGGATACTCATGTAATGAAATATACAGGGAGGGGTTTATTTTATACACTAATAATTCATGTCCAGTATCTACTTCTATAAGAAGTAATCTACTGAATACTTCTGGATATACTGTAAGTAATAATATTAGATCTAATGCACTAGATTTTAGTGGATATTCTAAACCTACAATTGAAGAGAAAAATAACTTAATGGAAGATATGGAGTGGAAATTAGAGAATTATACCATTTGTAATACAGAGGTATATAACGCAAATATTATTGATTATTTAAAAAAGCAAATACACAATAAGGATAAGATATATTTTACAAATCTCAGTCCATATAGTTGTAGAGTGTCCTTTTTAAAGAAATATAACAAAATGATGATATCAAAGAGAACATTAATTATATTTCAGTCATATCAAAGATTTGTACATCTACTTGATATTTTATCTTCCAGACGTCCTTGTCCTTTTTGTAATGGTTGTAAGGATACACATCTTAATAAATTACCTTCTTGGATACCTCCAATATTGCATAAACAGCTGAGATCTCTAAATGAGTCATTAGATTATAAATTGTGTTATACTTTAAAGAATAGTCCAAAAATTTATAGTGAAATATTGGCAATCTTAAATAATTTAAAAAAGTTAAATTCAAATGTAGGTAATACATCAGATATACCAATAGAGCTTCGAGATATCCTAGAAGATAAAACAAACTTAAGATTAGATGAATATCCTTTAATATATTTTGGTGATATACTAAATCTGTTTTATGAAGAGCTTAGAAATAATGCAGTACAATCTTCAGTTTGTCGTCCTTTCCAATATTTATACAAATGTTCTTGGCATCCTGATTATGAAAGTAAGGAGATCTTATCTAATTTGAGATCTGTTACAAAATTTATGGCAATTTGTCTTGACCCTTCAAGCAAAAATAGAAGATTAAGTAGTATAAACACTAATGATCCAAACTCAACTACTGTTGAGAGTATTTATATATCTAGCAATAAAATAGTACCTAATGATCCAATTATGTTTAGTACAGTTAATCCGACAATTTCTATATCATCTAATCACACTACTTTATCAGATAGAAGTAGTGATTCTTCAGTTACAAGTATTAATAACAATCAGTCTAACATTTTCAAACTGAATAGAAATATTTTGAAATATCCTAAAGATTCAAAAATTAAGACTTCTTTCCCATCCTCTTGTGAACCTCCATTCTTTGATAATTTGATTATTCCAAAATTAACTAAATTTTCAGGTGATAAAAGTAATAATTACCACTCTCATCATCATGACAAGACTAATTATAACTTATGTGGTTTCAATAATCAAAAAAAATCAAAGATATTATCCTCAGAAGAAGATGCAGTTGTAATTGATACTGCTTTAACAAATAGAAATGTAATTCAAGGAACTTCATATTTGCCACAATTAGCAGCTTTACATTATGACTATGCATCTAGCGCATCTAATAGTAGGTTATTAGATTGGAGCAGTGATATTACACATCCTAAGTCTATCCAGTCTTCAGATCCAGATTCTTACCTGTTAGTACCTTGTTATAAACCTATGTGGTTTATTATTGGTTTTCCAGAAGATATACTCGTTGAATATATTGCCTTATTTTCCCAAGAATATTTCTCTTCTTCATACCAAGACCTTGAAGTTCTTGTAAGTCTTGTATATCCAACTAAACAATGGCAATCTCTTGGTATATTACGAAGAGATTCAAAATTATCAAAGGAAATGTTCGATATCAAACCATTATGCATAAGAGATAATACTGATGTGAAATATCAATATAATAGAGATATAAATGTATCAAATTCTAATCCTTGTTGGATAAGATACATGCAGATTAGGGCTTTGTCTTTTTATAAGGAAGAAGGACACTACTATTGTCATTTATCTAGGTTGCAAGTTTTTGGAAATAATGTCTTGAGTCGCCTTGAAGCTGAGATAAATGGTGAAAGAAGTAACTCAATACCTCTTTCAGGAGTTGAGAGCGTTAAGGATGTAGAAAATAGACTTAGAAAGTATGATATTAATAATTTTGATCATACAGCCAATAGTGAAATCTTTGAATCTACCAAAAGTATTGTAAATTTCAATAGTATGAAAAATGACTCCAATATCACTAAGATAGAATTAAGAAACTGGATACCAACCAATCTAGAAGATAGTATGGTATCCTATAGAGATAAAATACTGGGTTCTCATGAAGTAAGTTCTCCACTCTTATATAAAATAACCACAGCTGATCATCCTCTCCTCTCATTTGTCAACCGTGTTAAATATCTTGAAGAGAAAATGAGTGACTTAAAATTATATATAGATACAGTATATTTAAATCTTAATACATCTATTTATAGAATTGACAAATCTTTAATAGAACTACAGAAATCTATTAAATATTTCGAAGATACTATAAACTCAGAACTTAACACAACAAATGTGGAAAATATGGATATTCTATTTATTAAACAGCCTCTGTTTACATTAAGCAAAATAGTTAAATTTATTTTTTATGAAGATGAGGAGCATAATACTCGGAGTCTTTTGGATATAATTTCTACTAAAATTGTTTACATTAAAAGCTACATTTTTTCAACTTTTAATATTATAAAAGTGAATTCTAACTTAATTTTGTTGATAATCGCTATTATTTTTATTTTACAAATTTATATGTTACAACAACTGATTACACTAAAGAAAAAGCTACAAAATACTTTACAATTTATTAAAAGCTACAGTTTAGCAAGAACAAGTCACAACTTTTATGATAATCTACCTTTGCCTACAGCTTGTAAATTACAATCAAATCCAGAAAAGTTGCCAGACATGAGTCACATGACTCGTGGATATAGTATTATAGATAGTGATCCTAAAACATCGGGGGTTTTCCTTCAAAATCTTAAATATGACTCTTTGACTAAGGATTCCAGAATATGTAACAATAAGAGCCAGGACAAAACCCCTCCTCATAATAATAAGGAGTCATTAAAAAGTGGGGATTAGACTTAGTGACATATGGTATTAAAGTATCTAACTTTTTTCATTATTCTCTACCTTTATTTTATACCTTTTAGGAGAAACTTAGTGTCAAACTTAGTGTCAAAAATGGTCCCTAACCGCTGAAATGTTATATCGCATTCTTGGCGCTAAACTAGTTGTTATTTTTAGACAAGAAGGTACTGTTTATAAAAAGAAATATACTTGAGTAGTTAAACTTCTGGATTTGAATATCCTACCAAGTCTACTTGGATGGGTATATACATGACAGATAATGACATTTGGGATGAACTTGCTGATTTAGATGATATATTACTATATAGCAGGAAATATGATGTGCACTCTTTGGAAGGGAAAATAAATAACTATATTGTAAATATAGAAAAGAAGTGGAGTAAAATAAACAATACAAAACTTTTGGAGGCAAGTTCTAATAGTTCTAATTTTAGTACTGATGGAATAGGATTGAATTTAATGCAAATAGCTCCACCTTGTGAAAAGGAGGTATATATCATTAAGAAGATACAAGATGAAATATATAGAATAGCTATGGAATTAGAATATTTAAGAAATGAAAGGCAAAAAAGGCTAAATAGAATGAGAGAAATAACTCAGAAGGGAAATATTGAACTTCAAAATAATATTGCTTGTCGGAATTTGTATAGTAAGGACCTAGCCTCTATAACAATAGCTCAATCAGCTGAAGAAGAAGGGGATGATACTGAAGAAGCTTGTGACTTTGAAATGGAAAATAATAGAGATATAAAGGTTGCAAAGAAACGTCGACCTCACAGAAGATATTTTAGAAGAAAAGCTAGTACTACTAAGGAGAAAAGTGATTTGGATGAAGCTGATCGTCTACTAAGATCTAGAACACCTCTTGAAATTATTCACTTATCTTCTAAATATTATACCTGGTTGGCTAGAAATGCTTTTCAAAATAGACCTAATAAACAACTGAACCCTTTGGAAATACCTATAGCTCAGGATATATTAAGAGGACCTTTTATATATGGAAATGTGAATGAAATAATAGAAACAAGATTTATGAATGAAAGAAAGGCTATTTATGAAGATATGAATAGTGAATTTTTATCTCATATCTTACTTTGGCTTAATGTAACAAATATCCGTAATATAGACAAATTTGATTATTCATTTATGTTAAAGCAGACTCCATATGAGGTTTTAATGGATAATAAGAATAGTGTAAATAATCCGATTTATGGTATCCAATTTATTGGAAAGCCTATTGAACTTAATTCTCATACAATAGAACAAATATATGAAGAAAATTTTATATCAAATGAGAATTTCAATAAAATATCAGCAAATTACTCTAATAATCAAAGTAGTTCTACAGTGAAGAGTTCCGGAGTTTCTAGTGGAAATAATCTTCCACATTATAATTATGTTGCTTCTGTAATGGAGAATTCAAACAAAGTTTATAAAATGGCAAGAAAAAAGGTAATTTTGTCAATACGTCGAAGTGCAATACCAGTAGAATATAGGGAAACAATGAAGTTTCGAATGAAATTTATTAACATGGAGAGGAGGGAGTCTGAAAATAATTCATTTATGAAAAGTACTGATGAAGATTACTCAAAAGTTGTAAATAGCGAAAATAATAAAGACTTCTCTAACACTTCAAAGGACAGTTTTACAATTTTGGATGCTTTGAATATTATTAATGAGACTAGAAAGCAAACAATTGATGCGATAAAGTTGTTAATTCTAGAAATTGAAAGTTATTTGCAATCTCTAAGTGCTGAAACTCAAATGCCATACATGGTTGCAGTCCATCGGTTTCTAGAGGATGAATTAAAGATATTGGAGGATGAAAAGTCGATAAATTCACTAGATATTCCAGTAGTGAATATATATAGAGATGATATTGTTGAAAATCGTCTTATCGAAGAGCATCTAGAGGTTACTTTGAGTATACCTCCTTATATTTCTTTAGCACCTTTTTGTAGAGCATTATGCTATCCAAATAATAAATATGATACTTTATATAAAAATAAATCTATTGCTACTGTATATAATCCGGGTTATAGTGAATTTTACCATCCTATATGCTTATCTGGAAGGTCTAAATCAATTATACTTGTTCAAAAAGTAATAAGTAAGAGAAAACGTCAAGTAAATCAAAATTTAAAGAAACTGAAAGGTCTTCTACCAGTTATATACAAGAATTATTCACAATATGTAAAGAATCTTGATATGATGAGATGTCAGACAAGGGAAGGAAAGGAGTTTATTTGGGGCTGCTTACCATTACGTGCAAAAGATCACATTAATCAATGTGTTCCACTACCTATAGGTTATGCTGAGAACGAGGATAGATATAAACCATACCGTAAATTTATGCATTTATTACCAAACGCGAAGATAAGTAACAAATTAAAAGTGCTCAAGATGGCTTCAAATGAGAATTCCATTCCTTTATTATACTCTTTTTCTAATAGTTTGTTTATAAATGGAAATACGGATATTCCTTTTGACAAAAGAACTACTATTACCTCTAGCTTGCTAAATAATACTGCAACTATTGGAAGTATTCCCTCTAGTAATTCACTAATTAGTAGTAATATTGCTCAGAAAGATCCAATTCATACTTCAAACTACCAAACAAGGAATTCCAATAATAACCTAACAGCTTTGAGTTCATCTCATTCACCACATACAAATTTAGCTCAGAGTAATAGCTCGAGCTTGATTAATCTTACTTCAAACACAACATCAATGAGCGTTAGTAGTTCCAGTGGAAGTACTACAACAGGTACAGTTAATATAAATACATCGGTAATACCCGGACTACAAATTAAAAATAGAGAACGAGAGAAGGATATTGTTCACCAGAAAGAAGCTCAGAGAGAATGGATGCAAACATCTTCATCTAGTTTAATGGGTCCATCACCATTATGGTTTGATAATTGTATGTTTAATTTCACACCCTCAATATCATATGGTTTTCTAAATTATGATAAACAATATGTTCAAGTATGGAATAATAATAATAAGATTGAGGATGCAAAGTTATATGAGACTAACCTATATATGACTAGATTATGGTCATTGAGTGAAATTAGAACATTTATTGAAAAATATTTGATGTATCCAAAGGATTTTAGAAGGATCGCATCATTTCTTGAGTATAAGACAATTAAAGATTGCATTTCATTCTATTATAAATATAAGTATACATTGGGGTTAAAACGTATATTAAAACTTATTTTATACTCTAGAATGAACTCTAAGTTAGATTCAAATTTTGATACTAGCATTATTTCTAGTAATAATGAATCAAGTTTATCATCTCTAACAAATCAAAGTGATATATGGAATAGTGTCATTTCAACAATTGATTGTTTGAACATAATAAATCAAAAAAGACATGCCTATCGTGAAGGTATTGTTGATGAGATTTTGCGATCTCTGAATCCACTAAATGTATATCCTGAAGAAATGAAATCTTGGTGTTTGAGAAATAAGCTGATCAATAACACCGACATTTTTAGTGAAAGAATTTTAAGTCAAGCATCTTCCAAACGTATATTAAGTGACCCAGCATCAATATTTAGATTTCCAGTTTTAGAGAAATCAAATAAACTTTGGACAAGATATGATGAAGATATGTATAGAATCTTATTTAAAGTCGGTAAATACCAGCTAAACTTAAACCAAATAAATATGGAGAATCCAAAAACTGGTTATATTCTACCTAAAACTTTACATGGGCTTATAGCTCCATACCATCCCTTACTCATTGATGAGGTAACAATTCAAATACCAAATAATATACCTTTAATTTTAGATAAAACTATTTTTGAAAATAATAATCAGATATCAGATCATATATTAAATCCATATATTTCAATTAAGAAATTTGGTATTGCAGCATTTATGCATTTATTTTGTAATCAGTTACTCCCATCTGGATTAATTGGAACTGCTTCAAATAATCAAAATAATAAGATATTGAAGATGCCTTCAACTTCTAATAATTTATCAGGGAATCCTCTAAATGATCCAAATAATATGAGTTCTAATCCGGCACTTATTAATAATCTGAGTAACCAAGTAGGAAATATCCAAACTAGGAGTGGAAGATCTATAAGAAGTAGCAACCGTGGTAATACAGTTAATATTACTACTGGTAAACGTAAGAGAGCTTCAAATAATAATAATCCTGGTGATTCTACTGCCTCATCTAGTACTCGAAATATAAAACTAAAAGTGAAATCTTCAAATAATACTGATGAATTTATAGAGGATAAATTGCACACTAATATACAAATTGAGCAAGGGATATCAACTGACCAACCACTTTTTCCTTTCATCTCATTACCTTCTCAGCCGTTAATACAAATGAGTTCATCTAGATATATAAATCCTATTCAAAATGTTTCAACTAATAATGAACTTAATCGAAATCTTATAAATCAGCAAAACTGGGAAAATTTGATAATGAATCAATATATTCAACAACAGATTTTATTTCAACAATCTCTTCAAGAACACTTTCGTAATTTTAATAATATATCCCAAAATACCCAAGGAACTCAGAATTTTAATTCAATGCCAAGTACTTTGATCAATAATGTAGCAGCTTTACTACAACAAATTCAACTACAATCTATACAACAATTACAACAACCTTGCACGTTCATATTCCACAATGATACTATGAACCATTCTAATTTTGGACAAGTTGAACCAAACATAAATAATCAGACTAGCACAAATATTTTTCCTAATAATAGTTCTACACAGCAAACAATTTTACCTAACCCTATATCAAATGTACCAATTCCATCTTTACAATCTCTTCCAGTGAACCAGAATTTAACTTATACAAATATGCTTGTAGACTCAACAAACCCGACTTTTATGCAATTTCAACAAAATGGGTATCCAGCTTCAATACTTCAGTTGTTACACCACTCATCGAGAGATTTAAATAACAATATAGTAGACAGATCTACAACATATACATCAAATAATAGGAATATTTCTTTACAATCTAATCCATTTATAAATACAATTATTGAATCTTTTGCAAAATCGCAGAATCAATCTAATCCTAAGTAATTAGCTTTATTTATTGTATATTATAGTTTAATAATTATTAAAATTTTGAAAACTAGAAATGTTATACTTTAAAACACTTAATTTACTATATTAAATGTAAATTAATAATAAATGTATAGTATTGCAAAGGAAAAGATCTAGCAATATCTTGTTTAAAAAAAAAAGAAGTTAAAGATTTACATACAAATGTCTAAGGTAATTGTTACTTTGTTGATTAATATCAACTTAAACTGAAAATAATCAACTCCTCATACTAAAGTAAAAAGTTAGTTAGGTTCTCTGTAGTATTTAAAGTAGATGACTGGTTTCTATTATTTCCTGATTGTACAGGTTCAATAATTTGTGTTGTAGCATTTGAAACAGTCTCTAATATTCCATCTATTGATGAAGATAATGAATGAAGACTTAAATGTGGTAACTGATTAACTTCAGAAATAGAACTTAAATTCAGATGTGTTGGAATAACACTCTCAATTTGAGTTATAGTACTGTTGGCTAATCCAATAGTTGCATCTTCAATTGATGTTGTATTTAATGGATTCAATAATTTTAGAGGTAGATTCAAACCATTACCTTTTGTAGATAAATCATCAAGTGCTTGTACTGCTAACCCTTCAATTGTCGTCAATGTATCATGAATATTATTTAAACTTACTTGATTTGTAGTTGAGTCTGAAATTCCATTACCTAAGTTTGATAATTTTAGATTAACAGCTTCACCTACTTGCAACATTGTTCTTGTCGGAGTTGCATTTCTTACTTGTGAAACTAAAGAATTTCCAGATATTTTAGTTGATTCAGCTGTTTTAGTAGTCGAAGAATAATCACTTCTATTTGAGGTTTCTACTGTGGAAATTGATGTATTTTCAGCTTCTTTGTATAACTTTCCAGCTATATTTGTTGAAGTTTCAAGAGATAACTGTGTTGGTCTAGCTATTGATGTTCCACTAGTATAAACTACTTGTGGTGATACTGTTGTTGTTGTAGTAGATCCTGACTCAATATTAGATTCTGAAGTTGTATTTAATGGTAATGGAAAACCAGAAAATGGTTTTCCGAAAGTTGGGAATCCGATTGTTGGTATTGTATTGATTGTTGCAGCTATTAACTGACCGGTACCTTTGGTAATTGTCTCTACAGTTCCCAATGTTGCATCAAAAGCATTTGCACTATCAACTACACCTTTTTGAGCAACATATGTAAGATGTACAAGTAGATCTGGACAAGTTACATTTGCCACAATCTTCAAGTCTTTATTTATGCAGTTAGCAACACCAAATAGGCAAATGTTCAAATAGGTTTCAGCATCAGTTGCACAAACTGGAGCATATTCCCTTGGACAAGTTACGTGGCATGGGTTTGAGGAATCTGTGACAATATCACTTACATCTCTAAAAATTCCCGTTGCTGAAACTGTTAATATAGCTGTTGATATAATTAAAGCTAAGAACTTGATCATTATAAAATATAAGATATATTTTTAAATTCTTCTAGTGAGTGGCTATAGTAAAAATAAAATAAGAAATAAATAATATTACAATAAAGTAATGTATTTACTGTAAAATATTAAGATATAATTTGTATATATATAATTCAGATACTGAAGAAAAACGTGAAAGTATTGCGAGGATCTATTTATTATTATTACGAAAACGCGTGATGCAATGAACAAAAGTTGATCAGTACCGCTTACATCTTTAATCTATAATGTCTATTTACTTCTATTTAATAATTAATACTCTTAGATATTTAGATAATATTTATAGTTCCCATGTAGAAATTAAATTCTAATTTATCTAAAAATAAATTAGCTATCATTTTTTCTTCTGTAAATAGACAAGGTAATTGTCTAATTCCCGCATAATACTCGGTATCCGTAACTAATTAACTTGAAAATCAAAAGGGATATGGAAAATTTAGGCTATACAGATATTTCTATTAGCTTAGTATTTCCAAAATGAAGTCAACACAAGACACTATTCTATTGGAAGTAAGTTCTGAAAGTATTAATTATAATATAACCGTAATAAAACATTTATATTTTAAACATAATATACTTACTATTCTCTCAAATATTTATCTAGCCCAATGAATCAGACGATATAAAAAGTGTTCCAAATTCAATAAAATCTATTGAAAATTTAGTTTCTGAAATGGGAATTAATTCATATGATCCACAAATTATTCCCTTATTAGCAGATATTGCTTTTGGTAAGTTTAGAGAAGAAAAAAGATCACTTTAAATAACTTAAGCAAAATTGTAAATCCTTGTTATTCTTCTATATAGCAATAACTGAAGATCTAATATTAAGGTCTAATGAATATGCAAGAATAAATTCAAGAGATTTTATAGAAGAAATAGATGCAAGAATGGCTATAATGGAATATATGGAATCTAATATAATGGTTCAACACTCCGATTCTGCTATGAGATCCCTTTCAACTGAAATTAATTCACTTCCATTACCTAGTGTACCTAATAAAGGAGTATTAAGAGCATGGTTTCCTAATGAAGCTATTATGACAACATCTCCTAACTGGCATCCTGATATAGAATCAATAGAAACTAGTCTTAAATATAATTCAAATAATTAATATAATATTGGATCATATCATCCTGAAGAAATTATTTGTTTCAACTTAATGTCTCGTTCTAATGACATATGACAACTTTGACATATAGTTAATTTTAAATCTAAAAAATTAAATGTTATAGAATAATTATGTATTTAATAATTTAAGAAAGTTTGATATATAAATAATCATTTAAATAGCTTACCATTAAAAGTACATATAATTTGTACATTTGATTGTTTGGGTTTATCACATCTATAACACCTAATAGAAAAAAATAAAATGAGTGGGTATTATATTTGAAGATCTTAATAATATACAATAATTGAACTTACATAAAATGAAATAGTCTTCCATGTTTCATATTAAATGATAATTTATTTAAATTATTATCTAAATCTTTCTTAGGTTGAGCAGTAAATTTCTTTAATTGTTTTATAGCTTGATTTTTCTCTCGGGTCGAACTCGTTGATCTAGATAATATCTTAATTAATTCTCCTTTAGAAGAATTCTTCTTGTTTGTTTGTAACATTTAGTTAGAATTTAATATTCAAATAAAGCTAAATATAAAGTAGATAATATTTAAAAATGATGATAATTAGAAATAATGCAATATAATATACAACAAAATCTATAAAATTCCCCAATTATGCTATTGTTTAATAGGTAACTATTATTATAGGTTAACTAAAATCTAGTAACTGTATATACCTTTGAAATAAATATTATACTCTTTCAAAGGCGCGATATTCTTTATATTAGATTAAAGTTTTATTTAGCTTAATAAATCTTCATCAAAAGGTTTATTATTATATATATATGAAGTTTCTGATATATCTGATCTATCATCTTCATTTAGTAAAGAGATATTATCAAATACTTCATCCCATAAAATATCATGTAAAGATTTATTTTTATTAAGTTTATATAGGTCAAAATATTTAGAGTATTTTTGTACAAAATCCCTCCAATTTAAACAATTTGAAAATGGTAATACATCAAATGGTGTTAGATCTATTAATTGATCTTGTGTCTCACCATACTTGTCATTTAAGTCATTAAATATTTCAGGATTAGTCCATGTATAAATTGCGATCTCAAGCCAGATTATATAAATACATGGTATTCCTTTTTTTTTAGCATCATAATATTTTTTAGTATAAAATTTGTCACAGATACAATGAGTTGGTACGTCGTTATCGGTGCAAAGTTTAGCGCCAAATTTTAATGCCCATATAAATAGATCTATACTTTGAAAGTTTGGTGTAATTTTATTTTTAAAACCAGATACTTGTAAAATAAGACTATTTAATACATTTTGCCGCATTATACTTATAATATTTGAAATGTCTGGTGCAATTTGATATATTAAATCTATATTGTTATCTATTAATTGGGATTTGGATCGTTCAAGACATAAATCTAGTTCCTTAAAATAAGCTAAATATATCGCATTAAGTATATTTTCTAAAATGAAAAGTTGGCTGTCTTTTTCATTATTTATCATTTTATTAAGTGCAGAAAATAATAGAGAATCATTTGATTGATTATTAGTATTACACATATTCAATATATCATTAATATTATCTTTAACATCAATTGAGTCTTTTCTTTGTCTCTTCTTATAACTATTTATTATACTTTCCCATTTATAATTTATTCTATTAATTGCAATATATCTTGAATAACAACTAGCATCTACTGGTAAAGGAGCTGAAGGAAAGAAGTTGTATGGGTAAACTTTAATTAGTGAATTTGAGTTTGACCAAGCTTGTTCAATATCATCAATAACAATTAATGTACGATGATCATATGGAAAAAGAGTACTCAAAGATTTGCTATTACAATCTTTAAAACCATTATTTCTATAGAATAATCTTTTAGGATGAAAAAAACGGAATTCAGGATCAATAATTCTTAAAGCAGAATATGCATGTAACTCAGTACCCATTGTATACATATATAATTCAAATTTATCCTTTAGTCGCCTTAACATATTTAGAACTCCAGGTCTAAGCTTATAAAAGCCCTGACTCCAATTATCTATTCCATTATTACTTGAATTTGGGTAAGGAATACAAAATATTAATTTTTCAATTAATTGTCTATATTTTTCAGCTTCTAATCCAAATATATTGTCCTCTTCATCTATATAGTGAGGTAAACAAGTCCAATTTTCAGGTAAAAATCCTTTATCTATTGAATTAGAAAATGTAACAATAGAACCAGAATATTTTGATATTGTCTCATAATTCACATTATTCTTTAAAATATCTTTAAGTGGAATTGTTATTAATTGATCAGATCCAATATTTGGTAATGTTGATGTAGCATGGATTAATGTATTATCTAAATCCAAGACAAGATTTAAATTCTTTCGTTTTAATAATAATTCATGGATATAATTCTTCTCTACTTCAGTTATATATGACTTACTAAATGTGAAATCAGTTACATTTGACAAAAATCCAGCATTAACAACAGGTTTATCACTATTTTCAGTATATTCTTCTAGTGTTAAACCACACTCAACGCATATATTACTCAAAAATGTACAATGATCACATATATATTTACCAAATAAATACTTTCCTATATTTATATTTATACTGATATTTCTTTTAATATTAGATATTTCATCAAAAATTTCCAATTGATCTACTATACATTCATTTATAATTTCACTATTCACAAGATTTATAACAAGACACTTTTTAGGTAAGTAACATTCAGAAATTTTCCCATGACATTGAGATTTTATACTTTTAATTAAATCTCCATTGGAATTTCTCATTTCTAAGATTGTATCATTAGGTTTTACTTTGTCATTTTCTACTTTTAACCATTCAATACTAAATGGATAATTAGTTTGCCTAAGACCTAATATTTGTAAATGATAGTTCAACATTACTATTCATATCAAAATAAATCCAATGAAAATTTTAAGTATGGTCCCTAAAACCTTTAGGAAATTGATTATTGCTGCTTTTTAACTTGCAGCAGATAAACTAAGTAGTTCTTGATAACAAGACGCGCTAATAAAAGGTATCAAGATCTTCTAATTAAATTAATATAAGATTTTACTTAGTAAAGTGGAAAAAATTTAAACTTAAAACAGCTAATGTTTTAAAATACTAAACATATTATTAGAATATGGAGCTACATACTAAGATATTACTCTAATAGACGTAAGTTTACATTATGTAGAAATTATTGCTATTGATCTATAAATAACAATAAAAAAAAAAAAAAAAAAAAATTGGTATTAGCTTTTATTCAATAATACTAAAGTTTACTGAGTTACTATTCCCCTCATATTGTTCATTGCTATTAGATGCTAGTCCATTTAAGCGTGCATAGAGATGAGGAAGGACACCTTGATAATTGTTTGTATTAGAAGATAGTTGAGATGTTGAAAAATTAATAGAATCAATCTGTTGAATAGATTGAATTTGTATTGAAGATATATCTGTTAGCCTGTTTGTAAGTCTATTTATTGATTCGATTTGATTATCAGTAATTATGGATGTAAATGTAGTGTTTCTAGGTCTATCTTGTGATGAAATATCTTGTACAATTTCAGAATGTGGATTTTGAGAGTCTATCACATAACTATTTACAGAGGTTATAATTGAATCATTTAAATTTACATTATAATTGGAAACTTCATTATAATTCTCATTTCTATTGATTTGTTCAGGATTAGTACCTGTATTAGGATCTGGTATATTTGGGGGATCAACAGGAAGCTCTTTTATACCATTATTAGGAGAACAAGGCTCTTCTGAAAGTCTTAGATTCACCACAGTTCTACCAACTTGAAGTGATAAATTGCGATTATTTTCAATAGTTTGAGCCTTTCGTATAGATACTAATGTTCCAAATTTTGAACCATGATCTTCTAGTATAAAATTTTCATTTGTATATCTTATAGTTGCATGATATCGTGAAATACTAACATCTGAAATACGTACATCTGATTCATGACCTCGTCCTAATTTCAAGTCTTTTTTTTCAGCCATACTGATAACATGTACTCCACGATGAGCATTACCATAAAGATTTTCCAACACAATAAAAGGAGGTTTTGTATAAGGTACTTTGACAATATTCACCCTATATCCTTTAATAGATGCAGAAGAAGGTAATGGACTTTTGCACAATTCACATTGAAGCTGTCTAAAAAAGAATGTATCTCTAGAGTTATTTTCATTAGCTAAATTTAATCTGCCATTTATCCAATGGCGTAGACATTCTAAATGAACGAATTTTATTGATCCTCTACATTGGCAAGGGCATAATAGAGGATCATCCTCTTGTTCACCTTCTGTTAAACATATTCTACATTGCATTGTTAAAGATTCTTCTCCACTAGGTTCTATAATACTTGCTTCAGTTTCATCCAAACGTAATTCTGGAATTTGTTCTCCAGTTCTAACTAATTGCTTAACTCTTAATTTAAATCTCCCTAGTTTAACCAAGTCATTTTGTTGTAAAGTATAACATTTACTAGGTAAATCACGTACAATTAACCAAACTTTTTTTGGAACTAACTGTCTTTCACCATTATTATTAGTTCCTAGACTTCTATCGGCAGGAAATGCAATATATTTCCCATCTCCAGAAATTTTTATAGACAACAAATAATCTCCTTGTAATGGTAACTCATCATCATCTCCAACAATTATACAATCAGTATTATGCCTGAATATTTTGCTATTTCTACTTACTAAAAATCTCCTATTATTAATATGATGAGCTTCATAATCAAATAATTCATGAGAATCTCTTGACCAAGTTGTAGTCTCGACAATTAGGCCAATATTTGTAGGAGATAAGCTTGTAATATTCTCCATGCTATTTCCAGAAGAAGATGATGTTGTTAGAGTACCACCAATCATTATATTGTTTATATCCTGTTGTGAAATATTCATTTATAAGCCTTAAAAATAAATGAACTCGGCAAATTCCCTCTAATATACAGTCAATTAAGCATTAAGTAGTCAATTCTCTAAAGCACAATAAAGGCCACAAGTACCCTATATATCTTTACCCAATATTTTAATAACTGATTCTATTAAGACTAAAATGATAACCTCTTGATACTGTGCTATTTTTTAAATTCTCTCTCTCCTTGAGATTGTGGAGGGGAAAAAGTAGGAAAATTACAATCCGTCTGTTTGTGTGTTAAAAAATATAAATGGCGGGCTTATTTTAAGGCGAGCAGAGTATAAATCGATATTAGGCTTGTTGCATACATAAATAAAATCACTAACATGAAGATTAGGACAACTATCAAAATAATATAAGTGTTAAAGTTAGCTATAATATTATTAGTAAAGTCTACCTCTTTCTATTTAATGGACTATTTCTTCCCTTAATCTGATACTATTGCTAATAGTCTAATTTCATAGAAATCTCCTTCCCTTACATTTTTAAACAAAAAGAGATTATTCTCATCTAATAAAAAAAAATATAAATATTCACCTGGTAGTATATATACTCTCCTTTTATTATTTACTAATTCAATAGTAATATAAGCTAATTATAAAAGTGCCACAAAGTAACTCCTCATTTTCATTGGAGAAGTCACACCCAATTTGTAATAATAATCGACCTAGATATTATTATATACTCATAATATATAATTATAAAGATAAAGATAACTTCTTGTGAAATATTGAATTTATTTATCTTAATGTAATAATATTTCCCCAAGGAAGCTACTTAAGTTATAAGGGTATGCAAATCTAATATATCTGTCTCCATTTTTTACCGCCATCTAAAAACCGCCAAATTTTATTATTAGCTATTTAGGTTCCTTAAAATAGAAATTTACATCTATAAGTTTGTTTAGTATATTAAAATAATAACAAGGAGGATATAATGCCTCAAGTATTTACATCATATGCGGAGGCATTTCTAGCTATATCTCCATTCCATTTTGCTTATTTTGGAGTTGCTATGTGCCTTATATTATCAGGTTTGGGAGCTGGTTGGGGTATTTTTACTACTGGTTCTTCTCTTGTAGGTGCATCTGTAAAATCACCAAGAATACGTTCTAAGAATTTAATTTCAATTATTTTTTGTGAAGCTACAGCTATTTATGGAGTCATAGCAACCTTTCTCTTAGCTGCAAGAGTTAGATCCTTACCAGATGTAGAGATTCCCCCTGAACCAACAGGTTGGGTAGCTGAATCTATTCAAGCTTCTTGGATAATATTAACGTCAGGTTTGACTATTGGTTTATCAAATTTATTTTCTGGAATTAGTGTTGGAATTACAGGTAGTTCTGCAGCTCTTTGTGATGCTCAGAAGGCTGAACTATTCCCAAAAATGTTAGTTGTTGAAATATTTGCAAGTGCCTTAAGTCTTTTTGGAATGATTGTTGGGTTTTATCAACTTTCTTTGGCCCATTTCCCATCTACTAGTTAGAATTAGTTTAATATTTAATTTAGAAATTATAATTATTAATCTTATTTAGTTACCAAACACTGTACATTATAGAATCACAATAATATTTGAAGTAAATAAATATATAGAAAAAAAAAGTTATCATCTATTAGACTAGGAATAAAATCTTTAAAATTTAGAGGTATATATTAATATTCCTTCATAATTGGAGGCATCTTCTCCTCAAATTTTGTTGGTATATCTGTATCTAGCATGATGCAGACAATAAAAATAGCTACTAAAGTAAAAAAAGCCATAACAACCATTGCAGCTATATTAAATGGAGTAATAGTAAGACCTTTCAGCGGAGTTAAAGTAGTTTCCTCTATTTCCTGACTATTACATATAGCAGCTAAACAAGCTATAAGTAAAGAAAAAAAATTTATAAAGCCTCTCATTTTAAGTTTGATATTCCACTTTGACAGATATTCAGTAAATTATAAGTAAAATAAATAAACCCACTTTAGTAGTGATAAAGGAGCTATTATAGCGCTCTATTTTATTGAGCGGTTTATACGATATCCTGTTATATCCAATATTAGGACTACTATGAAAATAGTCTAAGTGGATTCTAGTAGTAGAAAGATATCATATTTTGAAATCTCAAAATTATGTATACTAAAGTATTTTAACTAATATCTATAAGGCAATTTGATATTTGGGAAGTCTAAAATGACTTTTTTCACGGAATAATAATCATTACAAGCATATGCAATTGCTAAAGCTTGTATTGGCATAGATAAAGTTAGGAATATATTAAAAAAAGGTTTTAGAACAATTTTGAAAAATTGTTTTGATATCTCTATAGATCCAGAAATCAATTGAAAATAGCCTTTGTTACTTTGATCAAAGATCTTAATACCTTGAATAATTGGAGAATTGGATTCATCATCATCCTGTGGGAAATCTTCATATAGGTAGAACTGATTTTCTTCTACATTAAATAGATGAAATTGACACTTTATACAAATAACCAGATTTGTAAATTCACTTGAATATGGAAGTTGATCCTGAGTAAGTGAGAAATCTCTAAGCCATAATGATGAAAGATAATGACTATATTGAGATATAGAAAATTGAATCCATTCTTTAAGGTTAATTTTGAGAATTTGTGACATAATAATAAGATCACTCCATTCTAATAAAGTTAACTTTTTAAAAATATGTTTAGCTATAATCTGATCAATACTAGTACATAAACCAAGTAAATTTGGAGAATTAATATTTGTATTATGTATAGTATAGATCTCTGAATATTCCATCAAATTTTCTATGAATTGAAAATTAGAGTAATCCTGTTCTGAAAGTGGAGTATTTATATTTGGTACTGGTGATTTAAATATAGTAAAAATAAAGTTAATTAATTGATTATACAAATGATAATATTTCAAAACTTGACTGGATAGATCGAATTCAAACATATTTTCAATAATATATAAAGTATATTTCCTTCTTACTATCCATGGACCAACAAAAGATTGTATAAGAGTTAGATAGAGTGATGCTGATTCATAGTCTTTTATTTGAATACATTTTAAATACATATCTATTGGATTAGATTGAATAAGAGGAAATATGACAGATGGAGCAATTAATGAATTTGCTCTTCGAATACATAAAATAATAATATTAGACCACATACTTAATATATAATGTTCGGGGAAGAATTCTGTACAAAAAAAGAGTTTCTTAAGAATATTAATAAGTCTTTCTAGTTTATTAGTATACCAAGAAATCCTTAAACATATATCAAAAATATATTTTAATAAATTTTGCTCATCTGTTAAGTTTACTGTAGGACCATATATAAGAGCAAAATCTAGGAATTCTTGTTTATTAAAAGATTCTATATATGATTTATAACTTAATTCAATGACTTTATCTATTATATTTCCAAGTATAATATAGTAATCTTTAACTGAACCCACTAATAAAATACGAATAATTCTTTCGAAAATACTTTGTATAAGAGAAGTAATAAATTCATTTGGATAATTATATGAATATCTAATTATTGGAATTAGAAATCTTGTAATGTAATTTTCAGCCAATTTTCCATTATTCAAAAAAATTTCTTGAATTAATATTGGTATATAAGAATTAAATACACATACTATCTGATGTGAGTTTAAATTATCTGGACTAGAATAATTGACAATAGAGAATGTAGATCCTAGAGCAGGTATTATATTTAAAGTATAAACAAAATCTAAGCTCATTTGAAATGAGCATACTTGTATTGGATAAAATTTATATTTTAATACTGTCCCATTATCTACAGTATTTTGTTCAGAACTATTATTAAATGATGTTGGTATCATAAATATTTGTTGAGAACATGTTTGATACCAAATAACACCTTCCATTTTAAGATCTATAGAGTCCCAAATTGGTGGGATTGGTTCACTAGTACCAAACTTATTGTCATTTCCTTGATATGCAATTTTTATTTGTTCAATTATATGTTGATTATGAAATAAATCCCAAATTTCTATATTATGACTATTCTCTTGTTGGTTCTGAGATAAACCATTAAAGCTAAGATTTACTGACTTAGTATAACCAATTGTATAATCTAAATCTTTAATTTCAACAATCTCACTTTGGTTTAATTGAAAATAAGGATAGTCTTCATTATCATATTCATTGTTTTTGTTTTGTTTCACAATATTTTGGTTAAGTTTATCTTTAATTTCTTCTTTACTACAATCAATTTTACTAAACTCCTCTTTACTTAATATATGTTTAATATATTTATTATGAATAGAGTTTGTGTTGAAAGATACAAAACCAAAATTAATCACATTATCTAGAGCAGATTCCATTGAGAAATTTGTTTGTAAATTATCAATTGTGTGATTTAAGCATTCGATATTAAATTTAGCTTTCTTGTTTAACAATAATTCTATTTTATTATGATAAACTGCAATTTTGTAGAGATTACTATCCTCATGTAGAACTAAAAAAATCGTCTCGAACTGATTTTCAGAAATTAGTGTAATCTGTTTAGGATGTTCAATCCATATTTCAGATAAATCAATCATCCAATATAGATGAATAGGAGGTGAGTAAGAGTCTACTTTATCATCTTGGTAAGAAGTTAAAATGAAGTCTTGTGTATATACAAAAAAGCTTTCAATATTACTTCCACTATTTTGAACTACAATAAGTGGTGTACAAGAACAAAAAGGAATAATTCCAATTATATTTCTAATATCCAAAGAATTCCTAACATCAAAAAAGACTATACTTATTTGTACATTAATAGTATCTAATACTTGATTATCTTGTTTTCTTAGGCTTTCCCTGATTATTTCAATATATCTTTCATATAACCTATGTGTTTCATCCAAGGAAATATTACAAAAATGATCAGAGTTAGCAATAACATTGTAAAAAGTTTCCAATAATAAGTCAGATCTAACACATAAAAATATTACCCATTCATTTAACCAACCCATAGGTAAATTTGGTTTTGTAAGTAATAACTCATGACTAATATCGGCAAATAATCTCCATCTTGAATCGCTTAAGTCATATATTGCAATCCCTCTATATCCAGATAATGCAATAAAATTTCCACTCTTATTTAAAGATGCTTGGGAAAATGGCCAATTATGACATGTGTAAATAGATGGAGGAAGAGGAATCTTTTGAATTGTCAATTCAATAATAAATGAATCACAATAGTTAATTTGATTATCTGATTCCATAGTCCTAGAACATGGTTGTAATACTCCCAAATTATCTATTCCTAAAAGTACAGCATTTTCACAACTTTGTTGCTGAAAGTTAAATACCTCATCTAAGTTAGCTAAAGACCCTGTACAGTTTGTCATTCTATAAAAAGGAATCTCTAATAGTTGTAGCTGGAAATTAGAATTCTCTTCATCATAATTAGTATCATTAATATAATCGTCCATATTCAAAGAGGAGATACCTCTTTTTAACTGAATTAATAGGCACAAATCACTAGATATTATAGCACTGAACTGCACTGTATATAGTTGAAGATCTTCTGATTTTTTCTTATCTATTATATAAGGTTTACAAACTATCTTACCTGTAAGGATATTCAAAAATAATACACCATGAGATTCAGTGCAAATCATGAAGAAGTCACAGTTGCTTGAACAAGAAATCCATGGATTATATAGTGTGGTAGTACTTGAAAATAAAGAAGATAGTCTTAAACTGAATATGCATTGAGCCAAATTGCACCTATATGATTTACATTCTGTTTCTATATTATTTTTATTCTTTATGTTTGATTTTGTTGCTATTCTTCTTGATATTGAATATATCTCTATAAAGTAGTCTTTAAGTGAATGATTTTTATTATACCCTTCAATTACATCTTCTTCTAAACTAGATGAAGAAAAATTTGTAATAGTATCATTATTTGTTATAATCGCTATTCTATTATATTTTCCACAAAATTCAAAGTTTACAACATTTTTGTATTTCAATATAAATCCAATAGGAGGTAATATTATAGAGTTTTTGACATCTTTATTTTTTAATCCTATTCCCAAAAGTAAAGGTCGATCCCAAGTAAATATAAGTAAAGATTTCCATGGATTTAAAATAATACCAAGAAAATTAAATAAAGAATCAAATCTCAAATTCTCTATATTACAAGAGTATGAAATATCTGTATTTCCATTATAAAAAGATCTCATATTTATCATATTTAATAATTGCATAAGTCCAAATATATCTGCAGTGTTAATATTACCATCAAGTGATAACAATTCATAAACTATATCTTGTATACTAAGATCGAAAGGTTTGATATAATCATAGCTATTCTGAGAAAAATCAGTCGAAATAGTATATGAACCTTCACCTGTTCTTTTATCCTCTGTACACAATGATCCACATACTTTTAAGTGATCTGATAAAGAATCAGATACTGTTAAAGGAGCATAAACTGGAATGACCACTGATTCCATTGTTCCACTAATATCAAACAAATTATTTGATGCAGGAAGTGGAACTAAATTTCCATGAGAATTGTAGCTAGCAATTAAATTCGTAAGATAAACTGTATTGAGTACTAGTGCCTCATTTCTACAATGTATATCCATAGTCCATATAATTGGAAAATCTTTAGATGTTACCAAAAGTTTATTCTCACCATTATTTGATATTATAATAAATTGGCCATATAAAATAGGAGTTTTTATCATAAAATTTAACCTAATATAAGCATGAGACGTACCAGAATTTGAATTAAAATCAGTTTCTATATTAGTATCATCTACTTCAGCTTTAATATTTTCTATAGCTGTTCCATACTCACAAATTAACTGAAATGTAATTAGATCTTCACGTATATTATCAGCTATATCCTCTAAGGCTACTAATTCTGGAAGGTTAAATATCCCATTTTCAATTTCTTCTGCAATATAAAGGAATGGCTCACTGCTACTCTTGTACAAAAGTACTTCATTTGTCTGATTTAGGGAAGTGTTAATACTAATTGTAGAATCTCTATAAAATTCATATACAAATATAAAACTATTGTCCATTGACTTGATAAAAATATATTTGCTATCAGAAGTCCAGTATGCAACATCACTATGGAATCGGCATATATAACTATCACTTCTATCAATTTTTGTTTCAGAATTCCTTAATGTAGAACGACATAATAGAACTCTGTATCGACGATTACTGACAATAACTACATCTAATGTAGTTATAAGAGCTAAGTAATTCCCACAAGGACTTATAGAGCATGTTAGTATCTTATTATTCACGAAGTTATTATACGTCCTCGTATTGTAACAATCTGTACCAAGGAACATCGGAAAAAGGCTCGATTAAGATCTCAATGAGAACTCAAAAATATCATAGTAACTATCTAAAGGTTATCTGAAAGATCTCATTAAATAACTTCATAGTAACCTTCCTATAATTAATGCTAAAGATATCAGTTATCTATTCTAAAATCTAATACAATATACTTTAACCCACATATGGTGCCAATATTGCGGCAAATATTGCTCTTTTTTAGATTTATTGACTTAAACTATAAAATTACTAATTAAACTTAAATCCTTCTTAATATTCTTCAATAAGACCTTCTGTAATGGTGCAGATAGATACCTAATACTTTGTATACAACTTTGATATACTAGTGTATTCGTAGGATATAAATTACGTATATATGAAGGTATAGAGTTATTTATATTAATACGTTGAAGTGTCTTATTACCAAGTCCTAAACAAGGTGGGATTGTATTATCTAGGGCTTTTTCAAGCTGCCTAAAGAGTGTCCTTTGCTTTTGCCCGATAAATTGCATAGAGTAAAATGAGCCGTTCTGTCCGATAGCAATAACAACTACACGGTTTTCAACTCTAACTTGTTTCATATTCACAATACTTGTACTAATTTTACTTATTGATTTAGGCTTTAGAGTCTCTCTTTCAATAATTTGAGTTGCATTAAAATCAGGTTCAAAGACATATATATTGTTTCTATTATCTGCAACTAGTACTGCCATATCTTTAGCATTAATAATGGGCTGTGCAGCTGTACAAGTAAATTTCCATAGTGGGTGTGATCTAGCTAGCTTTACCATTGTTTGGGATCCTCTACCAGAATCTGTCCTTAGCATTCCAAGATGAATCCCCCTTCTAATATCACCAACAAAAAACAAGGATTTGAAGTGAGAGACACATGTAATTCCTAAAGGAGTATCCATAAAGGTTCCACGTATAAAAGAATTATCATCTTCCTTAAATTCATGTATAAATAATCTATAGCCAAATGTATGGATCATATAACTAACAAGAGATGATGGACTCCTTAGTCCCATGTTAGTTTGTAGAATTGGATAAGCAGCTAAAGCAGGTATAGCAGGTGCTACAGGAGCAGTTGTAGCTGGCAAGTCAATTAGATCAACACATGTAACAGGTCCACGATATACCTTTGAAAAACAAGGATTAATAACAACTATATTAGTTTGATATAAAGCCTGAGATAAACGAGATGGCCAATAACTTGATAAACCTGGCCATTTATTTGAATTTAATGGTTGATGTTTAGAATCAATCATTATAAGATTATTTTTTTCTTCATGTGTAGAGTAATTGCTCTCTCTATTTAATAGAATATGTTTTACTCTAAATAACAAAAGACGTCCTTCAGCTTCATAATATTGAGTTGGATTTGTCCCAGTTCCAACTATTAAAACATCTACTCCTTGGGAGTCATGTCCAAATTTGATATCAAGACCAACTTCCCAAGGTCCAAAGCTAAATCTAGCAAGAGGTTTTGCATAGTGTATTGTCTGATTTATTTGAAATTGTATAACTGGAGGAAATAAGTCATCTAGAGAATATATTAGTAACTCATGACGAAGTATTCCTGATTTGTAACTTGGATGATACTGTTTTAAACTTTTTTTATTTGAGTTAGTTGAATTTGAAAATTCGTATATTTCTGCTTCCTTAACTGCTTGTGTAACTAATTTCGGTAATATTTCACCTATTTCGATCCCAGGAGGTAATGAATCATTGAAGGAACTACAATGAAAGTCAACACTTGGGATTCCAAGATCTGGAATGCTTGTCAAAGATTTTTCGAAACACTTTTCAGGATTTCTAATTAGTTCTTGGTTGTATAATATTGTTTGTGCTTCTTTTCCTCCAGCTTCAAGACAGCGTAAATATCTATAAAAAGCCATTTGTTGAATATGAAAGCCATTGAGATGATGCTTTGCTATATCTGGTATTCCAACTATAAGAGCTACAAGTTTATATTTCTCGCTAAATGCTATTTTTTGAGGAATGACCTCAGGTAAACAAACTCTTCTTAATAGCCAGTTATCATATGAAGTGGCTATTGGCGGAAATATATCCATTTGATATGTAAAAGGAGATTGAAATATCTGAAACTTAATTTGGTGATCATACTGAGTTGTTAATAATATCGACATTTTTGACCAGGGTGATTGTATTGCTGAAATGCAATTCGTCTTTTTCTCAGATTCAAATCTAACAATACTGAATTTACTTCTACTTTCTATTATCCATAGAGCATTACATGTCATTTCATTGTTTTCCAGATTGTTAGGTGAGTTTATCTGTGAATTGTCTGTATCTTTAGCATCAGTAACAGAAGATGGAGGAACATAAATCCAACTTGAGCAAGTTCCTTTAAAATATTTAGTAATATGACCACATTTATAAACTGATAATGGAGGTTCTTTAGAAAAAGTATCTTCCATACTACTAGAAGAAGTAAATCCACTTAAGGGAAAAAGTGGGTAGAAATTAGTAATACTAGGGAATATCCCAGGAAGATTTGGCTGAGGGATTAATATCCAATTTATATTAGTGTCTAGCATAACATCACGCAGTGATTTATATTTCTTTCTACCCATTTTGTTGAAAGATTTATATGTCAGTAATGGACGTTTATTTACTGTAATTATAAGAAGCATTTCACCATAATTACTTAGGCTAATCATCTCAGCCGTCACCAAATGAGATGCCTCATTAAATCCTTTACCAAATATATTCGTTTTATTGGTTGAACCATTTTGATTAGAGTCACATGTTTGACTTTTCACTTGATAACATTTCTCTACAGCCTCTTGGATAGAAAAATTACTTGCTAACATATCTTCTGAGTACTCTGCTTTAAAAGTGAATTCTGGTTCTACAATAGGTGATATAATACAAGTTATTGGACGACCTAAATCAAATTCACATTCAAGTAGACGCGAAATTGTATTTTCTAAAATATAAGAATAAGGAGTTGCAACATTTCTTAATAATGCAGGTACCGCAGAGATGAATGGTGAAAAAAAAACAATTCTTTGGTGATTTTCAAGATCAATCATTATAAGAGCACCATTTCTCCAGACTTGACTATATACTATCAAAATAATTATAGAACTTTTATTGTCTAAATTGTGTTTTAAATATTTATCTATATCACCAGATTTTCTTACATCTTCCAAATACTTGCCACTATCTGAAACTGTATTTATTTTCTCATTGATTTCAAAGTTTTCCTGTGTATCTGAATCTTCATTTGAATCAAGAACAACGGATAAATGTCGAAACCAGAAAGTTGGATTGTCAGGAATATCCTCATTTCCAAATAGAGAATGTCCCTGTGATCTTTGAAAAATTAAAGAACTAGATGTAGTATAAAATTGAAGTAACTGCTGATAAAGGAGATCAAGGGATAAATGAACAAGAACAAAATTACTGTGCATTGCTATAACTTGACCTTTTACTATACTAGAATTTAGTGAATGTGTATTTTCATTAAAATCACTTTTGTTCTCTAGTTTGATAAGAGCTAGTTTAGAATTTTCCAAAAGGAGTATAATAAAAGATTTAATAATGAGACATTTGGCAACCATTGGAGCATCTAATTCATTCTGTAAAATTGTATTCATAAAGTCTAATTCTATACATCTTTGGGACATATCAGATGACAATACATAAAGACTTGAGGAGGTAACTTGGATAATATATATTCCATTATTTGGTAAACAAATAGATCCCATAGCAACTGTACTACAATCTCCATCAAATCCGTATAAACCAGTCGAGGGATCTAATTGGGTTATATCTCCAACAATAGGAGAATCTTGTTGAACTGTTTCATCTTTTATATTGCAAGCATTATAGTCATTTCCAGATTTTTTCATAGATTGCTCAATTATCTCTAGTGAAAATATATATGTTTTACCAATAGCTTCTAAAGAATCTGTTGTGAAAACTATAAATTTTGATTTGTTATTAATATCATTTATAGACCAATGGTGAAGAACTTCACCTAAAGAAAATTCTGTGATGCTATAAAGAGGTATTTCTTTCTTATGAAAAGTTATCTGACCAATTGGATAATTTCCACCAGTGCTAAGAATACATTGAGTCTCTAAACTTCTTGGTTTTGCCATTGAATCATTAGAATTATTCAATTCAAGGGTACAAAAATCACGTAAACGGTTTGGACCTAAATCCATATAATCTCTAATATAAAATTTTATTGATGAAATATCTGATACCAAATCTTCAGAATTACTATTTTTACTTTCTTCTAAATATAATTTTTCAATCATTTCAAAATCTAAATCATCTCCTGAAAATGAAATCTTTGATCTTATTCTCTTTGATTTAGTATGCTTATTTTGATTAACTTTACATGAACTAACAATGCGATCATAGTTTATGGTAAGTAAGTTTCTTAAACATTTATCAAAATTAATATTACATAAAAAGTCTTTATTAGAATCTGTGAGATTATTTTCTGTATATAAGTCTACTTTACTGAACAAGTTATTCTGTATTTCATCTCTACAGCTTATTATACCTTTCATTTCAATATCTAAAAAAGACACACCAGAACTTGATGATACATCTCCCACAACTAATATAGTACCTCTGCCAGTAGACTCTTCACAAAATAACCAAAATGCAGATTGTACTGGAAAAATAGGAATAGATATTGCCAAGCAAAATGAATCTATCATAGAGTAATCACTAATACGAGTTCTTTTTTGCAGACTTTCTAGCTTCAAATCTAATCCTATAGAACTTTGGCATATATAAGAATCTTCTTCAGTTTTCTTAGAATAACTTCTGAATTGATGAGTCCAATCCCAATATTGCTCTATTTTAAACCAATTTATAAAATTAAAACCATGAGGTTCTTCATGAGCTAAGTGCAAAATTAACCCCAAAACATAAGGTTCAACTTTATTAAATAATAAAATACCATAGTATTCACTTGTACAAATGAAATTTACAGCAGATATAAGTTCTAAATCAACCATTAAATCACTATTCTGTATAAAAAGTGGTTTAAGTGGGGAAATAAAAGATTTCACAGGTTCTGAACATGCTTCTATAGATGAATTATTATTTCCAATAATTTGTGGTCTGAATGTCAATTCATTCTGTACACATATATCAATTTCCAATTTCTTAGTTGGGATCTCATTGTAGTCATTATTTACTGTAACCAAAGTAAATGGATTATGTAAAATAGATTTTATTATGATGCAACTCTTAGAGGCAATTATCAAACCTCCAGATATAGATATATTTGGTAATTTTTCAGTATTAATAGGAAATAACTTATAACAGTCCATTGGAAGTAATTCAATCTTTTCTATAATATAAAAATTCATTATCTCTATATTCAAAGAAATAAAAATTAGATTAACACTATTTGAATGAGATTGCACAGCTCCATTACTAATAGGTCCTATCCTTGTTAGTATACCTATTCTTGGATGTGCAAATACCTCACATTTATCAGCAATAAAACATGTATCAACTATAGTATCTACAAGTAAATCAGTATTACAAGTAATCCCCCAGCAATTAACTATATTAAGTATTTCCTTTTTTTCAGAGCCTTTAAATTCATAACTTAATTTCTTAGTTACAAACAAAATATATTTAGGTAATGTTATCATTATCATTATCATACCAATATCGCTATCTTTACTTGTATTTAAAGATTCCATTTTAACCAAATCATCCATATCTATCATACCTTTACTCATTACATTAGCCTCACTTGTTTCATTAAGTAAATTATTCACTGATATAATAAATCTATTAACGATCTTCAGACAATTATAGTTTTCATCGTATTTGTATATACTTAAATTCCAATTGGAAAATAATAATGCAATAAAATCAACAGAATCATCCATTCCCTTTATTATGCAGCAACTTACTGGACTTATTATGAGGTCCGATGATGTAGTAAATCTAAATGAATTCTCTGAAATTTCATACAGTTCAATCTTTTCATTCTTAATTAATATTAGTTCCGGAAAGCCTCTTGAATCTTTATATCTTTTCTTTACAAAATATCCATACAAAGAAAATTCAGCCCGTTCACTTGTACAATATGTATTCACAATTGCTGACATAATTGAATGGAATTTATACTTCTATTCTTCCCAGCTTGACATAAGGCAGAATACCCTTTAAATTCTGTCTTGCCGCTATTTAGTACAAAATTGGGATACTTAAACTTCTTATAATTTGGTATAAGATTCATACACTTTGCACATAAAATCTCAAAAATATAGTTCTTATATATCTGGATAATTCTCATTATAAATAGCAGGAAGTGTTAGATATTGATGGTATTATATATATACCTCAAAATTTAATAAATAAATAGAGATAAGATTTCTAACATCTAATTATCAAAAAAAGACGAATATATTTGAGAAATATTGGGTACCAATATATACATTAATTTAAATGGTATCAAACTAGGCTTGTCTTAATATTAAGTAAGAAGTCTTAATACTAGCAATATGGTGCCGAGACCTCTCCCACTCTAGACAATTATTTAAGTAGTATAGTGCAAATGACAAATAAATAATTTAATTAATTAGTAAATAATTACTAAGACTTAGTAATTTCAAAAAACTATAAATCAAGTTATATTCATAGTTTATACTTTAAAAAATAGTCTTAAATTGTTAGGGCTTACTAAAAAAAGTACTATAATGAAATTCCTTAATAATAGGATTTTATATTTAATCCTGCAACTTTATCTTAACCTATAAAAATTAGTTTTTTCTGTAAAGAATAGATCTGTTTTAAGTGAATATTTTATCTTAACATCTAAATCTCGTATATTCTTAGGGTTTTTTCTGAGTGCAAATATACCAGATATTACATCTCCTACACTGCATACTAAGTCATCTTCTATGTAGAATACACATTGTTTCCAATGCGTATATTTACCAAAAGGTCCAGTGGTAAAGCTTACAGGTTTATGACCTGAACTAAAGATTACATCAAACCATACGATAAATGCATGTACAAAATCCTTTCTTTTAACAGTTAAGTAGAAGGGTGATGCAAACTCTAAGTCATTCTTTGTGCAAGTATATAGGTCTAGATCTAAAATGCAAAAAGAATTAGTATTTACAGCATTATCATTAACTGTATCTACAATAGGTTCCTCCATAATACAATTCCTAACATATTTGTAGTTGAATCCATATACATTATTCCAATAATCCAGTTTCTCTTGTTTATATTCAGCATCTTCAATACCTGCAATGAACATCTGAGTTCTATCTGGGAAAATTAATCCATCTTCTGCTAACCACTTATCACGGCATAATAGAACAGTATCTAACATTGATTCGTATAAAAGTAAATATCCCATCCATTCCGAAATAATAATATCAACTTTCTCTACAGGTAAAACCGCTTCCTCAGCTTTACATTGAATAAATGTAATTCGATCTTCTAGTTTATTATCTTTAATAATATATTTTGCTACATCGATTATTTCAGAGCATTCAATACCATAAACATGCTTAGCACCAGCTGTAGCTGCAAACATACACAATATACCAGTTCCACTACCAATATCTAAGACAATCTTATTTTCAAAAATATGTCTATTAGTCATTATAGCTTTCTGGTAGGATCCAGTTCTTACAGAATCCTTGAGCATTTCCTCATGTATTCCAAAGTGAGCATAAGAGTTAAAATAGTAATCTGCACTACTTATATTCTCTTGAACTAAGACATTCCACGAATTTTTGAATTTTTCCAATTCTTCTGTTGTAGGCTCCATGCTACTCTTAAATAATTTACTTAATTAAATTTCAATTTTTAGGAAATTTTAGAGGAAATTACTCTAAAATTTTAATTAATAAAAAGTATTATACAAAAACAATGGATGAAATTGGAGTGGAAAGATTATTTTATTATATCTCAGGGAAGAAGATGTCAGACTTCTCTATTATCTTTATAATTGCAAAACAATTGTCTTATATAAACTTTACCGCCAAATGGTTTTTTGATTATTAGCGCCTAATGGTATTATTTTAGAAAATAGTTATTGCTAATAAATATTAAATCCTTACTTTTTCAGTCATAAAAATAGAAAAATAATTATATAGCTACTGTCTCTTGTACTATTAGATATGCCTAATACTGAAGAGAAGGACTTAGTGGCTAAAGATGGATCAGAAAGTAATGATGTTAACATTGATGCACTTAAAGCATATTTCCGCGATGTCTCAAATATATCGAAATTAGAAACTGAACCTAATGTTTATAAAGGTATAACAGTTGAAGATGGAAATAGTGAGGAGAGCAAGAGCATAGTTAATAAGTTGTACGAAGTGGAGTCTTCATCAATATCTGTTGAGACTATGGATCCTAGAGCAAAGTTATATTCTGCCAAGGATTGGAGTGACTTGAATTTGTCAGAAAATCTGATAAAAGGAATTTATGCTAAAGGTTATAATCGTCCCTCTAAAATACAAGGAGCTGCATTACCCTTTATTTTGGATTCACCAATGAATTTAATTGCTCAAGCTCATAATGGAAGTGGTAAAACTGCAACATTTATATTAGCTATGTTGGCTAAAGTAGATACAGGTATTATTCACCCTCAGTGTATCTGTTTATGCCCAACTAGAGAACTTGCTCGTCAAAATATAGATGTTGCTAATGAGCTTGGGATTTATACTGGAATAACAACATGGTTAGTTGTTGCCCATGGTGATAAATATGATCGAAGTACAGGATCTCAGATAATAATCTGTACCCCTGGGAAAGTATTAGAATTCTTGAAAAAAAGAGTATTTCCAACTGAATATATGAAGATGATGGTTATTGATGAAGCAGATGAGATGATTGACCATCGGAATTCAATGGCTCCCCAAGTAGGACAAATTAGGAAATTCTTTAGACAGAATCTCCAAATACTATTGTTTAGTGCTACTTACCATGAGGAAGTTCGTCAATTTGCAGAAAGAGTAGTCCCTAACGCAAATAAGATTATTGTTAAAAAAGAGGAATTAACACTTAAAACGATTCAACAGTTTTTTGTTATTTGCAATGATGATAATGATAAACTATCTTTTTTATCAGATTTATATGCTTGTATGGCTATTGGACAATCAATAATTTTTGTAAATACAAGGAAAATTGCATTCTTTATTGCTGAAAATATGAGAAAAGATGGTCATGCAATATCAGTTATATGTGGAACACAGACTAATTCAGGAGAGAAAATGGATCATAAAGTGAGAGATCAAGTTATGGCATCCTTTAGATCTGGTGAGAGTAAAGTTCTAATTTCAACAGATGTTCTATCTCGTGGTATTGATGTGCCACAAGTTACACTAGTTATTAATTTTGACTTACCTCTTCAAACCAATGATATTGGTAATATAGAGACTAGAAATAAATTTGGAGAGTTAAATGGATATTCTAATATATATAATCAATCTAATCCTATTGAAATGGTTAAAGTAGATAATGAAACATATTTGCATCGTATTGGAAGGACAGGTAGATTTGGCTTAAATGGAATCTCAATAAATTTTGTCTTACCCAATCAATTATCATTAATTAAACAGATTGAAACATATTATAGCTGTAAAATACAACCTCTTGATAGAGATATTGAACACCTGGAGAGTATTCTTAAATCTCTTAGGGAATAGATTAAATATTAGATATTAGAACAGATATTAAGTAGCTTGATATATTAATAATTAAGTTTTTATCATTATAGTATTTCATATATAATTATTTATACCCTTAAAATTATCCAATTCATTAATATTAATTTCTAGAAAAGAAATAATAATAAAAAACTTAACTATAAAAGGCGATAACGGCAGGATTCGAACCTGCGCACCGAGACGGTATCAGTTTTCGAGACTGACCTCTTAACCACTCGAGCACGTTATCATTACCAGGTAAGTGCTCCCTTTATAAATCCAAAGGAGGCATGAAATATTTAAAACCAAAATTAATTTACAATATAATACATTATCCTTAAATATACTACATGTATATTTGTAAATATATTAGATAAAAGTATAATACTATGCAACTAAATAATTTAGATAAGTTAACTAAGATTATATACTATTAGACAAGTCACTATTGTCTAATTTCTTTTTTTTATTTAAAAGGAAAAAACAAATAAATAATAAAAATTGTAAATACTAGGTGGTACTTACTTATTTAACTACTAAAAATATCTTATTAACTTTGAAATATCTCCTTTTATTTTTTAGTTACTTTTTAAAAGTAATATATCAATTTTATAGTTATTCCCAATTCATATACTCATCTTGTAATTCACCAAGGCATTCTCTTGCATTCCCCTTTTCAATACAATATAATCTACCTTCAGAGTCAAATGTCATAAATACAACATCTGTTATCTGAGTAATAGAAACTAATTCCCCAATAATTCCAACACGATTTTCAACTCCTAAACTTGAGCTTCTAAATTGTGCATTATCCTTTATTACAACATGAGTTGGATATTTTGGACGAAGTATATTTGTACATTCAGTATTATTCATATTTAGGATAGCCAAAATTCTTGTATAAATATGAGGATTCTTTTTCTTGATAAAATAGGAAAAAGTAAATAGTATGGGTATTATAAGTAATCAAGTTGCATATATGCAACAGGGACAAAATGAGCGCTGTGTCTCATTTACTTGCGAGTGATATAATAAGGTGCAAAAAGATGATAGTATAATCCACATTATTGACTTAACTAAATTTTTTAAATATAAAGATTCATCTCTTTATAAAGATATATAATTTGTTGTATCTATTAATAATCTGTAGAGCTAAAATCCTTTTTTTTATAGTACTATCTAATATTGTGTGCAAAAGTACCAATAGATCTAAAAATTTCATAATATTATAAATGGGTCTTTAGAGATTATCATTAACTAATAATTTACTTCCAAACTATATAGAGATGTACTCTAATATAATAATATATAATAGTCATTATTAAATATTATAATAATTATACATAAATATCCGAATCATAACATTACAAACACTTTTTAATGTTAAATTTTACTTTAATGTATATTTATCCAGGATATTATTTATATGAATTTGTTTAATATATATCTAGTTATAAAAGTAAAAAGATCAATATTTTTGGAGTACTTTTTATTCAAATAATTATATAAAAGTTAGTATTCTATTCACTTACATTTGATATATTAATATTTGATGGACTTGCTTTAGATATTAAATTATCTGTATCATCAATCATTCCAAATTTACCAACCAGACTTTTTGATGATATACATAAAGATAAACTATAATCTATTATATCATTTAAATTAAATATAGAACAAGGCTTTAAAAAATAATAATTAATAGATATATAATAATAGAAAAGATAAATATTATTTGAAATTAGTCATACCTGTAATAAACCATCTAGATAAATATCAAATTTTTTTACTGGAGCTTCAGAAACATTATTTTCAGACTTTTTAATTTCTAAGTGAAGTCTTTTTGGTTCAATTTGTAACCCAGCACCAATACATTTTACAAAACATTCTTTTAATGTCCAAAGATCCATAAATTTTTTTACATCCTTATCTATATATTTCCACTCAGATTTATCAAAGACATTATGAAGATTACTAAAAAGTTTTTCTCTACCCTTAATTTCAATGTCTTTTAAATTAGTACTTGATTCTTTTACTTGATTTATTATACGACTAGGTATACATGATTTCATTATATCTATACCTACAATATATTTAGAAACTGCCACTACAACAACTTCTTCATCATGTGACATATTGAAATTTAAATATGTTCCCATATCTTCTTCTGTATTACTATAAATTAGATGTTTATGATTTGGTATTCTTGATAGCTCTCCCTTAGAAATATCCCATCTTGGTTTTTTGCCATGAGTTCTATATATATTAACTTTCGATGGTTCTAATCCAGAGTATTCACTTATACAATACCTAGAAAGTACCCGACTTATTAAACTTCTTTTTTTATCAAGTAATAATCTATATCTAAGTGTTAATTAAATATTAATGATATTTTTCAAATATTTCAACTTTTTTGTTCACAAATTCTCTTATGAAATAAAGATATAGTCATATATCTCTTATAATATGGCTATTAGATATTTTAAAGAAAAGACTTACTTTTGAATTTCCAGATATTCGCTCTGTGTCAAAAGTCCATTACTTGTAAAATTATATTGTATAACATTTATATCTTTAATTTCACTAATTTTACACCAAAAAATACACACAGAAAATTCATTAAGTAATTTTACAAGATCAAGCATGTAATATTGTATAATATAATTTATAAATACCAAATATCCTATTATTCTTTTATTTACTTACAAACCCCAGTACAAATTAGCAAAGAAAGAAAAAAACCGCCAAAAAAGTCTTTGCATATATCTTGGCGGTTTTATGGGAAGCTATTATTTCTCATGAAAATCAAAATCTATCCCTTAACTGTTTATATATAATAGTATATATGGGGAAAATATAAGGATAATGCACTATACCATCTCGAAAAAAAATCCTTTAGGCTTATTACCATCTCGTTTTTTACTAGATTCTACAAATAGCATTAATTGGACTGGTTTAGCTGTGTGTATTGGTAAGATTTTAGTATATTATCCTGTTTGGCTATTAATCAACTATACATCTAATAAATGGTATAATGAAAATGGTCCTTTTATTATAGGGATGACAGTAGTTTGCAGTTTAATTAATTATACAATTTATATACTAACATCATTTAGTGATCCTGGTTACTTGAAGACATGTCCATCTACATTGCTGAAACCTATTAACAGCCTAATTGATTCATATAATGATGCAATTTCCATTGAACTAAAGAGTTTTGATAACCAAAATTTAGATATTAATACTACTACTAATAATAAGGAACTAAATTTTACGTTTACATCTTCTTGTGATGATATAGATCTTGATTTAAACCATGACAATTTAATAGATTCAGATTTATTTATAGATGACAAGGATACAGAATTAGAAAATTTGGAAAAGGGGATTATTGATATAAATGACAATAATAATGTAACTGATAAGATTTTTCTATCAAACTCAATATTGTACGATAATACTTGCTTCAATAATAAGGAACTTATATCACCTATTAGGCTAGATAAGAGTACTGCAGCATTAAGTATAGCAATAGAAAATGTTCCTAGTCAACTAATTCAAAAAATTGCAATGAAATCACCAATAAATATAAATAATATGATGAATAATTATCACTTTGAAGGTCGCAAAACTCCAGAACTTGAAATGGATAACGCATTTCAACTGTCAACTGAGGCAACAAGTATACAGAATGATTTTGATGTACCACAATCTCCCTATTCTTCTGATGAGATTGACTTATTACCACGAATTAAAAGTCATAATATAAATTCGACTACTTTTCGAAGTTCAAATGGCTTTTATACATTTAAAAATGGTAGAATGTATCAAAAGGGAATAAGACTAAGATTTTGTGATTATTGCAGAATGTATCAACCTTTGAGAACTAAACATTGTATCGATTGCGAAAGATGTATAAGAACCCATGATCATCATTGTCCTTGGATCGGTCATTGTATTGGGGAGTACAATAGATGCAAATTTTGGTGGTTATGTTTTTTTCAATTACCTGAATGTATATGGATTTTATATTGCATATACACGGTTTTATTTACAGCAAAATTGACCAAAATTAATCTTACTTTATCCGATGTTTCTATACTAATTTTGGTTGCTTCGTTAAGTATTTTTATGGGTGCTCTAACTACTTTATTAATTGTATATCATTCTTTTCTTGCTATATATAATCTGACAACATGGGAAAATTTGGCATGGAACAAGATTTCCTATCTTAGATCATATCCTGAAAATAATGAATCACCTTTTTCTAAAGGTTTACTATATAATCTTGCTGTTTATTGCATACCTTATTATGTAGATGATCTTCAATTAGGTCAAGATGGCGAAATTTTATGGGAATTATGCAATAAAAAGATTTTAAATTAGTTATAAGTATATCTGGCAAATGTAAGATATATTATGAAATATAACTATGAAAAATTATTTTAATAGTAATATTAACAAATATAAAATATAAGATTTAATTTGGAACCATAAACTTTAAAATATTCAACTACCTCAAGTCTATATTTATATACCTTTATATACTCAATTATTGGAATTTTTTTTTATTATATATTTTACTAATGAAAATGGAAAAAGAAAATATTATTTCTAAATTATTAAAGAGATTTTATAGACTATAATATTTGAATATTCAATGATATCTTTGGAAAATCTATAATACTCATACTCATAAGATATATAATTGAAGTGTTTCAAAAGAAAATATTATTTTAATTATGAGGTAACTATTAAACTAGCTAAGTATATTTAGATCTATATCTAAATATTATACTATTAAAGGTATAAATTCTATATATTTCATTTTATTGTAATCCAGTTAGTTAATTTCAGTTATATATGAAATTATTATCATTACTATATTCATACATCTAAATCTCACATATATATATCCTCAATGATTTATAAATTAAATTATTGTAAATACTGGAAGTATATTATATATAAATAATAATAAACTAATAATCATAAGATTTAAATAATTAAAAGGGTTCTATTCATAATAAATTATAAGTATTAAATAACTAATAATATCTCACTTAAATTAATCTGTCATAGAAAGATATTGGTGATACTTTTTCCCACATTTATATAAAACTTAATATTGAAATCTGAGTAATTTTTAAGTTGTAATATTATTCATTGATATATAACTAATTAAATATTAATATAACAACAATATATACACTATTTAACCATCTATACTCCAGTATTCCCTATCTTTTCTTCTTGGTTTCTATAAGAAAGAGTAAATAAAATAAGATCCCATTTAAACCATTATTCCATATAAAGCTTACCTTTCTTTGAATCTTTTTATGTGTCTTTTGACTAAGCAAACTATTTACATATATAATATATGTAATTACTAATGCAAAACATATTAAAAGGAACAATGATATAAAGAAAACTGAAGACATTACATATTTTATCAATTATCATGTATAATCTATAAATACTAGGAATATTAATGAGATTAGACAGAATCTTCAATATATTTATTGTCAAATATAGTTCTTAAAATTCACTTAAGACACACTTTAACACTTTTTTTTTCAATATATATAGTTTGTGAAATAATCTAAGTACTTATAATTCAAACCCAGAAGAGAAAAATCTCATATTAAATCACAATAGTCTTTGGAGATATTTAATTATATAAAATCCATATATGCCTAAAATTTAGCAATATTATATTTCCAAATAAAATTAAAGTTTTGGAAATAATTTATTTACTATATTTTAGCAATATTCCTGCACCTCTATTATACCTATTTTTAGTTACTAGTAACCGATTCCCAAGGATTTCCATTATTTACTATTAGATATTATTGGGTCATATATTGAAGTATTATTCTAATCTCACTAAAAGTTCATATTTTCCTGGTATTTAAATACGTACCTGGATCCATTTTAATGTAGAGTTTAATAATTTAATATTTACTTTATTAATATTATCAAGCAGTAAATTCTAGAAGTGTCTATTTTAACTTTAATTCTTTCTTTAAATACTAATATTAAATGTAAATCTTGTAGTTATCTATACTATCTAACCAAACAATATCATCCAGTTATTCCCACTTCACCGCATCCAACCCCCCCCCCTTTTTTTTTTTGTTTCCTAATGTAACTACAAAACACTAAAGGCGCTTGAAATTATTTAAGGCGGAGCTTTTACCGCCTTTGATTTTTATGCGGTATTATGGAATTTTGTTATGCTGTCCAGGTATAGTGGTAGCTAAAAATAGAAAGGTAAATGGTTGCTCCTATTATAGTGTGTGAAGATATTTACTGGGAATTTATCTATTAGTAATTTTTTAGCATCTTCTATTTTATACTTTGTAAAGATTAATGCATTAAGAATTAAAATAAGGAAGACGTAATTTGAATATATAAAACTCAGAGGATTAACTAGAAATGGGAGTAGCAGAAAGTATTGAAGATTTTACAGAAGATTTTGAGATTGAAATGAAGGACTTTGATGAGACATTACAAGATCATGTATTTCCATGGTTCCATATTGTACAGTGGGCTAGTGAGGACTTACCAATAAATACAGTCTTAAAGTGGAATTACAAGACTATTAAAAAAAAGGTGGAGGAATTAACAATAGATACCAATGAATTTCTAAAGAGTTGTCAATTATATAAAATAGATAACTTTTCATTAGATGATGACCAGATCCCATATGCAGAATGGGCTGCAGCCCTACTTGTATTAATACCTTCACTAAGTAATATTAGATATGAACTTGTACCACGGAGAATGAATGAAAATTTATTTTGGCAGAGGTATTTCAGTACTATACGAAATATTATTATAAGTGATGTAAGTTATGTATTATTTTCAGATTTATTTGTATATTATTTTCAAAATTATATTTTATTTATTTATTTATTTATTTATAGGTTATATTATCTACTGAAGATGTAAATGATAACTATACTAAAATAAATAATACCAGTTTATGCAATACAGACTTATATAATAAGGATATAGAATATGGAAAAGATAATATTTTACCAGATCATGCAAATGATGCAAATGTTGAGGCCAGTACATACAACACTAAAGAATCTGAATTAAGAAAAAGTAACAATACCATGTCAAATATAGAGAGTAATGAGGAACACTGTTATAATTATAGTCAGGATATTAATATTTTGGAAAAAGTGAATTTAGATACAGAAAAAGTAGATCTTAAAGATATATTTCTACATTCGAATAATGAGGAAACAAAGATTTTGGATAATTTACCTGTAATCCAAAGTGATAATGTAATTATTGAACCAATGTATGGAACAGATATACTTTGTAGTGGAAATATTGAAGACAAAGTTAATACTTATGAAACTACTAATGAAGATCATAATAATACTTTGAAAATAGATAAATCTTTATATAGAGATTCTGTTGGTGAAAATAAAGAGAAATATGAAATGGTAGATAATGTGGAAAATAAACATGTATTTGAAGATTCTACTCAACATAAAGAAGTTAATAGTGAGGTTCAAGTAACCAATGAAGTTATAGATGAGAATTTAGATAAACAAAAGTTCAAATCCATGGAGAGTTGTAATATAGAAACTGAAACTAAACATATTAATACTAATGAGGAATTAATGACTTTAAATAAACATAGCCAAGATCATATTCATAATGATCAGGAATCATATTTATGTACTAAGCAACCAAATATAGAATATAATAATAATAACTCTTCTAATTCTTCACAAGTATTACTATATTCAAAACTTTCTAATTCACTGTCCATAAATAAAGAATTTGAAAAGGAACAATCACATTTAGGAGATGCACTTCATGATATAAATGAATCTAATTGGGATAATAATGATATAGATAAGGTAAATACAGAAGATAAAGGAGTAAATAAAGATTTTATAAGTAATAATAGTGATATTATAACAGACACTAAAACTTCATATCCTTTAGCCTTAAATGCAACTCAAAAAAATATTTATATGGACTAAATAAATTTATTGAATACACAAAATAATGTAAAATCTACTGATAATAAAGAATTAATAAATTCTAACAATCAAGTGATAAATTTAAATAATGAGTTAGATCACACTAATATCACATATCAAGATTTAACCTATCTAAATGATTTGAAAGTCATTTCCAAAAATGAAACTGAAATTGTGAGTGATAATCAAAGTACTAATAAGAGGAATTATGATTTAAATTCTAAAAATATTTGAGAAAGTGAATTTGGCAGAGCATTAAGTAATGGTACTATACATGATTTAGTGCAAAGTAAAGATCATATGGAAGATTTACAACAAGTTCATGGTATATTACACTATAAAAGTCTATCATCTTACCAAAACAATAATGGAAAGCACTGAAACATGAAAAGGATTATACTACTTCATACTTTATTAATAACTAATGTTCAATATTATTATTGTAGTCAATGAAATATATCTACATCTAATTATCTTAACAAATCTACAAGAATAAAGTATAATTCAAGAAAGAAAGGAATTATATATAAATAATGTATTAGGCAAATTAGTCAAAATACTTCACTATAAGTTTTCATTTACTATCTTGTAATAGTTAGATTATAAGATCTAAGATCTTTTATATTGAAGATATTTAGTCATTATTTTGACTGTACGAGAAATTTTGGGAAATATCTCTATATTTCTAGCTATCTGTACTTTGTCTAAGCCAAAGATATTCAGAATAAATTCAATATCTTCTTGTTTATTTCTATACATAAATACTTGTTTAAACATAAATTAATACATTAACATTCTAGTATTTATATTGAATAATTCAATATTAATTCATGGTAATATAACCTGTTATATTGTTTAAACATGATTTTATTAATAAACTAGCATCCTAGTTCCAATATGTACCTCATAAAACCACTTGAATAAATTTAGATTATTTAAAGGCGCATACTAACAGGTAACCTTTGAATCAGTTATAACAAATACACTAATAACTACAAAGTAATCAGACTTGGTTGTTGAGATGATTCTGATGCCATTACATTATCATTACCACTCATATCAATCTGACCTGAAAAATAGGAGTTAAGTTGAGAGTCTAGACGAGCTTTACAAGCATCAACACCCATATAACTATCTAGCGCAGCATCCTAAAGAAAAAAGAAGAAAGTTGTTTAAAGAAGTTCAAAAATTCCCCATCAATATTATTTTCAAATACTATGTAATATCATAGTCCTCATTATTGAAACATACCAAAGAAGCCATTGTTGTTTTCTGAGATATTCTATTATTTCCTTTCCCATTTCTACCTTTGCCACGACCTCCTCTCATACCACTCCTTCCTCTCCTTACATTATTACTAATATTACCTCTAGTACTAAATTTACCCCTAGTGTTAGTTTGTCTTCTTCCAAATCCAGGTTTACCTATATTTGTAATATTTCTATTATTACCTGGACGAAGTGTCTTTCGTTTATTTAGACGCCCAATACTTGTATTTACTCTACGACCACCATGTACCTCAAATATTCGACTACGGCTAGTTGTCGAGCTACTAAGAGATTGTCTCCTCTTTGCATTTCCATTTGCAATACTTGACTTTCTAAAACCTCCGAGACTGTTCCCACGACGTGATCCAGATATACCTATAAACAGAACAAATATATATATATATATATATATATATGCATATATATCTAAGTAAGAATGCAAATAAAAGAATAGGAATAATAATTGGTATATCAGTAAAATAGAATGAAAATGAAATCTCGCAACAATTCAAACCAATATCTTCAACTAAGAACCTAACATTTCCAATTATATTCAATAAGTACCAAGTATTAATGGGAAATCTAAAATTTCATTGATTACATTCAAATATATTCTAAATGTTTAGTTAAAATACTATATATATAAATGTATCTATAATTAGTCAAGTATGCAGATCAAATAGTCTAGAAATAATCCAAAAGTAAATCTTTCCAATAACACTAAATTTAAATAAAAAGTATACGTTAGATATATATCTCATTAGTAGTTTAAATATTAAATATTATTTACTTTATTTCTTAATTTTTATAGGGTAATATATCCATTTATATATAATAGTCACTAAATATATGACTAAATAAAAATAACAATATAAAATTCAAGTAACATATTACATTGAATATAATTTGAATGTTGCATGTATTACATTTCATCTATTTCTAATAGTTATCATTCCATTTACTTTTAATATTACTTAACGAACCTCGACCACGTGCAAAATTACCTCTATACTTGGTACCAAATGATCTAACCATTATTGATTTATTGATTAGTAGTAACTTAAAATTCAATTAAATCAGATAATTATTAATAAATAAGATTTAAAAAAAATTCTAATTTCTGTATCGAGTACTTTTTTAAAAGGGAAAAATAACCCAATAAGTAATATAGTTGTCTCCACTATTAGCGCCTTATGCTATTGAGTACGGTACCCCTCTATTGTACGTAATTGCATGTACTGATAAGTTATAAATATATAATTTATGATATAACTGAGGATTTCAACAAAATATATAAAATAAACAATATATACTAATAAAGGAATAATTCACTCTTTAACAAATTTAAACAATATTGTATATAAAAAATTCATATTTTAGGCTTAATAAGTATATGTTTGCCTTCTAAACGCGCTATTTAATATAGATTAGATTCTAATTATTAAATTTTATCAAGGAAATAATAAATATTTCTTAAAAAAAAAAATATTTAATTCAAGTATAAAATACCACTACTAATTTCTCTTCCTAATTTTCTTTTTATTTATTTCATGTTGATATTTTGCAGCCTCATTAATAAGAGACACTAAAAGTGATAAAATTATAAAGATTGTTATTAATGTAAATATTGCAGATATTGTTAATTTTTGTGATAAAATATTCCAAAGTGTGTTAAGTTCAAAATTCTTATAAGGAGAAGTCATGTTCTTATTACTACTATCTCCAGAACTTAATATATATCTTATATAATTTAATTCTTCTTGTATTCTTATTTTTAAATTATCTTTTCTTCCAAAAATTACTGATAATGGCCAAAATTGAACAAACCACATTATTATTTCTGCATGTTGACTATCATATCTCTTTGAAAATAAAAATACCAGAAAGGTAGTCTGAAGTAATACTTTTACAATACATTTTCCAAGTACTAAGGCAATAAAAAAGTTCCAAAATGGCATCATAAAGTGACCACATACAATACCGCATAAGTCGAACATTAAATTTGGCCAACAGCTTAATACAAAAACACCATATCCACCTAAATTTTCAATTAACTTCAATATTATAATTTTCATTAATCTTATAAATTTACCTTCATTGTTATTATTCACAATTTCTATATTAAAACTATCTAGTTGATTTTGTGTAATATCAGTTCTATCTAAATTTTTATAGTTCTCATTTGTAATCATTGTAGCTGTTTCTTTAGACAAATTAAAAGTACTTTTATAAGCTTTCACTTCATACTTACAATCATCTAAATCTTCTATTATATTTCCTTCTTTACTAATTTTATCATTTCTAATAGATCTCAGATCTTCATTTTTAATATCATTAGCATTTGCAATAAATAAATGACCTATAGCACCTTTAATATTATTATTAATATTCAAGCGAGCTTTAGCAGCTGCATATGCTGCCGCATATGGTGGAATCTCTCCTAAAACAGTACCAAATCCCCATAAAAGTGAATAAGGTAAAATTTTTAATAAGAGTGATAATAATGAAATTGGTAAATCTATTTCATTTGGCTGATCTTGTATATTACAAGGAAAATACTCACCAGGTCCTAGTATATTTCGCCACATATTAATTCTTGGATCGAAATTAAAAGTATTGAAAGTTTCGGCTGTAGATATGATAGAATATATATGAGGAAATAAAAATAGTAACCCTGTATGAAGACCACATCCAAGACCAACAGAACTCAGGAAACCTAAAAATACCCACCACACTATATTTAATATAGTAATATATAGCTCTCTATATAATTCAGTATGATAACCTTCAACAAAGCTTGTTATCCATATAATTATTCCTATTAAAATTAAGAGTATTAACCCCTTATACCAATCTGAAATAATCTTTACAACACTTTTTTTTAGAAAATTAGATACAAATATAAATGCCAATGTTAAAGTTAGCCATGGGTTTTTTAATAGATGAATATCCTTACTATTAAGATCTCCCATTAATTCTTGAGTTTTATCAATATATTTATCAGCCATCTTCACAAATATCTGTCAAATTACCTAACAAAATACGTATTTGCAGTGAATTTAGACTAATATTTAATTAGTATATTTTTGAATTTAATTAACATTTATCCATTATATTATTTTTCCATTAGATGTAAGTGCTAGGGGGTTTTAAACCATTAAATTATAATAAGAAAAAAAATACAAAAACTTAGGCGGGTTTTTTGCTTGCTATTTTTCCCGCATTATGGTGATTTTTGCATATGACAACAAGATTGGAATTATTTTATGACCGAAATCTCTTAAAGAAAATTTTATTATTCTAATTCAATAAAAGAAGATTTCTTATACTGAACTATTAATTAAACAATTATTATATTTAGTTTAAAATGATCATTTATTTGAGGTATACCTATAGACAATATAAGAGTTTTATATCTTCTACACATGCAAATTCTTAATAGTCTCGTCAACGATTTACCTAAAATCTGACAAATTTTACTTGATAATACATTAAGTACATTTCTTTTTAATATTGTTACACTATTATTTTGATTAACTACCTATATATTTCTTTACTTTTTCTCTATAGAGTAAATTTATAGATATCAAAATGAGTATAGGGATTAGATGGTTCTTTGCAATTACAGCACTTACTTACCTATTTCAGGTTAACCTAGGTATTCAAATTAATACTCAGAGTAAAAATGAAATTTTACCATATAACAAAAAAGTTACTAAAAGGAAGCTAACTGTTACTGAACTAGCAAAGTTTTCAATTGGAAAGGATAGTAATATCCAAGATAGAAGACTACAAATATCACTTAGTGATCAAGAAGTTGGAAATAGTTCTTTACCAATAAGTACTTTATTAAATAGTACTTTACCCGAGAATAAACTGAATTTACAACATTCTAGTTTAGACAAAATTTTAAAACAAGAGGATTTATCTAAGGAAAAAAATAAAAATTCTGAGCTACTCAATAACTCAAGATCTATATCAACTAATATAACAGAAACTACTAATTTTATAAATACTACTACAGTCTTACCATCAACAATATCTAATAACGAAACAGTTAAAAGTATTGTACCAAAAACTTTAAATAGGAATACAACAAATGATAATAAGAAACCATTTGATAATGTATTTCAAATGATACAGAACCCAGATTGGGTAGCTACTGATGGTGATTATCATTTAATTGAATTTTTTAGACCAAATTCAACAGAACCATTGGTTCGTTTGGTTAGTTTAAGTGTTGCTATGTATAATACTAAACAAGATACTGATGAAGCTAAGAAATTAATTGAGTTATTATTAGGACCAATTAAGGAATTTGATTCAAAAAATAACATTATGACTAATGAAGAAACATTTGATAAAAATATGAGCTCTTCTGAAGTAGAAAGTGAGATTACAGATTTCTTGGGTATATTAAGCAACATGATTTTGTTTTAAAATAGTTTAGTTTGATAGTAGAAATAAAAAAAAAGAAAGATTCAGTTTTGTATTTATTTTTTAAGGCTTAAATTGTATAGATTTAAAATATTTAATAATTGAATGTAGTTTTGCAGCTTCTTCTTTCCCATTACTTCCTAAATTTTCACAATAGTCTTCAATATTATTGAGAATATCAGAACCTTTTAAGTTATATTTTAAAAATAGTTGTTCAATATTATTAATTGGTAATGGTGCTGAGAAGAGTTTTGAATTTTGAGCTAAATATACAATTAGATGTAAAAGAATTAGATCAATTAATTGAATAGTAAATAAACCAGCATCTACAAGTTTGGAATTTTGGATATCATCTAAATTATTATCATCTAGAAAATCAAATGCTTCCTCAACATTGTTGGAATAAAATTTCCTTAATTTAAGTATTGCATCTGTCTTTATAAAATCATGTTCCACAAATTTGTTAATTACACGTTTTAAATTTTTATCTAGTAAAAAATAAAATGTAATTTGGTTAAAGAAATTAAGATATTTCTAAATAAAATATTAACTCCCATATATTAAAAGAATTATAATTCTATTTAAATTTTTTTTCTGTAAATATATAAAAAAAAGAAATATTTTTATATACTTGAGTTTATTTCTGTTAATATATATAAATTATATTTTTAATCAATTATGATGTGATTCCATAATCATTTCTTTTAATATATAGGATACTAATAAAATTAAATTTATACTTACCATTTGAGTATTGTATTAGTGATTGAATAATACTACATATATGTTCATCTAGATCACGTTGTTCAACATTTCTAACTTTTTTTTTTTTATCCAATATTTCTATTGAGTAAGCTAATAAAGCAAATAATGGTTTTAATCCATACCTATTAGGTATTAAATGAAATATAAAAATTAAATAATTTCTCAATAAATAATAATAAAAGATTCCAACTTACATTTCAACAAATAAATTACAATTTTCACTTGAATTTATTAATGAAAAAGATATTATTTTAGTAGCCAATGGACGCAAAAATATTGCTTCACGCATAAGCCTAATCATTAAATCAATACCTTCTAGCTTATTAAAAACAATTCTTGCCTCATTTTCTAATAGTATAACTGATAGAATATCTGATAAATTAAACAAAAATTCTTTTTCTTCAATAAATTTCGGTTCTTCTTTTCTTAAACCAAATTTTGCTAATGTTATCAGTATTAAATCTAAAATAGAATTATTGCAATTCTCAAAAGTATCTCGGCAACACTCTAATGAATTCTGAACAAGAATACATAGTATCTCTGCTTTATGTGCAAAATTAGAATTTATCTCTGATTTTTCAGACTTTAGGCAACTTAATAATATGTTATATAATTCTTTAGCAGCAAATATTTTATTTGAAACCTGAATAGGATCTATATCTAGTAAATTTTCTATAAGTTGTAATCCTTTAGATATAGCTGTATCTATATTTTCCTTATTATTATCTATATCTGTAGATATACTGTTTTCTAAATTCATTAATACTTTTCCAATTAAATTAAATTCAATACTATGTTCAATTGATTCAAGTATATTTAACCAGTATGTCTTATCTGTGTAATTTTCAATTGATATATCATCATCACCTTCATTTATATCAGGATCAGTAATATCACACAATATTCCTAGTATAACCCCATATATCTCATTTGCACTAGTATTATTTATAAAATTATGTTCTTCTTTAATATATAATAGTTGTCTAAAAATATTCATACCATCTAATTCAATAAATTTTAGAGTTATCTTCCTTGATACTCCAATCATCCATAATTCTGTTATTTCACTACTTATTAAACTATATATATCTACTACATTATTAGAATCTTTATATAGCCTTGATAATTTTGATTTTAAAATATCTAGAAAACTATTTAAGTTTTCTATTGTCAAACTATTAACTTTTGTATTATCAATATCTTCAATAGTATCTTCTTCCTTCCGAATAGATTTTTTTTCTTCCAAACGTATTTTTTTATTATGTTCGCATTCCATCTAATATGCTAATTCTTTTCTAGTTTTTTAGTTAAATTCTACTATTGAGAAATATGTTTAAAAAGACTCAATAAAACTAATGGTATTTGTGTTATGTAATAAGCCGCCTAAGATTACTATAAAGTTATTCCTTATTAATCTTAATCTAATTATAAAGAGAAATGATATAGTTAGAAATAAGAACAAGTAAAACATATATAATATATCTTGTATATAAAATAGATAATTTCTTAAAATCTAAGCTATAAAGTGTAATTTCTATAATTTTAGCTTCTATAAAATTACTTTAAGATTATATTACTCATAATATAGAATATTTTATTACTTTTTTCTTTAAAAAAAAATAAATTTATGTTTATTTTAAATTTAATTTAATTCATTTTAATATTATTGTAAATATTTAGGAATATATAAATGACCAATATATTTCTAAATGAGTTAATAAGCTAAATAAAACTTATAAATTGAAAAATTAATAAAATATAAAAAAAAATTAAATAAATAGCTTTAGTGATATTCAATTTAATAAATAAAATTTATATTATTAAGTATGCATGTAGAAAAATAATTCAAGATCTAAAAACTAAAAACTAAATTATACCCGCTAATATTACTAACTCTGATCCAAATATATTACTTAAATTTAAGCGGGTAAAGGGTATCGAATTAACTTTGGAGTATAGATAACTTCTAACTTTAAAATTTGAATACTCTTTAGATTGCAATTATATGAGATAGGGGTATAGATGTTTTTTTTTCGCAAGAAAACGGATAATAATGAAGGAAAATGTGAAGTAGATGTTGACTCAGCAAGGGAGAAAACTTTAAAGGCAGCACAGGCTCTAGAACAAACTCAGAAGGAATTGGAAGAAAAAGAATTGAAATTAGAACAAGAAGCAGCCAAACTTGCACTACAAGGTGATAAATCAGGTGCAATAATGCTTCTTAAACGTAAAAAACTCATCACACAAGAGAAAGAGAAACTAGCTAATTCACATTTACTACTAGAACAACAGTTACTCAATTTGGAAACTATAAGAACACAACAAATGACAATGTCTGCATTATCAGCTGGTATGATAGCTCAACAATCAATAAGTTCATGTCTAAATACTAATAAATTAGAGAAATTATCTGAAACTATAAAAGAGCAACAAGATCTTCAAGATGAAATATCCCAAGTATTAGCTCAATCTCTACCTACAATGAATGAAGAAGAACTTTTAGAAGAATTAAGTGCAATACAAGCTCAAGAAATAGATAAGAAGATAATTGAATCATCTGCAAGTATATTTGAGTCACTAGATAGTATATCTGATAAGACTAAAAATCATGGTGAATCATCAATGATATCTAATAACCGTAAAATAATTATACCATAATTATATTTAATAGGAGAAAAAGAAGAAGTTAATATTAAATATATAAATACTAGATAATTAATAAGAAAAGTAATCAATTTAAATTTAACTTAAAATATTGGTTAATGTTCCTCTTTATTACTTAATATTATTTTTAAACGAGGATATTCAACAATAGTTTGATCTGACAAATTCTCACCTAAAGTAAAATTTAAATTCATTTTAAAAGGTTTTACAGATGACTTGAAAGATGAAAGGAAAACTTCAACTTTATCATTTTCAATCATATTGATTAATTCACTCTCTTCTTTTATATTCAATTTATTTAACAGTTGTGGATATTCAGATTTATATAAATCTAATATTATATTTCCTAACATATCCTTTTCAGAGAAATTTCCACTAATTAATATACTATCTTTACTTTGAAATATACATTCAATTTTCCAGTATATTATATTTAAATGCTTGTTGTAATATGTTGTATTTGTTTTTCTAATATACATATCTTTAACTGGGCAAAATTCAATTTTTATTTTTCTATCTAAACAAGCTTTTTTTAAAAGTGGCATTGGACTAGTTCTATCACGTTTATTACTATCTTTTATTACCTTAATCAATGAATCTTTTTTTACTGTACTTGGGTAAATTACATTATCTCTATGTAAATTTCTCACAGCTGCATCTATTACTCTACGTGTATCTTCCAGAAACTTAAAATCAGTCCATAATTCATTTTCATTATATTGACTTCTAGGTATTAATTTACTTGTTAATGTTTTGATACGATCTCCATTGCACCCAGATAATTTCTTATGAGCTTTTACACAAGATAAACAACATGACTTTACTAGACATGCTGGACAAGTGTATTTAGCATCATTAGTACAATTATGGCATATTCCATTTCTATCCTTATTGATTAAAGTTGCATATGTCGTTTCTATACTTTTATTAAACATTTCAATAACTTTAAATATGTCATACCCCGCTATATTTGGGAGCGGGTATATAATATTAGTTACTATACGACATTTCATAAGTAGGATTTTAACATCCTTACTAAATATATGTTTCCTAATTGTTTAATAGTATTTAATAGATGTTCGAATATTATTAGCTACTTAATAACTTAATTTTTGAAATAATTAATATTTGGAATATATAATATAATATGACAATATTTGTATCGGATAGTATAAATGATATATCTTCTGATATAACAGAAGATGATGACTATCTTTTAGATGGTGAAGAATATAATGATGAATTTAAATTATTACCAAATGCTAAATGCTTATTTGATGATTTTGAGTCGGAATATGCAAGTGTTGTATGGAAACATATGAAGGAAGCACATAATTTCACTTGTTCAAAGTATATTTTTAGAGATAATGCATATGATCGTGTAATACTAGTAAATTATCTTAGAAAGTGCCAAAATGATAATCTAGATGTTGAGGAAGTATGTAATAAGATAAATGAAAAAAGTGAATTTTGGGATGATGAAAGGTTTTGGAAATTAACTTTAGAAAATGACAGATTAATTTTAGAAGAGGATTGTGAAGAGGAATATGAAGGAGATGATGATAATTGTATGCCTATAAATAGTAATGATAAATATAGAAATATATGCATATATAGTGAAATGACAACTGAAGAAGAGAATAAAATTTTAAAGAAGAAAATAAAGTCATTATCAAATATTATAGTAGAGCTTCAAAAAGTAATTAAAAATTCTGAAAAAAAAAACCTTGAATCATATTCATCTCAATCTAATATATCACTTACTATTCCAAATATTGAAGAGAAACATATACCTTTACTAGAATTTGAAAATCGATTACTTGATTTTCCACTTGAAACAAATAAAGAGTCAACAGAAAAATTCATTTATGAAGATGAGTCTTATTTTAATTCATATTCTCATTTGGATATACATAGAGAAATGATACTAGATGAAGTAAGAACTAATTCATATTTTAACTTTATTACTAATCCAATAAATTCCAAATTTTACTTTAAAGACAAGATAATACTTGATATTGGTACAGGAACAGGAGTTTTGAGTATATTTGCAGCTAAAAGTGGAGCTAAATGCATAGCTGCAATAGATGCAGCTGAAAATATACTAGAAAAAGCTAAGGTAATAGCTCAGAAAAATGGTCTTTGTAATAAAATAAATTTTATATATGGTAAATTAGAGAATTTAGATTTATATATAAATGGTAATGAAGTTGTAGGTGTTTGTAAAGAAAGTAAGCCTCCAGATAAATATCAAAAATTTAAATGTGATGTTATAATATCAGAATGGATGGGATACTGTTTATTATATGAAAGTATGCTATATACTATTTTAAATGCACGTGATAAGTATCTAAATTCTATGGGATATATATTTCCATCTTCTGTATGCCTACAAATATGTCCAGCAGATTACCACAAAATGATAGATGAGTGTATAGTACCATGGAATAATAAGTTATACGATCTAGATTTAAAAGAGTTGACTCCATCACTTCAATCTTTAACTGGGTCTCCTATTGTAGAAATTGTCCCAGTAGAATTGTTGCGCTGTAGTGAAATGACGAATCTAACGAAGATAGATATTAAAACTATAACAGTAAATGAGCTTCTATCGTTAAGACAGCCATTTAAAATAAATATAGTGCCTAAGGAGACTGAGTTTGCAACTTCACTAGTTATTTCATTCACAACAGAATTTAATGTTGAGAATGCTAACAAAAATCAGATCTTTCCATTGATTATAGAAACTTCACCATTTAATAAGCCTACACATTGGAAACAAACAGTACTACATTTAAGAGGACCCAATAATACTCTACTAAAAGCAGTTGATGTCTTAACTGGATATTTAACTATTACTCCAAATATAACAAATAAGAGGCATATAGACATTTTAATTGAATTATATAACACTAAAACAGTGGACGGTAACCATTATCCTATTATATCTAACCACTATTCACTAAATTAAAAAATACGTATTAATATTGTAAATGATATTATTCATTAAAAGTACAAATAAATTTAATAAAATAAGTAGTGAAATATGATTTTATTAATTAGTCTAATATGTTATAGTTTATATATTATGATATAAAGCTTGAAGATTTCCCTAACTAATTTGTTATATTTATATTTTGTCATTTCTTAAATATTGCTTAAGCATCTTCTTTGTAACTTGAACCACTCCATTATGCTCTCTCACTCCTTTCCCACTTATATTATTCGAATATTTTCTTTTATTACGCTTCTCACGTTTTTCAAGCTTATTTAAACGTTCAGCCTCCATAATATTGGCACTTTTTCCTACCATCAAGGATACATTTAACTCATTTTCTAAAGCTTTTCTTGCTTCAATATGCTTTTTTGTAGCCTTTTTGCGAGCTAATAATTCTGGTAAGGGCATTTTCTGTGACTTCCGAGTTCTAAATCCAAGTGCTTTAGCTTGTATATCTTCATATTGTTGCCTTTGAAATTTCCCTAGATGAGGATATACCAACTTCCTTATATCTCTAATTGTCTCATTAAATATATTTCTCATATTATCTTGATTATGAAACTCTTTATTCTTTTTATTCTTACTCATATAGTCAAATTATACCTTAATAAGAAGAAAATACAATTCTACCTTTAATTATAAGTATTCTATAGTGCAATATAGATAATATATATATATATACAGCGCCTATATATTTAGCTCATGCAAAGATGCCACAGGTACTGAGGTATATTTGTTAATATGGACTATTAAATAAAGTATAAAATGATCAATAGATATAAATATATATAGCTAATTATATATAATAGTTATCTGAATTTTTATTCATATTTAAGTACCTGTATTTAATTCAGGTTGCGATATTTCAGTACTATTATTTTGTTCTATCCCTGTTTGTAGTCTTGATATAACTGATGTATTTGTTCTAGATATTGATCCAGACTCACTTTTTATACTATTTTGACTGTTAAGTGAAATCAGTTGGTAATTTGTATAATAATCTATGGTATCCTGTTGTAGCTTGATGCTAGTAGATTCTGGTAGACGTCTGATGAGGCGACCTATTAATAATAAATACTATCTCGTTATCTTTTATTTTAATATAAAAGAAAACATACCTGGATTTCCACTCCATTCAGTAAAAGGAGGTATAACAGTATCAGGTGATATTACAGTATTTGGTAATATGATGCAGTTATCCTTGATTATACTAGCATGACCTAAGACAACAAAATTTCAGTAATAGTAGTAAATATTATAGTACATATGAATTACATACCAATAATACAATTGTCTCCAATTAATATATTTGAACCAATTGATGTTGCCATTACAATTGAGTTTTCCCCTATATGTACACAATCACCAATACTTATTGGAATAGATCCATATTTCCTAATAATAATTTCAGTTATTAAATAATAAATCCTCAAATCTAAAATATATATGATATTATGTTAATAGTAAAGACTTACTCTTTAAATCTCTTGAAAGAAGGCCGTATAATGCAGTTTGGTTCCAATATTACATATTGACCAATTCGTATAACAGCTAAATCACCACTAGTAGGAGACAGAGAGTAAATAATATAATAGTAAGATTGTATATATATTGCTTTTATAAACGTACCGTAGTATAACTCCTTGGTCTATAATACATGTACCTAATAGGTGGATATTCTGACTTCCGCATAGGATAGTTTTACGGCAAACAATATTCCCTAATAATTAAATATGTAATATTAAATAATATTTCCTAAATATAAATCAAATGAATTCATACCTGATGCAGTTTGTATATACTCTTTCCTATTTCTTTTAATAGGGAATCTTTTCATTTTTCACTTTTTAAGGTATTACCCTTCTCTTTCTTTTCTAAATAGACTTTATTATTTAAAATCCAAGATTATATCATATAAAGCTTATTATATATGATATTTCACAAAGTGAGAGATAATAATTTCTCTAGTAAAGTGTAAGGGGTGATTATCTAAGGTATTGCATGTGTTTCAATATATCACTCTAACAGGTTAAGAAAAGAATGGGGAAATTGTCAACTGTACTGAAAAATTAAGCGGTATTAAAAAAACCGCTATAATTTAATTGTCTCGTCTCAAAAATTCTCTACTTGAGCTAATTGTAAATTTGAAATTTTACTTAAAATTTAGTTATTTTGAGTAATTCCACTGCAAGTAAACCGTGAGGATAGGAGCGGCTACTTTGTAGTTTATTTCTATATTTATTTTAATTTTTATTTATAGACAATAAACAAAAATGTCAGATATTGAAGTAGAGCGAACAGCTGAACAAATACATCTAGAACATGAAGTAGTTACTGATTTAACTGCAGCCATTAGAATTGTACTTAGGAATTCGGCTGTGCGTGGTGGTTTGATTCGTGGTTTGAATGAAGTAGTCCTTGCTCTGGACTCTAAGAAGGCTCAAGTTTGCTTTTTATCAGAGTCATGTGAAGAAGACTGTTACAAACAACTAGTTGAGGCTTTATGTCGTGAAAGAAATATCCCATTAATTACTGTCCCTGATTCAAAGGAATTAGGTGAAATGGCAGGTTTGTGCAAGGTTGACAGAGAAGGTAATCCTCGCAAAGTTGTAGGTGCTGCATCTGTGGCAGTCACAGACTATGGTGTAGAATCTGAAGCTTACCTCTATCTTCAGAAACACATTGCTGAGAATTGTCATACATAGATATTTAGTACATAAATAGAATTAGCTACTTTCTAATACACGTAAATGTAATATGTAACTTATTTTTTTTCTCTTATATATCTTTAAAAGGAATTGCTGTGCTTGTTAGTCATTATGGTATTGTTCTTTAGGTAAATATATACAAGCGCCTTGGATATAAGATTAGATAATAATTCTAATTATATGACTTTTTCCTGTTGAAATTATGATTGAGAAATGTGTTAAGTGTATCAATAAATCAAATGCTAAGGAGCTAGCTTGTTTGCTTGGGTTAAATTGTAGTATAGAAGATACTACAAATTTGAATGAGGAAATAGACGTGAATAGTTTAACTAAGAAAGGAGCTACTTTACTACATTTAGCCTGTGAAAAACAGGATCAAGAATGTTTAAAAGTTCTACTTTCTCATCCCTATATTAATATCAATATTATAGACCCTTTAACTGGTTGGACTCCCTTAATAACTTTAATTAACTCAGGAGGAGATAGAGATTGCTTGGATATACTGCTTGAAAAAAAACCGAATTTATTACTCTGTGATAAATTCCTAGAAAATTCACCTTTACATTGGGCTGCAAAACTAGAGCTACCTCATGTAATATATCGTTTAGTTAAAAGTGGAGCATCAATTAATTATGTAAGTAGATATTCAGGCCTCACTCCATTACATGTATCTATTATAGATGGTTGTGAAGAATCTGCAAGTGAATTAATATCATTATCAGCTGACCCTATGATAAGAGATGATGACTACGAGGGATATACAGCTTTGCATTTAGCTGTAATTAATAATTTACCCAACATAGCTATCAATATATTAGAATCAAAATCTTCAATAGATACAAATAACTGTATTGACAATTCTGGAAATACTCCTTTACACTTAGCTTATAGTCAAGGATTGGTTGCATTAGCAAATAGATTAGAAAATTATGGATTTGATAATACACGTGAAAATGTAAATGGTGAAACTCCAATAGACTTGTACAACAAGTGGTTACAAACAAATAAATTAGATAAGCAAATTATACAGGAATCCAAACGAGGTATAAAGGAAACAAGGAATAAGAAACATCACATAGGTATAGATGAAATAATCGAAACTCCAGTTTCTCAATTCTTTATTAAATATGGTTTAGCAGAAAAAAATACATCAGAAAAAGATAACAAGAAGAACATTTGTAAAGGTGAATTTTTATTTAAGCTATTTTATAAAGCAGGATATACTGAAGTAGATAATAAATTTGTAGAGTTGACTGATTTATATATTGCAAAGATAGGAGTTAAAGATGCAGCAGTTAGATCAAATATACTTAGAGCTATACAGCAAGAACTTAAATATAATCAAGAACAATTAGAGAAATTATTACAAGAAAAAGCGAAGTATAAAAGAAAAAAAACTGCAATTTACATAATAATTGGATTATTGTCATGTATTGTTATTTTCTATATTACATATATTTTTCTACAAGCAGTAGTAGATAAACAGAGCAATTTACCGAGAGGTAGCAGAAGTACTACAAGGAACAAGAAATCACACTCTTATTATGCTAAAAGGAAGGCACAATTTGATCTTTAACATTTCTATTGCACCCCCTATATTTCTTAAATAAGACGATTGCCTAAATTAAAATTTAATGATGTATTGCATAGAATTAAAAACAAGAAATACTTAAAAGAATGGAACTAGTCCATATCCTTAATTATACTAGAAGATTAATGTCTACCAGATTTCCCTTGAAATACACGCACCGGTGATACAACCTCCACAGGAATATCTAAACCTAATCCTACAAGCATATCCTTTGTATCTTGATCTACAAGGATTATATCTGGTTCAACTTCAGATTTATCAGGCAAACGTTCCATACGGCGTTCTTTTTCCTCTTCTTGTAATTTGAGAGAGATACCACGCACTGGCCCCTTTTGTATTCTTCTCATTAAGTGGGTAACAAATCCTGCAATTTTATTTCTGAGACGTTTTGTTGGAATATGGGCTACCTCTTCAGATATCTTCTTATTTGTTTGAAAGTCTAATGTTAGCTTTGATACATACTTCTCTACAATTAGACGAGCTGCCCTCTTAACTGTCTTTGTTCGCACTCTACCCATATTTAGTCAAGTGAAGGAAATATCTAGATCAAATTTTTTCCCTTATATACTGTAGTACAGGAATAACCTTTGTAAGAAGAAAATTACTTGAGCGCTTTTAATAATATAATGATCTATTTTATTAATTAATTATATTTAAGTTAATAATACTATCAATGTAGACACAATATTAAAAATACAATTATTCTTGAGTAGTTTATAGGCAAATATTTTGACAATCATACTATAGCCTATACTAGACAAGAGTATTAATTTTGCCTATTAAATAAGTATATCATTGTTGACACCTACATCCAAACCGTCTCGTCTCAAATAAACCGGGAAAATTTATGGCGCTGTTTATATAAAAGGTATTATTTCCATTTAGTAGAGTGTCGTCAGACTTTCAAAAAAAGGTTTAATTGAGCCTTTACTACTAATACTACTATCCTTATTTAATTGTGTATAATTATAATATTTTATGTCTACAAATACATAATCTGTGGCCTAAATTAATGAGGGATGATAATTCAAATTTACAATCTAAGGAGGTAGAAAGTGATCCGGCCACTTCTTTATCATCATGGTTACTTTGCTTAGAAGAAGATTTAGATAGTGAAATATATGTAATATTACGTGATAGTAGGCAGTTCAAAGGTATATTTCGAAGTTTTGATCAGTATGGGAGCTTATGCCTAGAAGCAGTCTATGAAATAATTAGCAATAGTAAACAGGAATATACCCAGATATATTTAGGCTGCATGATATTTCGTGGTGACAGCTTAATGTTGTGTGGATTAATTGATGAATATGCTGCTCCATTTAATGCTATTAGGAAACCATTGGTAGATATATTGAAAGATAATGAAGATAATAAACTTAGATGTATTAAAAAGGAATCCAGCGTATTTGAATGGGTACCTGATGAGACAATCTAGTTTTTTTTAATAGATTTGTATTCCTAATTATATCTATACTTCTATTTTCTAGTTAATAATATGAATACATTATTTAGCACACACTACAAATCTTGCACTTTTACACTTATATAGACGCGCTTAGCCAATTAACTTTCCCCTCTCCACTTTCGGAAATAGTTTGTTATGCTTTTACTATAGTCTTGGTGAACTAGTTATAAGGCTTGATTCTTTTATGTTGCAAATATCTGTATTAATATAACTATGAATATTCAGGAATCTCAAAGGAATGCAATTGGCTCAATGCTAAATTTGTCTTTACAACCTGGGTTTGGTAATAATATGATAAATCAAAGTGCCATCTCCACATCTAATACAACTACAACTAATGATATCTGGATTTTAGAGGGGCCACATATATGGAAAGTATTAATATATGATAAAGTTGGACAAACTATATTATCACCACTAATGAAAGTCGGCAGTCTACGCCATCATGGAGTAACATTACATATAAATTTAAATACACCAAAAAGCGTTATACCAGAAGTACCTGCACTGTATTTTATTTGTCCAACAATAGAAAATATAGATAAGCTTTGTGAAGATATACAGAATAAATATTATGAAAGCTATTATATTAATTTTATTAGCCCTTGTTCAAAACAGGTACTAGAATATTTCGCTAAAAAAGTCATTAAAACTGGGAATGTTAGTAAAATTACAAAAGTTATAGACAGATATTTAGACTTTATATCTTTATCTCCAACAAAATATACCCTTGGAATGGATAGTGTTTATTCATGCTTTCATGGAAATAATAGAAATGATGATAGTATTCAAGCTACTATAGATCGCATAGTTAGTGATCTAACTTGTGTAATCTCTTGCCTTGGAATAATCCCAATTATACGTTGTTCAGGTAATATGACATCTCCTAGCCAAATTATAGCTAGACAATTGGATTCTAAACTAAGAGAATTACTTAAACAATCAAACACAAATTTTCCCGTTATTACTGGTAACCATAGACCAGTTCTTATATTATTAGATCGTGACATTGACCTTTCTGTTATGATAAATCATACATGGATATATGAAGGCTTAATACATGATGTATACAATCTTAAACTTAATAGAATTTCTATACCAGATGAATCAAATAATGGGTATAAGGCATATGATCTAGATTCCAATGATTCATTTTGGCGTCAATATTCTGGTGCTCATTTTACTGATGTTGCTAATGCTGTTGCTGAATTACTTAACGATTATAATAAAAAATTAGCAGAGCTTAACTACAATAATGAAGACTCCACACAAGTAGCTTCCAATTTGGCTATAGCTATACATGCACTCCCTGAAATGACTGAGAAAAAACGCAGTATAGATATTCACACTAACATTGCCACAGCTCTCGTTAATGAAATTAAAAAAAGGGAGCTAGATAAATTGTTTGAAATTGAGGAGTCTTATGATACAATACCAACAGTTTCTGGTTGTATAAATCAAATAGATTTACTTTTTACACCTACAGATTCTGACAATAGTAAGTTTACTGATATAGATAAGTTCAGAGTTATATTATCTCTATGCTTACATGAACGACATGGAAATAATATAACTTCACAAAATATTGAATATCTTACCAGACACTTTAATAATAAGGCAGAATATGTTGGAATTTTAAATTATGTATGTAAAAGACGTGGAAATAATTCTTTTAACCTTTCTTTTAGTAACTCTGATATCTCACCTAATACATCAAATGTGGTATCCCAAAATGTGTCATCTGGAATTACAAGTTTAGCCAAAAATATGGGTGAGAAAGTATTTGATATGGCTGGTAAGAATATTTTGCAGGGTGTAAGGGCACTTTTGCCTTTAACAAAGTCTCTAAAGATAACGAAGATTATTGATTCTTTATTGGAAAATAAGACAAATACATTCTCAACTACAAATTCACAATTGTCTTCTTCATTAAATAGTGAAGAATTTCTATATTTTGATCCAAAACAACCGTGCCAACCAGGAACTGATTCTAGTAATGTAGTACGTATAAAGACATCATTCAAACAAGTGATAGTTTTTATGATTGGAGGTGGAAGTTTTGTTGAATCTCAAGCTATACAGAATTATGCTGATAAGGCTCAGAAGAATATTATATATGGATGTACTGAGTTTATTAATCCGAATGACTTTATTGAAGAGCTTAATAAAGTGGCAAATTCGTAGTTTTATAAGAAATATTGAATATCACTTAAAATTTTACAATATATAGAAGTGCATATAAAGTCTTCTAAAAGGATAAACTCGTCTTCAAATGCGCCATATTTGCGTAAATATTTCAGATATATTGAGGCCACCTTTGACACTAATAAATTTTCAGGTGTTAAAAATAGAAACATTCTTAATATTTATAAATACAATAAATGGATTAATATCTAGATTCGAGGTTTGCAATTGAAGTATTAAATAAATAATTAATATTGTTATTGTGAATACTTGTACAAATAATACATTTCGATTATAGGGTAATAAATATGGATACAAATACTGGTATAAGAAGGCCTTATGAATATTACAATGTAGCCATATACTGTACATTATCTTGTTTATTTTTTCATATTTTGGAAAGTATTCCTACGGAATATGTACTACTTTCATTTTTACCTAAGAGAATAAGAGAAAAGATTAATGAAGAATTAAAAAAGAAAGAAAGAATTAAGGCGAAACATCTACGTATCCGTGGAATAGCGTTTATTCATGCTATAATATCTAGTTTACTTGGATTATATACTTTGTTATTACCTACAGTCCGAGATAATCCCTACGGCTCAACTCCTTCATCGTGGATTTATATTGGTACATTTTCATTGGGATACTTTCTATGGGATATAATCATAATATTAAGGCAATGGAGGCAAAATAATGATTCAAATGTATGGCTATTTCATGGAATAGTTTCATTTATTGCATTATTTAATTCATATATTATACAAGAACAATGTTTAATAGGTCTACTTGCTAGTGGAATGGTAACAGAACTATCAACTATCTTATTAAGTATAAAATATTGCTATTATAATGCTGGTGACAACGAATCTAGGTCATGCAAGGTTATTAGTTATTTGTTTGTGCTAACATTCTTTTTAACAAGAAATGTTCTACTTCTCTACCAGATAAACATTGAGCTCTATAGAGCATACCAATTTGCTCCATCATATAGGTCAAAAGTTTATATATGGTTCTTTTTCCCTATAGGTGAACTGTTTAATTTGTTAAATATTTATTGGCTAATTAAAATTATAACTGTAACAAAGAAATCAAAGAGAAGGTAATATTTTGAACATAATTGATGAAATAAACGATATTGAGACATTTTAAATTTACAAATTTGAATTTATAATACAATAATATGAAATAGAAGATTAATTTTCTACAAAGTAAATTAATTAATGTGAATTATTTTACTTAATTTTATACTGATATCATCTTTAAGTAGGCTGCATTATTTATTGAGTCATATACACTAACTATACCTAGTAGATTCTTGTATAATGGATGATTAATTGAAGTAAATCCATATATTGTCATACTAGATTTGTAGTAATTTTCTAGTTTTGATGTGTTCTCATTTATGTCAAATAACTCGACAATCTTATCTTCACGTGCTACAGTCAATAATGGTTTTGTTGAAACTTTAAGGCAATCTATTGAAGAGATTTTTAGGTTTGAATGATTAAACACATTAGATTGTATTGAAAATAGGGGTCCACAACTTTTCCTATTATCAAAGATATCAACAATACCCTTATTTAGTAGTGCTCTTGCAAATAAAGAAGTATCTTCAATATAAGTTAACTTGCAGGTTGTAAATTCACTAGATATAATTCCTCCTTGCCAACCTTGAATACAATCGGAAACAATTGATGTTGAATATTTAGTTGGAGTTCTTAAATCTAAAGATAAAGCAGCTCCATTATTAAAAGCTACATATATTGTATTTGTTGTATGGCCATAGCATACATCCATTAATTTATATTGCTTTAGGTGGCCGACATCAAATATAATATTAGCATTTGTATTAAACGTATATTCTAAAGGTTTCGTTTTGTGATCTACAGTAGTACCATTATATTCTATATCCCATAGTAAACAACGACCATCATATAAAGAGGAGACAATTTCATATGGATTATATTCATTAAAGCGAAATCCTGTAATATTCATTGCAGGTACTCCAATTATATTGGGATTATTAGTCCTCTTACTTGAATCTGGCAGATTATAATGCCTCATTTTTGTATTTTTTATAGCTAACTTACATATTAACTCATTCTCTTTAAAGAGATGTATATCATCATACGCTATTGCTATAATTTTATCTTCTGATTGTCCAGTATACTTAGGCATCCAATGTATCCCTCCTACAGGTGGAAATACATATTTATAAGTATTTCCAACTGAGAAATTATCCTCTAAATGATCGTAGCAGATAATATCAACACTACTATTGCCAAAATTTAAGTTACAGGCAGCAATATAAGTCAGATGATCATATTCACGTATTTGAGATGTATCTAACAACTGAGCAATAAATGGTGTCTGTGTAGCAGATATCTCCATTACCAGTGAGTAATGCAATGCAGCATATTAATATATATTCAGTAAAATATCTTCTTATGGTAGTCCTACTGAGGTAATACAAAAATAAACAATATAGCATCATCTATATAGTTCATTGTTAGCCTTCGATACCTTTTTTGGCGCTATATAGCGCCAAATATTGAGGCTTATTTTTATTATAGGATTTGTTACCTAGTGTATTAACTTGTAAGTTATTTATTTACTTTTGAATCCGATAGATAGTAACTCTTCCTTCATATATAAGGTTGAATTATATGATAGGAATAATTGCTAGTATTATTAGAGAGAATTGATAATACAAGTTAGATGAAGGATCTAATTTTGGACTTTACTTCTAAAGGAAACATCTGTAATACTAATACATCTCTTAGTGAGTTATGGAAATCTCTAGACAATTTAATTACATATAATCCTGAGCTGTATATTTCATTAGTCAAACAACAATTTAGTGATAAATTTACTGAAAAAGTTGTAATGGTTAATTCAGCTTTTGCTACTGAATCTGGTATATATTATAGCGAAATATCTACACAGGGAAGATATACAAATTTTAAGTCAAGAAAATTAGGAAAGGTTATAATTAGTGTTGGTTATACAGACGATATGTTATTACCTCAAGTACAAGAAAAATCTGGAAATTATAGGGATATATTAAATGTGGAAGAATTAAATATAGCTCAACTAACAACAAGTTTTGCTGATTTACCAAACAATGTAAATACAAATACACTACATGTAGAGGTGGTCCTTCATACAATGGTTATAGAAAGAGCAGTAGAAGATGAGTTATTTAAAAGATATATGATTTCAATTATTCACGATAGATTACTTATAAAGTTACGAAATCAAGATGATAAGAAAGGTTATTTATATTACATACTTATTCAAGGGAAAAATCAAGGTTATATACCTAAGAGTGGAAGAATAGAAGACCTATGTTTTTATTATGATGAGATTAAAGTATCAAATATAAAAGATGAAAGATCGTGGGACCATCTATTAAGCTTCACTTGCTACAAGAACTTTACTGTAGAATCTGATACAGCATCTAGTGAAGAAATTGAATCAATTAAAAATCTAATTATTAGTAAATCAGTAGAGAATACAGAAAGGTTAGCCACTAAAAGATTTGTATATAAATCGACAGAATTATCTACTGTTAATTCTTCCTTAAATAAAAAACTAGTTGAGGAAATAGATGTTCCTAATGAGGCTGGGAAGTTACCACATGTATGGACAGTAATATCAGATAAAAATGGTGCAAATGTCTCCAGTTGCTATGAACCAATATACTGTAAAGCTTCATTTAGGGAAAACAATATTTCAGCTTACCTTAGTAAGCATCATAATAATGATCAACCTATAGTTGAAATAATGCTCAAAAGCTCAGAAATTCTGGTACAAAATCTTGATAAAATGTCTGCTCAAGTTAGTAGTCAAATTTTACGATTATCATATGACTCAAATCTTATATGCAGTATTCAGCTTAATCAGCTTATATCTAGTTTTCATGTTTGTCCAATATGTAAACCTTCCTTCATTATTGATAGTTGCATCGTATTTTGTAATAGTAAACATATCTGGATTGCTTTACCTATATATAACACTTGTTCAAAACTTGTATTATTATAAACAAAGTCAAATTTAGAAATTATAAATATATTATTTTAAAAATATTTTTCTAGTAGATATATACATTATTACCACATTATATTATTGATTTACTACACAGATATTGTCACTATCAAATTGAGCCCCTTTCTCCTTTAAAATTGAAAATATATCGATATTAGATGAATTTCCAAACCATCCAAGACGATCTGCTATCAAGTGTAAATTATTACAGCCATCACAACGAATAATCACTACACCATTGTGATATGAGTGTTTACTAAATTTCTTTATAATAGGATTTTGACATTTATTGCATTTGCAGCTCAATACATAAGTTCCTTCAGGACCATGATTAGTTGTACCTCTTATAGAATTTAGTAGATTTGAATATTTTGGTAAAGATGTGTACAAGAAACTTCTTTTACAGGCTTGTCTACCTAAGTAAGCTTTCTTTGCAATATTATACATTCCAACTAAGAAGTTGTATCTTAATAAAGTTGTAGGTAGAGACATCACTAAAGAGTATCTATAGTAATCTATTTCCAAATTTTTATAGTAAATATAAATATACTTCTATATTTGTGCATTAGTAATGTACTTCTTCTAATTTATGCTACTAATTAGAAGTACTTAAGTTATTTCCTAGAGAAATGAATATTTTAACTCCATATAGTGGCGGGAGAATGGTACCGCTGGTGCACTACATTAGATATTAAGTAAAAAAAGACGTCAACGCATGGTATAGAAAGCTTTCGTATGTACCAATATAGTAGAAACTGTGAAATTTATCATTTTTCATATTATTAATAACTTTTTTGTACCCATATTGGGAATTAGAAATGCCAGGAGAATTAGTTGATCGCCTACAGAGAGTAAGGGCTCAGGTAGATGATAATGCTGTACATTACGTGGGAGGTGGAAAGGCTTCGCGTGCAGATGCAAGAAACTCAGTCTTTAAATTAAAATATAGATTTGCAACAATGCCTGAAAGAAATCGTATTCGCATTATGATGGATATGTTTGGACATGTCTTGGGAGAACATGATCCCTCAGATGATGAAGACTGGGGAAATTGGAATAAGGATAAAGTAAATGTATGTAAATCTGTGGAGAAATTAGAACAGTCAGCAGATATGGGAGCTGTTTTGGTTTTGGAGTTTGAGAAGGTCACACAAGAAGATCAAGAAATGGAGGAAAATTTAATTGACACGGAACACGCAACCGAAAAAAATAAACAAACTGAATCTGTTGATAATGCGAATGTCAGCAAAGCAATTTTACAAACTAAACATAAAACAGCAAAGGAAGTACCTGAAGATGTATTGGAATTACCTTCTCAAGAGGAATTAACAAATAATGATGAAGGAGAGTTACGTAAATTTAATACATTACAACGTGAATTTATGTTGCAAAATTTAACAGAATGGTATAGAGAAATTGTCAAACAATATAAAGAAGGTGTAAAATTGGTAAAGGTTGCAAGAAGTGGAAAGAAGTTTATCCGTGTTGTTAAGTTAACTGATTCAGGTTTCTTTGAAATATCATCTGTAACTTCCAAAACTGATCGCAAAGTTCACTTAACTAGTATAAAAGAAGTAGATCTAGGGATCGAAGCGTTTGAATTCAAACAATGTGCTAAAATCAATCCTCAGAATCCCCCAATTCCTGAACTCTCTTGTGTACTTAATTTACCTGATAAAAAGACTCTTTGTTTGATGTTTACTGCAGAAGAAGCGAGGAATTCTTTTGTATTTATGATTAGAGTTTTAAAAAAGAAATTCGAGAATGCAAAAACAGCTTAAAAATTAAAAATCTAAATAAAAGGCTAAATTTCGAGTAATAATTAGATATCCGAGTCTTAATTTGCCAACAAGGACTATATTTTCATTATGAAAAAATGAGGCAGATATTTAAATGTAATATAAAAAAAGGTTGATTTTTATATTACTATAAACACATAATTATCAGTAATAAGAACCTAAGACCTTCTAGTATTGACTAGATATTATTTTTTTTTTTTTCTGTGAGTTTTGAACTAATAGCTTTATATTATTGTAGAAAGAGATTGCACTATCTTCCTGATTAAAAGTTATTAGTACTGATCTTGATTTATTACCTACATCAATTAGTATAGTAAAGTTTGTGCTATTATTATCATTACTTACTGGTTCATAACCACTCTCAACATGTGAAATTTTTGAGAAATAAGATCTATTCTCACTTGATATTATATTATATCTTATGTCAATAATAGATCTTAGAGATATTTCAAGAATTACACCACTGAAATTATCTAGTTTGAGATATTTAAGATCTTTAGAAAGGTATAAAGCAATATCACGTGTTTCATTCCTGTATAAATCCAAGATTTGTTTCAAAATAACCCCTCTATATAGAAGAAATGTAAAATTTGTTAACTGATTCTTTTGGCTTTCAGGTATGTTGAAAATCATTGTACTATTATCTTTAATTATATTTGAATTTTCAGAGATTAGTGATGTATGATAGTATGGTAGTAAAGATAAAGATTCTGTATTAATACGACGTCTCAAATCGCTTGAATAATATCGTATGGATGTATTTGGTCTCAATAATATAAGCGGTCCATAGTCATTTTCATCGCTAGAATTTATTGAATTACTAAATATACAACATGAAAAAATATTTTCACTAATATTTTGAAGCATTAGGAGTAGACACAAATAATAAGATCTAATTTCTTCAGAATGGATAGTAAATAATAACCAATATATAATTGGATAGTCAACTATACGTACTTAAAATAAGCTACCGTGTCTTCTAGACATTAAATAGATAATAAACAGCCATATATACTTCAAAAATTCTCTTTTAAATCTTAAAAGGTTGTCATTAATAAAGGATACAATTGAAAACCAAAAGCGGGCTAAACATCATATATGCATCATACAGTCAGGCGCCTTTATGACCATAAATATTTTACATGGCTATTTTCAGCTTTACAAAGAGCTTGTTTAGCAAAGTTATATATATTTTCAAATACATCCTATAATATATTAAAATTTATTTTAAAAGTATTAGTTAACATTCTCATTTTCATATTCCTTAAGATATATTTCCTAGACTTACATTTGGATCTTTTGAAGCATCAATTACTTTCCAATAGTCATATTTTTTGAATTGTGAATATATGGTCGAAACACTATTCTGGGTACTTTCAGTATCATAACGTTCATCGCCAAATCCACTGCGGTCAACTCGTATTTGAACATCCGCATCTAGGAAGAAAACTATATCTGGAGAAATTAAACCTTTTTCTGGCATCATACACCATTCTATATCTTTCTTAAGAGCTCCTACAGAATAAGCTACTCCTGAAAATGCATATCTATCACAAATAACTGTAACACCACTTTCTAAATATGTTTTTATTTTTTCAAAGTATTCCCATCTGTTAGCACTAAACAATAGATGCGAGACTTCTGGTCTCATATTTTCACAATTTCTTAAATATAAATCTAGCAAATACCCTATATTTGTACTTCGGTCTTAAAAAATTAGTCAACTTCACTGTATTAAATGAAATATCAGAATTATTTAGACTTAATTAACATACCAGGAAATCCTATTAGTATACAATTTATATTTTCATTTTTAAATTTCTCTGCAAGTTTATTTGATTGAAGAGTTTTGCCAGATCTGATGAAGTATTGAAAATATTATAAACACATATGAAATGTTAATAGTATTACCAGTAATAACCTACCTATCAGTGCCTTCGAAGACAATAAGGGCACCTCGTCTCATTTAACCTTAGTATAATAATAAGAGTTATAATTGAAATATTTAAATAATCAAATATTATATATATATATACTTTTATAGATCTCAGTAGAAGTTAAGTTTAATTTTACATTTAATTTATTTTATTGTAAACTCAAAAAAGCTTCCCTCACACAGCTATAAAATATTTTTCCGCCTTTATGTACCTAACTTTATAGCCCTTTTTTGTGGGTATCTACAATTTCATTATTTGGGGAATTCAACTATTAGAATTACCCCAATATTCCAGATAATTTATTTAATAACTAGGATATTTATAAGATAGTAAATTTGTATACTTAATAAGATAATGATTTTTAAGACTGAAAATAATAAATAAACTAGGGCTTATGGGTATAATAGAATTATCAGATGAAGAAGAAACTGAGAAACAAGTAGAGAATGTAAACGCATTAAACTCTAGAGCTACTAATAAACGTCCTCTAAAATACTTGTCAAGTAGATGGTCTGAGATATTTAAGGAAAGCTCTGAAAATATAAATGATAGCTATAGTAAACGGTATAGAAAAAGAGCTTCAAAAAATTTAGGAAGTGTAAAGAGAACAACTCAAGATCTACCCATATCAAGTCCAGCATTGGATACCTTATCTATATATAATAATATTAAAGAAATAATGTGGGAAAAACGTAGACTTGAGTGGAAATTTCATTTTGATAGAAACCGTGTTTTTTTTGAAAGTTTTCCTATATATAGTAAGCACTTAGACCCAATCTACAATGGAAAACAATTAGATAATAAGTGGCATTTACAACGTAATATATCTTCAGAGCTATTTTGTAAAGGTAGCCTATTAACTGGCAAAAAAGTATGCTTAATTGATAATAATCATTATATATTTCATAGTAAAAACCAACTATATCAAAAGTTAAGATGGTATGGGGCTAAAGTTTTAACATATTATTGTTCTAGAGCGGATTATGTTCTATGCCCTTCATCTTTTAAAGAATTGGTACTAAAAGTTAATAATAATAATAATGAATTTAATAATTTAATAAATTATTCTAGTGATCAATTCATGTCCTATAATATGCTTAATTTGCGTGGATTATCTCATGGTCAAATTAAATTGAGCGAATTAGAATTCTTGGAGTTTGTTAATGAAGATATTTCTTTAGCCCTTGGGGCAATAAGTCAATCTGCTGAATATGGATCTAAAGTGAATGTATATGAACAAATAAGAGATAAAATTGGAAAATCCAACTCTAACTCAAAAAAGATGGATGACTTTAGACCAAGGGACATATGGGAATTAATTGGTCATAAAGATAGTGCAGAAGATTTATATAAAAGTTTATTAGATATTAGAATACAAACTGAACCCATTGATAAACTTCAATCTCTTGGAATAGATATACATTATGAGGCTTACAAAGATAACTATGAAACAATTTGTGGTATAATCGTAATTATTGCCCCCAATAATTCTGGAGCCCAATTATGTGCTGAATTTTCCGCATTTGGTTGTGGCTATGAGCCAAAGGTACTTCGTGGTTCTGATGTAGTAGATCCATTCATAAGACAATGGAAAAAAGGTCACTCTTTGCAATTAACCAAAAATTTGTTTAGTAAATTTGATGAACCTCCAATATGTACAATATTATCTGACTGTAGTAGCTCAATTAAGTTAAGTGATATTCAGAAACTTTGTGTTTTATATACCAACTTTAACTACTTAAATAATAAAGTATCGATAAGTCAGAAGGTAAACAATAAAGATCTGTATATTAATAAAAAATATAATTCCATAACAAAATCAAGCTTAGAAGATCTAGATTTATTTAATACAAAAGTTAATGAGTCGCAGTGTTTAGTATCAAGTAAATGCAGATATTCAAATCCTGGTGCAATTATTATTATTTTAGAAGATACTTCAGAAGCAGGACAAATGATTTTGAATCAGTGCTGTTATTCCAATAAATGTGAGAACTCAAACAATTCATATATAATTTTTAACAGAACAGATAGCTTCCGTCAGTCAATAAGAAAAAGTAGTTCTTTGAGTTGCATGAAAGTTATCTACCTACATCATTTTTCTAAGCTTTCTGTAGCTTGCGGCCTGTTCAACATTACAAAAAATTTAAATTTACTTTTTAAACTAATCGATTATTATGGTGCAAATATTCTGAAAATTACTAAGACTCTTCAATGGATTAAACTGACCGATGTTAAGGATGTAAATATTGAAAAATTATTCCCAACTCCATATATTCCAATTTATACAAATGCAGTTGTAGAAATTTTTTTTTCTTTAGTTCAAAAACACCTATTTTCATTACATATTACAAATCCTTTTATAATTAGGAAGGAAATATTCAGACTCTCTACACTGGAAATCAATTCCAATACTAATTCCATTAATTGTAATGGTGACTACACTCTACAATTAGCTTACGAAGTATTTCCCTTTATACTATATATAATTGACAAGTTGCTCTTTGAAAGATTAGATGAAACTATTTCTATTACTAGTAATGAAAATAAGAGAACTCAGATTAATAAGATAAATCTAGCTAGTAATCTTGAAATTAGTAAAATCAAATGTAATCAGTTAAAGTTAGATATCTGCCAAGTTAACAAAGTAGTAAATAAATTACCAAGTGGTCCAAGCATTCATGAATATTATTTAGAAAACTTTAATCTGTATTCTGAAAATTATCTTACTAAGAAATATACGTCATTAAATACAAATTCTATGGGGTTTGGAATTGATTATTTTGATTATTATTTGTCTCAAGATAAACCTAAGCATTCAATCAGAATTTATAATGGATTTAACTCACTTTATACTGATTATTTTACTTCTAATGATAGTCTATCAAAATTAGCAACTTTGATGGATGGTTTAGCAACTTTTGATTCATGGTACCAGTACTTAAAACGATCAGATATACATTTCACAAATGATATCAACTATTATACTTATTATATTAATAACAATTCTAAAATTTCTACATGTGAAATGTTCTTGACTTCTATATATCTCTATGCTATTATGAACTCTTTTAACTGTATCCGATTTCAAAATATACTCTGTAATTTACCACCATCTAATAAGCTTTCTTCTTATATATTGAACAAAATGATCAAGTATAGCTCTATATACTCTTGCAATTATAAAGACTTCCAGTTTGAGAAAAAGAGCGAAAATGCTAATATTTGGCGAAATATAGAATTTTCGTATATAAAGTGGAATAAAGAATTGCATTGTCTACTACCCACCTGGAAGTCCTTTGCAATGGATTCTAATCTAGTTCACCTTTATCAGTTTAGAAGTACTACATTTAAGAATTTTGATACTATATCAACAATCTTTTCAGCTAAAATACTTCGTCTTAATATAAAATTTACGGAATTACCAAGAGTTAGTTTAAAATTTAAACTATAGATAATAAACAGACAAAATTTGTGAACCTTATACTATAAAAAATTAAAATATTACTATTAAATATGTATTACTCATAAATTTATTGCTAATCTAGGAATTATGATATACAATAATTAGATCTAACCTAATTCTCCTACTTAAACTATTTATTTACTTATGTATCTACTTTATTAAATTTCAACTTGGATCTAAGGATCTTTTGCATGTACTCTGGTGATATCTCACCGCCAAGTATCGGGTATATCCTTTTTTTTAGATGTAATATATTAAAGTGCCTAGAAAGCACCTTATAAATGCTAAAATATTAAGTTTACTTTTTTAAATGAAGCATTAATATGGACTTATAGCCATGGGTAATATAAATAGTTTGCATTCCCTAAATATACTTCACAACAAGCTGACCGTTGTTGAGAACGAACTCAAAGCAAATTATAATATATCTGAGCCTTCACTGCTAGAAAGAATGGAAAATAAAAAAAAATGTGTAAGATATACTCCACCTTTATCACAATTACCACAGCCAGTATATAATATTTCAATACTCTTAGATGACAACTTTGAAGGTCCATTTGTACTAGAATTAAAAGTGGCACCATGTGAAATGGTTATAACAGGATTTGAGGGTTTAATTATTCATAAAATAAAAAAAAATGAGATAATATTTATTCATAGAGTAGATAAGATCATATTTAAGGTCTATTCAAAAGGTAGTAAAAAGCTAGGTGGTGAAATAGCTAGTAAATCTGATATTTCAGAAGATGAAGAAAATATAATCTTAATGGTTTTCAAATTCACAAATTCTAAAGATTGTGAATCATTTCGCTTACTTTTTCCATTAATATATGGTATTATAATTTATGATAGTAATGTAAAAATACCATTAGCAGACCCAATACCATTGAATAACTATATAGTAGGACAAAATGAAAAATTAGTTAACAAGTTTCATAGATACTCTGATATAGGAAAGATTAATGATAATAATTCTGAAGAGGAAGTGGAGGATCAAGAAGCCTTAGATAGATATGAAGATTATATGAATTCTTATGAAGGTGATTTCTTTACAAGAAATGAACTTTTATTAAATTCAACAAAATCTCCATTGGATATGTTGTTAGAGGATGATAATGATGAAGTAAAAAATGAGGATAGTGATAAGAATCAGTATTCAAAATTTTTTCCAATATCTATAGAAGGTGATAGAACTGTTGGATCTATAATTACTTACAAAGATATATCACCACTAGGTAATAGATATAAAGGAGAAGTAATAGAGTGGAGACTGTCTACTAGTATAGGTGGAAAAAACCCAGAATTTAGTGGAAATCCAGTTTCAGTTTCCAAAACATTTCAGTTATTATCAAAACATGTAAGTGAATTTATAATAGTTTTAATTTAGAATAGTATTGTTAAATTAAGATAAATGAACAATATCATATTTATATTATCAAATTTCATCCTTTTATTAACTTTATTCTGTTATTGTTTCTAATAGGTCGGACGTTATATTCAAGTCAAAGTATACAGACATATTGGAGTGGAAAAATCTGAAATATCTTATGTTTGTTCCGAGACTAGAAGTTGTGTAATCCTTCCAAACGACGATATACTAAGTAATTGTGCATTATTATTATCAAATGGAGGACAATATAGAGTTGATATATCACTATATGATATTTGTAAGCTACTGTGTATATCAGATCCAGATTCCTTTATTAAATCATGGTTCGCAAATATAAGAAATATTCCTCCATTCATATCTTGCTACCTCAATATAAAGCGTCAATCTGTAAAACTTTTAATACCAACACCATCGATATTATTGGAATATTATCATAATGTATCAGTAATCCCACTTTGCTTCGGTTACAATGAATTTATATGTACTAAGAAGTCGGACTGGTTTGGGTTTAATGGTTATCCACAAATTTATTCAATAATAGGTAAACAGGGGAATAACTTAGAAAGATGTACATTATATATGTCTTATAGTGATGGTGAAAGACGTGACATAGCTATTAATTGCCCAACAGAGAGAGATAGAGATGTTATTCATGCAAGTATAATATTCATGCAATTAGCACCAGATATTAGTCTTGAGAAGTTAAATTCCCAGATAAAATCTAATACATTTATCGAATTTAAGAGATATTTCACAGACATATTTACTAATGCTAATTGGAATTCAAGACTGCAACTTGATAGGTTTGATATTTCCGGGACATATATCAACAGAATTGGTGTTCATCAAGATATTAAGCATTAATAGGATTCAAAGTTAAAAATAAACATCTGGTAGAAGTCACTATTTTAGTTATTCACCTCGAAATATTATTTTCATTACAACATTCAAATTTATACTTCAGTTCAATTTCCTTTTCAGTAGATAAGTACCACATTTAAACAATCAATTATTCAATAGAATTACTGACTAGTTGATTTATTAAAAATATGCACTACAATACATCTTAAAGTGAAATATTGTGATGTCATCAATTTCTAGTAATAACAAATATGTCACTTTCGATTTACTCAAACTAAGTCTTCTGTATAAATAAAATAGACATCTACTTTACATCAGTTAGTACATCTTGCCAGAAATTACTGACATAAATTTTACTTATATTGATTTCTTCTCTAATAGTAAATAAGCTGTGAATTCTAAACCCCAATTATTTCTTTAATGTAGTTCAATTTTCTGAGTTAATTTTGCTTAAATTGTATATTATATGACCCTGAATCTGGATTTTTCTCTACTTGAAAATTATCTAGTGATAGCCCAACTTTACCAAGTACCATATTACCGAAGTCTTTGAGTTTACCTAGCATCTCGCCCTTCTCCTTCTCAAATAGTTCTGAAGACAGTTTCTCAACTCTCTTTTGTCTTGCTACTAATTTTTGATCAATTTTCAAATTCTCATCGAGTTCAAATACCTTGTTAATATCTTTTAATGCATCATGCCACTTTTCCTTCTTTTCTAGAATTGTAAATCTTCTTAAGTATCCTTTTGGATATTCATTATCAAATTGTATAGCATCGTTAGAGTCAATTAAGCCAGCATCAAGGTTATCCAAATTAATGTGACATGCTGCCCTATTTGAATGTAATATACTTAACAGACGATTTTCTTCTTTTGGGCATGAATATATACCTTGTGTATACTTCTCAATAGCTAAATTATAATGTCCCTTAGAATATTCCTTATTAGCCTCATTTTTCAAATTTTCAGCAGTTTCCTTAGATTGAATATAATTTTCTTCTTCCATTTATTGCTAGATAATATATTAGTACTCAAATAATGTATATAAAAAAGTGAATAAACAGTAATATTAAGTAGAGAAGTGAACAGGTCCATTTAAAAAGTGATCCGCCAGAATTTAATTTAGTAAGTTTTACCGCCAAAATAATACTATAGTAAAATATACTGTTGCTAAATAAAAGGAGATATCTGTTTAGCAATGCAATTAAGTTTGCACATATAACCACACTTCTATATTTTTATAAATAATTTCAAAATTTTGAAATATAATAAATATAGTTTATACACTGAATATTTAGTTACTTTCTTAATTAAAAGACTCATTTCTATTTGTAGAACTATGTTAATAGCTAATAAAGAGGAATAAGTTTATATTAATTAACTTAAATCTTATAGACACTAAATTTTAACTATATGTAACTAAGAAAAAGAAATTGTACAAGTAACTTTTATTTTTTATATACCGGTATCATTATGGAATAGTTTGCACTAGTATGTGTACCGGTATTTACATGCAATTCATGCATTTATTTTTTTTATGTGGCAGTAGTGCATATTTCCTTAAATTGAAGGTGAAAAGTAGGAAAGAATGAAAGTGTTAAAATTCAATAGTTCCAAACAGCAGCTCCTAATATTTCTTGTTGTACTTTTTACTATAAAATGTTCAGCGTCTCCTCAGTTCAATCTTTATAGAGCTGTTGAGGAACAAAGAAGAAATATGGTGACAAATCCATTTTTTGGCCTTGCATTTGATATTGATCAACTACGTAAACTAGCTTTGACTCAGCCTGAGGCAATTAAAAATGCTGGAGTTATTGTGGCTCATGTTGAAAACCCAATGCGATTACCAAAAAATATGGAGATTAATTCACAAGACATACTTGCAGATGTTGATGAAATATTAATGGAATTTATGGAACCAAAGAAGCAAAATATGCTTTTGGATTCAATGTCACCCTATGACCGCGTTAATTATGATGAACAACAAAGCATGACAATAAGACATTCAATTGTAAGTTTTCAAAATAATAAAGTGGAAACGCTAAAAAATTATAAATTACTTACTGTTATTGTGCTATACTATCTTAGGAGAGACATAAGAAGCTGTTACGGAAAATTAATAAACTAAATTAACAACGTAGTTAATTGACAAGGAGACACCTATGTACAAAATTGAAAACTATACTAGCGGTTTACTAATTTTTACTGATTAAATAGGTTTTTACTAAATATAACTACTTAGTATAAACTTTCTCTTAGAGCTTCCAAACTAGAATAATATTAGCTCTTTTTAAAATTACTGACTTTATATTAGAAAAGGTTTAGTATTGACTGAGCTTTTAACTGGTCAATCATCAATAAGTGGACTGATTTTCAATCTTCGTACTGTATCTGACTAGCTAACTTAACGAGTCCCGTAATTAATATTATTTATCATAAATTCATCTATTATATAACTTTTAATCCATATAACTGGCTAGTCTATTTGATTTAGTTATAATCTCTCTAATAATATATATATTCCTTTATGTTATTGGAATATTTTCGGAAAAAATGAGTCAAGATTGTGGATTGTCGAAGATTACAACGAATATATACTACTATGATGAACTGAAAGCTAAGAAGATTATCACTTATCCGATAGGTCATATACCTAGAAAGTGTCAAAATAAGAATGGACTGGGACTTCCTTTAGGTATTATGAAGTTTCAAAATTCTTTGGTATCACTTAGTGATGAGGAGTTCAAAAAAGTTGGTACTACTGACGAATACGAAGCAGTTGCAAATGATCTGTTTAGAAATCACAATTATTATGTACTGGAAGGTAGTAAATATGGATGCGACTTCAAAATATACGACAAAGATCCAGATTTTAATCATAGCATTGCATTAGTCCATGTTGTAATGGAACCTTTTGAAGTCTCAGTAGGTGATATGATATTATGGCAAAGACTAGCACATTCAGTAAATAAGAAAATGATGATTGCCATGGTTAGTAAGAAAACCAGTTCTTGTAATAAGGATGATTATATTAAATCCAATAACCTTAATAATAAAAGTAATCACACAAATTTAAGTGATGTAGAATTTAATAGTAGAATAGCTGAGGTTAAAAGTGAGAGAAAACTTTACAAACAAATTAATATGAATAAAATATGCCACTCTAATGGTGATATCCAATTAATTGTTCCAAAAAATATTAACAATACTGATGAAAATGACACAAGTTTGCAAAGTAACCAAAATGAATATAATGTGATAGATAGTCTAGAATACGTTTGGGAAATTCGATATTTTACATGTGAAAATATTCCTTTGTCTACATAATATTATTCTTTAGAAAAAAACAAAGTATATGAAATTTCTGCATTTCCTATTGAATTATTTTACTATTATCTCTTGAAATATTAGAGGTTCTCATAAATCATTAAATATTAATACTGGAAGAGTATTTATATTATATTGAATTCCTCAAACTATACTGAAAATCAATCAAATCAACTATAGAGACAAAAGTGATGGAGTTTAGTGAAGAAATGCGTAAATAATATTAATTCTCTTTATAAACCTAATGTTTTTTTAAATATAAAAAATTTATTTTCAACTTAAAATACATCTCTTAGTAAATTTATCTAGAAGTTTAGCTTGCTTTTATCAATTAATATTGAAATAAACTTTATAACATACCTTATTTCATGAGTAAAACGGATTATCGTCTAAAGCCAGTTCATTATAAATTCACATTCACTTGCACAGTATTTCAAACCATTGCTTAAGCAAATCACATAGGACATTTGGAATTCTCCTTGTATCTTGTATAATTGAATAATATGGAAAGGGAAAGTTTTCTAAATATGGTTCAACTTTCATCTTTCCATCCTCAGTCTTTATTACTGATTTCATACAAAATATAGAACATTCAGAGTTTTTTTTATCAGTCCCATCATTAGATATGTCAGAGATATATCAACAATAATGAGTACAGGTACGCATTTGTTTTGTATTGCATAATTTACCCATATCTTAGATTTTTGCTTATTAAATCTACCATCTGTAATAATAATCATTAACTCATGACATTGTTTACTCAAATTAGTCCTTGATTTATCTCTCAACAACTCTGTAGCTTTCTTCAACAAATAAGGCAAGCTATTCTGATGTGAATCAAAAGACTCTTCATTAAATTTGAATGATTCTAACAACTGTGTAGCATCATTAGTTGTAAATCTACTATTAAGTGGTAAAATTTCTCTTACAGTATCTCCACCAAATGAACAGACTCCAAAGTTACCAACCTCCAATCTATTTAGTGATTGCAAAATAATAAATAAAGATTTGATTGCTATATTCTGATTTCTAGAGATAGTCATACTTTTAGAGTTGTCCACACATAACAAAACATTGAATTCACGTTTATTCGGTTTAGTTCTTCTGAGCCATATTTTGTCTTTACGATAATCTGAAGCTATATATGCAATGACCTTCTTCATAGACAAACGTTTACCTGTTTTAAAGTCACCTTGCATTTTACCACGCACAGTAGGTTCTAGTATTATTCTTAGCTGATTAGTCAGTGAATTGACTATTGGAACTATCTCACGCTCAATTTGAGTCCATAAAATTGTAAGATTACTGGAACTATTTAGTTTTTGGATTTGATCTTCTTGATTATATATATCATATTTCAATGTATTGTCACTAGAAACAAAGTTTTGTATTGATTCCTTTACAACATTTTGAGTATTTTTAGGATGAAGATCGTTTTCAATATTATTTAACAGTTCATCATTTAACTTACTCAGATAATTATCACAAGAAACCTCACTTTTTTCATTCCTTTCTATATTGGATTTCTCATTTTCTTGGTTTACTTCATAATCAGACTTTCTATTGAAGATATCAACTTTATTGTCATCTAATTTTAAGATATTATCAGAAAACTTTTTACTTTCGTTGGATTCCAAGTTGCTATAATTATCTGTTTGTTTTATATCTGACTCCTTTTCTTTCTGGAGATCTTTACTAATTTCTTGTGTATCAGCACTTAAAGCTAATCCAATAGTATTACCTTGATCATTTTTATCAAATATATAGTCCTTATTATCATCTGGATTTAGGTTTTTGCTAGAATTATCTGTTACTATTTCATCATCTTGCCTTTCATTTCTATCTTCATCATCTTTGTTATCTGTTATACTTAGTAGTCTTTGTATCTTTTTAAACCATTTAGTTTCATCTATATTGCTCATTAAAGGATTAGGAAGGATCTGGGGAAATCTTGACGCACTACTTAGAGTTGAATTTGTTGATTCACCTAAATTATAATTACCATCAAGAGAAGATGTTGGATCTATATTATCTATAGATTGATTATCTTCTATATTAAAACTTTCATTTTGTAGAACCTCACTTGATATAGAGGTATTATTTTGTACGCCTAATTGATTTAATTTATTGTTAGGATCTTCAACTCCACTACTTCTGACTTGATTGCCACCATATGAATTATTATTCTCATCCTCTAAATTTTCATTTAGTGCTGCAATCCCATTAGCTTTATCTTTATTATTAACAGAGTCATGAGAGTTGTCATGAATAAAGCTATCCTGTTCACCAGAAATTAGCTGTTCAAAGTTGTAGCTTTCATCCTTTTTTTCAGATATATTATTTATATCATCATGCTTCAGCTCTTTTTTGTCTAATCCTTCATCATACTCTTCAAATAGAGCTTCCATATGAGTGCTATTATTTCTTTCTATATCACTATTTTCTTGTTCACTCTGTTCCTTATCACTTACTGAGTCATTTATTGAAACATTATCTACAGAATTACCATCTAATGAAGCATCAACTGGATTGTCATGTGTATCAAATTCAAATTCGCTCTTTTCCTGAACATTTTCTTTACTTCCCTCATCTTTTGTATCCAAACTAAGTATATTTTCTGTCTCAAATTGAAAATCCTCACCTTCTTCGTTATCACTATATGCATTTTGTGCTCTGCCTTCAGTTTCATTACTTTCATCTAATTTCTCTTGCTTCCTTTGATCCTGAGTTTTCTCATTATTGATATCTTCCTTCTCATCCTGTTTAGCTACAATATCTGTATTATCATTTAGTTCATTTCCCTCTGTTTCAATACTTGATGTTTGGTCTTTGTATTGTTGGGTTTCATCACTTTTCTTGGAATCTTCTATATTGCTTTGATCATTACTCAAGTCAACGCTATCTATTATTCTATCTAAATTATCCTCTTCACTTGTATTCTGCTCCTCATCACAATTACTATTATTCTCATTTCTAGGCATATCTTCCAATTCACCTTTGAAATCCTGACCAGTTTCAATACCATTATTATTGTTATTATTATTATTTGTAGAAAGACTCTCACTTTCTTGCTGTAAACCCTCTAGTATCGAATTATCCTCTATTTCCTCCGATATATCTTTTCCATTTTCTTTGGTATTGTTATCAATATTACCAAAACCTGTTCCACCTATCCATTCATCTCTGCTATCTTTTTCTTTATAATCCTGTTCTTCCTGTTCTTTCTCACATATATTAAAAAAGTTTGTTTCAAAGAGTACATAAATAGCTTTTACAAAGTAGTTTGTAATGTATACTTTACCCATTAACTCTTGAGCTAGATTAAATGAATTCAATAAAATATCTTTATATAAATTAAGGATTTTGTGTATAGTTTCATTAGATTTTGGTCCTAACCGAACACAAAATAATGGTTCTAGGTAGTCAGGTTTGATATTAGTCACAATTTTTGTACTTATTTGTATCAATAATTTATTCATCTCTCCATAAGATATTGACTTCTCTTTATCTTCCAAATCAATTTCTCTTATCAGATCCAAACATGAATATTTAAAATCTTTCGATTTGTTTACAAGCACAGACTCCATTTCTAGTAATAATTCTTCAATATATGAATTCACACTATATATGTCATTAATATTAATAATACCCAGTAAATCTTCATCCAAATTTCTTAGAATATCAATGCATTCTCTCATCTCCTTAGTTATTTTGGTTTTGTGATATATATAAACTAAATTTAGCATCTGAACTCTTGCAATATAGAAAAAGTGGTTATAGTCTGATTCTTTATTGCTATTTAATGAATGTTCTACTTCGATAGATTGTAAATGACCATTTTCAATTAGTTTATCAGTACTGAAAGATCTTTCTTTAGAATAATCTAATTTATTGTGATGATGAGTTCCACTTGAGCCGTATAGATTTGTAATTAGACGGTATTCACATGTACTAGAAATAAATCTTGAGATTATGTCCATTATGGAAAATAATTTGAATATCTTCAATTGTATAATTTGGAATTTATTATCTTTCAACCCTCTTTCCTTATCTTGCAAATTGCAAGGCATGTCAGATTTATTTATGTGGTCTTCATCTTTATGTATATAATCCTGAAATAATACTTGATTTATCAGCTCCTCATTCAAATTATTATTTCTCTTCATACAAACGACATTTTTTTGTATTACTGCCAAACAATTAATCATTTTATCCTTTATACTTAGTATAGAATTGAGATAATCGAAAATTAGAAATTCCTTTATAAAGCAGTAAAGTGGAAGTGATTCTTCATATTCCGCAGCACAATTAAGATTCCTAGATATACCAAGACAATCAAAATTATCATCGAAATTACTATATTTCTTGTAATAAAAAATATTTTCTTTTGAAACATCAGAATACTGTTCAAAATCTTGAATACAGTTATCCTTGCTCCTTGCATCTTCATAGTCCTGCTTCAAAATATCTCTAATACTTTTCAGATCATCAATCTGGCCTAATAAAGTTAATATATCACATATTAATGCCAATTTTGGAATACTTTCATGCAAAAAAATATTCTCTAAATCTATACAATCTTTAATCATAGTTAATCCCAATGAAAATATTTTATTAGTTTGAATCAATGATTGATCAATATTCATCATCTGATATTTTCCATCTGCATAATATTCAACTAGTTTCGAATATACCATTACAGCTTCACATAGTGGCAATCTAACAAATTTACTAATTTCATATGTATATACTTGCATGATTTCGTTAAAGGATGAATCTAGTGCTATTTTTGTTAGTTGGATACAACTTGGACGTTCCAATATGCCATTATTATATTCAATAGTTCTCGTATCTATGTATAAATGTGATATAATAGAGGATTTATATCTCATAAAGCTATTCAACTCTTGTGCATATTTTTCATTAAAATTATTATTTTCATACTCATTTGATTGTGATATATAGCTAGTAAAGTATTTCGGCAGTATATTATAATAATCGTTAATAGGTATTAGTTTGGGTATTTTATATTTATCTGTGTCCATTAGTATTTTGTAATACCTACGTTTAACCATTTTACTCGTACTTATATCCATTAGTATATTCATTATATCACAAATGCTGTCTGATATATTTATTGCTAGTTTAATGTCAATTTTAGATAAAAGTAGTTTATCTTGACATTCATTAGTCTCTACTGAAATATCTTGTTTAATCTCATTATCCTTTATAATTTTAAGTTGTACCCAGTAATCTAAATTTGGTAAAATTTTCAATTTAGTGCTATTAAAATTTGTTTCTTCCAAAGATTCATTTCCAAATAGTATATTCTTGGAAACTATAGATAAATTTTCTTTATACTTCTCAGCTAGATTCTTTAATTGCTTTTGAGTTTTTCCTATTGTTTGACGAATTTTTAAATGATCTTTAATATCCCATGTTAATAATTTTACTAAATTTTTAATCTCATCTTCTGTATTTTTGCGTATATCTTCAATATTACCTAATATATAACTTTTCCAAAATTTTCCAATTTCAATAACTCTTGTTAGTGTTAAAAACATACTTGAGTTTAAAGAACTAGGTATATTATATAAATGGCTTTTATGTAAGTTTCCTTTGTTCATATCTTTGTTTATATTAAGCTCAAATATAACGGACTGCAAATATTCCATTGATTCAAGCCTTAATTTATATTCACCGATAGGAGAATATATCAAATAGTCTAATAGTAAATTATATGTTTTCCACATTGATGAAGACTTATTCAAATTGAAGCTTTCTTTTTTATCAGATAATAAAGAGTAACAAGAGAACTTGGATCCAACTGTTTTAATATGATCTATGTAATGCTCTTCAGATACAATATCTGGAATTTTACATAGGGTATCAAATTGCTTGTACTGATCTAAAATAATAGTCAATAACTTCCCAAACCACAAAGATGCCGAGTTGTCAAAGTACTCATGAACATCCTCCAGTAGTAATTCCCATGAATCTATCTGATATCGCCTCATTTTAAATAAACAATTCTTCAGTTTTTCAATATGCAAGATTAGAGAATTTTCAATATTTAAGTTTAGATGTCTACCCTCTTTAATATAAAGTTGCCATGGCTCACATCGTACTAATATAAGTTCAATATATACAATAACTACAACTATATTGATATTAAATAATTTCATTATACCTAATTTTTGCAATACAACTTGGATTGATAGTAGTATTGGATGCTGTTTATATTCTCTTAGCAGTATATTTATATGATCTTCAAAGCTGATAATTATATTTGGTAAGTTTAAACTCAATAGTAAAAAGGTACAATCCTGTAATTGGTTAGTACATGATTCTTTTTTAAATTTATCCAAATTTGTTTCAGTAGAAATTCTATTAGAGTATTTAATAAGTAAAAGCTGAATGTAATATAAGTAATTCTCGAATTTCATTTTTGAGTCCAAAGGTAGTAACATTTTTTGAATTAAAGACGAAAAAGTATCTTTACTATCATAGCTCACTTTGACTGATACCAACCTTAATATATGATTTCGAAGTATCTCTTCAAGGCATTGGCTTCTAGTATCAATATAGTTTTCATAGTTGAATAACAATTCATCACCATCTATAAGATTATTTCTGTTATATACAGATAATCTTTTAATCGTTTTCATTATTGCTCTACACAAAAGCTTAATATTCATATATTTAGCATTTAACTCGTTAACTTTTGCATCCTCTCTATTATTGCTGGTACTCTTAGTTACTGAAATCTCCTTAATATAATCATTTATATCACCATTTAGTAGCAATTTGCCACTTTGACCTTCATATTCACTACCTATCATTCCCATAACTATTGAACTATCTAATTCAGTTATATCAAGTGCTGGCAAGTTCACTAGTCCATTACTCTGTACCATGTTCGTTTCTGGACCACAAACCTCCTTTTGTTCAAATTGTAAGCTAAGAACTGTATTCAACTTTGTTAACTCTGAATTATATAGATCTATGTAAGCACTTGTATCTATTAATGTCTCCCATATAGCTAAAGAATTCCTAGATATATGGGAGAAGGAGCCAAATGCTGAAACAAGCAATAAACGTTCTTGTTCATATAAATTTACTACTTCCACTGCATTCAGTAGATCAGAGTAGCTTTTTACTGCAAATATATCATAACTTTCAAATGGTACAACTAAATTATAGTGATTTACTTGATTCCTAGTTTTTAATGAGCAGTTGTAACATTCATGAGATGTGGTATATGCAAAAGTGCACTTTTTGGACATGCACAATGTTGAGTTACTTTCCATAAGATTTGAGACTAAATAAATTAATGAGGCTCCTATTGATAAAGAATATAAAATTAATTTTATTGGTTTCAAAATATCATCATAACACAAAATCACATCAGGATCTAAATTGGTGTATAATGAACTATTCAATGAGCTTATTAATGACAAAAAGTTATCAACTGTAGTAAAATTGAAAGATTCCAATAAGAATTGTTTTCTAATATCCAATTCTCCGGATTTTTGCTCCCCTAATAAAGATCCAGTACAATCACTTAAAATCCTAATAAATTGACTATGAAGAATAGCCGATTGAATATTTCCAATACACTCAATTACTCCCTTTGTATTATCTAGTAGCTTACAATTAAATTTTGATCTATCACCTTGTACAAATTGTAGGTTTCTTAAAATATTACCAAATTTAAATTTGTTAATTTCTTCCATTACATCATTTATATTTTGAACTAAGCCCTTCATTACATTACTTTCTATTTTAATAACTGCCTCATTAATGGAATGTGATGCTTTCATTAATTTCTCAATGTAGCAGTATTCAGTTTCAAAGTGACCCTTCTCTACTAGTTCAAAGTATTTTTCTTTTGTCCTATAATTTGAAGAATAATCAACCTTTTCAAGTGAACGATGATGATATTCTAAAGGTAGGGATATCATCATAATGCTTGAATATAATATTATAATAGAACAACTCATAAGTGAATCTTTAAGCTCACTAAATAAGAAGTAATTCAATAGTTTAATATATTTAACAAATAGTTCTAGTAATTCCCCCATCTTCTTTTTAAATAGTACATTATCCTGAATTTTCTTATTAATAATATCCGAGGATCTTAGTTCACCATCACTCAATAGTTCTAGGTTTTTGTAATCAATATTATGTATATAACCGTATTCTAACTCATTGAAGCTCTCATTCTGAATATTTGATAATTCAGTAATTATCTCTTCAATAGAACAACCCAAATTAATTAATTCACTATTATTATTACTATCTAAGTAATCAAATATTACTGGTAAAATATTCTTTATTTTTATCGAGATATTATTGAAACCATTTAAAAGTAAGAAGTAAGCCATATTTGATATTGCCATTTCTAACAAAAATCTCACTAGTAGTGACTCAACTGATATTCTACATCTCTTAATTTCACCCCTGCAATTAATTATTTTGTGATTCTTAACTCTCATCACATTTGAAATGAAATATAACTTATCTTTAATATTTATGGAATCTCTTATAGAAATCCCAGCAATTCTCTCAGATATGAAGTTCAACCCAATTGTCATTATTGACAATGGATGGAGTTTTAAAATAGATTTCATTATTTTACTAGAAAATATTGACAAAATCACTTGTTCATCCTCATTTTCCAAATCTGCCTCACTTTGCCCCTCCCTATGTATATTCATATTCTTGTCCCTATCAAGTATTAGGCTGTATGATATATTTGCCAGTATTGACTTAATATTGTCTAATTTAATAACTTTAGGTTGAGAATTTACTTCAATTTCTGGAAATAGTGAAAATACAGTGCTTGAAAGGAGTTGATGTATTTTATATTGATTAGCCAGTTTAATTGACAATTCTTCATTCCGGTATCCAGCTGACTCTAAATATTCAAACAAAAAACCTAAGGATTGAAGATCAGTAATAATATTAATTATGTTAGTAAACGATATATTAATATCAAGAGGATTTACTTTTGATATTGAATCCTTACTATATATTATGGTAAGTCCTTCCTCTAGTATATTAGTTAGATGAAAGGATAATTTCAACAAGAAATTAGAATTGAAGACATTTCTAGATAGGTTCCCTAATTGAAGTTTTTCCAAATATAAAACATATAATAAATTATTGACATAATTTATTGTATAACCTTCAACTAATTTAAGTGGAAACAGTAAGGAATTTGCAGAAATGCATTCATCATACTTTTCAAAATATACTTGACTCTTTGTTTCTTCTTTATTTAAGTTACAAGTGAGTAAGCTTCTCAGTTTTATTAGAATACTTTCCCACTTAATATTATACATATCAGTATTTACATCTGAAGAAAGTTTCTTATTACCATCTAGAATTTTGTATAGTTTATTATTTCTCTTAAATAGCTCTACTGATCTTTCAATAAATTCAAAGTTGCATAGTTTAATTTGAGATATAAGATTTAAAGCTCCATTTAAATCATTTTTAAATATTGATATTATTCTATTCCTAATTCGTGCTGTACCTAAATCTTCAAACTTGGTATTTATTCCTGGACAACTAAGTAAGTTAAATAAACCCAATTGGATTTGCAGTGCTTCATTTCTTATATATACTTGAAATCCACAAAATAGTCCATTCATGAAATTATTTATTACAACCCTCTCAATATAACTTTCCATATGAATAGGTTTCTCTATTCCGTCTTCAATAATAGTTAGGTTTAAATCAGAAAATTTCCAATTGCTCTTAAAGTTCCATATTAGACTTTCCAAGTAATTGTACAGTGCTGTTGATCCAATAACATTCTTCAATTCTGATCTGTACCTAGAAATTTTTTCAATATTACCATATAATGCAAAACTTAAATTAACTATATCTTCACCTATAAATTTCCAGATACTAATCATTTCAATTGCCATTGTGGGTGAATCTCCAATATTTGGAGTAGAGATCATATTTATAAATAGTTCCAAGATATTAAATACTTCAACATATAACAATATTGTATCGTAATCTATATATTGCTTCGGTTCATAGAACTCTATTTTATTTATATTGTTTTCTACTGTATTTTCAATTGAATTGAAAAATGTTTTATTATAATTGCTTTCTAATATGTTCAATATATCTTCATATACATAACTTATAATTAAAGATATAAACTTCTTTATGTTGCTTAATATTAATATTGGACTAGCGAGGACTATCTCATTAATTAATGATAAAGTATATAGCTTATCCTTACATTCTTGAGATTCATTAATGTAAGAAGACTTTAAATATTGAAACAGTATATCACAATTCAATATTGAAGAATTTAGGTCAGTTTCATGTTTATTACTGGAAAAAAATTTGTTTATACTATATAACAAAGTGGAAGTGTAAATAGGTAAGTTCCATTCGTCCAACTGAATTATTGGATGAAGTATGATATTTACACTAGTATGAATTAGCTTGCTTATACCCTTCATAAATGAAAAATTAATACTTTGAGCTGAATTTATGAAATAGCTATCATATTTCATTAGTGATACTATACATTCTTGATTATATATTATTCTCATACTTTGTGATATTAATTTATTGCATGAAAAAGTTAATTCCTGTTTCTTTTTTATTTCATTTCTAGGACTCCATATATTATACAAGCATTCAACAAGATTGTTTTTATAAATATTGAGTAATTCATCAATTGAATCTTCACCAATTTCTAGGGAAATATTCTTAATAAATAATACTCTATCTTCTATATCAAATTCTGAAGCATATTTGAAGAAAATACAAAACTTCTTGTACAAATCCCATACGTATTCACTATTTTTAAAAGATATTTTTAATGAGTCTATTTGATTTAACGTAGAATTTGTATTTATTCGTTGCTGTTGAAAAATATTATTATTTGAGAAAATAATAGAAGCTTGTAACAAAATTTGAGATGGAAAGCTCATAGATTTATCAGTATATATATTGCTTAATTGAAGGGGTTGCTCAATATTATACTTTGATTCCCTAAAATTCATCATTTTTATTGTTGTTCTTATAGCTGACTGAAGTATTTTTTCTATTAAAAACATGTTGGATGAATTTGAAAAACGATATAAATCTAGGAATGTACTAGTTAGTAGATTCAGATGTTGTAATTGAACATTATTTATAGCTAGTGAATTATTATCAATATCATCTATTCCACTTAATGCTAATACAAATTCTGATAATAAACTTGAAAACATCAAATCTTGCCACTTTATGTAGAATGAACTTTCTAAAAATATACTTTCAAGAATATATGCCTTAACATCTGAACACAATTGTTCTATATTTTCTAGAGCTAATTTTATTTCATTACTTGATGAGAAACATTTAGTGATATGCATTACTTCATTTTTTAATAATAGGTTTGATTGATCACCATTGAAAAGAGTATAACTTATCTCCAAAAGAATATTTATAAGTTTAATAAAGCTACCAATTAATATGTATACAGCTGGCATTATATTTAACACTGAATTACAATATCCACTATCAAATATCTTGTTATAAATGTTGCAATTTTTCAGTGCAGGGGAATAAAATAAGCTAGAAAACCAAAAATTAGCTTCTGCCTGCAAAATTGGATGAATAGTCTCATAGGAAAGCATAAAATCTTCAATAAATTGTCTGCACAATGAACATTTACCAATTTTGATTGTTATTCGTTTTATAATATCATTTATTGCATCAATATTTCCAATCTTACTACTCCCAATATTTAATAAATCATTCTCAAATACTTTATCCAGAAGATCTTGAAGAAATATTGGAATACATGGCTTGAGTATTTCATTTACAAATGTAAAATGCTTTCCTTTAAGATCCAGAGACATTTTTCTAAATAAACTGTTGTCATCTACCTCACTAACTTTCTCTGTACAATGTTGCATGTATTCTTCTTGATTAGTTGAGATGAAAAGTTCAATACAACGATTTTTAAGTGCATTACTTATGAATTGACTTTGATTTAACTCGAAAATGTTGCTTCTTACAAAGAATATACGGAAGTTAGGATGTCGTTTAATATATTTAGCTTCGCCACTTTCAGTAATAAATAGATCATTTGTTTTATCTTCAATTAATGCATTTAATCTATCCAATAGAGTTGATGAGCAATTCTGGATATTTTTAATTATAATCCATTCACCAGCAATAATTGCCTTTATAAGGTCTGAGTATACAAATTCAAATTGTGGATAGTTAGCCTTCCTCCTTTTTTCATTATTTTTTAAGAGTAATAATTTTGAATCTATCTCTTCAAGTGAAGCCTTACAATTTTTAGATAGTTCTTCTCTATGATCAAATTCTGTTTTAATGTATTTCATCCATATTTCTATTAATTCAACAAGCTTATCTAATATTAAACTCGACTCACTTTCAACCACTCCTATATAAATTTTATCTGTGTACTTCCTGGACAAACCTTCTATTTCATTGTATAAAGATGTCAACTTAAAGAATTTCTCCCAAAAACCAATATAAGTATTGTTATCCATATTTTTAGTAAGAATTTTCTTGGAATTTCTCAAAAGTAGATTTTTGCAGTATATGAATATGTATTTGATTACATTTATAATATCAATAATTATTATATCACTGTTGTATTGCTGAAAATTTCCAATTAGATCATTTGTATCTATTGAAGGAGTCATATTTATTTCCTTCACAGTAATATTATCAAAAGCAAAACTTGATAATGAGTAAATGCAACTAGTTATGTTCTCTATATCTTCAACTTCACAGCCAATCATTAATGGCTCATTAATTAAAATACATTCTGCCATTATAAGAGTATATTTCTTCAAATATAACGGTATTGAATTTAGATCTAAAGCTGCTTTAAAATGGTTTTGTCTTGAAGGAGCTAAATCGGAATTTGACGTATTTATAGATTGATATAAATATGTATTAATAGGTAAATGTCCAATATAACAGTTAACCGAAATTTTATTAAATTCAAGTCTCTTAAGTGCAAAATAAGGCTGATTAATTATATAATTTGATATTGTTGATAATTGATTATAGTTGAGTGTAAAGTATAGGCGAATTTTTTTATGTATAATTTTCCATATATTATTTTTGTCTATTTCACATTGGAGTCTTGATATACAAATAATTTCGATACTATGATATAATGACTGTAATAAGTAATGAAGATACTTTCTTGGGATATCATTTGAGAGAACACCTGGAAATCTGGAAATATGAAAATCCTGAGTATTTTCTGTAACTAAATTGAAGTTATATTGAACTAATTCAAGTAAACGAATAGCATCTCGTAAGTTCCATTCCCAATCATTTCCATTTTTAAGAGGTTTTATTTCTCTGTGGTAACTTCTAATAGATAAGATAATATCAATAGATACTTTTATAATCTTTTCTGGTAAATTTGAGTAGAGTGACATTCCAATAGTATAATAATCTTGTGAATTTAATTTCTTAATGCTTAATTTTGTAAATCTATTTAAAAAACTTTGAGGAAGTCCTTTTCTTCCACTACCTTCAATTACTGGATTTTGTGTTGCAAATATCCGAAAGTTTGGATGGCATGTAACTAGTTGTCCTATTTCTGGAATATAAACATTCCTCCTATGATCCATAATACTATTTAAACCTTCTAATATTTGCTGAGTAGCCAAGTTTAATTCATCTAGGACTACCCAATCACCTTGACGCATTGCTCTTAATAAAATCCCATCAGACCACCCTATCAGAGAATTAGAAATATTTTGTGTTTCTAGTGATTCATCACTTGTATTTATATCTACACTCTGATTTTGCCTTTTCTGAGGAATTTCACAGCCAAATAAGTCAGTTAAGTCAGTCTGCTCACTTAAATTTATTCGATGTAACTTCATACCTATCATCTTTGAAATTATACCAACAGATGCTGTCTTTCCAATACCTGGCGAACCTTCCAGTAAAATAGGTTTCTGAATACTCATAGCCCTTAATACACATGCAATATTCCTCAAGCTGGTAGGTGCACATAATGTAAATCTATCCTTTGTACTTTTTCCTTTGCAAATTTCATCATTATTATTTTGACATAATCGCCTTATTTTAAATGGGCCAATAGATACCTCATTTTTATAATTAGCCTCTGAGAAGTATGCCTTTGATCTACTTAGATTTAATTCAGTAATCCATGCTAATCCTTCCTCTTCAATAAATCTATGCTCTAAAATTTCAAAGATAGTTTTCTTTATTTCTTGCTCGCAAGTGAAATAATCGTCTTTCTTATTAATAAACTTGTTACTTGGAATTCTTCTAATTAATGGAGTTATTATGACATCAACAGCTATATATAAAAGCCTTTTAATTAGCATCATTTCTAGTATTGTTCTACCTTCATTGAAGTTACTATTAGTGTAGTCTGTAATAGTTAAACATCCACCATGAATAAATACTTCACAAACTGAAAGTATCAATAAAATCCACTTAATAATTATATCCAAATCTTTACAACTACACAAAATCTCTGATAGTCTAGATTTCAGACATAATTCATTTTCTGTTTGATCCATGTAAAAGTTACAAACTTGATTGAATGTATTTGAGACGAAATTAGACCATGATAATACATCTCTTATTGAAAATACTGAGTTGTTGGATTGTCCATGAATATATAGAAGTTCCATAGGCATAGATGGAAAATTATTTTCGCAAAAGTTCTTAATCACATTCTCATTACCATTTAAGTCATTTTCATACATCACTGAGGCAAATAAAATAGCTTTTGAAGTGTAATTGATAATATCCTCATTTTCGAAATATTTTTGGGTTATTCTTAAATTATTTCTTATAAGCTCTTCAATGTCATCCTTTAGATTATATAATGAAAGTAAAGGAATGAATATTTCGGTAAAGCGATTTCTAAGAGCCGGAGATAACTCACGTTTCCCATAATCTCCTCCTGGATTCATCGTTGCAAAAATTCGGAAATTAGGGTTAGCTTTGATAAACATGCTGGAGTTTAAGCTATTAGTACTATCACTTTTTTCAGTTATTGTGATAGTACGATCTTTTCCATTTTCTAGTAGTGAATTTAGTCTTTCGATTACAGAGTCATCACATAAGTTTATTTCATCTAACAGCAGATAACTCCCACTTTTCATTGCTTCTATAACAGGACCATCTTGCCATTCAAATAGGGCACCCTTTTCATTATTTGTTTGATCCTTTTGGTACTGAAAAAGAATTTCATTAGCTTTGGATAGTAAATAAAAATAATTACTATCTAAATCATCTGTCTTAAGTCTAATACTTTCAGATGATAATGCTTCTATTTGTTCCTTTAGGGACTTGAAAGATAATTGGAATTCACCATACAATTTTTGATTAATATATTTATCTTGATCGCTTATGATCTCAACTACGTGCTTTATTAAATCTAGAATTCCTTGAATATGAATATTAAAATTATTATTGCAGTGATTAGAATTAGCTAAACAAGAAAATTCGTTTAGTAAATTTCTAAGCTCTTGTCTAAGTTGAGTGGCTGCATCTCTACTTGGTCTTAAAGAACCCAACATATCACCAGCTTCAATATGCTGATGACAATTTATAACATATAAACGTCTTCCTTTTGCAGAAGCAAATTCCTGACAAATAGTCGTTTTGCCACATCCAGTTGGACCAACAAGTAAAACAGGTTCATCAAACTCAATACAATAGTTAACTAACCTAGCCATTCTTTTAAAAGTATCAGTCATAATAATATTTCGCGATTCCTTTAGTAGTTTAATAGGTTCTTGTAATTTGTTTAGAAATGAATAAATACTAGATTCATTGGTGATAGCAAGCTTTGGTTTCTTCCTCCTGTTACTGTTTTTTTTATCAAGTTCTTCATACTCATACTCTTTAATGGTGGCACTTAGAATATCATTCAATTTTATATTTAAAAGTTGACAGTTTTTCAACAATATCTGGGCAACCTCAACTTTGTCCTCTTCATTTCTTATTCTTTCTCCTATTAAAAAGAATCCTTGGATTAATAATTCATATTTATCGATATTTTTAGCAAGCCTATTACCCCATCTTAATAGATCTCTAACTGTCATAAAGCTCATATCTCCAGAAAATAGTTGTGAAGTCAATCTATGTTGCTGGAGTTCAGTAAATATATTAACCATTGTTTCTGCATATGAAGGTGGTATGATACATCTACTTGATAATATTGTCACCAATTCACTACTTACGATGTTATCTATATAAATCTCGACAAATCTATTACGAAATGCTTGAGATAATACCTTCCTTCCACCATAAATATTGCCTGCTGGATTTTGTGTTGCAAACAATTGGAAATCAGGATGTGCTTTAATTGTTTCTCCAGTTTCAGGTAAGAAAATTTCTCTATTGGAATCCAAAAGACGATTTAAAGACTCCAAAACTTCACTAGGAGCAAGGTTTAATTCATCTAATACTAGCCAGTAACCTTTTCTTGCAGCAGTAACTAGTGGTCCTTCAGTATAAATTAAATTCCCAGTTTCTAAGCTTGGCATATATCTTCCAAAGTATTCCTCAATATCAGTATGTTCGTGATTGTTTATTCTGACAAATTTGTGCCCTGTAATTTCAGTGACAAATTTAATCAGAGATGTTTTACCCGTAGATGTGGGGCCTTCAATCAAAATTGGATTCCTACATCCAGATAAAATTCGCACAATTTTTGTTAAGTTTTCAAGTACAGATGGTGTTATCACAAATTCCCTTCTCATTTCATCTATGATTTCATTATCTAGTATCTCCTCCCCAGCATTAATAATATATCCATTAATATCTACATATTTTACCATCTGTGAGCCTAAAACACTTCTTTTTTGCAAATCTTTTCGTGCAGTCAAACTAGAAAAATTGATATATGGAGCCTCAAATATGTTTAATCTCAAAAGATTATCTAATGTTCCCACATTTGAGATATTTTGTATTTTACTGATACCAAGAATCCGTCTAACAAGTGCTTCTACTCGTTTGAATGAGTCGCTAATTAATGGTGTTGCGAAGCTCATAAGTATACCATCCAATATAGTTGTGAGTATGTTATCACTAGTTCTATGGTTAGTTATAAGTTTACCGTTTGATTTCCACTGATTTTGAACACAAAGTATATTTCTAATATAGCATAAACTATTTGTAAAAGTTCTTAAAGAATATTGTGGTGCTCCATATCCATTACCTTCTATACCAATTGTAATTTCATGTTTGTTAGAAAGGGACTTCAATTCCAGATATATATCTACAAGAACACCAATTTGTACTTGGTTCGTTATTAGTACATCTTTCATGTATTCATATACAATATCTTCCAAATCTTTTCTTGAATATACCTCATCTACAAAGTATTCAGTAAATAGGCATCTAACAAGATATGGTAATTCGCGTTTACCAGGAGTTGCACGTACTCTAGAAGTCTTTAAAAAATTAGATGATTCTATAGTGGATTCAGATATGTTAGAGCTGTTTGTATTGTTTATGAGCTCATCTAAAAGTTTTTTATTATCAATAATATCCAATGGGACAGATGAAGGGTTCATACATGCAAACAACCGAAATCTTGGATGTACCTCAATTATTTCATTTCCTTTTTCAGGGATTAAAAAAGTTACTTTCTTGCTATATAAAGATATTTTACAATTTCCTACATTTCTGCAGCAATCTCTACTAAGTATAGGTATAAGTCTTTGCAGAGTATCATTAGGTGCAAGGTTAATTTCATCAAGAATTATCCAATGTCCTTCTTTAATTGCTCTAGTTAGAATACCATCAATAAACTGAAATTGAGGGGATAAATTAGATTCCAATTCAGATTTGTTTGCAGAGTTTCTTATTCTATTGTCCATCAATAAATTTGTACATGTTGCATCTATCTCACGCCAATAAGTGATTAATTCCCAGATGTTTTCTATATTTGTTTTATTCATCCAATTACGTTTTTTGCTGGGATATATCTTTTGGATTAATATTTCAGATGTATTTGGTGTATTAGTCTTAATTTTGGATTCTTCCAATTTACTAGAATTGCCAAAATTATGTTTGCTTTTATCACAAATTACCTCTTGATACTGTGAGATAATAGTTTTCGTCACTTTTTGAATTATTTGCAAAGTTTTTAACCATTGTTCTTTATTTATTAAATCAGTAAGTTTTTGTAGCACTGCAGAATTCTTTTTTTTACTAATATTGCTTCGTTCCAATAATACAACATAGTCATTATACAAAGAACGAATATCTACTCCAATATAATTCGGTTTATATGATCCAATCAAGTCACTTGACTCACTTTGTTCACTAAAATTATAAATCAAAAGTTGGCACTTATTGATATCATTGGGTAAATTTGCATAATACAATGAATGAAGTTGCTGTATTACAGTTGTTTTTCCTGTTCCTGTATCTCCAACTAGCAAGACAGCTTCGTTATTTCTAATTGATAATGCTAAGTCATATAATAATTTTGAGTGGATACTTGTATAGGAATAATTAGACTGCGATGTATATACAATTGAGTTATCCGATAAAGAAGAGTCTAAAGTTTTCTGAAACTCTATTCCATTATTTTGAGGAGTGTCTAAATATTCCTCCATATTATTCTCACCTCTGTCTTTTTCATACTCAAATTTTAGACTACAACCAAGTATCTCATTTCTAATACCATATTTGCCTTGATATTTCTCAATCATAAATCTTTGATTTCTAATACAATCGAACACTTGAGCTTGATTTAAATTAAAAGCACTACAAAATACAAGATATGCTTTGATTCTAAATTGAATAAATGGAATATGGTCAGCCAAAGTATTACAAGCATGAAAGCAAATTTTAAGTTTCATTGGTTCAGACAAGAAGTGCCTACTAAGATAATCACTTTCATCTTGAGGAGTAATATTTATATTTTGATCTTTGAAAATAAATGACACTCTCTCACATGATATAACAAAATCTCTACTTGATGGGATTCTAATGTTGATATTCAGTAATTTTTTATTTGTATATAGCATATTGCAAATATTGAAATATCCACTTATTAGGCAACTAATAAATGGAGTTAACTCTGGGAATATTACCTTTAATCTTTGTTTAAAATCTAAATCAGTCGGGCTATTAACGTATTCTAGAAACCACTTAGAGTGCTGAACCGAAAGAGGGTTGTCACTTGTTAAGTTAGGAACCTGCATTTCCTTAGTAATCAGCTTAAAGTATTCAATTTCAAGATTAATATTGTGTTTAATATGTTTATATTCATCATCTAATATCTCCTCAATGTTGTCATGTACCTGCACCTGTACTTCCTTAAACACCTCAGGATTTATAGCAACATGTTTATCCAAGTCTTCATTATTTACTATCACTGTCCCAAATAAGCGGAAATTTGGATGTATTTTGATTCTACTATTTAATTCAGGAATATCTAAATACCTTGAAACAATACCATGTTTAAATTTACAGCTACTGATTATGTCAACAATTTCATTGATCTTAGCCATTACATCTGATGGAGCATTCCCAATATTTTCAATTAATAACCAAGATCCATTTATCATACATTCTGCAAGGATACCATATTTCCAAACAAAATCCCCAGGTTTCTCACCACAAATCCATGCTCCCATTAAGATCTTACTATCTATAGAGCTATCTAAGTAAAGACTTATAATATTACCATTATATCTACTTAACTGATTAGATATTAAATTAGAGTTGTCATTATTTCTTGATATGTTAGCTTTATAGATGTTTAAAGCAACATTAAGTAAAGTATTATAAATACGTAAGCCATTCATTATATTTTCAATAAATAACAAAGGTCTGTTAGCCATTACAGAAGCTAGAACTTTTTTTAGCATACTACTTTGTGTATCCTTATTATAAATATTCAAATAAGTATTATTATCTTTCCATAATTCAGATATACTTAATATTTTATAATTATCAATATCAAGTTTTTTTTGTGGGCTTATGAGACATCTATGAATTAAACATGGATATATAAGTTTCTTAAGAATAGAAAAATTAGTTGGATTTCTTAAAAAATCGATAGTATCCAGTGGGGGAGGTAATAATATTAGTTTTGTAATATAATATTCAACCTTTGAAAGCTCTCTAGGTAACTGTAATAGTTGAATACTTCTGGAAAAATCCAAAATATTATACATTTCATAGTATTTTAGCTTTTCTTTTTCGTTAAATGAATTTATACTAGTAAACAATCTAATACTTAAATATACTGTTGGCTTACTTGAAGTCACCTGGTTGCAACCACTTTTGTTAAAACCACTGATAAAACATCTTAAACACTTTGTTAAGTCACTTCTTAATAGTATATCTTTAACAATTTGTACATTTTCACACAATAAAATTAATGATCTCAGAATTATTAGTATATTTAAGTATTTATCAACATTATCATTGGACTTACAGTCCACAATATTGGTAAAATTATTGATGTAATTTACGATTAAATCAATATCCTTCAGTCTAAGTTCAGTATCTGTCCAAAAATTAATTGTATACTCTTTTATTAATGGGATGTGTATCAGGCTAGAATAAAAGTACCAAATATTTCCAATAAGTATAGGGTTATTAATATTCACAAAAGAGTCTTTTTTATAATGGCAGATAAAATCAGTAAAAATAGAATTTAAGTTGTTGATATCACCCATAGTTATATTTAATAAGAGAAATATAAACCAAGGATTACGTTTAAGAAATATGTGGGATATTTCAGGTGTTAATGATCCATATATATAGTAATTAGTTAGTAATTCACTGAATTTTTTAGTATATAATGAAGTTATGTCATTAACTTCACATAAGACCTCTTTTATATCATTATATAATTTCTTAATATGATTAATATTGCTGCTATGAATAGTAATATGATCACCGATACCTTGTAGATTTTGAAACTTCTCATATTCTAGTAAATCCCGATATATTAAATCTAGCTCTATAGCTAGATCAGCTATATTCTTCTCCATTAGTTCTTCAAAAACCTATATAATTTGGATGATTGAGACTATTGAATAAAGCACTTTGATTATTATAAAGTATCCAGTTCTATCCTGGAAAATTTAAAAGTCGCTTTAGTACGTGTATCAATACAAAGTTAAGTATTCCAAATAAGATATTCTAATTTATATTATATAAGCATAAGAAGATCTATACATTTAGAAAGTAAACGGAAGTTAGGATGTCAAATAATGACGCTATTTTAAAAGGCGGTACAAAAACCGCTGTTAAAAACCATCATACGAGAGTGTCCTCTTACTAATATATTACCTGTGGAGCGTGTACCTCGGCACGCCGTACTGACGTGATATCTCGAACCAATCTTTCGCCTTTTACTAAAGATTGCCGTGTTGCGTCAGCTGGGTAGTAGTTTCTACCGCTCCAAAAATATTTGGGGGCACAATGTGCCCTAGCGAACCGTAAACTAATGTATCTCTAAAGGTAGCTACGCGACGTAGGGCATAGTGATATAGGATATAGTGGCGTAGGGCATAGTGATATAGGATATAGTGGCGTAGGGCATAGTGATATAGGATATAGTGGCGTAGGGCATAGTGATATAGGATATAGTGGCGTAGGGCATAGTGATATAGGATATAGTGGCGTAGGGCATAGTGATATAGGATATAGTGGCGTAGGGCATAGTGATATAGGATATAGTGATATGGTGGCATAAAACGTAGCAATGCAGGGTACGGCAGCATGGCAGTGGGGGGGTACAGGGCTGGCAGGGTGCGAGACCCCGGCAGGGAGGACTAGTAGGATCACCAACCCAGCCCAAACCCCGGCGATACATTAGCTTAATGAGGTAGCCCCTCAGGGCCCCAGAAATTTCCACCAGACCACAGAGGGCCGATAGAAGGGAATTGGTGTAGTTTTCAACTAGCAATAGTCGCGCATCCGCTCGGCGTCACCTGCAACGACATTGCCCCTGGCGCAAGACTGGCCGCTTGTCCCTCCGTATAAACAATACCAGCATACAGACACAGTTATATGATGGGTGTAGCCTGCAGCGACCGCATCCCTTTTCATAAGATGTAAATTGTAAGAGACAAGAAAATCTTTCTGGAGCATCAATTAGTATGAAATAATTTGGCTATTGCTAATATATATGTCGGAAACTTCCAAACATAGTAAATTAGATGTAATTAGAAGTATTATCAAAAAGAAGGGGAATGAGATTCGTCACAACACTAAGAGAGATCACTTCTCATGTTTATTATGTATTAAATTCAGTTCTCTAGCATTTATAAATGATACAAACTCTAAGGATGATATTAATGACTCTGTGTATATCGTAGATTTACTAGAAGCATATTTAAATTATTCAATTTACTGCTTGTTAAATTACATAAAGAACAAATATTGCAATTGTAAGAGTAGTGAAGAAAGTATAATTGTGTATTCTACATTTGATATTTACAAATTTGGGATTGATATTCAGAAGATAAATTATAGGAATTTCTGTAATGGATTAGACGTGAGGAATTTAGGAAGCAATATAGAGTCACTCCTTGGAATACATGTCAGTTTGTGCAGTAATCAGTGTTTAAATAAATTGTTATCCTTAAAGTTTTTGGAAATTATTATTCAGAAGTTATATCATAAATTTGGTGAACATAAAATAAAAGCTAATTCAATTGAAAGTGGACATCCTTCATTTACACCTCTGGGAAATCCTGAGCACTACACTCAGAATAAGTTATGTATACCATTAGAGCCATTTCCGCTTGTTTATAATACAGATCATATAGTAGATATTTTGGAAAATCAGAATTTCCAATACAATAGCAACTATAAAATAAGTAATGGAGTTTTTGCATGTATAAGAGTCTCTGAAGTTAGTAAAGCATTATATATTGATCCAATAATAGATATTGTTGATAAAGCATGTCTTGAACTTGGTCTTAATACATATCCAAAGGATAGAATAATTCATAGTTCTCTTGTGTATATTAAGGCAGATGACTTAGATATAATGAAGGATAATATATTAGGTAATATTACTTATAGAAATGTTTCTTTTGAAGAGTTTCTAAGCCAATCTGAATATTCGAGTAAATTGCCACTAGCTAAGAAACCATTATCTATATGGGTTGACAAATTATATTTTAGGCTTGGAATTAAAGAGTATACATTACATTTTAAATATTAATATTTTAGTGTGTTTATAGAAATAGTAGTAAATTTTTGAACTCAGAATATGTTTCGCTAATTCTTTTTTTAAATTATTTGTTATGTCTTGTTCTCGGTATGATTTGAAATGTGATTCTAGATTTAAATATCTTTTTATAATTATCAATAATACAATATACTGTAAATGTCTTTCTATTCATTTGAACCGGATGATATCCAAGTGGTAATCTTGTAGTTGCACCATGGTTATCACATTGTATATCATCATTTTTACTAAAATTATCTAGTAAACTTAAGTCATCCTTTCCAAAGTTTGACTGCAACTTTTTTAACGATGACTTTCCTGCTGAATACATCTTCATAAATGTTTTATTGTGCAAATCGTTACTATCACTATTACTTGAGTTATTATAGGCATTTGAAATGGATGGCCTTTTATACAATACCATATTATTATTCATATTAATTCCATTATTATGACTATTTAAATAACTGACAGATGATGTAACACCACCATAAACAGGAATTCCGGTATTGCTGGTATTTTGAATATTCATATCTATGTGTTGATTGGATTGTACTGCCATCCTACGAATACATCCAACCTTATTTATTGTGAAACTAGGTATTACCCCATTTATAATACCATTTTCATTTGAAAATACTAGACCAGTATATTTTGGAATATTTGGTTTGATACACCATCTTATATTAATATTTTTTGTCAAGAAAATATTATGCTGCTGATTAATTGTACCTTTAGAGCAATATATGATCGGTTCTAAGTAGACATTGTCTTGGCTATATAATGTTACACATGGTCTTGGATCATTTATATCTGAACGGTATTTATATGGAACTACATAACCTATCTTTAAAATTGGGCCTTTATCTGCAGAAAGTATTATTGATGATTGTATATTTCTACTTCTACTAGGATAATCTGATCCATATTTTTCTGATTTTGAATTAATCCCATATTTATATCTACCTTCATTTGTTATCATAATTTGTTCATTTAATTCAACTTGTTCAACAGATGTCTCGATATCTCCACCCATAATGTCCTCAATTCTCTGCTTCATTCTCTCTTCAACTTCCTTACTATCTTGTGATGCACCAGTTTGTAAACCAACAGCACCAACAATTGCCAATACAGACTGCACAGCTGTACTCAATTCATTTCTCATCCCTTCAAATGTTTTTATTGCAATTCCAACAAATGCACAGAATAATAATAAACATGTTGATGCAGCCATCATAATTATTCCTTGTCTTTCATAACTGAGTCCAACATGTTCATGTACTAGTTGAGGTAAAAATTTACCAAATAGAACTTCGAAACCATCTAATAGTTCTTGCAAATCTAGTGATTTATCTTGGTTTAAATCCATTAAATCAAACATTCTTTTTACTTCTCTAACTGGCAATTGTATCCTCATATTATTTAATAAATCACACAGCATGTCAAATGACAATCCTTCCTTACTTAGTGCAGCTAAAATTGATACAATATCACCTGGTCTTATTAGACCATACTTATTACTATATTGTAAACAACGAGATGTTGCTTCCTTTATTAATGCATCAGACTTTTCTAAATGTAAACCAATATTTAAAATAACTTTTATTGCTTCGGGCCATAAACCAGTCATTAATTTGCGTGGTAGTAGACGTCTTAAATTATCAATATGTATTACAGTACCTTCCATTGGGTCCATTCCTGTTGGATCCATTAGTATACGCAGATGCATTGAGTGACATAATGACTTATTATCTTGAAAGTTCCTTTGTAATCTTGAATATTTGTTTTTTTCATGTATACTTCCTATATTTTCTGTAGTATAATTTGATAATAATATACTAACATTATTCGTATCAATATTATTACCATGTATTATGTTATATTCATCTTTAAAGTTATCTTCTCTATTCTCTTCTATAAATGGTATGATAAACAATGAGATATCAAAAGGATCTTTCGGTAAATTCTTCCATAGAGAATGTACACCATATGGTGGTAATGTTATTTTTGCTAATGACAAGAATCTACATAGCATTTCATGAGTAAAATAGCCATGGTATGAACATACGTCTTGTGCATCATAGTGTAATTCTTTTACACTAGGTTCAATTATTGATGACTGGTATTGAAAAGAAGTCGAATTAGATTGTATTTTATTTGTTGGTTGATTATTATTTACTGCTTTGTTGTTTATTATTTGGCTACCTATATCTTTATTAACAACTGTATTTATACTAGTATTATGATTTATAAAATCACCATCTGCTATATTATTTCCAAGGGTATTTCTGTTATTTCCAGATGTAGGTGATGAGATTATTGAGCCTGCAGTATTATTAATATTGTATTTTGTATCACTTTTATACGTCGGCTGTAAGAATATCCTTAAAATAAAATCACGAGCATATGCAGCATCAATGAATGGCTGTACATTAGGTAATTTTAAGTTCAAACATAATAATAACCATAGAATATGACTCTGAACTGGATGACTAGAGAATCCTAGGGCTGTAATAGCAGCATCAAATACATCAAATGATATTTTGTATGATTTAATTCTATTTTTCCTACCAGTAACCTTTGATAAATCAAGATGCTGAGATGATCCACCCAATATTGCTCCATTATTACTTGATAATGACCTATTACATAACGAACCACCTGAACTTGTACTTTTCTTATTAATGTTTGATGTTCCTAAGTCTATTTTATTCTCTTTTATTATAGAGAGAACTTCCTTCTTAGTAATTCTTTGATCATTTACTATTGAACTTGATTCATTTACATTAGATGAATTATATGTAGTACTTGATGTTATATCAGGATCTTCCAAAAAGCAAACATAAAATTTTTTATGAAGTCTTATATATTCATGTAATTGAGATCTACCTATAAAACCATTACGCGAAATTGATAAAGTATTATATTCTTGAACTATTTTTCCAGGTATACCTTTAATATTTGTTAATAATGTCCAATCTAATAATTCTCCATAATCTGTGCGTTTTTCTGGCAACATTTTATTTATATTATCATCACTTGAATGTTGATTTAATTCACTTAAAACTTCAATTGGTAAAGGCCAAGATTTATCAGATTGAAAATTAATATTTAATCTATAGTTATGGTAACTATTCTGCATACAATTGTTTATTGATAATGATGCTAAAGAAGTCGTTGAAGTTGCGCTATTAGATAAACCAGTACCTTTGTGGATATGCAATACATGTGTATTGAGTGTTATACCTAGCTCCTTTAGTCTTTCTAAAGGATTTCCAGTACCCATTGAAAACATTTCGCTACTTATTAATCCAAGGAAATGTAATGATACTAGTAATCCAGGAAAATTCAAACATTTATCTGTCAAAGATAATATTGCTAAATCTGTTAATTCAACTGGTAGAAATCCACTTCCATTACTTAATTTTGTAAATATATTTTGTACATGCTCATAATTCCTTTCTTCTATATAGCTACTATTAGACTGTGACATTTCAAAATGATCATATGATACACATGGTAATCTGTCATTTGAAAGATTAATCCCACACAATCTTATTAATAATATAAATGCATCCATCCATAAGTACTGTGAAACTATTACTTGTATTACCTGTTCTAAAGTACTTTCTGTGAATTCACTCGAAGTTGATCTATTACTCCCAAAGCTACTTCTAACATTAATTGAATAAGTACTTCCACTATTCAAATTTCTACTATTATCAAAATGACTACTAAGATCATTAATATCGTTACTTTCATATAATCCATTCAAGTTACTACTATCACTCAAAATTATCGGCACATTGTTATCTATAGACGATTCTTTCCGTAATACTGTTTGAATAGCACCTATAATAACCTTTACTCCTTGATAATTTCTAGGTAGAATTAAGACTTCTTCTGTAATTAGTGTGTGAGCTCTTTTCCATGGTATATCAACTGTTAACATATCAACATCTGAGTCCTTTAAGACACTTAATGCATATAATGCCTTTGTAATTAATGATACTTGAAATTGTATTGATGCATTTCCTTGAGATAATGATATAATCTCTAATGTATCTCTAACATTACTTTCATTATCAACGCGATATTCTTTTAGTGCATCAACTACTTGTGCTGCTGTTTTAGGAGGTGTCGATATGAAGTAATCTTGTATTTGTGGTGATAATTCCCCTAGCATTGGCCCATAGAATATATTAACAATTCTTGCTGCCTTACGTCTTATCAATTTTGGATGTATAGTATCTAAGAAGTGCTCAATACCTTGTCGTACACGATCACGATCAAATAATCTTGATACAATATGATTAAACATATGCCATATATCTTGCCTTATTTCATTATGTAATAATCTCATCAATTGTAAAAATCTAGCCGGATTATTGTCATCTCCATATAGATTGTCATAACTTGGAATAAACGTATCATTACTTATACTTGGGCTATTGGAATTTCCATTATTGTTGGATACTATTGATTTCAATGGTGAAGTATTATTACTATTATTGTCAGCCCTATGCATTATTCCAGAGGATATTGTGGAAGTTTGAATTTTACTATATTTAATAGTATCATTTTCATTCACAAATTTTACTTCATTAATATTGTTAATTATTCGTGAATTATCAGTAGTATTACTTCCAATGACTGATGTGCTACCAAACAATACATTAAATTTACCAAATATTGGCTCTAACAGTGCAACTTGTGCATCAAATACTTTATATGCTAATGAGTGAATATCATGAAAAGCTGTTTCTATATCTGGAGTGCGTAAACTACGAGTTGAAAATGTAAAAATATATCGTAACTTCTGCACATTAATAGCACGCAATAGCTGATGTTTTGTGTATTTCGATTTGGAATGTTTATTAGAAGATGAATAGTTTAGATCATCACATTGGTTTTCATATTCATAACCATTACCTTGGTTGTTGCTGCTCCATAATTTCAGCCGATTAACATTGCTATTTAAAATATCAGTAGTGCAGTCATCATAGTTACTGCGTTCTGGTGCATAAAGTATCCCATTCCATAGATAACCTTTAGGATAGTGAGTACTTTTATTTGAAAAATTGATGTATTTAACCTCATCTTCATCATCAAATATATCGCCAAATTCTTCATCAAATTCATCTTCATCATCTTCATTCTCAAGCTTTTCATCTTGTTCTCTATCTGTATTCTTACCATTTCCACAATTTCCATAATTAGTACTCAAGCCAGCATTTTCATCATCATTATAGCGCACTGGTATAACCTTTTCATAATCAGAATCTAAATCGCCTGGATATAGTGAATATAGTAGACTTATATCTTCAATATAAAAACCAATTGATGATGTAACATTTGTATGGCATATAGTATTAAAATACTTCACTATTTCGTTATAGCTTGTATTTGGACCATTATAGTAAAAGCGATCATAGTGCAAATTTTTTGCCCAATATAAGAACTCTTCCTTATTCAGGACCCCATCATCATCCATATCAAAGAAGTCAAATATTAAATGAACCTTAATATCATCAGACAAAAACTCGCTAGGTGGAAATACTGGTACGCGTACTATTGCTGAAGTATACCAAGTATCACATTGCAGATGGCCCTCTACACGATAGCCAAATCTGGGACCATATTTTAATCCATCCTGTAATAGTGCTACTTCGAAGCCTTCTAATAATCCATCTACTTTTTCAGCTTCATTTATTACATCGTTCTTGGTTGCCAGCTTCATACCATAATATTGCTTCATAGCTTCATCAACCCCAATAATCTGACCATTCTTATTTACACCAAATAAGCATTTCGAATTAGTTGGGGTAATTTTTAAATATTCCCATTGAATTCCATATATTCTATTATATTCATTACTTATGCATGAATTCAAGGATCCATATGGATATTTATTTTGGTTGCTTTGTAAATATTCACTTTTTTTAATATTAGAGTTCTTGATATTTCCAATGGCAACTGAGTTATTGATCTTTAAATTATAGTTATTAGTCCCGCAGCCTAACAGCATTTTTGACCACGCATATTTATAATGTTTTATTTCACAATGTAATTGTTCAGAAGCTGCTGCTCTAGCATCATTTGGATCAATAATATTTATATTATTCGTGAATTGTTGGTTAGTAGCTTCAAACCAATGTCCAAGAGCTATTGCAATTAAGGATTGCAAATTCTCTACAATAAATCTATCAACAATTCCACGCGAAGAGCTAAAATTTGTCCATAGACTAACAATTACAAACCCCAATGCTAAAAGCATTACTACATATGGTAGAATATTATCCGAGTTAATTAGTGATCCGAGTAGGAACCACAGTAAAAACATAGATAGTGCTAATAGAGTTAGAAATGTAGAAATTATAGTTGTTAGCATTCCAATTTCTTCAAATAAACGTAATAATTTCCTCCAGTGATATGATAATTTGTTAATAAGAGATGATGAATTCAAATTTCTAATATTTGTCAACTTTGAAGAACCAGAAGTTATTATTGTAATATCTATAATTAATAGGTATAATAATGAAACTAATATTAAATATGGTATTGGGAACGGAATGGACATGAAAAAATTCCAAGTTGGATTAAATACAAAGTCAGATGCATAACTTGGATCAATAGATAAGTGTGGGCCAATTATTGATAATGATGATAAATAATTATATATTAATACTAGACAAATACATGTTATCGGAAATATTGAAAGTACAAGTACTTGAAATCCATACAGACATATATTAAAAAATATAGGTAGTGTTGAAAATTGCAAAGTATACCATAATTCATGCAATATTTCCTGTTTTTGCTTAATATTTGCAATATAAAGTGGTACTAATATACCACTAGATTTACCCATTGTATTTCCAAATGATGACGCCATTATATTAGCATGATTATCCAATATATTCGATATTTTATACATATGATTTAATTTAGAACCAAATTTATCTATATATTCAGATTCATCCATTGGAATAGTATCAGTGAAATTACTATGTTCGGGTAATGCTGTATATTCACAGCTTACTTCATCTCCATTGTAATAAGTTCCAGTATATTTACTATTTTCACTTTTTTTGGTTAATTTATCACATTTACTAACCTTTGATATTAACTTAACATTAGTATTTTTTACTAATTTGAATACACTTTCCCATCTTTGCCTGGTTTTATTCAATGATTCAGAATTAATAGATCTCCTTTTTTTTATAAAATTCAATATTGTTTTCCATGTATTAAATTTAGATGAACGCCAAGTTGAACGTCTACGATAGATTGTGGAATATTGTGAATTTACAAGCAGTGCAGATGATAAGTTTAACGATTGTATTGAATTATATTTGTTTAAAACTGGATAATCAACATTTCCAATATTATCATCAATATTATTATTTAGTCTATGATAGTCATTTGAGTTGTTTACTAAGGTATCATTATATGTTGAATTGTTTTCTTTCCAACAATATATCTTAATTCTGAATTTAAGTAACCAATTTTTTATTTTTGATAGTAAATGACAATATTTGTCTGTTAATAATGTTCTAATAAATAAAATTAAAGAATCAATTCTCAAATTATGAATAATTTTCATTATTACTGGCAATAATATACTTGTATCTAATATAATCCCATTCTGCAATAAAAATCTATCTGGAGATGATGACCACCAATAAGTTGAATAGTTAAGTGTACAATTTTCTATAACATCAATCATTTTCCTTCTAGACTTAAAGAATATACAATTCTCAATGGATTTATCTCCATTTATATGCTCATCATCATTACTACTATTAGAATGAGCACTGTATATATTATCAGAATAACTTGATGACTTTACGGCAAGTACTTTTGAACTAATTAAACATTGTCCAGGACAAAATATCACTGCATCATGAGATTCTGTTGGTATAGGCTTGCGGATATTTTCACATACCCTTAAGCTTTGCCTTGATACAACAAATCCGTTACGTTGTAAGTCATCATATGTAATCACCTCCATCTCTAGGCCAAAAGTGCGACAAAAAGTAGCATATAATAGTTCAAATTCGCTTAGTGTTGTTACCCTAATTATAGTAAAGGCATTTGATATTGCAACAATTATTTGCTGTGTACCTTTGATTACTTTACTTGATGAGTTTAGTATATTATTTGAAGATATAATTCTTGGTATAAATTTTTTACCTAAAACCGTAATATTGGAAGGTACATCACTTTCACATATTGTTAATACCAGATACACATCTCTTGAACTCGATCTATGTGATAAGAAAGGAACTTCTATACCCCATGCATGTGTTCCTGTATTAGGTAAAGGCTTTCCACCATGGAGAGAAACGATATATTTATCAGTATAATGATCAAATAAGTGTAGATATACATTTTTAGGTACAAATTTAGTTACATTAGGAATATTTGGCCAGTGCCATTTTACTTGAATATCGCTTCCATTTATTAATATACGACCAGGTGTATCATAAATAAAGCATGGTTTATCATATTCTGGCATTAAAGGAGGTATATGCTTCGTACTATTTGAATTGACACTTGTATCAATATATTTAGTCACTACCTGATTATTCTTGGTCACACTTAATAAAGAAGAATTTGTCTGCTCATTCGATGATACTTTTGCCATTTCAATATTACCTTCATTATGCAAAGGGCTACTCTTTTCATTTATTCCTATCTCTGTCTCCAACTGCCCAGAGTAATTCATATTCATTTTTTTAGACCTAGGATTATTTGTATCAAGTACTGCTGGCAAGTCATGTCTCATATATTGTACCCAAAATGACCTATCTAAATTCATTGATAATTCACCCCACTGACCACCACCTTCCACATAATATAACTTAATAGCAACAGATACAAAACGATAAATTGAAATAGTTGTATTTGTAGTAATATCATATACCTGAATGTTGTCTTCTGTATGAATATCTTCATCTAACCAATTTGTATTTATTGATCCTATAGATTTGCTAATACCTCTATTTAAATCATATTTAAAAGTTCCGGTTACATCTGGTATTTGATCATCATCGTCTTCGTTGCCTTGGTTCTTGACCTTTAATGAATCCCATACAATATCAACTAGATTTGAACATTTGATATCACCAACAGCAACAACTTGTCCGCTGTCTGCCTCTTGTAGCTCAAATAGAATTCTATCATGAGATATCAAATTCTGTTCAAGATATAAGTCTGAATTTAAATTTTCCGCTTCAGACTTAAATTGGATAGTTTGATTCATATGATGACCACTATCTATAGAACTATTTTCGCTATTCCTTAATATATATATATTGCTGTTGCTTGAGTTATGTTTAATTCCTCCATATTTTGTATTCTTATTCCTTCCATTATTATTTGAATTATAAGTCGCTGCTTTTTCTGGAATGCCCTCTATTCTTATTTTGTCACTCTCAAAGGATTTATGATAAGCAGGATCTTTTAAAAAGTTGTTTATTTTACTACGTTCATCATTTGCTGTTGTACCAGTAGAAGTTATCCTTCTTGATAAAAAGAAAGTATCTTTCGTTATTAATGTTGCAGTTACGACATATCTACACTGTTTTCTCTTTTCACCCAAACCACCAAATGTCTTAACCTTTTCATTATTTCCAATATTGCGTTTGTCAATTCTTGATATACCTTCATCTTCTAGTGCCCTTGACAGTGATCTGCTTAAATGCATATTCAATTCATTTTTTATCTCATTGACATTAATATCATCATCACTTGCAAGTTCCTTTTCAGATACTCCAAATTTCAGTTCTTCATTGGAATGACCATTATCATTATCACCGTCATCATTTAATTCGCCATCACGTTTTGTTCTCTTGCCACCCAATACATCATAAATAATAATCTCAATATTTTTGAAGTGAAATGGAATTCCAAATGATGAGTAATGATCTGTATTTTTGTCTATAAACAAGTACAAAGATGACCTCCTTGTAGGAAGAAATCTTCTCAAGAACATGAGTGGTAGGTCTACAAACCTCATTTTATTTCCTGGTATAATCTCATTACTCCAGTAGCTTTGCTCAATTATATGGCCAGTTGAGGATATACGTAATATTCGTAAACGATATTTGTGGTTTGATATCAATTCATAAGGAGCTGTAGCTTCAAACCCACACTTTTCAGAATATTTCATTGGTACAAATAATTCTTGTTGGTTCCTACCTAAATGTGTTGTAACAGTTGCTTCATGTGCTGGTATATATAAGAATATTTCACTAGATTTATCGTCACTATTCGATGCTGTATTTGATGACACTCCATTACTATTAGCACATGAATATCCAGATTCACTTCTAATTAAATTACAAAGATAATTTTCGTGTATATCTATTGGCTGAATATGAATACATAACCTTTCCATCTTTCTTCTTCTCTGCCTTTGATTCCAACGCAACAACAAACCAAAATTTGGCCATTGTATTGTTGATACCATTACTATCCATTCAGCTCCTTCAGATATTCTAAAGTCATGATTTAATCGATGAGAAGCTGTATTCACTAATTGTAATTCGCGTACTCCCGTCAAGAACCATGGAAATACGTAATAGTATAGTATCCACATTGCAACTGCAGCTACTATAACAGCACATAATACATTTAAAGATAGGGAGACAATATATCCTTGTATATCGTTAGCTGTTACTAAATCACGTAATATAGCATCATTTTCTGCAGAGTATATATACTGTTCAACTTTATTGAAATTTGTATTAAGCTTTGAAGCTGTATGTACTAGATTATTATCTAATAAATCACTATGTGCAAATAGCCACTTTATATAAAAATCCCAACCAAATATTTCAAGTAAACTTGAGAAAAATCTACCAAAATTATTCAAATAGTTTTGAGGGGATAAAAATAAAATTTTATTGACTTCAACTTCATCATAATTAAGTTTATCTGCTTTGGATGACCATACTATAACAGTAGGCTGTTGTGCAGATTCCAAAATAGCAGAATTTATAACAGCAAAAATATTTTCTAAAATTGTAGATTCACACAATTTAAATGAGCTTGATAACCCCATATAGTTCCCAATATCATTAATATCTTCAGTATTATTGCTATCTTCAGGCTTATCATTTGGATTACTTATAACGTCTGAATCACTTCCGAAGACACTATGTATATCATTTTTTAAATACCTACCTTTATTTTTATCGTAATTCGATAGTAGAGATGGTTTATGGTATGATCCATCATTCTTTTTAAACAATGACTTGATGTCTCCCCAGCCAAATGTATTATTAGATTTTTTTGTATGCAAATTATGTCTATCATTACTAACATTTAAAGGTGCAAATATCTCATTTATTTTTCTTGTAACATTTTGAATAATAGACCCATCTTCATTAGTATTATTATATAAGTCAGTTCTTTTATAACCAATAGAATCTAAATTTGATATTCTATTAGTATATTCATTGTCAATAGTTATTACATCCAAATCTTCTAAGTCTGAATTTACTATAGGAACCAGACATTGTAATCCAAGTACGTGGATGTAGAGTGAATATGAACGAGGCTTTAACAGTCCTCCAGATAATAAAATCAATCCAAAAGAATTCTTAATAAACGCTTTTGATGAAACCGCTTTCCATGTTCCTTTAGGGTATTCATCATTTCCAAGTATATTAATATACAAAACCCAAGGACCAGCTAAATCTTCTTGAAGCCATTTTGCAAAATTATCAAATCTTAATTTTGAGAATGACAGTAAGTGTGGATCTTTCCATTGTTCCTTGCCTGCCCATATTTTTAATGGATCATCAGCATTTAAATTGTGAACTGTAATGTAGCTAGGTGGATTATTTCCTTCTATATTTATATTAAGAAAGTTTTTGGATAAAAGTGATATGCCTGAGTATTGGCTAGGTGTTAAGTGTGCTACTAAACATTTGAACTTCCCATAAAACTGTGTATTGTATAGCCCATGATATTTTTCTATTCTAACCTTTATATTATTTGCACGTAATTGTGCCATATTTGCTATTCTTGTTGGCATTGATAAATTTATGGGAACCTTACTATTTATATATACAGGAGCTCCTCTGCTTTCTATAAATATGAATTTATTTTCTATTCCATTTTTAGGAGTTGAAATGTCAAATGAGACCCAACCATCTGAGATTGTAGTCGTAATGTTTGGACTATAAATTTCTTTAAAATTAAAGACTGCGTGCAGGGCTTCTAAATGAAGGCTAGATTTTACGTATAATGGAGTATTTGATGAAACGTGCATATAGCTTGAAGAAGGTACAAATCTTATGTGTATATTATCAAATAAAAAGTTGTTTGAGACAAAGAAATTGATAGAACATTGGAAATATTCAGCATTGTTAAATTGATGTAGTTTGATGTTTAAGTCTGTTTCGCTCGTAAAATTCCATGAGCGTGGGCTTCTATCGCAAAATTTTCTATAATCACTTAAAGATAACTTTTTAAGATCTGCATGATCAGACAAGGTCCACGGAAATATATATCTTTTTAATATCCAAAAAAGAATATTAAATGAACAAGCATATTCAAACTCTTTCAATCTATTTGCCGGAACTCTATATCTTCCATTAATACTATTATAAATAAAAGAATGAGAAAATATCCCCCAGGATCGTATCTTCAGATAGCTTAGGTTGTTAGGAGACTCCAAAAATTGCACATGACAATGCTTAATATCTAATGAAATATTCATAGGTTTCATAAATTCAGTTGGTGTAATTTTATTTTCCTTATTTGAAAATAGCCAAAAAATACGATCCCGTATACTTGAATTTTCCTTATTTTTAGAGTAGTTCCCTTGTTTCTTTGAATTATTAGGTCTTAACAGAGTACTAGATGTATAGGATGTTTTCATTGCAGGAATATCAATATTTAGATAACCTGTAAAGTTTGCAGGTACTGAATGTAGAGGAATTACTTCATTAATTATATAATAATTCAGAAAATGAACAAAACCATATACAATTGAAATAATAAAAATAAACCATACATAAAAAATTGGTCTAGAATTTAATTTCTGCACAGGTATTATTGGAATACCAAAAGATACTGGTAACCTCTTCACAACAAGGAAGTCAGAGTTAGGTAAATTCAAAACACCATAGTTATTTTTCTCATGAAGTCTCTTTTTATCAGTAAACTTATCATACTCTGAGCTCGATATGGATATTTCTTCACTCATTATAGAATCTTCATATTCCCCATCTTTCTCGTCATATTGTTCCCCTATCATTAGCAATTCTTTGCTATTCAAACTAGAATTCTCTCTTTTATTTAACTTAAAATCCTGATCTGAGGCAATTTCCTTTGCTTTATCTAGGAACTCATTACTTATTATATGGTGATAATATGTTATAATACAATCATCTGCATCGACTTGATCTAAAATATGATATTTAGTTGGTCTAGATGTAATACTGCGAAGAAATTCATCATCATATTTATTCATCATTTCAATACTTCTATTCAAGTGATAAGCTTTGTCATTTCGCAAATTATCTCCTTTATTATGGTGAACAGGTTCTGGATCTACCATATTTGTAAAATAAGTGACTATAATGTCTACTAATAATTTACTGCAATCACTAAACTGTCCTTTCGAATATTTCTAAATACCTTGGATTACAATATTAACCAAACTTCAACCCACAAAGTAAGCAATCTCCAAAGACACCAAGTGTGTTATATGAATATAACTTCTAGCTTTAAATTATATACCAGAATTATAATATATAAAGTTTGAGAATTATTTTCTAATGAGCCAACTTCTTATTACACAAATACATAATAGAAGCAATTAAAGACGCCTAAAGTGTGTACCAAGAAAAAGTGGTTATGTATCTTCGATAGTACAAATTTAAGAATACTTTAATTGGTGTTATACAAATATTTTATAACGCTCTTTACTATAGATGATATTATTTCGATGAAGTTTAAGATTTCTTGCTGCAAAGTATTCTTTATTAAAAGCTTACGTGTTTCGCATGCACCGCCGATAGCCAACCCCCCACATACTCCTAATGGAGAAAAAAGGGATAGAAAAAAAATTTACATATTTAAAATATAAACCTATAATAAAAAAAACAAATATAGAAGTAAAAACTGTTCATATCTACGATTTTACACTCAAGTACAGCAATTCAGTAATTTTTGAGATAGGAGGATAGAAAAATACAATTGGTCATAATTTAATGCAACCAAAATCATTTCTCTTAAAACTATATAAAATTAAACTATATTTTCAATGCATAAGCCTTAAGAAGATACTCTCTTTACTATCTGTTACAATGAAATTATAATATTACAGCTTCTGTGGGGACATTCATACCGCCTAATCACGGGTTGCAGATTCTGGGTATTGGTAAGTTTATGCGATTCAACCTACTTCAAACCTATGGAAATTTACAGTATTATTGAAATTTTGTGATTATACTATTATCCAAGATTATCCATGTATCTTTATGCCATTGAAGTATTATATATTAGTTGTCACATCGATTCCACAAGTTGGCAATGTCAGACTTTGTACTAAGCCCGGAATCATACAATTCTTCCCATTCAATACTATGTGAATCTTCACAGGAATCAAATATAGATACGTTACAAGATACTCTTAACGAAAAGGTAAGTCCAAATTTTTCCACTTATTTGGACCTGTACTAATCTGATTTATTCTAGATATTCCTTATTGACACATACTCTACAAATATATGGTTTAGTAGCCAGAATGACGAAACAAAAATACTAAATATCAGAGAGAGAAGCATGAATTCTAGTAGTACTCTAGCAGGTTGGGAACCTATCCCTTCAGTCTTAAATTCGGAAGATAAGATTAACAGAATACTTGAGATTAGTGACTCAGCAATTCCATCAATGAAACTAGCAGATATTATTAAACAAAAATTACACCTATCTGAATCTAGATCTAGTTCACAAAGTGATTATGGGACTCCAAAGGATATAATTATAGACGAAGATGCTAACTTCCTCAGTGAGTTAGTAGAGGAGCTTACAAAATGTTCTTTCCTTCCAGAAGTCAGTGAATCCTTAACTCAGGGAGAAATAGATGGAATTAAGGATATACTAAGCCAAGAATATCCAATTTAAATTTAATAGAGATATTTCAATATAATGATCAATCTTTGTAAATATTTACTGAGCAGCTGTTGGACCTATTACTAATATAGTTATAGGCACTAAATATCTTACCAATATATTGATATGAATAGTAGATTATATAATATCACAATTGTTTCCAAAGTAGCTGAGGTATTATGTTATTTGCTTAAAGGAGTCTTATTGCTTTTAGTTATTTATGCCGCTGGCGGTGTAAAGGATAGTAAACTCTAATAGGTTCGGGAGTGATATAAGAGACACTGGGAAGAGGTTTGAGGAAGCTGAAGAACATTTTTGGGTACTAAAAAGTGCTCATAGGTGTACTAATAAAAGTTTAATATGCTTAATTTATGACTAACTCCGAACTTTGTGAGGATCTATATAATTCAACCGACAATGGTAGGATTGGTGACGTAAGACATTATAAAAGAAACAACATGTTGCAAAACTCCCATAATTCTCTAATATATTGTGAAAAAGATAGAAACCGGAAGTATAATGCTTTAAGAAATAATGTACAGATTAGACATAGGAATGTAAATATATATAGTAATCAAAAAGATAGACAAGACCTCTATACCTGTGATCATATACAAATACTTGAAGGACCAGCTCAATATTTTGAGGGGAAGTACAACTCATCTGAAATTACCACATATAGGAGAGATACTGATATACAACTGAAGAGACGCAGGATGGGTCAAAATAGAGGTCATTTTTACTCGAATAACAGGAAATATGACTTTTCAAATTCAGATGATTATCTAACTCACTACACTATATCACCCGATAAGTATGGTTATCGAGAGTCACAAGAGAACTTTTTAATAAAAGGATATGAGAATAATAGGTATCATTTTGTAGATGGCAATCATCGGTATATTTATAACAGAGGTTACTATGGCAACATAGAAAATAAGGCACACTATGACAGTCTTAACTCATCCGAAACTTCTTCTGTAAACATAAAAAGGGATAAAAAAAGATATGATATTAAGGCAAGTAATTTTAATGAAGATAATGATGATACAGATCACTTTGTATGGCATGTTGGACAATATTTGACATCAAGGTATCGAGTTATTGGACTAGCCGGAGAAGGTACATTTGGTCGTGTTTTTGAATGTGAAGATTTGAAAAGAAAAAGAAAAGTGGCGATAAAAGTAGTACGGAATGTACAACGTTATACGGAGGCTGCAAAGATAGAAGCTGAAATATTACGTGATATAGCTCTTCATGATGAATTTGGTACATCTTACTGTGTAATACTTCACAATGCATTTCTATACAATAATCATCATATGTGTCTGGTTTTTGAAAAACTTGGTCCAAGTCTATATGATTTCCTTGGTGGAAATTGTGCAAGAGGATTTTTACTTGCGGATATACAAAGTATAGCTGAACAAATGTTATGGGCTTTGGCATTTCTTAGGAAAATGAAACTGACACATACTGACTTGAAATTAGAAAATATATTATTGGTTGAAAGTGGCTATATATGGGTTAATGCACCTAGGCATCCAGGCTCTCTAATTAGAAGACCAATTAGATCTGAAATACGTTTAATAGATTTTGGTTCTGCAACATATGATGATGATTATCACGGAAGTATCATCAATACAAGACAATATAGAGCACCTGAAGTTATATTAGATATTGGATGGGATATGTCTAGTGATATGTGGAGTTTTGGATGTATATTAATGGAACTATATACTGGTGTTTTATTATTTAAAACACATGAACACTTAGAACATTTAGCAATGATGGAAGAGATTATTGGACCTTTTCCTCAATATATGTTTCATACGGCATATATGGGGACTGCAGGCAAGAAATATGTTGTGAAAACTTCTTGCAATCAATGGAAACAATCTAAACCATCGAGTTATAGAAAGGGAAAAAGATCTGACTACTTCAAACAAAGTACCATTCCAACAAATTATACAGAGTCTTGTGATTATGAATATCAATTGTACTGGGAAGAGAGTCATATAAATCCTAGCTCATTTGCAAGAGTACAGAGATGCCAACCTATTGAAGATTATATACACCCCAAACATAAAGTATTTGCATCATTCGTTCGTTATATATTAAATTTAGATCCTAAACTACGACCGACCCCTGAAATGGCCCTAAAACACGAATTTTTCAAAACTCAATTCGAAGAGGAGATTTGATAAGTAGTGATATCTGTATTTATGAAACCTCTAGTGTAGGATAGCTCTAATTAACACTTTAGTAGACTTTTTTTATATATCATTTTTCTTTATTCTTCATCCCCAACAATAGTAAGGCGGGTCCGCTTATATTTAGATAGAAATATTGGAGAGGGATTCTTTTAAACCTATTGGGTAGCTTTAAATTTACTTCTAAGAACTCGATATTTTGTTATTATCTATAAAGTTACCTATAGTTTTGTAATGTCTCAGAAGTATTATGATAAATTAAGTAAGGGTAATGGGATATCTAATAAGCAATTTACATCAGGAATAGGATTAAGCCTACTACAAAAAATGGGATGGACTGAGTAAGTTAAACCCTCTATTTTCCTGAAGTATTTATTAAGTGATTTATATTTATTTAAAAAGAGGAAGAGGTTTAGGTAAGGATGAAGTAGGTATAGTAGAATGTATTCAAATAAAGAAGAAACATGATAACTTAGGGGTAAGCCAACAGAAAATGAAAGAAAAAAGATTGATTAAACTCTTTTATTCTTAACATCATAAAAGCCACTTTTTTCAAACTATGATGTTCTGTATGATATATTATTAACTATGTAGATTGGTGCTAAAGATATAAAGTCAGATATGTCTTATTGGTCTGAATGGTGGAAGGAAACATATAATAGTGTTGCACGAGAATTATCACATTTAAGTCCTCATGAGTCAATATCTGGATCTGAGTCTAACAGTGATACAGGTGAAATATATAGAACTACAAAAAGTCCTCGATACACTAAGATATCTCATTATCAGATACTTCAGTCTCAAATGAAGAAAGAAGAGAATACAAAGAGGAAAGAGAAAAAAAAAGATAGACTAAAAGAAGACACTGATTTTAAAAAAGTGTATAAAAAAAAAAAGAGTTCAAAGAAGGAATCTAAGGATTCTTAACTAAGAAGCCAAATAGCTTCCTATATGTAGATTATTTGGGAAAACGGAATATTTATATACACTATCTTCAATTATTTATGAAACTACATTATTTCATGTCTTACTTTTTTATTTTTTATTAAGGTATATAATACTTAACAGCCTGTTTTACTTTTTTTATTGCAATAAGGCGAAATTTCAATTTCTCACACCTCTGTGGCGCTGATTATTCTATTAGCCTCCTGGCTTCTTATGTGTGTAAAACTGCTATAGACATTCTAATTTCCTTTACAAAAGTTATAAATAGCCACTAATATTAATACTATATTATAAATTACCTAAATTATATAGATGAGTAATAAGCTTTTAGATTTTAATGAAGATCCCTTTGATGTAGACTCATTCCAAGAAAATTTTACCTCAGCTCCTAGCATGGCTCAAACTGATACTAACTTAAATATAATAGATGGATTAGACAATAAACTTGAACAGAATGTGGACATACATTCAATGAATGTTAGTGGGAAGAATAATTATAATGAAGATTTAAGTTATGTTGCTAATGAATCTCTATATAACAAGTTAGATGAAATTAAAACAAACATGGAGATAAGTTTAAAGTCAAAATTTACTTATCAATCAAAACAACTTTATGTATTAGAAAATAGAATTGAAAATATTGAAAGGAAATTAGATGAATTTATTAACTTATTTCAGAACAGACTAAAATATTCTGTTCAACAACAAGCACAATCACGTTTAGGATTTAACAGTAATCAAGGCAATCAATTATTCAGTAATAATGTAAAAAACTCATCACTAAAATCTCAAACTTCTACAATAGGTGTAAATGATGAATTTATAAATAATAGAAAAAATGAAGAAATTATTAAGATAAACCAAAGGGAAACTGAAAAACGTGCTGAAATTGATAGATTAAGAAAAATAGAAATAGAAAGGAAACGAAAAGAAGAAGAAGAAAGAAGAAAAATTGAGGAGGAAAGATGTAGACAAATTGAGGAATTTGAAAAAAGATCCAAATTAGATCAAAAGAGGAAAGAAATAATGAATTCTTTATTTACAACCACTAATAGTAATAATGCAACAAAAGATAAAAAACCAAGTTTATTTGGAGATGATCCTGGAAATAAACTTAGAAATTCTTTATTTGATGATTAAGTTTTAGTAATAAGTGTTTATCTTATATTTTGTTAGTTTTATTTGACTAATACTTTTAACTATACATACATCATTTTTAAATAAAACTGTATAAAGATATAAATAATAGAAAAGAATACAATGAATTCTTTATAATATATATATATATATATATATATATTTACTAAAATGAATTTCATCATCTTTATTTATAAATATCTAACTTCTTATATAATTTTAAATATTGTACTTATTATTTTAAGTAATCTTTATATAATTGCAAATTTTATTCAATAAATATTGAATTACTATTTGTAATATTGTGAATCTATTAGTATAATGCTAATATTTATGGAAAATACTAATATACTATAGTACAAATATATTTTTAAAATATAGTATAAATATATTTAATATTTTTTTTACAAGCCAATATCTATTAGATTTTTATTCTATTTTATCTTTATACTTGCAAATAATGTTAAATTTTTCTCGAATATATTAATTAAATTATATATAATTTAAATATGTCTTATTTATTAAGATAAATATTAATATAATAAGTAATTTTTTATTAGTATTATAGTCTATTATATATCTAAGACAATAAAAAGTTACACGCTCTGCTTTTTATAATTATTCTCGAAAATTTACACCTTCAAAATTATACTCATTTATTTCTAAGTATCCTGTTACTTGATAAAGGCCCTGTAGTTGACATATAATGAAGCAACTTATAAACTAATCTTTTATAATATATAATTAAAGTTCAAATATAAAAGTGGATTACTTCTTTGAGGCATTCTTACTTATAAACTCTATTTTTCAACTAATCCTTACATCATCTCAATATTTTACTATAAACATTTTTATAATAGTGTATTTAAAAATTATAAGAATCAGTTTTAATTATAAAATTGAGAATAATTTTATGAATATAAGGTTATGAATTTCTCTGATTTAAAGTTTGAAGTTTGGTTACCTCAGATTACCATGGAAGACTTTAAGTTAACCATATAATATTAAAGTTTAAAATATGAACTATGAATCAAATATATAATAAATTATATGTTTAAAGAAAAAATATCTATAGATATAATGGAAGATTTTATTTTGATGTTAGTACAAATACCCCAGAATCTTATATTAATACTTCTAGGTAGTTAATAATTAAACAATGTGATTTGCAACTGTAACTTGACTGAGGTTAATAGTTTGGACGAATCTAAATTTATATTAAATATATATGATTCAATATAGTAACAAATTGCCTAGTTATTTCAATTCACACATTGTATAAAATAATAATGAGATAAACTTAGATGTTTAAGTTTTAGATATTCCATCCCAATCTAAATGTTTGTAGCCTATTTGTACTCTTTAACTTAGTTGTTATAACTTGTATAAATATAAAAATTAGCTTTAATAGATTATTAGATTATACATACATTAATTCAAGTATAAGCATAGATCTTAGAGTCTGTACACTTAATTATATTTAACTAGTGAAAAGAAAAAACCTTTTTTAAAACACTTTAGAACCTAAAAAAATCTACATATAGAAATATAGTGACAAACTTGATAGAATTATTATAACTGAGCTTAACATCATTAATAATGATGCAGCTACTGGAGGAATGACAACACGTGGATAAAGTATACCAGCTGCTAAAGGTATTGCTACAATATTAAATACAAGTGCCCAAGTTAAATTACTTCTTATTATTTTGTGCGTCTCCCTACATATTTAGTATCAAAAGTTGGTTATAAACCCTTTTAAGAGAAATATCTGCATTGTGTCACTTACCTTGCTAGTTTTAAAAGAAATAAAAGTCCATATTGATAGTTTGATAATATTACTATATCGGCACTTGAAAAATCACTTAGACCCTCCTTGCCTAATAAAATACCGATATCAGCTGCGAGTAAACCTGCTGAGTCATTAATTCCATCACCAACCATCATAACAGGATTGTGACTTCTTTTTTTCACGGTAACTCTTTTTGCTGTATCATCGCATGTAATCTTAAAGCTTGAGGTATTTATATATGAACCTGCTTCAAATCTCTTAGTATTGCCATTAAGGGAATAATTATCACAGTTATTAACTTCCTCATATGATTGCTTTACCTTATTCATTATGTGAGCAACTCTAGGATCTAGCTTAAGGTCTTCTACCAAGCACAACTTATCTCCTGGTAGTGCATGACTCATTACTCTTTCTATGTCAATCCCAACCTAAAAACAGAATTTAATAAATTAAAATGTAAAAGATATTTGTATTAAAGCTTAAATCTAACAAGCAAATCTTTCAAATTTTTAGCTCTGTCTATGATACTCTTCTAGATCTTATAAAACCTAATGTATTTTTGACTGCTCTCTTTGAATAGTAAATTATATCACAAAATCAAGAAATAAGTAGCTAGAATTATCAATATTATAAGATATTTGCTATCTTTGCTTTATAGAAAGTTATGTGAATGTTGTATTGCTGCTTTTTTTTTCTTGAATTTTTAAGCTATCTAGTATAGAAATATCAAAAACTTACCTTTAATGCAATTGCTTCTGCTGTACACTTTGAGTCTCCCGTACAAAGCCAAATGTTGTCACTAATCTTATCCTTAACATAGTTTATACACTCTATAGCACCATTCATATGTTCATCCAACAAAGCAACAGATCCTATTAATACTAATTTGTCTTTATTACTATATAGATCATCAACTGGACAGAAAGGTTCATTATATCCTTCATCAATGAATATATATACAACTGTTGCACCTTGATTTGTCCAAAATTCATACCAATTCTCTAAATTAGCATAAGATTTCTCAGTTACCATGCAATCTGAATTAGCATCTGTACCTTTAATAGTTGCTTTAACTATTGGATACTCAAAGAGTGTTGTGCTGCAATTATTTGTAAGTATTAGTTTGACATTTTCAACAATAGAAACGATTCCCCTTCCGGGGAAGTATTTGTACCACTTTGGTTGAGTAAATTTAGCCAATTTATCACCATTTTTATCTAGAAGAATACTTGCTGCGTATGAGCGTAATGCGCTGCCAATCGGATGGCTACTATTGTACTCTGCGCTTCCAATTAGCCACCATAACATTTGGTGACACTCAGTATCTGTGGTATATTTTGGATATTTATGATTTACTTTTTTAGGAATAAAGTATATATCAGATTGAGGAAGTATATTTGATTTCTCTGTAATGTTAAACCCTTCAATTTTTTGTATGGTTTCACTTAGGTAACAATTTACTATACAGGATATTACCTGAGCCTTGCCATTTGTAAGTGTCCCAGTTTTATCAAAAACAACAGATTTAATTTTTAATATTGAATCAAATATATGGGGTGATTGTACTAGTATATCATTATTTAATGCTTTTATAGTCGATATTAATGTTACAATCGGAATTGTAATTCCAATTGCACAAGGGCAAGAAATAGCCATAACAGAAAGTGCAAAGTGCATTCCAAACATTATTTTCGATCCTATTGGAAATTTTTTAAATATACTGATGTATTCATCACGTAGATCTATGCGATCTAAAGTTATCATATATGTAGGATCAACTATATCATAATATGCCAGAGTAAACCACACTATGAAACAACACAAAGCAAATAAAAAGACTGATGGAACAAAAAATAATGCTAATTTATCAATTGATGATGGTAATGGTACATAATTTTCTTTGGCATTTCTTTTTAGTGCTTCAATTTTACCTAAAGTACTTTCTGTACCTATAGATCTAACGTGTAGTATGATTTTTCCTTGAATAATTTTACTTCCTGCTAAAACTGAATTTCCATATAATTTTTCAATGTACCTCGATTCTCCTGTAATTACTGACTCATTGACTGTTACTGCATCAACTGACAAGTTTATTCCATCATAAGGAATAATATCATTTTCTGAAAGCAGAATAATATCTCCCAGTTCAACTAACTGAACATCTATCATATTGTTAAGATTTAGCTGATCATTCTGATAAAAAACATCATTAATATCACTCATATAGTCTTCTGTGGAGTATGAAGATTTCTCTATAGAACAAAGAAAATTTGTGAAGTAATTCTTGTATACAGATTCATAAATCATAGTGTTCAAATCCAAAATATTCACAATTTGTGGAGTACTAACACTCTCTGTATTATTCAAAATTTTATATACTAATAACTTTGCACGGATTTCCAAAATTTTCCCAAATAAGCTAATTGTAGTAAGCAAACAAGCTGTATCTAGAAAATGTGGAAATTTCTCGGTAGATTGGTTTGTTTCAAGCTCAGAGTGTGATATGTCATTATTTATACTTGAATAATCGTAGTATTTGCTATAAATAGTTACCATTATAATATATAGGGCCATTATTACTGAGTATAAAAAGGAAGTATTCATACTTATAGATATTAATACTTCCATTGAAGGTACTCCAGAAATAATACACTGAAACGCTTTTTTATTAAATGCGTGACCACATATATAAACTACTGGAGTAACAAGAAACATAGTAAATAAATAATTCCAAGGTATACCTGGTACCATTGACATAGATGAAAGAGAATCAATAGATGAAATGGATAAGGTACGAATTATTGTATTTAAAATATCTGTATTGTTGAGCCAACTCATCGAAATTACAATGATTGATATGAGTAGAGAAACGGAAAAGTTTCTAAAATAGTACCATAGTCGTTTATTTAGTTTACTTCTTAAGTGTTCATATTCATTGTTTATACTATTGGAAGGTAGGATAGTGTAATGTATAAACTTCACTATCATATCATTAAAATATATATCTTCAGATTTATTTAACCTAAGTATATTATTGATATATACAAATAAATCTTTTCCACTAAGGAAATATGGATTATATGATATAAATATACTGAATGATATAAAATTAGAGCAACTTACATGATCTTTTCCAGTTTTCTGCTCACTCACTGTAAAATCATATATCCCAAACAGATCATATAAATAAGATGAAATAACCGAATTTATATAATTTAAAAGTAGTTTATCTTTTGATTTTTTTGTATACTTAGATATAATCTTTGCAAATAAGGTCTTTTCAAAACTCTCTATCTTGAAGGTGTACTTCAAATTTAATTGAGATCTACAGTTCCAGTAACTCTCTTCAAATGAACCACTAAACATTACAAATGAACCACAGGATAAATTGCATTTTCTTATTATTTCATCTAACTGTAATTCCTTGCTATTGTATAAAATTAGCATCTTAGACCACTTTTTATATGAAAAAATATTTATTATCCCTTTGCAGTTATAGAGCCGTTCAACTATATTATCAATTTCGTTTTCTGTAACTATTTTTAACTTTATTATACTTATAATATTAAAATTTATTTCATTAAACATTTGTGCATTTGGTTTAGTCAATTGAATGCTATCAAACTTAGACTTGCTACATGTAACATCGATGATGCCATCATCTACTTTATAATCAGTTCTATTGTAATTTATAAAGTGATTTGGAATTATTTGTGCTTCAAATCCAGCATTCGTTATCAACTTAAGAATTTCATCTACTTTATGAGCCTTTGGTATTTCACTAAGCAAGATCTTCACTTTTCCTGTAAGAATATTTACTTGTGCATCTTTTATTTCTGATACTTTTAACAACAAATTACGTATTGCTGATGAGCAAGACAAGCATGTCATTCCTGTTATATTTAAATCTAATGAATAATCAGTATCCATCTGTTACTTCAATTTTTTTTGTTTTATTATATTATTCACTAATAGGCAAGCTTGAAAAAAAAAATTTTATAGGTTATTTCTAAATCTAGATATTAAATAGGACCCCCAAAAACGGTAATCACGCGTTATCTGATATCTTGATAATATTTTGCAAACGCATGCATGGTCAGAAGAATACAAGATACCAAATACATTGCATGTGTATATAAGATGCGGTATTGCAATGCTCCCCACTGATCAGTATATGTGCAATAGGATATTTCTTGTATGGATTCACTAAGTAATTAATTATTTAGACTTGTTTCATACTGAGGCGTATAGACTCAATACATAGCTATAAATACCAAAGCTCTTGTGATATATTTTCATTACTTTTACTTTAACTATAAATGAAGCCTCTTTAGCTATGAGGAATTCACAGCGCCAAAAGTACTTAAAATTTTGTATTTTTTTGTTAGTACTGAATATAGTATTTTTACAAAAGCTTAGACAAACATTATAGATAATAAGAAACAAAAGTATTTCTACAAATTTCAGCTTCATCCAATAGGATACTATGTATTATTGATAAATTCATAGCTTGCGTAGTAAGAATGAAATGAAAAGGAATAGAGAAAATTCCGATAATACACTAGATGAAAGTAATATCTTGAAAAGAAGAGATAACAATATTGATATGGATAGTAGAAAGCAGCACACATTTTGGATATTATCGCAAGCTCAAAAGAATTTGACATTTATAACTCGATCATTCTGTTATTTGTGTAACAGAAAGCTTAATACTTCAACTCCAAGAAATAATGGGAACTCCATTAAGAAAATAAAACTTTTGTGTACATATTGTAATCGGAGTACATGTGATAATGAGGGATGCTTACTAAATGAATGTGGAATATGTAATGTAGCAATTTGTGCACTGTGCTCCACATGTACCCACAGAGACTTAATAATATGTCCTAATTGCTAAGTTGTATATTTGCAGTATTATATACTTCTTTCCTACATTATGAGTAATTGGTCTATATATTTATGTGTGGCCTTTTATCAAAAATAATTTTGTAGTGTATTGTCCCATATATCCTTAAGGGAAGTAAGTCTTGAATTAACTTACTGTCAGTACAATTCCCTAATAGTGCAAGAGGTTTCTTAAGTTTCTCCACCTATAGAATAATTTAACAACAGATGTGCTCAATTAGCAACATTTTTTGTCAATTTTAGCTTACCTTTCCTTGTAGTTTATGAAAGCCAATATGTATCTCGAAGCAGTTATTATTAGTAAATGTATACTCTAACCATGAACTGTGGGATTTCGTAGCCATTTTTTTGATATTAAAGTAATCTACGACTTTCCCCATTATATTACCATCTAGTTTTTGTGTATATATGCTAGATTCTAAAGTACCATCTTCATTCAGTCTAGATACTGAAAGTGAACCTTGGAATTCCAATAAGAATAACTCATATTGTCCATCATTGGACAAGGATTCATCTTTATTAAAAATTACAGGGACAGATAAGATCTTGTTTTCAATTTTATTCATGGTTAAGCTAGACACTATCAGTACTTTATTACTAAATTGGAATTAATTATATTGGAGGTAGAAACAGTAATTTGCAAAAGTACCGCTAAATGAGTGTATGCAAAATCTACATAAAGTCCTAAAAGAGGCTTTTATACAGTATTGTATATGAACCTAGATTTTTCTAAACTAATAGTAAACTTTAGTCATTTATAATTGAGTAGGTATTATATAAATAACTAATAAGTAGTTTCCTATACAAATCCCAAGTTCTAAAATATTCCAATCTGTCTTGTAACAGGTTCCTAGATATAAGTAACAAATTACCTGGCTTTCAGATATCAATTATAAGTAGCAATATTAAGGCATACATTTCTAAGAAAGTATTTATATATTTAATTTGTATTACTTCAACATGAAACCTCTTAAAGTATTATCCACTTTATTATTTGATTTTTTATATTACAAAATATAAGATCAATCAGAGTGCCTCAAACTAATACTGGAGGTCCATTTTTAGAAGAATGGCTAGGACTTGAAGATACAGGAAGACGGGAGGAACGACTCTTCTTAACTGGAGTTGAAGAAGATGGTCCAACTATGGAAGATAAAAATATATCTTCTGTATCAATTTTATCAGAAAATATACCATGTAAATCTCTTGGTGGGGGACCAAACATTGCCTCCATTGCATTGGCTTCAAAAGATACACCGATAGATGCTGAGTTTATTATTGGTGAATATTGAATATTAGGAGAAACTAATTTTACTCCAATATGAGTACTCCTCAACTTATTTTCAAGACTAGATACATCTGACAACTCAAGATTGTTGCTTTTCTTTTTGGTTAGCAGAATAGAGTCATTTAGTTGTATAGTTGTCTCATTTAAATTTACATCTTGCTTTTTAATATTGGCAATATCTGCATTTGAATCAGGTAATATTATCCTGAGTAACTGAGAAGTGCCCTTAATAATGCGATATTCGACAAATTTTTGGAATAACTGGAAATCTACAATTGATTTTTCTGAAGCTAGATAATCAGCAAAATCTCTTGGGGGTGTACCTGGTGGAGTACCGCCAGTCCTTCCACATAATCCACCAACTCTTTGGTTTGCAGTTGGACTTTCTTTGCCTCCTAATGCTGAATGCCGTTTCCTTATTGATATATCACGTGTCAGTTGTCTAATACCTTCTGCTAGTGTTAGGGGCATTGGGCTAATATCACTACTATTACTAGTACTACCTCCTCTAGTCATAAGGTCACTCCTTAATCTGGACCAGTCGCTACTATCCCAGTAACCTTTCCATCCCCAATCATAAAATGCAAATACTAACTTAAGTCTACAAATACCTGCTGGTGTAGTTGTTGTGTGAGGTGTGGAACGATCTAACAAGCACATTAAGCGCAAAAAGTTTTTTTTATCAATGAAGGGAACTCCCATGACTATTGAACATAGATCATTGCGCTGAAGTGAACTAAAACCACCGCGATTTGAATAGCAGCTTAATCCAGTAACCTTTAGTAGTTCCATTAATTGAAAATTAGACATGAGAATTTGTTTACTATTCTTTTTAATGTCATCTTCACAATGTGATATAAATAGATCTACTACTGCATTAACCTTAGAAATATCCCACTTAACCTCTCTCCATACCTGAAAGACAACATATATGGAGATAAAATAATATTTGTGTAATATAAGCACTAAACATATATTATCCTGTTATATATCCACTTACCTGTTCAAATTCAGTAGGAGATATGATTAGTAAAGGGCATGTGACAGTACCAACTCTAGTCGAAAGAGCAGATAGTTGGCTTCTACTAATATTGCTCATTTATAATAAAGCCATATAAATATGCAGTATAATTTCAAATATTGCAGGGTTACGAAACATAAAGCTTTATATCAGTTCTCTTACCATTATCATTTCTTGTGGGCTTTTAGGTGGGGTTTATTGTGTATTTTAGGCGGGTTAAAATATTTTCAAATTTTCATGCAGCAGACGGTAATGTATCCCTTGCTCCTTTGATATCACTTTGCAACTTGATACCTCTATGTCGATTTCTATTACTTTAATTATGATTCGATACAATACTAGTATTTTGGACTATTCTTTTTGTTAGCTTCTAGTAGTAAAATTTAGGTACTTCTTGTGTGAATGTTTATGCATGTGAGCTATTGAACAAACTGTGTACATACGTCTATAGTGTGCTTAGGATTATGATCATACACCCTATGTACAGCTTTTTGGTATTTCGAGATTTATCTGTAAAATTAGTTCTACGATATTTGCCAATATTTTACGAGATGAAAATATTATTAAACGCCGCTTTAATTATTGCTTTGATAGCTTGTAATTTGCTTGACTTCTCACCAAATAGTGACCTTATGTGCTTAAATAACCGAATGAGTTATTCCTTTAGTCATATAAGGAAACATCGCAATAAGAAAAGAAGGCACAGAAGAAGAAATAGGAAACCAAGAACTAAAGTGAATGATAATTCATAAAGACGTGAGGCTGTTACGAGTAGATAATATTGTATATAATCCTAACATTGCTTTTTTGATAATACAAACTACTTGCAATTATTGATATATTGGGAAGTAAGGTATTTTGTCTATTGGTAGCTATACTACTTTATAGAATAATATATTACAGTTATCTAAAGCTTATATGCAATTACTATTTCTGTATGACATAGCATACTTGTCAAAACTTAGAAAATGCATAAGTAATTTGATCAAGCAAATTGCTCCTTGTTAAATACATTAGCATATATATATATTTATTGCGGTTATTTTGGCTATTCTACTTTAGAAAAACAAAATTGACAAAGTTTCTAATTACTTAAATATTTGATAGGAAACTCATTACTTTAGTAAAATACTTCACAATCTACTCAGGTCTTTTTAAATAAGTATTTTATTCAGTGTTACTTACTACTTCACCTGTAAATATACTGTCTATGATGTCGGCTATCGCACATTTGGAAATTAAAGTAAACCCTTTTGGACAGACAGCTTGTGGAATTGTCTCAATAATAGATATACAATGAGAGTGGTCTATAGGCCCAACTGCATGTCTATAAAGTTTACTATAATTGAATATCTGGTGTATATGGTATGTTGAGTCTATTTTCCCATACTCTCCTGTATAGTAACTAAAGTTCTCATTAGGGCTCTCATACATGAATCTACTATCTGAAATTGCGGGTTTTCTTATATGTCCATACCTATTAAAATAACTGGTTGAACCAGAATAAAAAGTAAACAAATGAGGGAAATGCTTATAGTAAATGTATCTGTTAATACTAGAATATAGAATTTGATTCCTTTTTATTAGGTTTTGGTTTAGATAATAATATCTTACTGATACAGGCCAACTGGCAAACTGAGTTACTGTGCTTTTTTCTATCATTACTTCAGGTGTTTTTGATACTGAAGATATATCGAAATCACTTTTTATAAATTGATATAACTCTTGTCTTTCAAGAAAGTCAGGAGATCGCAAACTAATATTACATAAACCTTTAAGTGTAGAATTATCCTGTGGAACTTGTGACGATTGCTGAGTTAATGCATATAAAACTGATCCTTCATGATCCGTTTCATTTACCTTGTCAGATAAAGAAGAATTACACTTGTTTAAAATAAGACTTTTATTTTTTTCTTCTATAAAGTGAGTTATTTGGCTACTATTTTGACTGTTTATTTGAATATTACAATTTCCATATACTGCAAACTGATCAACTACACTTTCCGGTTGTGTATATTTCCCAATGTTATCTGACTTTATATTCTCATTTATATTATCCATATTCATTAAGCTTAATGTGTGATTCACAAATGCTTGGAAAGTAGGGTCAGTCTCAATTGTAAGATAATATTCCATATTTTTAGCTAAACCTATATGAGGAAGTGGATGAATTGGAACGTTTGTCAAAAAAAAGTGTTGGGGGCCAATGCCTGTTTTAAAAATACTATCAAGCAATGTCCACTGATACCTTTCTGTAGTGCTCCAAACTAGCTTTCTCTTTCCATTCTTGTAATCCTCCGGAAGTACTGGTAAGCGGAATGGGTAGTACAGAGACCTTTTATCCATCATCTTTGGTAATCTTGTTGAGTTTTCAATAGAAGTAGCTTGCTGTATTTCCCCTAAATAAAATATACTTTTACTTTCTTCATTGGGCAGAGGCTTTTGTATCACAATTTGGTTGTCTGCATTGCTATTGTTTAAATGACTTACCAAGTTTTCCATATCTATACTATCTCTATTTGTTTCAAAGTCAATTTTTTTTATAATTCTATCCATGTTACTCAGAATATTGTTTTTGTTATTTGTTTCAGTAATAGCGAAGTCAGTAGCTTCATTCAATATTTTGGGATGTTTCTCTTCTTGTATGACTTCTATATATTTAATAGTACTATTTTCTGGGTTTACTAGATTATCAAAATTTGCTATACTTTTCACAGCAGATGAAGTATTTTTATATAAAGGATTATTCAAAGTATTTGATCTACCATAAGTTAAAATGTTTGAATTATTTGCATTTAGTACTGAATTATCACCAAGCATCGTATTATTATACCTACTGATACCTCTCTGATAGTTTATTATGTCGAGTAATGTATTATTATCAAGCTTCCAGGAAGTTTCAAGCCAAGTTCCACTATTTGATTTATATCTTTCATATAATTCTTGAGTAGGACAAATTAGTGAAGGTACTTCTCTTTTTTGTATTTCACATGAGTAGTTAGAAATATTGACATGTTGCTGAAATGGTATTGGATTAACTTCTTGATGCACTATTTTTGGATCTACGACAATTAATCCATTTCTCAAGAGTCTCCCAGAACACTTTATTGTCCTCGGGAAAAATTTTCTAAATTTACAAATAGCTCTTCCTGAATCCATAGGGTTAGTAGTATCTCCATTTAGAATTTTGGGGAATTCAATGTAGTATCCGGCTGGACATTTAACTATACTAGGTTTTACATTTACCCATGATTTTTCACTGGTAATATCTAAATAGTGATATTCAGGAATGCATTGGGTTAAACCTGAATGTTTTCTTACATTACAACTTGCGATTGTTCTATTAATAATATTTCCTGTAATTAAGTTAGATGACTCAATCTTTAGGTAACCACACCATTTACTGGGAGTTAAATGAAGAAAATTTGGGCATTCATACAATGGGCTTGTTGTATGCTCAGATACACAAACTCCATCAGTCAGTATCCCTTGCTAATTAATACAATAGTAGAATATTGTTAAAGTTAAGGATATATACAAATATTCAATATATTACAAAGAATAGATACCAAATTAAAGATGTCTATAGTATTACACCATAAATTCTGTAGCAGTACTTTGCTAAGACTCACCTCACAATATATTTTCGCTGGTACAATGATACTAGATATACATACTTTTTTATTTCTCAGTGCATACTTTTTTTGAACATCACTCCTTACTTTTTTATCAGTGTTTTTATACCCTAAACGATTATCTGAGCTCTCAATTACAACTTCCTCTAATATATACCCTGGCCTACACTTTGCTATTTTCTCTTGGGCTTGTATCCGTGAGCAAATGAATGTGTTATACTTCTTATTCCACTGTATTAGCTCTGCTTTCGAATCTTTGCAGAGTAAATTGGGGATTTCTACAAATTTTGGTATTGAATTCTGAATAACTTCATCTCTACTTGCTAGAGGGCTACTCCTAATAGTGTTTATCACCACCTCTCTTATTTCCTGCTCATTCTGACAAGTGTTCCATACAGTGAGTATAAGATTGTCTGCTAATTTTATATAAAAATTCCTAATATATAGATTAGTCCAGTACTTTTGTACATTACGGATTGAAGTTGTATAGTAAGCTTACCGATATACAAATGATATCATGTAAATTTTCAGTATTGCAAGAGGTTTCATGGGTAACATTACTAGCAGTTTGGGATAGTATAAGTTCATTAAGAAATGCGATAAGTATAAGGATATAAAAAAAACTTTTTCCAAGCTTAAAACCTTCCATTAACTACTTCTAATACAGGCAAGGCCTACATATGCACGAGCTGAAAGTTATAATAGCATTCGGGATGTGGCGCAACATTGGTTCTTTGCTTGGTGAAGTAAAATATATTTAACTCTAAAATAGGTATGCTTAGATTGGGAGATCTACAAAGGTTAGACGAGTATCAAGGTGACAAAAACTATCTGGAGACTGATAAAATTCAGATAGAGCAGATTAAAAGTTTTTATATTGGACAGAAGAAAAGGAGTAAGGCATTGGAAAGTAGACATAAACGAATTTTCCAATTCGAATGGGATACAAGTGAAGATACCTTGAAAAATGAATCTAATATATTGTATAAAAACCGCTTAAAACCTAATGTGGCAAAGGTCATGAGAATTGAAGATAACCAACCTAGCAATACTGAAGTTAGTGATACTCACTGGAGTTACAAGAAACGAGGGGAGATGACAGCAAGAGACTGGAGGATTTTTCAAGAAGATCACTCAATTAGTACTAGAGGAAGTAATATACCAGATCCAATTCGTAATTGGAATGAATGTGAGGATATTGGGATTCCAACTGAACTTTTAAGCAGTATTAAACATGATAAACCTACAAGCATACAGATGCAGTGTATACCAATAGGTATTCAAATGCGTGACTTAATAGGAATTGCAGAAACGGGAAGTGGAAAGACTTTGGCATTTTTACTTCCTTTACTCTCATATGTCTATAAGTTACCTTTACTAAACTTTGATACTGCTCAGGATGGTCCATATGGCTTGATACTGGCACCTGCGAGGGAATTAGCATTACAAATAGAATTAGAAGCCCAAAAGCTATTGAAGAAAGAAATTGGGATTAGAACTTTGTCAATTGTTGGTGGAAGAAGTGTAGAAAAGCAAGCATTTGAACTACGCAGGGGTGTAGAAATTATAATTGCAACACCTGGGAGAATGCGAGACTGCCTCGAGAAATCACTAACAGTACTGACACAATGCAATTACATAATACTAGATGAGGCCGATCGGATGGTCGATATGGGGTTTGAAGATTGCCTCAATTATATATTGGATCAAATACCCGCGAACTACGAGAGAGGTAGTGAAGAAGGGAATACTAAGATATTGAAAAATAGATATGGATGCAGAAATCACAGAATTACTCAAATGTTTAGTGCTACAATGCAAAGTGAAGTAGAGAAGATTGCTAGGAAGTACTTGAAATTTCCATTGTACGTAACTATTGGAGATATGGGCTCAGGAAAAAAGTCGATACAGCAAATATTAAACTTTATATCAGAAAATAAGAAACAAAGTACTTTAATTAATGTACTAAATAATTATGAATATGCTATACCCCCTATAATAATATTTGTTAATCAGAAAAAGACTGTAGATATAGTGTGCAGGAGTATTGCCTCAAATGGGTTCAAGGTTATTGGTCTTCATGGAGGGAAGATACAAGAACAAAGAGAAAATAATTTGAATTTATTTAGAAATGGGATATATGATATTTTAGTTGCAACTGATGTTGCTGGGAGAGGAATTGACATTGCAAATGTAAACTTAGTTATAAATTATGATGTCCCTTCAACAATTGATACGTATACGCATAGAATAGGACGTACTGGACGAGCTGGAAAGTCTGGGGTAGCAATTTCATTTGTTACACAGCAAGATTCAAATTTATTCTCTGAACTTAAAAAGATTCTCATTTCTACAAACAACATTGTACCTGCTGAACTTAACAACATATAATCTGAACCTTGAGTAATAGCTAGAGTTTTAAAAATGCATCTCATGTTAAGTTTATTAAATTAGTCTTGAAAACTGTATCACTGCCCCATCTTGTTTGTAATATTGAGACTAAGTCTAGTTCATCAGCTGTCTTCTTTTCAGTAACATTGCCATCTTTATGTATAACTGAGTAGTCCTTCAAATCAAGTAGTGTAGCGCATATCAATGTAGTCCCCTTGTTCACCTGACAGTCAAATACGTATAATGTACATGGTAATCTTCGTATATCAGAATCATCTAAAGGGATATTCAAATTGTCAAAGATAAGTGTCTTTAAGTCATTCCATAATAATATTCCACCTGATATATTTTCTTTTAGAACACTATGAAATTCAGGCATGTTAATACTTGACAGGTAACTCTCTACTTGTGTATCCATAATAAAACCAGAGTTTTCCTTATCATATATTTGAAATGATTTCATTAATATTTGATTTAATTGTTCTGAAGGTGATAAAATACATTCTTCGTATGAAAATGAGAAGCTACAACGATAATGATTCTTGTTGCCAATAATCCATATAGGTAGTAATGGATATTTATAATGAAAGCCAACTGTACAATACTGAAATGCTTCATGTTCAGTTAAATATCCTATTATAGATCGTTTTGGTATACCTCTAAGTATTAGTGTTCCATATCCATCTTCATCTAGTACTTTCGTACCATCAAAAACATTTGAAACTGCTTTGCCTACTATCATCAAATTAACTAGTTCTTGGCTACAGTGACCATATAAACCAATTAATGGATTATCTATCATATCTACTTCAGATTGTATTGTATCAACCCCTCGCGTAGCTATAACACTGAACAAAAATGAAAGTAAAGATCCACGCCTTGAAAATATCCCCTTTCTACATCTCTTTAAATAAAATTGATAAACATCAACTATACTCTCAAATTTTCTTATATACATGCTATTTTCCTCCCACAATGATACTAAATTTGACTTTAACTGTATAACTTTGTAGGTACTTGACAGAGATGATTGATATAAAATAATGCATAATGCTTCAATGAATACTCTCCAACAAATTTCCTCATCAATATTATCCATATAATTTAGTAAATTACGAGCATTACATAATGTCCCTGATCTAAAGATTATTTGTTTTAACATATAACCTTGAATAGGAGACAAAATACCACAAGGACCACCATATTGCTGAACTAAGCAAAAATTCATCTTTTCAAATGGCATATTTAGACTATTGTTATTAATAATACCTTCCCCCTTATTGCAAATATTTGTATTTTTTTGAGCATTTAGTTCAAAGGAATGTAATAACCACCTTCTAATATCCTCAGCTTGTGCTAGTGGTCTCGTAGATCCAAATACTATGTTTAATAACTCAAGAACTTCATTAGTAGGTAAATTAGACAACTCTTCATCGAAAGATGGATTATATGTCATATCCTTAGGACTTAGATATAAGAATTCATGGTTTTTATTATTAAACGTAACTTCCGAGACAATTGACTTTAGAAATTCAAGATCATCAGTAGATTTAGTGCTTCCATTTGTTAAGATATTTATAAATTCTCCTTCTATTGACTTCATATACTCTTCAATCTTGTTAAAGTTTGTGTAACTATCATTTAGACTTATACCTATCGGTTCACATGTGGAATCTACTAATGATGATTCCAAGGCGTGTTGCAGATCTACATCCTCATCATCAGCTACAAATGATGGAGTTATCATTGAATACAAATAAAATTATAATATATGTTTAGAATTTTTGGTAATATCTACCTGAATATAATATAACATCTTATAGTCAGTTGTTCCAAATATTTCAGCTGTAAAGTATTCACAATCCCCGCTTATAATGTAATACTAACATTTAGCGGCCATATAATTTTATATATTCAATTGTATCTGGCTCAACAAAGTGAATTATTATCTTGTAGAATTGACATTTTTAGTCATTATGCTTGTTCATCTTCGTTGTAATCTGGTCCTCAGAGTTCATATCGTGATCACTATCTAGTACTATATCTCTTTTATTTTTAAAAACAGCAAATCCATATATTTTTGGTATGTAATACTCAAGTTCCTTGTTCCTAGTAGCACCCAACCCATATTGTATAGTAAACAAAGGAGCAAAACTTGTCCCAAAGAATGCACCATCTATAACTGATAGCCTTGAGGATTTAGGATTGTATACTTCACTACATTGAGGGCAGTATACTTTGCAGCTATTAACGTTGGGTGAATCACTTAGCCCAATAGGTAGTAAGGGAAAATTATTACATGCTACATTTGGGCATGTCCCATATTTCTGTGTTTGATACTTTTCAAAGATTAAATGCATCCCTTTAGATGTTAATATATATCTAGCATGAATTAGCCCATATAGTAGTTGTGCTGAGGCTTCAACAGTCCCAATTTCATCCTCACTAAAATCATCATCAATACGGTCCAGTATCATGTCCAAGGCGTCATCATAATATATAACATGCTCACTCAAGCCAGTTAGATTAAAGTCATCCATGATATAATCATCATCAACTTCAATAAAAAATTCGCTTCTCTTCAGAGAACAAAACCATTCTATCCAAGTGACTTCCTCTTCATAATCGAGTTCATTCCCTGAAAAAGAGTACTCAGGACTTTCACCTAAGTCTGACATTTTGTCTAATGCAACTAAATATTGATATTGTATTTCTCCTGTAAAAAGTTGCGCTTTTTACTCTTAGTATCTTCTTGTTTGACTTTTTGCAAAAAAAAACCCGCAATAGTTAACTTAGTTTAAGGAATCTATGAACTTAAGTATGGAATCTTTAATAAGTGAAAAGATAACCAGATCACTAAATCCCGAGAAGTTGGAGATTCTTGATCTGAGCAATAGTTGTGGTGCAATCTTTAATTTAACAATAGTATCCGATAAATTTGAAGGCAAGAAACTACTAGAAAGGCACAGACTTGTTAATTCCTCACTAGGCAACACATATAATCAAATTCATGCATTATCTATCAAATGCTATACTATGGGAGAATATAAATCTTTATCTTAAATCTCAAAATACTGTGTTTTCAAGAGCATATAGTAATATTAGGGGTTTTATCACTTAAAATATCTCGATGGAATAAGATATACCAAAACATAAATTGAAGGCATAAAATATTGGGATAAATTGACTTAATTAGTGATCATTACTGTTCTATAGGTGATTACTTAAAGAAAGGTAATATTTTCAATATTAAAATAACCAAACTATACCTTTTTTTGAATTATCTATACCAATGTTTTTAATAAATAATAATTTACTTAGCTACAGAATCTGATATATACAATGATACTCTATTAGAGTTACTTTTCAATAATGAGATCTTTAGAAGCTTGCAGCTATGTGAGCAATTTAACTAATAGTCCTTAACAAAGAATGAGACATTTAGTCATATATGAATTATTTGATACTTTGCGTACTCTTATATTTTGGAGTAGCTAAGAAATCAATTGAACAAACTCAAAATGAGCAGCATGTAGTATACCAATCTTTTTGAGTAAATTAAAATATTGAGTAGTCTACCTTGATTCAGTTTAGAATAAAATTAATTTTAAAAGTAGCAGTATAATATAATACTATTATTTAGTAATTCAGCTAATTCTAGCTTACTACTTTATTACTTGGATTGAGATTGTTACGCTATACATTATATTTTTACTTAAAGCTTGAAAGGTCCATGTTTAAGATTTAGCATGTCTACTGGGTACCTTCAATCAATGAAATCTTAAATATGTTGGAAATAGTAACTTTCATCTATTTCTATAGTATTAACTAACGACATTGAGCGTAAATATATATACTAATAAATGTAAAACTCAATTATCCACTGTAAATTTTAGAAGTAAAAAGTATTTTCTAGATAATAATACAATTATCAACCTTGAACTTTTTGATTTAATCTTTATTTGGTTACTACAGCACTAAAAGAGTGACAATGTTAGATATAGTTAGTAGACTTTTAATTTTTAAATCCAACATGAAATTAACTATGTCTGCATATTACCAACGTAGTAAATTCTAAAAAGGTGTATAATACTAGTCATTGAATAATATGAGTAATTCAATAATTTGGAAGTATTAGAGTTCGATAAAATGGAGTGAACTATTCAGTGTCAATTTGATACACTTATACTTGCTGTAAATTTAAGTTCAGTCGCTATTTATACTGAAATTTTGCATAATCAATTAAACTACTCTATATTAAATATTCAGCTTAGTGAAAATTCGAAAATTACAATTGTTTTAATTTAAAAGTAGTTATTTAGAAGTGTTCAAGAAGTTCAAATGCAATTTTCCGGGTAAATATAACGCGCAAGTTGGAAAAAACTAATGGAAGTTTTACAAGTTAATGGCATTGGAAATATACTATAATCAAATAATTCAATGGCTACTGGCAAGGAGATATTTACCAAAGGATTGGGAGCTATTGCTTTGTGATATAGATCGTAAGTTGATAGAAGTCTTAAAAATTGAGCCTGAAACAAAGGAAGTAGCTACTACAATATATATAAAATCAACCAAAAAGAAATTTGGTTATTTAGAGGCTAAAGCCTACTTAAATTTACTAGTGAATTCAGAAGAAGGTAGAAAAAGATCATATTTTGGTGATTATTCGTCTAGGCTAATAAATGGAATTCAGAAGGTCCTTATACTATATGAAGAACATAATTTATTTTTGGCACAATGGAGCAAAGAAATTAATTATTTGATAAAATTTAGGATTCCATCACTCGAAAGAACCCTTTTAGAGAAAATAAGAAGATTAAGTCAAATTAGAAAAAAAATTTTGGAAGTAAAAAGTGTACTTAAAAGCACAATTTCAACATTTTGGTCATCTGCAGAAAAATATGGTTTATCACGAAGTGATTTTAAAATGGAGTCGAATAGGACTATAGATAATGAGGACGAATTTAATGATATACCATATGAATACTTAATAGAGGTCATTCAGAAGGGAGTGAAAAATTACATTGAAGCAAATTTAAGAGATTTACTTTGTCAGTTATGCCAGTGCTGCAATAAACTCGTAAAAAATTATTCTATACACAAAACTTACAGAATGTTGAAGGAGAACGCAATACCTCAAAATTCTGGCTATAAATTGAAGGACATAGAGATACTTCCAACTATTTTATCAGTGATAAATAATATTTCACATGATAGTGTATTGAAGGAATACGATGCAGCAAGTAAATATCATTATAGATGTAGATTAGATAGAAAGTTACTAAATAATAATACGGAATTTGTAGACTATAATGACATATCACCTACCTCATTAATACTGGACGAATTATTACTTGGCATGAGTCCTGAAGAGTATTTATTGGCTAAATGTCTATTAAATGATAGTCAATTCATCCATTGCCTACTACTTGAACTACATGAATGCAGTGCATTTATTAAACAAGCTGAAAGAAATGTAAATGGTATCCAGTGTATGTACAATAGTTATACAAGTGACTGTAAAGATTTACAAAATTGTTATAGTTTGGTCCAACATTTGATAAAACTATTAACATCTAATAGTACGCGTGAACTTATTGACTATTGGTATGATCCATGCAAGGCAAATAGATTGTACTCTGATGTCTTAGTTTCTATCTTTCATCAGACACACAGTCTATTACTACAGAGGGATTCACTATATATGAAACAAAATAGTTTGTCTGAGCAAATTAAAACTTTAAAAGATAATATAAATTATATTAAGAAGAAGGAGTTGTTAAATTACATCTCACTTTTGCAAGAAAATTTGAAGGATCTATTTAATACAAATATTATCATTATTGGAGCAAGATGAATTATATCACCGATTTTATACAAAAGGCATATCTTAACATAATCACACACTATATTTATGCAACAATCTCTGTATTAGAGGTTAAGCTCAATCTATAAATAGTAAATTTAATTATATAGACTTAAAAGCCTAAGTAATTCATTCGAACCGCCTGAGAATCTTAGGTTTTATCCCGTATTTGCACTTGTAGCGCTGACGGTTTCAGACCACAATTTTATTCACCATATAAAAAGATGAAGCATCTAGTATTGTTAATTTCGGTTACTTTGTCTCTAGTGTCTCAGTACTTCATTTCTATGTGTGACATTTATGTACCGAATGTGCATGATGTCAATGAGTCAAATAAACCGGCTTTTGAGGAGGCAAAGTTCATAATAGACAATTATAGAAAAGGTTTACCCAAGAGTAATCCCTTTTTAGAAGGTAACGAATCTCCCTGCGAGATTTCAAATAGTCCATTCAGGAACTGTTTACCATTAAATCCAATCATTCAAAATGAAGAGTATAATACTAAGACAATATTTCATATGTCAATTCTATATATTGCAGATGTTCTTCTAAGTGATATGCGTGACAATAGTGATTTGGAAGACATAAAGTACTTTGCTAATAAAGAAAACCTTATAAAAGTTGTTTTGAAGAAAAAAAATGTATGTCAAAATATAAGGTATTTTGATGATGATGAAGAAGTAGGCATAAATACAAATAAGAAGTACAAGGAAAGGATCAATAATAATATTCATGCAGAAATAACAGATAACTATGAAGGCGAAATAATGAAATATTTAGATAATTCTGGTTTCAAGCATATGCCTAAGCTAATTAACTCTAATTGGCGAAATACAGGATGGATTGTAATGGAGTATTACGATGGTATTTCACTGCAGGAATTTTACAGAAGCTCTGTAATTGATATTGATGATATTCATGCTATTGATGAACAGGTTTTTGAAGAAAGATTGATATACAAAGCTGGACCTATATATAAGGCACTCAACGAGCTTTTAGTTGGCAGATCTAAAGATGAAATATCGGGAAATACTGTATTATTTAATCTTGCACTTACTCAGTTCATTGCAATATCGAGCATTTATGTAGAGATGCTGAAAAAAGGAGTATTACACTGCAACCCAAGTCCTTCATCAATAATGTTAAGAAGGGGAAGATTAGGTATTAACCCAAACGATATTATCTTCGTGGACTATTCACAAAGTTTGAGATGGAGTCCAGATATTACAGACATATTTTTCTCAAATATAAGGGAAACTTGTATACCAGATTTGCGGCCAATATTGTCTTTTCTACTTGCAGATTTTGGAAAATATATTCCTCTATCATCAATTGATGTGACATTCTTTGGTCAGTCTATGATGGCTCCAGTAAATTCGATATTTTTTATGACAGAGCAGTTCGATATACCACAGTGTAGAGATTACAATGAACTGTTACGAGAATATTATAATTCAAGATTCCGCTGTAGTGATTTACTAGCAGATACGGAGAGTATATTTCATACTATAGACTGCCATACTTTACTACCAGCAAATGATGCAATACCACTAAGATTTAAGATTTTCCATTTCTGTCAATACTCATGCAATATATGCAATAAAGGATGTGAAAGGATGATGTCACTATTAACCAACTCTTTAGACGATAATGTTGATAAGAATGAGGAGATTGATTTGAATTTTATTAGTGGCATTTTAAAATATTGTAAACCTAATTTAGATATTTTCTCAGAAACTAAGCTATCTAATGAGTGGATAAATCAAGAGTGGACTGATGCAATATATAAAACTGCAGAATCAGGATCTAACTCTGTGAGATCATATAAAAAGTCCCCACTACTTGGCTGCAGATACTGCATTCAACACCAAAAAATAATCCAATCCTTACTATTTTATTTCGAAATACCATCACTTTTAGTATATCCATATGCTGATCTATTTATTGGAGACAGGGAAATTTTGATAAACTCTCATAAAAAGATAGTGAACATAATAAAGCAGTTTTTATTGAATAAGAATTCGAATGTATTTCAAAATATATTGTCAAAACCAAATACACAGAATGAACTACCAGGTAATTATATAAATCAACTGAAAGATTTAAGCATCAAAAATAATCTTTTAGTTCTCCTTTTACTAGGATCAAGATATACTGGACTATCTAGTGAAAATAACCTTGAGTTATTACACGAATATATGCATACCCCCAGTGGTTTACTACACCTGAGAATAGCAAATGATGCACCAAACTATCTTTATTTGCAGCTTATTAGACAGTCATTTAAGTTTTATATGCAAAATAGATTCAGCAGTGAATATAAATATCGTATTCTTCAGATGATTAGAATCTTTTCTAAAAGACTACTACCCGTCTCTACTAGGTCATTTCCGCTATTCCGGAGACCAGAATCAATTAGCTAAAATTAAAATAGCTGAAATTTAACCAGTAAAGACCTATTTATAGTTAAATTGAATTTTATTTTTGAAATTGATATATCTATTAAATTATTAGCCCAAATACTACTTTTTAAGTCTAAGTCCAAATCTAAATATAGATATTATAGATTTAATAGTGATATCACTACTCTCTGAAATTCATCATCAATAACTCTGCCTACATTAGAATATAATATACGAACTAAAATTCTGTGATTATTAATGAATAAGTCAAAGATACTAGATCGCAGTAACATATAGGAGCTAATACATTGCTCTAACTTGGAATAAGTCATTTCCAAACTAGAACCTCTAACTTGCAATATTAAAAGATTCGTGAACTAGATTTACGTCCTTAACTGTTTTCAAGATTTTTTTACATAGATTTCACAAAACATTTAGTTAATAATATATTAAAGTGAAATACTGATCATTTAAAAACCAATCCTATAATCTAAGGGGCTAAATAGTATATTTGGTTTCTAATTTCCTTTTATACCTATTATATTATATTCATCTCTGTCAATAAAGTAGGATTATATAAATGAAATGAAATTGCAAAAACTATATTAAATTTGTAATTGCCTCAAGGCATATAATCTTTAAAATAAAATATTAAAGTAAAGAATATACCTAGAATGATTATATTTTTTATAACATATCCTAAAGTATTATGTTCATGACTTAGTATATACCCAAATATCTCACTTTGTTCCTTATCGAATAATATACATAACTAAAACTACATGTATATCAAATTTATTTACTAAGAAAGAGTTAAATAATTGAAATTGCACCTATTTTGAGTGTATATAATTTAATTTGAAAAGATAAAATTTAAGATACTAGAAACATAAAATTTTCAAACAAAAAATCTTCAGTAAGATTGAAAATGAAATCTTGAATATGATTTGCTGCTTAAATTGAAGTAAATATTGGTTTTCATTCTACGAATAAGTAATAATAATGTAATCTAATGTTAACTTGGATCTAATTCTACTTGTTTCTTAAGTTTGACCATAATAATAGTTCATTTAAAAATGAACGATACTCTACTACTGTATAGATCTTCTGCTGTAGTACTAAGCTGATTTATTGTCAAATTTATTTTGAATATACCACTTAAGTTAAATTCACATATTAACAGTAAAAGTAGGTAACTTTCTATAACTTATTCAAAACAAGTTACTATATTTCTCTGCCGAAATTAGCTGAATTTCCACTTAGAGGTGTTACAATAAGTTGATTCTGAAGATGAAATATGGTATTTATAGTATATAAACATCAAATTTCACACTATTTGTAGTCGAAAATATCTAATATTACTTAAATAAAAATGTCTTAAATTCCACTGGACTAAAATTTCCTTAATTTCAATATTATAATACTAGCACTTACAAGTATCAAATTTATAGAAAACATTACTTATCTCTGTTAAATAATATAGGATGACATTGTGAGCTGTTATTTAAATATATATTACTCTAGAGGAGTACTGTGAAGTAGTTTAATAGTAGGGTTTAATTTTATTAGTAAAACTTAGTGTGAGACCTCATAATTTTAAGAATAGTTTTAAGTTCCCTCAGCAATACTTCTTGGCTTTTTATTGCTTTGCAAAGTTTCTCAACTGTCATTGGGTAAGGTAGGTTTTCAGAAGTCTCAAAAGTAGTTTGTTTATCTCTTTTCATATATTTGCTATTACACAATTTCACATGTTCACTCCTAATACAAGTTTCTTGTGGTCCTACCAATGCATTTTTACTGTTTCTAATATTAAGGTTATAATCTTTATCAGTACTTATATTATTAGTAATATTAGGCTCTGTATTATCACTATTTATCTTAGTTTTAGTATTTTTACTCAAATATAAAGAGTCATACTGTAGGTTTGCATCTTGAAGAGTACTAGTGCCAATTTGTTTTAAGTGTGGCAACAAATTTTGTGTTTTAATTACTACAATTATCCACTCTACAAAACTATTTATTAAGTAGTCATTGTATAAATTGATGCCTCCCTTAGTATCTGAAAAGAGTTGTACATTTGTGACAGGTAGTTTTGTTTGCATACTTTCTTTTGATTCAAATTCTTTAGGTTCATTTTGATCATCTGTATATAGTATAGTCTTCTCAATAGCCACACCAGAGCTATTGTAAAATGTAAGCTCAGCAGGTAAATGCTTTTTAATTAGAAATCTTAACTGCTTATAAACTTTTTCGTCAAGTTCAGAGATTTGAGCTATCTTCTCCAATACCACCTGCGTTGTAAATACATCAACTGAAGAATACTTGGGATCATCTACTTTCTCTGGCCAGTAAAAATAATCCACCTCTTTTCCATTTTCACGCAAAAGCTCAGCACTTGAAAGATTATACCCAGATAATTTTGCCATTTGTTTCCATGCAAATCCCTGTGTGTTATAATTATGATTATTAAATCTTATTTCTCCAAAAAAACTATCAATATCTATCATTGTATTATATTTAGGATGAATACCCAACGCTCCTACCAGTATATATATTGCTTCTACTAATATTTTAATTCTATTATCATTTTGATTCAGATTTTCAGCTATTTGGATATTTGAGCATATATTCCAAATTTCAATAAACTTTGTCCGTAGTAAAGAAAATCTGCTTGAATCAAAGATATGATTCAGTTTTAATTCATCCTTGTAATTAGAATCTATTATATTGTATGATTCCATAGTACTAATATTTAAGTGACTTCTAAATAAAAATTTATCTTTTTGTAGATAATCCTTAATAATATAACCAACAACCACTTCACATATAGGATTTACAGTTCTTATGTGAACTAAATCCTTTAGTTCCAAAAATAGAAGTACTCTCCAAATGAGTTTAGCATTACTCCACACGACTTCATAGCTCCTCAACTTCTTTTTTTGGTCCTGTTCAGTAACTCTGTTCTTAGACCTAGATCCTAATATATTATTTGATCCTAATTTTTGTAAAAAAGGTCTTTTGTCTAATATTGGCATTTAGACAGTTTGCAACTCAGTTGCAGCAAAATTCAGTTTAATAGTTTATCAGTGCTATATATGTGTGCTATAAACAGCACACAACTACACACATGTATATATACCTCATTTATAAAGTCTAAGGGAATTTAAGATTATATTTTATTTTAATTTTAAGAAATATGTCTGTATAATACCAAAACGTCTTCTATATTGTAAAGTATAAATGCGACAGTAACATATTCATCTGATGTACAAGGTGAAAATATATTCTGAACTTGGTGCCAAAAACAATATTCGACGGGAAAATTACAGTAAACAAGGTACACATATTCATCTCTCTTAGCTTCCTCAAAGTAGGATTCTAATAAATCGTCACCAGTTAAACCATCTTCAGTATAGTTAATAGCTAAATTTCTCACAGTAGACACTATACTTGCAAAGTTATCTTCATATACTTTTGGGGATGTAGTAAATAGTGGATTATTTAAAAAGTAAAGTAAGTTACTTTCGAAATCTATACTAGACTCATTTGGGTTAAAGTAGTCCAATAACTCCGAAGCCGAAGATGAAGCCATTACACATTGAACTGACATTGCATTCAAAGGTACTGATAAAATGTAATTTTCTTTAGACAAATCCTTTTGGGTTGTTTTACAATTTGAAAAGTTAAAAGAAGTAATTAATATATCAGATGAGGAAAATGAAATATACGTAAATGGCCATAAAGAGGAAGTAAAAATTGAAGATAATACTATGTTATTACTGTTCAGGAACTTGCTATCGAACTTGTTCAATCTTAATCTCAGTCTTGTTAAAATATAACGATTAATCTTTTGTAGTGGCTGACAATTCATAGCAAGTATCCCCTTAATATGTTGAAGGGGAATATTTAGTATATTGAATTTTGTCTCCTTCTTCCGTTTAATGTGGTCAATTGAACCACAAGTAAAAATGAGAACCACAGATAAGATTAATTGAACCCTCAATTTCAGAGCTTCAGCACAGGATTTTGGAGATAGCAACAAAGGTCTGAATACTGCTGAGAAAAGTGGTAAACCAATATGAAATTTAGATCCTTTCCAAAGGAACTTATATAAGATTATCAACCAAGAAATTACTGAAACTAGAATAAAACAAATAGAACCAAAAAGTAGTAAGGAATAGTTATGATTTGTATCTAGAATCCATAGAGTTATGTTTATAATTATATTAAAAAAGTATATCGATGTGCCAGTATATAGAAATATGTTAATGTTATCTTTCTCAATTTGTAGAATCTTGCTGGTCATATCACTTATTTTTGTCGTATTCCCACCAAATAAAGACTGTTCATCATTAAAATAGTTAAACAGTGATTCAAATAGATGGTCTAACATCTCGTTGGGCAGTGAGGGATAGTATACATCTTCAATAGGTATAGATGAGAGTTCACAATCCAAGTTTTTTTCTGAAATATCATTTTCACACAATTCATTTTTAATCCTCTTGACTTCATTAATTAAGTCAATTTTTACAGAATAAGCCAACTCCTTGAAGTCCTTCAAGTTATCTAAGAAGTAAAAACCAAGAAAAGTTCCAAAGAGACCACCGAATACACATAAAGGAATAGTAATAATGTATACAACAAATATTAAGCTATTCGAAAGATAGAAATTAGAATAAGTGATTAAAGGTAGCAATATTAATGAGAAAAGTAAGAAGATCAGAGATATTAAAAATTGGGAAATGTAAATCCTTTTCCTATTTCTCCATCGTTCATCAATTTTTTTAATAAAGTATCTACTTAGTCTCCAAACAGACGTATCTCCATGGTACTTACTATTACTTTCCATATCAAATCCACCTATCTTATTTTCACAAATAATACAATGGATACATTCTAATTTGTCCAAACTGTCTATGTATTTAGATACTAATAATGCTGAATTAAATTTTCCAAAACCTCTTAGATTAGTCATGCAATTTCTTGATATTATATCTTTATTATAATTATTCCCAGGATCCATAATTAAATTTGGTTCAGCACCTAGTATTTTAGGGGAATTTTCTTGTGCCCCTAAAGTTGACTCTTCACTAGAGTAATCTACTGTTATCCTAATATTGCTTGATTCTTGTGAAATATTATTTTTTACAGGTAATATTTTTTTGTAACATATATTTTCTGCTGCTATCTGCGTATCTTCAGGAGTTTCAAAATAATTATACCCAGTTTCATTATTATCTCGTTTGTCAGGAATATCAAGATCTGTCATTATCTTCACAGTATCTATATTTTTTACCTCTTCATGGTTATCTTCCTTTATTAAACCTTGCAGATTAAGAGGATCTAGAGGAGTTATTATGTGAGATTTAAGTTTGTGCTTATTATCATATTGATCAGTATTTGGTTGTATAGGTAAAGGTTCTATATATTTACTTTTTTCATTTATTCGTAGTTTGACACTATTGTCTAGAATATCTGAACTTTCTTGTTTGAAATGCAACAGTGAAGGTGGGACCTCACATATTTCAGGATTATTTACAATTATAGGATTTCTTGATACCCCTTCAATATCTAAGTTTACTCGGGTATATTCATTTTCTGTATTTAAGAAATTTTCAAAGGGATTGTTCATAGAAGACCATACTTGTTTATCCATACCCTTATTTTGTGAATATGGGATTGTTGTCCGAATTCTACGATTCCATCTAGCTGAGAGTAGATCAGATTTAAATGGAATTGGATTATCTAATATTTGGTCATACTGATCATTTCTTATTTCACACTTCTTTATTGCTATTTCAGGCTTTAATTGCTCTATCATAGTTTTTTTATCTTGAGTTTCTTCCCGAAGCTTGTCAAAAACTAAAGTACTGATTTCGCAGTTCAAACTAGGTAAGACTTGTTTACTTAATATTTTATTTTTTATTGGAGGAGGAAATACAAATGGAATTCTTTTCACAGAATTTAAATAATTGGAGAAGTTCTCATTTGAGATATTAATTCTGCCATGTAAAGGTAGTTGCATATGAATTTGTTGCTCAACTTTTTTTTTTAGGTTATTAGCAAGTTGGTCAGAATTACAATTCAAATCAGAGTATAAAATAGAATGATTTGAGCTTTCTAAAGGAAAAATAGTTGCTGTAGAGTAATCAATAGATTTGTAAAGTATAGATGTATCCTGGATAGATGGCGACAGATGTGACTGTAGATCCGATATATTTGTAGAATGATCGAAAGAACAAGCAGACTCAGAGTTATCATTCAAAGTTCCACACAATTTATTTGCAGTAATTTTATCAAAATATAATTTATCTTTCAACTCCTCAGTTTCACAATGAGATTCCATTATAGTTGTTAAATTCGGATTATTGGTCAGATTTTTGGAGTTTTCGCTTTTTCCCCATTTAGGGCCCTCGCAGTTTATATGATTATAAGAGAGAGGCTTACTAACAATTTTTGTGAAGAGAGATGTGGTATTATCAGATTCAAGAGAATTTTCAGCAGATTTCCCCCAAGAATTAATACAATTTGATATATTTGTATTTTGTGACTCATTTGATACTTGCAATGTATGAGAGTATTTTACAGAATTTCCGTTAAATTTTCTGCAGGTACATACTTGTTTTGTATGGAAATATTGAAAATTACGCATTCTAGACTCTATACTTTCTATGGAACTCCTTTTCATAGTTTTGAGTTTAAATTCTCTGCTGTAGTTCCCAGTAAAGGCTGAAGATTGTGCCAAATATAAAGCTTTAATTGATCGTTTCTTATAGTCACCCCTAAACTTTTTTATCCCAGGAGGTGCCTTACTAGTTGCACTTAGTAATGCCTGGAAAGGTGCTTCATATTTAGGAAACCTGTCCCAATATATTTTAAAGAGTTCTTCATGACTAATTGTTCTTTGGTCTTCAGCTTGATAATAGCAATTATTGATGCTTTTTAACCGTGATTCTTTTCCTCTAAAATACTCTCTATAGTGTTTGTTAAGATATTCCTCCATAAACTCCTAATTCATATATCGTTTGGTTATTTAGTTTTGAAATTCTACCGAGAAAGTGAGATGTTATAAAAAGCGGGCTTACCCAATACAGTTAGATACGCATGTGCACAGAGCGAAGAAAATTTTCTTTATAAACTAAAAGTACTTTAATGTTATCTTTCAAGAGTTATGCACTATATTTAGCTTCCAGAAAATCTTTTATAGAGCATATAAAGCATTGATCTTAGTTGTGTAAGATTCCCCTATGAATCACTTTAAAAAAAAAACTAACTTTTTTTCTTCTTTGCTTCTCTAAAAGAAATCTGGGTTAGAAATTTTCTTGTAGATAGCTACCCTTAAGGACACAATCTTTGAAGAAATAATTTATTCTTTAAGTAATAATTTAGGTATTTTAAAGAAGTAGAAGTGGCACCTAGATATTGAGTAACTTGACACTTGTATTATTTAAATTTGTTATTAGAAATAAGTAAATTGAATTATATACAAATACCAAAAAAAAATAAGATAATCTTAATTTATATGTGAAGATCATCAAGAAGCAAAGATTGCCCCTTAAATTCACCCCATAGTTCGAAGTATGACTTTATAAAATCCATCAAGATATAGATATCATCAGCTGCCATAAATTCTCTAATAGAATGCATAGCAAGCATTGGAACTCCAATATCAGCAGTTCTAACTCCCAATTTACAAGCAACTATTGGACCTATTGTGCCACCACATGGAGAATTATTTTTTACTAAAAACTCTTGTAATGGAATATTAGCTTTTTGGGCTATAGCTTTGATATATGACGCAGTTGTGCAGTCTGTTGAGTAACTCTGATTAAAGTTATGTTTAAGAACAATTCCTCCCTTAAATACTGGTTTGTGATCTCTTTGGTGCCTTTCTGGATAGTTGGGATGAACCCCATGTGCCATATCTACACTTAAAAACATAGATCTATACATAAAGTGTTGGAATGAAAATGTCTCAACTTCAGCTAATTTTGACAACAATTCTGTTAATATTTGCCTAAGTATATCTGATTGGCTTCCAGTATAAGATTTACTTCCAACTTCTTCATGATCAAACGAAGCTACCATAATAATATCATGCTTGTTATTTTCAGATGCTAAAATTAATCCATAGAAGCAGGAATATGTTCCTCCTAAATTATCTAGACGTGGAGAATCAATAAACTCCTCATTAATCCCAGCAAATCTACTTGGAACTGAATCCATTAAGCATAAATCATAAGAAAGTACTTCATTAGGTTGTAATTCAGTTTGATCGCATATTTTATTTAATAATTCTTTTGGTAAAGTGCAAACCTGTTTAAAGTTACTCTGGTCCTCTAAACTAGAATCATGAGCTGTACATGAAATAATTGGCTGCAAATGAGACTCTTTATCAAAAGTAAATGACTTGTGCTCGTCACCTAGCTGTAAATGTATCGCTAAGTTTGGTATTATACATATTGGTTCTTGTATCCTGATGAGTTTCTCTCTACAGTTTGTTGTGACAACTTTACCAGCAACTCCTAGACCACGATCAAACCATGTATGCCACAAACCACCACCGTATGTCGAAACACTTAGCTGAGTAAATCCCTCATTATGAGTTATAGAGTTAGGTCTTATGCGTAGGCAAGGACTATCTGTATGTGCTCCTGCTATCACTGCAGTGCTCCTTTGATTGTTCAAGTCAAAATCCGGCCCAATATGAAATGCTAACAATGTACTATAGTTAAAAGTCAAGTAGTACTTTCCATCTTTTTTTAAATCTCCATTATATCTGACAAATCCACTTTTTTCAAGGACTTCAACCATTTCATTAACAGTATGGTACGGTGACCCTGTACTATTTAAATAGTTTAAAAACTTCTCAGTAAAATCTTTGTGAGCTGGTTTCATTTGAGAATTCACTATTCACTATATTATTTGCAAAAAAATGTTTATACTTTGAATGTCAAAGTATCAACGAATTTATTATAAATCCCGGGCTTAAAAAGCTACAAATACGGAACTCGTCTCAATTGAATTCCGATAAATTACCAGCCGGAAAGAGTTAAATATTATACAGTATAGGATACTAATTCTTTAATATTGCTACTATCCAGCTAAAATGTCAGTAAAACAAACAAGAAAGTGATCACTTGAAACCTCAACACATAATTTGACTAAATATTTCGGAATATTCACATCTAAGTAAGAAAAAAGAAAATTAGTAATATTAAGGATAAACTAAAATAGTGAATATTGTCTAAGTATTCAGAATTAATGCAGTTTATGGGGGGACTGTAGTTGTTTGCGTTCTTGCCACCTCACTTGTTTCATCCACAGTAGAATTGCGGAATATGTTATGAATACCTTGCGTCTTCAGTCTTTGTGCTCCTCTTAAATGCCTATTCCAAAAGTTAGGAGACCGTTCTGTTAAAATCATAAACCCAACCCAAGAGAAAATACGGTTGAATGAACTTGATGGGTTTTGAATGACTCCATCTAACAGAGCTTCAACAATATCTTCTACAGATGAATACTGAGTAGATGATTTTATTCCAAAAATTACAGAAATCCCACTTTGTAATTGGTTGTTGACTGCACTCCAAAGAGATAAGCTAGGATTCTTATAACTGTTACTAGTGACATTGTATGGATTCACTGCTGGAGCTAGTGATATTATATTAATAATATCCAGTTCAACACCCATTGAAGAAGCCAAAGTTGAGAGAAAAAGATTTTTGAAGAATTCAAAAGAATTTTCAGATTGTTCATTATAATAAAAATTTGTTATATTAACTTGTGCTGTAATATATATGCTATTGACCACCGTTTGATTATTTGAACTAGATGAGTTACTTGTAGGGTTGTTACTTGGATGATATTCATTATTATTAATATCTATTTCAGATAAAGTTTGAAGTGGAGAAAGCTGTAGACCACCTAATACTGAAGTAGTGGCTTGTAGAACTATTCCACCAGGGAATACAGTACCTTGGGACAAAATTGCTCCGCTTAATAATTGCGAGTCTGGAGGGACTGTATTATTTCCACCAAATATGGCTCCTCCAGGTAAAAGAGCACCTCCTTTATTAAGTGTGATAGATCCTAACAAAGTAGTTATAGGGGGAAATATGGTTCCAGCAGGAACTGTAATTGGGGGGAGTACTTGACCATTTGGAATAATAATTCCACCAGGAAAGTATCCACCACCTGGTAATAGCAATCCATTAGTCAAAATTGCACCAGGCTTTATAAATGAACTGGAAGGTAAATTAGTACCAGGTGGAATTACTGTTCCCGAAGGATACAAAACACTACCAGGTATAATCCCACCCAAAGGTAGAAAAGCACCTCCTGGGAGGATAGTCTGAGGTGGTAAAGTAGTTGAAGATTTTAGAGTTGTGGAGGGAGGTAGTACTGCAGCTCCTAACACAAGTACGGGACCATTGAAATGAACCAGAGGAGTTAATAAAGATCCAAAGAAAAATGTACCTGAAGGGATAATTGTATTTGCTGAAAATGAAATAGGGCTTGTCAAGACAGTTCCATTCGGGTACAAAACAGGCCCATTCGTACTTGCACCTAGAGGGAATACTGCTGAATCAATAAGTAACATCTGCTGTGGTAGATCGGTATAGCTACTAGTTGGGGGAATTTGGTAATTTAACATTCGGAAATTGATTAATCTCGAGTACCCCGACTTTTGGAATATTCCGGATATATATTCTGAAGTAGATTCCACATCTATATTGAAATTAGGTCTTTCTAAATATATATTATCTGTATATTTCTCACCCATAGTCTGTTGATTTAAAGATGATTGATAGATTGAATCCTGAAAAGTGAATGGATTACTATATTGATGAAATCCTCCTGGCAAAATAATTGAAGCAGCTCTATTCGAGAGTCCACCTGGCAAGACAGTGCCTGATGGCATGTCCCAAGATTCAAGGTTATCCTGTATGCCAAGGTTGTAATTATATAGTAAAGAAGTTTTTGTTATCACATCAGGTGGATAACTTGAAGGGTGAAGAATAGTACCTGCTTGGAGAATTGTGCCATTTGGAAAAATAGCACCACCAGGTAAATAAGTAATGCCCGATATTATCGACCCACCACCAAGAACAACTGCCATGCCAAGTTGAGTTCCACTTGGTAATGTCAGAGAAAATGGGGAGGAACCAAAAGACATCAATCCACCCATCAAGACACCTCCAGTTTCTAAGTAAATAGAGTCTACAATAAATGTTCCTATTGGGAGAGTTGTGCCAAATGGAAGTGTAGTATTTGGATTTATGATATTCCCGTCAGGAAGAATAGCACCACTCCCAAAAAATGTGTTTGTTGATATAGTTAATGATCCTAATAACAGAGAATTACTTGGCAAATTTGAGCCTGGTTGTAGAACTGAACCAGCAGGAATAGTAAGTGCAGTCATGTTGCTAAATCCTGCAGGTGAATAGCATAAAATATTTGATGAGCAGCAGTTACTAGTAGACTTCTTTATCTGTTGTACCTGGCAATTTGAACCGTATGTACTGGCTCCTATTAGGTAACAATTCGTGTTGGCTTTCAAAGTCGGGCTGTAATGTTTTTCTGTTATGAAAGTAGCACCACCCGGAAAGATAGTTCCTCCTGGTAAAGTTGTTCTTGGTGACAATACAGTCCCGGAAGCTAACAAAGTTCCATTAGGAAGCGATGCACCCAAGGGTAATATTGCCCCATTGGGGAAAGTTACTGGACCAAAAGCTGTTGTACCAACTGGCATATTTGTGCCATTAATTGATATGCTGCCTGAGGGGATTGTGAAAGTTCCATTAAAATCTGTATTGGGATTACCATTTAGCAAATTTGCGCTTGAATTTCCTCCAGTTTTACTATCTATAGATGTACTATTTGTGTCATTTGAGAGTAACTGTATTTCCTCCTGGAAAAAAATATATGTGCCATTTGGGGCCCCTACTCCACCTCTTATAACTTTACGAGATTCAAATGAAGATGGAAGTCTTTCTTCAACTGCAGTAAAAGGCTCTGTCACGAAGCTTTCATAGTAATATTGAGCTGCATCATTTGGATTTACTGGAGAAAATGATCCACCTGTTAAGGAAGTTATATTCAAAGGTAGTGAAACATTGTCTACTTCATAGAAAAAGGGACCATATACTACTTCAGTTACTGATTCTGTCTCATTTTGGATTCCTGGGAAGGCTAGCTTCTCAAAAGTACTCAATAGCCACTTCGCAATTGATTCTAACGAATTAGAACTCATATTAAATGATACAGAATTTTCTTGTTCACTAATATTCCATACTTGATCTATATTTAGCAAAAAGATTAGCAATATATATATTATCCATAAAAAGCTACTCATATTTAAGTTATTCGTAAGTTTTTTCAAGTAGTTAATATATACAACTTTTAATGAATGCCACACTCTATGTGTTTCTTGGTAAATTTACTTGACATAATACAATGGACATGAAGGCAACTTTCAGTTTTATTAAGTAGTCCTAATCAGACCAAATATTGTCACTAACTTTATAGAATCTACCATTATCTACAAGAGAAGTTGTTTTAGAATATTTTATATCTTCTATGGCAGATCTCTCAATAAATCTAGTGAGTTTCCCTACTAGTTCGCTACTTTCAAGTAAATTTAAGCTACTATCCTTGACAAAATTACTCAAATGTTCATGAAAATACTCAATTCCCTTTCTAATGTAATCCTCATTTAGAGTCAGTTCCCCAGTGTACAAATCGACATTTAATAGTGTTTTTCCTGAATAATATTTATGTAGCGGGTTTAGTGAAATATAGCATTACGTTAAATAATAAGACTTACTTTTCTCAAATAGCTCATCATACATTTGTGACATATTCAATGCATATAACCTTTCTTCCTCAGTGCTCCAAGGATTTACAGCTTCTGTATACCAATCTGTGTCTTGATCTCTAATCATAGTCTGTCTCTTAGATGTTGCAACAAATCTCAATAACATATCCTTTCTGTCAACCGCTTCGAAATATGCAGCTAAACTCTGGTCATTTTCATAAAAAATTTCGTATTTATGACCAGTTTTAAAGACTTCCTCATTGCAATGTAAACAAATTACTTTTTTCTGATGAGTGCTCTCAAGTTCACACACTATACGACCTAATTGTGTTCAAATTCAGAACATCATTAAATTACTATATTGTAATTCAGTTCAATATCTGTATATCTTACTTACCACAAAAAGTGCAGTTTCCGTACAAGTTATGTAGTCTTGCATAACAACCACATAAATAATTTCCTAATAAACTATCATCTAAGCTTTTCGCCTTGGTTTTTGATTGTCTTTTAGTTGGGATTTCACTCAATCTAAACGAATGCATTTACATACAGATGGCAAATTTACAATCTATTAATATTGAATTTCCACTATTTCAGTATAGTATTTTACTTCTTACCCAATAAGCGCCTGAAGTTCTATGATTCACAGGTATCAGGGTAAATACCTTTTTTTTTGCGGCAGGTACTAGCTTCTTTACCATTCCAAAGGAATATTCCTCTCTAGGTTCATTTTTAGTACATGAAGTAAATACAATATGCTGTGATTGGGTATGAAATAGCTACTTTGTATTTATCTGAAGAATTATAAGTGAGATATATTTTTGAAAGAAATTGTATATATCTTGATAATTAGATTAAGATGAAATTCTTAGTATTTTTTATTTTGTTGATACTTACTCAAACTACTATATCATTATCACACCAAGATGAAGATGAAAGCTATAGTAGTTATATAAGTGGGGCCTCAGAAGAGTCTAGTGTTGATTCTTTAGGACGGGATCTATTTGATTGGAGCAAAGATTACCTTGACTCAACAACTTTACTGCCATATATGAAATGGTACTACCGTTATATTTTTGAAGATATTTATCCTGAAGAAGAGAAGTCTTCCAAACTAGTATTTATAACAGGTGTTCTTATTAATAAAGTTACTTTTTCAATTATTTTACTATTTTGGATTTGTATATTATTTATTGCCTGCGGAACAGTTGCAGACACTTATATATCATCTCTAATGATAAAATTGGCAGAATGTATGAGATTATCAGATACATTTGCAGGCTCTACACTATTGGCATTTAGCAATTCTGCTAGTGATGTAATTTTGGGGATACTTAGTGCAACATTAAGTGAGAGAGATACAATATATGTATTCTTGGGTGATGTTGTAGGAGCATGTTCATTTATAACTTTAGTAGTCTTTGGATGTGTTATGGTTTTTTCAAAGACAAAGAACGAGTCTAATATTATATATATACCTGTTTATAGCCATTTACGAGACTCTATAGCACTAACTATAGGCTTAATTCAATTACTCATTATTAATCATCTTGGATATATTTCATCATATTCTACTGTAATACCATTACTAGCATATGGATTCTATGTCTGTCTAATACAATGGACTGAGAGATCCAATCATCCACAAGTTGGACATTTGACTTCTAAGGACAATTTTGTTGGTGGTATAATAAGTCAATCAGGACTTTTAGATACTCACCATAAAAATTTATCAACAAACTCAGAATCTTTGACACCAGAATCTGGTTATATTCTTAATATACCATCTTCGTCTCTCAATGATATTCCACCAATAAAACTAAGTTTGATTGGAAATGGTTTATCAAACTCAGACAATGGCTTATTTGGTGATGATACAGCTTTCGAAGATAGAGCCTGGGAAAGGATAGGTTCAAAATCTAGAAGCATTAAAAGAACCCTATTATTACTAACACCGAGTCATTCTCCAAACCCAAGTTTTGTAGAATCACATCTATATGATGCCTCATCATGTTCAGAAACAGAAGATTTAGTGACAAATGATATTTCAAACACTGATAGATTATTTGATGAATACTATAATCAATCTACAAATGAAAATAATAAATTCCTAACAAGATCAACTTCAAAACCATTTGAAAAAGCAACAAATATCCTTGAACTCCCTAATAATCAAAATGCTTCAAGATCTAAGTCGCCCGTGCCTTCTCTATGTAAATCTTCCATCTCAATAGGAACTCATTCATCTTCCCTCACTGTTGGAAGAACTTCACAGTCCCATCTTGTCATTTTAGGAGATGACTTTGCAATGAGAGTTTCCCGCAATATTCCAATGAGTGAAGTTGTCTATCAAACTGGTTCTCTTCATAACTCCCTCTTACCTCCTCCAGCTACAGAAGAGAATATTTTGAAGGTTCCAAGGAACAAAAAGAATATCTATAGAAGTAATGTAGCTGAGATGCAAGAAATAAGGAACTTCCTCAAATATCTTACCTGTGATCTAATAGTAAGCTTAAATATTGATGCTTTTCTTTCAAGATTATTGGAAGCTGGTGACTTTCTTAGACGACTTTTGATGACACCAATTATGTTTATATTATATTTAACAGTTCCATCTCCATCAGTAAGACGTTCAGTGCAGATTATGCAACCTATTTTCATTGTATTGGCTATAGGTTTGGAAAAGAGATTTTATTGGATAGCTCCTTTTCACTATCTGCTTATACTACTTGGAGCCTCAATAGTATCACTGGTCTTATTCACAATCTATATCTATGTTGATCCTACCTCAACGAATATTGATGAATCTAGCGTAAATTGTAGCATTGCTTCAAACCATTCAGGATTTCACTTATCATCATCATCAAGAGAGTTTATATGCAAAGTTCTTATGTACTTTGATATGTTTATTGGAATCGCAATGGCTATCTATTGGAATGGGGTATTAGTCAATGAACTTGTTGGATGTATCAAAGTCCTTGGTTTTACTCTTGGTATTAAGCCTGCTATATTAGGTTTAACTATTGTTGCAATGGGGAATTCTATTGCAGACTTGTTTGCAAATGTTGCCGTAGCTAGAGCTGGACATGCACGTATGGGGCTTGCTGGGTGCTACGGTGCTTGTGTTTTTCTTCTACTGTTTGGGATTGGAAGTTCAGTATTCTTGAGAGCTATTAAACTTAAATTTTCCCAAAATATACATTTGTATTTTGAGAAGCAAATAATTACTGCTACCTCTCAGCTGTTATATTTTCTACCAATATCAGCTCTAGTTGTAGTTCTCTCTAAAGGGAGAGTGCACAAGATATGGGGAGTATTTTGCATCATCTACTTTGCAATTGGTATGGCATTTATTCTCCAAAGTAACTATTAAATATCTTGTAGATCCCTATATTTTACTTCTACTTTTATTTCTATAGAAAATGAAATCTTGTCACATTCATTAATTGGTCTCACAGATTCTTCTATATTCGTGATATTTAATTTACGGCAAAGTGAATTGTTCCAGTATCCTTTGTCTCTGAAACATTCTCTTCTTCAATAATTCTTTCTTCAATGACTTCCAAATTTCGTCTTGGCTTATTTGAGTAAGAAGTTCTATGAGTCTCTATGGCTGTTATATTCGCTCCCAATATTTTGTGCATACTTTCACGTCCTAAAGATTCAGCATGTATAGCTTGACTGCAATCTATACCGAAACTTATACCATAATTTAGGTGACTTGGTATAAGATTGACCATTTGAGGTGGATCTAGATCAGTGCAAGTCAGTTTATTGTTTTCTAGCTCATTAGTTAAATTACAGCATGACTGTATTGAATCAAACCTATCCATTATCTTTAACAAAGTAGTACCAATGTAATCCATCATATCTTTCTCTACACTCATATTATCAATACCTTTTCTAGAACTATCTTAATATTTACAAACAAGATTAGAAGGAAAAAGTCAAATGTTCTCTTTGACATGCAGTAATTGTATCCTATACTAGTATGCAAGTTTCCCTAGTACCCGCCTGGTTGTGACTAGACAATTGCGCCGACTTGAGAAGACTTATAAGCTTCTTTAGATACGACAGATAAATTATAGTTTATAAACAAAATAATTTACATAAGACTTTACATAGTATATGTATTTTATCCTGCTAGAATTGTTCATCTATAATGGTTGAAATGTTCATAGAAACTTTGGGAATTGGAGTGTAGATATTCTAGATATTACTCTTTAGGTAATGTATGCTTAGTGATAAGAAATTCAATTCCTAGTATTCAATTTCACGTAATTTCCAGACCTTCCTTTGCCAAGAGTGTCCCTACTTTTTTTTAGAAATAATACCCAATCTGTGTCTATATTTTCTATATACATTGTCTACTACTTGGTCTTTAGGTAGAGCTTTCATTATATTTAAGGAATTCTGAACAAACAAAGATCCCTGCAGTTTTTTCAGTGCAATATTAACGAATTTCCTATCATTAAATAAAATAAAACCAAAACCTTTCGTCTTCCCGGTGATTTTTGATCTTACTATTCTTACCGCATCTACACAATTTGTACCGATATTCTGCATTACAAATTGTCTTAGTTCATCTTCAGAACATAAAGATGGTAGATTACCAACAAATATAGTCCTCTTCCGATCGAATATATTAAAATTATCAACTATATAAGCAGGTGATAATCTCATTGTATGACCTGCAAGAATTATACCTGTAAACTTCTTGACAAGCTCTGGAACTTTACTACTATCTTTTAGCACAATATAGGCATTTTTAGAGTCGCTTTTACATGAAAAACCCTCTAATATAGCCCCTAGTTTACGATTATGTGAAAACTTCGGATGCACAGGTAATGACCTGAATCTTATAGACTCTATATCTGCTCTAGTTAGTTCAAGTTTCTTCAAAAGATCCTTCTCAACAACATTTAACCCAATATTCCCAACAAATACAGTTCTATCTATTTTAGAGTCTTGAATTCTAGATGTTCCTAATGTTCTGTTTTGTTTTGGTATTGAATCACTAAAACTTTTATTTCTTCTACTATTCACTGAAAATATTACACTATTACTATTACTGCACAAAATATCTTTATTGCTCCTCTTAAAATATTGTTGATCTTTATTCTTAACCAAATTTGCCGTTCCAATTTGTGGAGGCCAATTTTTTGAAAGTAGTTCACTAATTAATGGTTGTTCCCTAGATACTTCAGAATTGATATTAGAAGAGTGACAAGTCCTACTAATTATATCAGTTAAAATAAAATCACTTGCTTTCATTGGTACTTAGAATTAGATTCTACAAAAATTTTAGACCCTTAGTATGAACTATTCTGACCTAATAAAAGGTATTAGCGCTAGATTGACAAATACTACGTGAATGTGACGACAGAGGCGCCTAAAGTTAACTTAGTTTTTAACATGTATAAGAGTAAGGCTAAGAAGTTGAGTTAGAAATATCGCACTATTTATTATGGAAGAACATAGAGATTTTGAGTATAGCATATGCCTATCAAACAGTGAAATATATAATCTTTGTAATGAATTAGATGCTATCAATGAAAATAATTGGTGGTGCCTTAAAAGTGTTAAACATCTTTACAGAGTATACAGATTTATAAAGTTTCACGTTACTGATGAATATTTTGAGGTATATATACGGCTTCTAACTAAAAAAATTACAGAACTTGCGCTATGTATTAAGAATAAGCAGATGTCAATTCGTAAATTATATATTTATTTCATTATTATGGGAGTGTATTTGCAACTAAGTAGGAATTGGTATAACCTAGATAAACTTGCATGCATGAATATATGTGAGGTAATAATATCAATAGTTAACTTATTTTCAAGATCAGTAAATAACAAAAGATGTAGGAAGTACTTCCAAGATACTGAAGGCAGTACTAAAGATATGAGGGTAAAAAAAACAACTAAAGTATTACTACCAATTTTGTTAAACAAGACTGAACTAAAATTACTCACTGAATATAACTCGGAAAATAGTTTTTTGAAGAATTTGATTCTTGATATATCTACTTTAGCAATAAAATGTGTTCCAGAAATCGAATTCATTAATTCATATACAACTAATACAATAAACCAGCTAGACAATGATAGTATAGAGGTAATATATCATTTTACAAGTTCAATATGCTATTATCGATGTTCTGGGTCATTTTTAAGTGATTTATTAGCATTTAAACTTCCTAGGACCTGTTACTTGCTGTTAAGAGGTGTTGATAAAGTGATGCATACTTTTACGAATATAGTGAAAATTAGAGCTAAAGAACTCTTTTATAAAGATAAATGCAGGTATGAAGAACTAAAGATAGTTAAAATTTTTAATAAGCATTCAGAATTACTTATATCAGATATCTTATATATAACACTTGGAATCTGGACTCAAATATTTAGAGCTTCTGCAAAAGCTAGATCTCAAGAGTGCCAAAATACTATTTCAAGATATTATTTGGATTCACAGTATCTAAGAACAGAACTTCTTTGTGAATTATCATCAGCTTGTAATAAGATACTTCTCAAAGCTACTGAAACGAAGTATAATCTTAACAATGAAATTCTTCCCAACACAGCTTTTTACATTGAGAAAGCAGTTTTATTGTTTATTAATGAATGCTTCAGTACCTCCTCTAGATTAAGTAACTATTTTTCTTGCAGCATAGCTATACACAGAAATCTTCTTCAACTCATTCATACAATTGGGAGAAGCTTGAAAATCTTACTTGAGTGTAATAGTGAAGGTGTTAAATACAACCAACATATGAAAGCTCAACAGGAATGCTCACTACTTTTACTAAAATTACATAATTCTATTATGTCATTTCTTTCACGTATTGGAGACAGGCAATCTAAGTTTCTTCTACTTTACAATTTGAGGAAAGGTATGGAAACCCCTACAGAAGATTACTTAACCTCTGCAAGTAATAGCTCTGACTTCTTATTTGAAGATCAAACTTCGAAGGTCTTAAATAGTTCATTTAGTCAATACTATAAATTATTGTCAAAAAATATTAGGAAACTTTTACTGGAATATTCTAAAATAACTGTCATTGAAAATTGTACGTTGGAACTTGAAGAGCTTCATCAGCCTCAAACTCAGTTAGTACTATCTATATACTATTTATCTTGCTCTCTAATTTATTTAATTAGGGTTAATCAAGTAAATAAGCATGAAATTCCCAAACAAAAGTCTGAACATGACAAGATTCTTGAGTTGCTAACTATAAATGATATCACATCTATTTTTAATGTCATGGAAGTGCTAAAAAGATGCAACTATCCTGAGTACTTCACATCTTTCAGTCTAGAATTAGAACACATATATTGTTACTTTTCAGAATTTTTGCTAGTTTGAAGTTTACTACCCTTTTAAAGTGATTGTTTTAGTATAAGATAAATATAAATACAGAAGTGTATAAGCTTTAGAAATATTTACTCAGACCACTACTTTTGAAATTCTCTAATATCTTGATATTGTCTATTAAGTCTATGTTATATACAAAAGTAATATACATAATTCGAGTCATTGGATATATTAATAAGAGAATACTCTACTAGTACTATCGAGATTTAAAGTTTGAATCTCTATTTGGTAAAATTTCCAACTTACGGGAGTACCTAAATATTTTTGAGCACTAAGGAATAGTACCATAGGTCCGATTAGTTTGTATCTGAAACTAAACAAGGTATTAGAGATATATATAAAATATATTAAAGTATTCTATCTACTAAGTTCGATATCACTAACCTTTATAACTAGGTATATGAAGAGATTTTTGTAACCTTGTTAGGTGCAATTCAAAGATTTATACTTAGTGAATTAATTTTAAGAGCAGAATTGCCCAGTAAATATAACAAATTATTCTTAAATACTTAATTATGCCAAATGAAAATTTTGAATGTAGATAGTTTTGTCTTAGAAATATAGTATTTCATGTATCTTCAAATCTTGTGGTAAGTTTGCCATAAATTAATGAATTATACCAACTCATTAAAATTTGTTTGGCCATCAATGTCTTGAATGATATAGATAAGTAAAAATACTAAATACATATTAATTCAGTATATCAGCATATTTAAATTTCTACATTCAGCTTCTAATTGTATTAAAGTTCGTTAACATAAGGTTCAGAAAAAGTTCTATGAAAGTTAAATTCTGCGTTCAAATAGTGGAAATATCTAATATTATTAGACTATGTAATGGGATTATTGACATTAAAATTAGAACCAAAGAAATACTAGTAAAAGACAGATATATTGCTACACTAATAAAATACTCATTTGCAAAATTTTACTTTTATTGAAACTGACCCTTTTATTTCTTTTTATAATAGATTTGTGATTGTAAAAAAAACTCTAGAATATGACTAGTGTGCTTGAAGATTTTACGAAAAACTTTTAAGTTGATTCATAAAGAATGCAATATACATGTCCCACATTATTGAAAATACACTTTGATCAAATACAGTTTAATGGGAATCTCAAGAGTACGGAAATATTGTGAGACATTCCATTTACTAACCGTAATAAATAACTATAAGTTATATATCAATTACCCATTATATATATTTCTGAAGTATTCTAATTATGACATTTTAGATCAAAAAGATAGCCATCTTAACTTTATTTGATTTGTTTCCCCCTAGTAATTATCTAGCTATTTCTTAAATGTTCTAACTCAGACCGTATAAAGAGTTGTCATTAATACAACTGGTAAATTGGATTATTGAAATTCTTTTATAAACTTAAGGTTCGACTTATCTCAATTGATTCAACCCACTCACTACTCAAAACTTTAAAGGCGCTTTATGAAGTGCAGAGATATAGCGGCAAACACTTGCAGCAGTAAAAATTTTATAAATATTTAAAAACCAATCAAAAAGAATTACATTTAAAGAATTTATAAATAGTTCACAATATTTAGTAATGATAATTATGGATTTTTTGAGTTGTTCATGGATCAAGATACATCAATTTTATTTATCTTAGGTCTCTGAGCAATGTATCGTTTTAATTAGCCCAAATACATCCATATTAAACTACATTTATCTAATATTCAATTTTAATATTCTGTAAGAATATTGTAAACTTGATATTCTAAGGGAAATGTACCATATTTTATGTAAATGCTAATAGTTTTCAGGTAGTTTGAATAAGCTGAAAAGTTTGATAAGATATTGGATAGATTTTTAAAATACTGATGACTTTTTGTTATCTCCCAATGTATTTTATATTTACCTTGAATTTTTTGCTAATTAATCTTCATATAGATACAATATACAAATGAAATCAGAGTATAAAATTATGAAAACTGACTTTGTAAAAAGAAATATATTAATTTTGGTTTAGTCCACAATTTCTTTAGAAAAAATTATATAATTAAATTATTATAAATGAGTAGATTTTCGGTAGCTACTGTAAATATAGAAATTCTCTACCAAATATAAATACCCGAAGTAATTGTAACACATATCGAGATATTTAGAGTAATAATAATGAATATCCAAAGAACATTTCAATGTAAGAATAATACTATATAGAAACTAAATTCCGGTAAATTACTGATGATTCTTCAAACCTATTTGTAGTTACAAAGGATATAACTAACAAGAGTGTAGGTTATAATCCAGATTATTCACATTCTAGCACATTTATCTCGAAGAAAAAGCTCAATAACACAAAGTGGATACCAATTATTTTCAATACAAAATTCCAAATTTATTTAACACTAAAAAGAACAATACAGAATTTTATGACATAAATGCTGAAATTATACAAAGAATTATACAAAAAACTTGTGGATTCTACCAAGGTAAACATACTTATTATAACACAAAGACATGTGATCTTGTATATATTTATAAAATTATAGTTCACTGTATAATTGATTTATTTAACAATATATTTTGGTTTTGAATAAACTCAAATAATTTATTAGATCTACGTGCTAAAGATAAAAATTAAACTTTTACTTATACATTGATGATTCATGATAAACCCGTTTAGGCACTTTAATACATTTAACCTTTATTCCAATATCTGAGCTTTCCACTAAATTACTATAAGCATTTAAGATATAAAAGAGGATTGAATAACAAAATTGAAATAATGTCCATTAATAAAGTAATTTTCCTATTATTTAGAATTTAAGGAACACTTCTAGGTAATACTAAAATCCAAATGGTCTTAAATTATCTAATATAACAAATATAATGGTACATTAAATTATCTCTAAGTAGTTCTTGTTGAATGAAACAAATATAATAGATATATATGTAATGTTTTCAATAACTTAGTTTCATATAAATCTAACTTAGATAAATAGATATTATCATGAAGCTAGTATCTGAGATTGACAGTCTAAAAAACCTGGAGTTGCTAAATGTATAGATCAGACTACAGCTACTAGTTTGAATATGGACAAGATATTTTGGGTCAGACTCTACTGAATTAAACAACTGCTAGTATTGAATATTAGAGTATTATAAGCCATTAACATATAATAAGTAGAATATTGGATTTTTTGTTATACAATAACTTTTGGCCTAGACATGGTGAGAAATCAAATCAGATAAAAAAGATTAATATTTAAAGTAACTCATATATTACAAATAGTAAATTCAAAAGAAAGCTGTACTGTTAAACTTAATTTCTATATGTAGCATTGAGAATTTGCAAACCTTACTTGGTATTATGTTATTTTATCTACTAGCTTAGAACTTGAATAAGAGATTATTTAACTATCTATTAAAACACTTACTAGTTTCTTCAGGATAAACTAGAAAAAATCAATTTCATTTATATTAAATATTAAAAAGTTTATAGAGATTGTTTATTATATAATTAAGGTTTAAATAGAGTTTTAAGGGAAACTTTTGGAATAGAATAAGTTGTTTATTTCTTTTGTAATTTGTTTTTTTACTTAATCACGCATATGGTTTTAATAAAAATTACAATTGGCCTTTTTTGATAATTAATGACAAAATACTGATTTAGTAGATGTAATATAGATTTATTATATGAATTAAAATTAATAAATATTTTTATCTTCTATTCACTGAAATGTATGGTTTAGAGATAAACAAGGGAATAGTGGTAGAAGTGATTACTTCTCAGTTACTTGAGGTTTTTTTGTAAACTTTAAATTTGACTCAGTGAACCATTTTTATGTAATACATAATGATAATCAACTTGCAAAAGATATTAAAACCCAGAAAATAGTAAAGTTTTTTATCAATAATAAACTAATATAGTTGAAATTCTTCAGTTATACTTACCGAAATTAAATGGCTTGATATTTTTGATATACTACAAATTATAGAAGTATAAATTCTGGTTGATATGAAAAAGCCCATAATTATACTTAAAAGAGATGTATTAGCTAAAAAATTACATTTTATTTCCTTAAAAATATCATTTCAATAACAACATTACTCAGTTTCTAAATATTATACCAAAAGCATTATACTTAAGAATTTAAAGTGTTATATTAAATATTAGTAAATATACTTTGAGTATAGAATTACCTATTCAAGTTTATAAAGAAATGAAATAGATAATCTTCACTGGGTTCATGACAATACATTGATATCAAGTAGTTAAAGAAGAATTATATATTGCTATTTTATATTCCATAAATTCAACTAGCTATAAAAAATTTCAAAGAGACTCTATCAAATTACTTTTAAAATCTTTAGATAATTGGATTATATATATCATTCGTAATTTCAATATATCTATATTTTTATATTAAGTATATAATCAATGGATTAATATTTGTAATTCTTTACCAATTACCTCCATACTTCTTGATACACTATAAATCATATATTATTATAGTTATATTGATCATTATTTTATCCATACATTACTTTGTACTTAAAAGACCAATTTATTTACTCTTTTTGAAAAATTAGTTACAATTGTAATATTAATAGTATATTAGAGGCTCCAAATATTAATATGAAAATAAAGTATAATACATTATTTTATCACATTATTATCTATCTTCTTTTTTATATACAAGGATATTTCTTTCAACAACGACTTCATAAATTTATTAGTACCAAAAATATTTGACTGACTTAATGTTCTACTAAATTACCCCGTTATAGTACAAAGTGAAATCTGCATATTTAATTTTGAATAGGGTGTATATACAATGAGATTAACTCCACCATCGGTGAGAAATTCAAAAATTATTTATTTAAATATTGGAAAGGTTTAATTCAATAGTTGGGTAATACCTCCAAAAATAAAATAATGTCTCTTCAAAGAGATAACAAAGATAATTAAAACTCGAAGGGATAAAACTAATAAGTACAACTTAAATGTGTATGGTAAATTCAAATAACCTTACTGTCCTATCAAGTAACTTTTCCAGTAGCTTATTTTTGCAAAAAAAACTTAGAATTTTTATCAGGTTGTGTCCTGAGATGCTATAATGGTAGTTAATCTGTACTAGATCTTAATATTGCAAGGAATCTTGGAGATTCCTTTATAAAAAATCTTATGCGGATTTCTGAAAGGTTTTGCAACTTATTTATACATCTTAAAATCATAATTATGTGGTGTATATATTTCGTTAAATTGAATATTGATGAAAATTGAATTTCTAAGATAAGTAAAACTGAATAATCTCCATTAATATTAGTGAACTTCTCTATCATACGTTAAATAAAAACGCTATGTATTTTCCACAAACTAAACATCATAAGTACGCGAATATTTTGAGAAATACCAGGTATTATCAACAATGAATAAATTTTTAGTAACTTATCTAAGATATCTCTGTAATAATTATAAATATTTTTGATAGACAGATATTGGAGATGGAGTAACACAGAGTCAATATCCTAATAGCGAGATAAGCTTTAGATACTTGGAGTTAATATAAAGATATTTAATATATAAAGCAAAAGGTATTTACATAAACACCCAATATCCAGATCTCTTATATTAGGGACTATTTGAGTAATAATTGTTTCACATGGAGTAACGTTAACTACGAACCTAGAAAGTTTTGGATGCTTGAGAATAGGAATATATCGAAATTATTCAATCTGAATCGAAATTTCCCTTACCAAACTATAAATACAATACTAAGTGCTTCATAGCACTCAGATAACTACAAGTCCAATTAAAATATACACCCTATCTAAGTTTGGGAGCTAGATAAAATTCTACTTTTCCTTGGTCACTCCTATCATTAAGGGGAAATTGTAATCTCAATGGGACACCTTGAGATATGCTCATCATTACTGTTGTACTTAAGGGTGTAGCCTTTGTAAAATAAGAGAAATACCTTAATGCATATCTATGTGATATTACATTATTGGCATGAATCTGAACTGCCTTTGTTTCATCAGGAGAATCATTTACTGGAAAATTCAAGTCAACTTTCCCATCATCTCCATCAACTGAAAATTTAACACATTTCCCACTTATCTCTATATTTACCTCATCACCTATTGCACTCATATCACGAACTATAGATTGTAGAATATTTGCAGGCATAGTTACATTACACTCATAGTCTTCTTCTGGTATAGAGATATGTTCTTGTTCTATATCCATGAGACGTAGTGTACATTCTTTAAGTGATATTGTATTCATATTGTCTTCGAAGCACAAGGTAATTTTGTTATCTTCATCATCATCATACTTTTTCAGTAACATGCTTGTATCTTTATCACAAAACTTCATAAATTTAGATAATTGTTGCATACTCAAACCCAAGACAACAGGTCTATCGCAACGGTAGTGTTCAAATGCTTCAGGTGATATACACAAACATACCAAAGCAATGTGAGAAGAATCCATTGCTTGTAAATGCAAACCTTCAGAATCACATTCAATATTTATATCATGGCAAAGCTCCTTTAGTGCTTCAGTAATTTTCTTGAATAAAATAGCACTTTGTAACCTAGCTTCGAACATTTTGCAAGTTTATGTTGCACGTTTAAGTTGAAATAACTCTTAGTTCTTAAAATATACGAAGCTAATAGTAAGGTAGTTCCCGCCGTGGGGTGACTAGAGCTTACTATAAGTTTGCAACATGAACATTTTCACCTTAAAATATTTCTTTTTTATAAGCAACACCTAGATAATTAAATTTTTGTTACATAATATTATTGGCACAGTATAATGGTATAATGATACAAGACTATTCCAAAGCATAGGGAACCATCTTTATAAAGTATAGAACAATATTAAATTGTTTCATATATACTTCACAGAACTAAAGCAGTACAAGGCGTGTACTAATAGAAATTAGATCCCAATATATAGTGGTTCTAATCATACCTATATTAGTGGAGGGTTCATGAAGTCATAGGAAGATTCAAACCTATACATTAGCACTTGATATTCACCTTCAGTGATAGTTGGACCAATAAATGTAAATATCTTTGAAGCTTGCTCCCAGTTGTCTATATCGATGAAGAATAGCAGATTATGAGCCTTTACGCGCTTGTCTTAATAAACCGGTACAATAAGTTTCTGATTCATTAATCACACTCTCAAAAACAAACTATAGATTTAGATTGAACTTTAATACTTAAAGCTTGATAAGATTGATCTAATAATGTCTGTTTACTATCGTTTTGTTCATGAGCGATTGGATAGCTATCGTTCATTGGAGCTTAATGTAAATTCAATAAAAACTAGCGATTTGAAAGTGCTAGTAGCTGAACATGCAGGTCTAGGAAAAGAGTATACTCGTTTATTTGACTTGCGTGTATATGACACGGAGGAGAAGGAAGTATATCCTGATGAGAAATTAATACCGGTTTATTCCAGAGTAGTCATACAACGAATTCCATGGCGTGAATTGAAGGAAATCCATCATGAAGCCCAACGTTCAATTAATATTGCAGAAGATCAAGAAGATGAATTAGAGTCGAAGTTGACATTACCGTCAGAGTATATATGTAAATTATGCAATTGTCCTCTGATTAATCCTGTATTGATCAAATGCGCAGGGAGTTGCGGTACTTCTGCCTGCAGAGATTGTGTTCAACGCTACTTAGAGAAGAATAAAAATGTTGCCGTAAAGGCATGCCCAGCTTGTAATCAGAGATTTAGAGGCAGTGTACCTAATAAAAGCCTAGCGAATATTTTAGCAACAATAGATTGGGATCAATTTATTTTTCCTATACGCAATAAATCAGATATAGAGAGAAATGAACTGAACAGTAATTTAGAAAATAATGCTAATCCAAAAAGTGATGATACAAGTTCTGTTAAACAACATGAAGTTGTTACTTTATTTAATTCACAAGATACAGATAAACCCAAAACTGTAGAGATAGAGCCAAATCCCCATGTCATTACTCAAAGTACTGATATCAAACACAATCTTACACATATTAATGCAACAACTGAAGTAGATGCAACCTATATTGAAGATTCTGTGCAAAATATTGCACCTAGTGATAACCCAGACTTTAGAAGTGCAGAAAGTATTCCAATTGGTATTTCTAGTATGCAAGATCAAGTTTTGGAGTCAACAATAAAAAGTGGGCTTATAAAATCTCACGGTATTAAAACACAGAGTATTATTCCTCAGTCCCATAATAGAATGGGTATTTCAACTACAATTAGTCATGCTATTCATCAACAGTATATAGATGCATGGGGCCCTTCTGGTACAAGCTTTCCATATGGTACTGATCCTAATGGTGCTTATGTACCGACTTATCCAAACACATTTCCTCATACATTTCCTTATGGAATTCATCATGTTATGACTCAATCTGCATATCCATATCCTACTCATACAGCACACTATCAATCACCAAGTGAGATCATATTTCCAGTTTGTAATCCTTATCTTACGGAAAAACAGAAAATACAAATATCAATGTCATTTCCATTACTATCAAAAGAAACATTTTTGTTAATTCGGCAGGCTCAGCAACGTATTAAAGAAATATGGAATTTGTTACCTAAACCTATTAGGTGTTCTTTACTTAAAGAATCCGACATCACTGGGAGCTTATCAGATAAAAAGATAAAACTACAAAGGAAGCGTAAAGATTACACTACTAAAAATTCTACACTCAAGAAGAGATTTACCGTAGATTGTTAGAAAGAAAGAAGTATCTTTGTTAGTTATATATATATATAATTATTTACAATAGTTTCGAGGACTCTGTGATTGTTTATAGATATCTCTCACTGTTGTAAGTGGAACCAAATTTCTAGCCAACTTACTTCTATTACCAATTGGGCCTATATCTTGGTATGGAAGTGGTTGTACTGATTCCTCTTCTCTCCAGCTAAAATTAAGAGAACCCTCTCTTTCTTTATAGCTCTCTAAATTTGTTGTATTGTCTAGTTTTTCTGAGACTACAGTACTTAGTGTATTGGCTTCATTATTTCCAGTTCTATGATCCAATACCAAGGCTTTGTGCTGCACAACTCTACAATATAGGGGATTGGTTAATTCTCTATCAAGCACCTTTCTATTTGGTGGATTTTCCTCCATTAATACATATCCTCCTGCCGGACCTAACCATACCATCTTGTGTTTTATTGATAAATTTTCTTCTTTTCCATTGTAGGAGCAATCTTTGCAAACAAAATTAGTTGTACTGGGTGTCTCACTACTTTCCTTGGCAGTAATTGGAGAAGTAATCTTCTCAGTTTCAATACCAGAAGTTGGAACTATGTAGTTTTCAAAATTCATGGAAAAATATAATATTTAAATCACAAATTCTACAATGAACATAAACTATTCTAAATCCAAAAGACAGCCTGATGGTCTATATATAAGGGAAATTTTTGTGAACTTTCTACAAAATACCAGTCCTAAATCACTTCCTAAGTCCAGTGTATGCATACATATGTACAACTTTTAATTTGATTTAGAATTTGTTAAGTAATTAATTTTCAAGAGTATCAAGTACAGTTTGTTGCAATTCCTAAATTAAGAAAAGTAGTTTGATACTACTTATTTACGGAATCTCAGTTTTATCTTCCTTTAACTTCTTTACAATCTAAGTTGCAGGGAATTTATAGGAGTTAACAATCACAACTCTATTAGATTAATATGGCTCTTATGCAGCCACACACAATAAGAATAGACTATGCTAGATTGATATATAATATTTGCTTTAAAAATGTATAATATATGGACAAAGTAAGGGCTAATTAAATATTGATTATTTCCTTAAATTCTAACAAATTTATTCCACAATTTTAATCACTTTAAAAAGATTTCCTCTTCTCTGCACAGCACACGTCCCAGGTTCAATAAAATCTCCCTTGATAGCATTGTGTAAAGTAACACTTGGATCCATCGGCCACCAATTAAATGGCCTTACATACCAGCCTAAAGTATTCCCAAGTGCAGTTGTTTGTGGTACATCCTCCAGGGTAGGAATATGCCAGATTCCTGATGTTACCCATGTTACAACATCAGAGTGTCTAATTACTTCATCATCCTCAATAAATGAATCGAATCTAACGGCAGGTTTTGCAGCAAATTTATTATCTCTAGGTAAGTCAGCATCAAGTTCCGAGTACTTGAATACAGAAGATGCCAGCTGATATTTAGACCAGGAGGCGGGTCCTGAATAAAGCTCATGATCTGGCATTAAGTCTGCAATAGTATGTGAAGGCCTGACTAGAAATCCACCTACATTTCCATAAGTACTATGCTTTTCATCAACAATAAAATAAGCTCTTGGATGGTGATGAGTTTCATTATACATTAAATATGCATTAGACTCTCTCTCCGCAAATGTTCTTTCTAATTTATGATGCCCTTCTTTAATAGGATCTTTAAGCACTTTTATCCATGAGATAGAATTATCAGTATAATTGGAACCTAGGTCAAAGTCAATTTTCCATACCGCAAAGTGGGAGTGTAATGCAGCCATTTGTCCTGAGGGACTAATTTGCGTACCATATTGATGTTGTTTAGCCGAGAAATATGGCACTTCTAACCCTGCATAAAGTTCTCCAGTAAAGCTAACTCCCATTTCAAAAGAGCCTTGATTATACAAAATTAAATCTACAATGTAATCATAGTTTGAAACTGTTATTATTTGACGAATTGTAAGAGTTGTTAATGGTGCTGCATCTTTTATACCACCAGTTTTCCAGTGTGATCTTATTGGGCGTCCAGTGTCAAGTTCAAAAATACAGGCACTATTATCCCAAAAAATAGTCTGAGCTGTATTTGCGCATTCTAAACCTGGGTGGACACGACGTGCAGCAGTACCTAGTCCCCCGTACCAGCTATCCAAAAAAAACCATTGTCTCTCAAAAACTGTATAGTGAGCCATAGCATCAATCATTCCTAGCTCAAAAGCCACTCTCCTACCCATAAAGTTCAAATTCCAAATTTTAAATCCGCTGTCACGATCATTAGTAAGTGTAAACTGCCAACCTATCCATTTAATTGTGTAAGCTTCTCTATTAGGAGACTTCATAACTTGAAAGCGGCGACCACCAGGTTCACACTGCTCAGGTTTAGCTCTAACTTCTAGGTCACCTCTACTAAACATTTCAAGGTACTGAAGTTTTCGTATCCTGTTCTGATGCATAGATTGTTCATGCTCAATCCTACGAGATTCAAGTATAATTGGGTTAACTAGAGACAATCTATTTTGCAATTCATCATCTTTATTTCTTATGTTATTTCTCCCTCTATACCACTCCATTTCATCTGCAAGGATTCCAGAGTTAATTAACTTTACCTCGTTGTAGGAAAAAACTAGTTCATCTAAGGTTCTATAAGCACTTCCATTATACCATATTTGTTTTACAAGCATTCTGTGAATACGATCAAATTCAATTTTTGCTGATCCATCTCTGATACTCTGTAGAGTTGCGTGTGGCGCAATCAACTCAAAAAAAATTGGACATTGTGTACCATCTTTAATAGTCATGCCAGCCCATATAGAAGGTTCTGATGTCACATTTAGGGCAGGTTGATATACTACTGGTCCCAAGCGTACATGTTGTTCAGCTTGATCTTGTATACCAGGTAAATGAGCCCCACATGACTCAAAGACGATTTCATCTAATTTATTATCAGATAACAGATCAAAGAGCCTAGGCTGAAATCTTAAATTAGAAGTGTTATTAAGTGTCTCACCATCAAAATCTACTTGTTGAAGCCTTCTTCCAAAAGGTCCACTTGGGTTCCACCCTCCACATTCTACAGGTTTTGGCTCAGCTAAGTCAATATGATACATTGCAACAGTTTCATTTACCTGCACTAAGCTGTGCTTTTTTTCTCCTTCAGATTCCAAATGACCCCAACTTCCATTCTTTTCTTTCTCATTATCACTTAGTACAATTGGTCCAACCTTCCATTGATGATACAGCCCATTTAAACCTTCAGGATTCGAGTCATTTAAGTTTTCATTGCAAGAACCAAACCTAATACGTGCATAACGTGGAGGTGGACTTGGAAGTGGAACTGTCTCTGGATCTTTTAAGTGATTAGTTAGGGAGTCTAAATACTCGTACGCTTCAGTTTTATTTATAAATAGTGTTATTCTATATGGTCCTTTAGAGTTATATTTATCTTTAATACTATCAAAGTAACTCCGAACCTTTATTTCTTCAATGTGAGTTAGTGGGTCAAAAGGTGTAGCATAGCCTGTCTCAATTCCAGAAGGAAATGATGGAATATCACAGAACTGTCCAAATGATGTTATGTCTGTAGCAGTACTCCAGATATCTGTAACTTGCATGCTGAGGCCAGTTCTGCTCGTGGCCATGCAGTATACTATATATTTCTGATTACCTTCAATTCCTACCAAAGTTAAGAAGTTTTCTTCTGATGGATCTGTTACATTAATGCTTTGACCATACCTCTGAATATCTCTCGGATTTGGATACATTCCATCAGGAAGAGTAGCTACACAATCTACTTTCCCAGGTGTATCTACATGCACCCCAACAGTAAATTTCCCTAACTCAGCTGTTACATGATTAATTTTAACTTTTGGTATTCTATCCTTGGTAATAAAGGTTAAAGTTAATTTGCTCAATACTTGCTTAATTGGAATTCTATTTGCTTTAGGTAAAGCTAAATCTTCAGCTGTGCAAATTAGCTTATATTTAGTTGCAGGAATAAGCCCATTAATAGTTACTTTTTTTATAATCATGATATCTCTAGATGATATCATTTGTTCAACCCCCCTACTTCTTATATCTCTCACAAGTTTATCCTCTTCAATTGTACTTAAATTCAGAGATAGAGTTTTAGTATCAATTTGTGCAGAGCACCATATTGATCCTGGTTCATCTAATTTTACTGTGAAGAAAACACTTTCTTCTCCAACTTTCAGATCCTGTATTGTGAGTATTGGATATTTTGAATCAGTTGTAATACGTACCCTAGAATACTCTATTGCTAGATTATCCACAACTGATGAACTTTCTAATGTAATTGATGCATCCTGTCCAAAACAGTACAGGTCATATTCAGTATTAGGTAACAGAACTCCCTTGTTAGATGATGATAAATTGAATTCATAAGTATCCCCTTGCATTAATGGTTGTTTTGTCCTTAGTCCATACTTTCTTAAGGTAGTACTATTAGGAGGTACATTGCCAGCTTTCGTTAGTGCGCACCATGCATTAACATTATTTCTATTTGACTTAATAGTTATACTAACCAATGTCTCTGTAGCCTTAATCTCCTCAATTTTTATTATACCTACATTAATAGTAGTTTTCATGACATTACCACTTTTAAAAAGGTCACCAATACGTATAATTTCGTCAAAAAATCTAAATTCTAAATAATTTCCATTATTCCAGCCATCACCAAAAGTATCATAGATATTCACAGTGTAGGTTCCATATCCAGGTAAACAACAAGGGATCCAATCTGTTGTAGCCCACTTTATATTATCTGAAGATGGAACTTGTATATTTGTAAATGAATAGGTGCGTCCACTGCATCCTAATGCTCCTTCTATATCCCATGACTTCTCTGTTGTAAAGTTTGATGATATCAATCTGACTTCTCCCCAGACGCACTTCTGATCTGCTCTTTCACTAGCCCTAATGATTTCACTAGGGCAGTGCCCTGATCTAATAATAATGTCATCTATTGCAACTAAACTATCCTCAGATCTTCCTCCAATAGCTTCTAGAACTAGTTTTAAAGGAGTAAGACCATCTGAATAAAATTCAAAACCTCCTAATTGCCATGTAGGGCCTTGTTGTCCTACAACAAGCCAATTTGGCCGACCGAAATGAGTCACAACTTTAGGTTTCTTATTTTGAGAAGTGGGTATACCTTGATTATTTAAGGGAACAGATCCCAATAGACCTGAAGCTAAGTATAATCTTAAAACATTTGCATCTGCACCTGCCATAAAGTATTTGAGAGAAAGACAATATGTACCAAAAGAATATACTTTGGGATTTCCTAAGAGTAGTGCAGATGCTCCCGGCATATATCCAGGTGCTCTAAAGTATAGAAAGTGCCCTTTACCTTTTACTCCTATTGTAGTATCTGCTTGAGGGCTAGAGCCAACAACAACTTCATTTCCATTCCCTAACTCAAATCTCGTCTTGGTTTGAAAGTCTATTAAAGAATTAAATCCACATCCTAAGTATCCCTTAGATTCGAAGTCGCAGCAAAAAACAATCTTACTATCAATTTTCAGTAATCCTGCATTGTAAAAGAACACTTCAGGATTATCAGTTGGTTTATATATCCTATTGCGAGCAGGAGAATAGCAAATATATGCAGAGTCATAGAGATTATTTGGCTGCAGTATAATGTTAAAGAGAACAGTTGCAAGGCGTTTTGGGTGTTTCTGCATGTTATCTCCAATTACAATTTCAGATGTTTCATATGACTTTATACCCTTGAAGGGCCCTAAACTGTTAGATATATTTTGGGGAGGGCAAGGACTAGAGATAGGGAAAGTTGATGGTTTTAACTTGCTTACATCTGTTTCATTGTAATAATTTGGAATTATGTAGATCATGTCATCTTGTGACAACCCACTACCAGATATAGCTATTGTACAACCAGATCTTCTTAAACAGGTATAGTTCTGAACAATTGGAAATATCTCCACTATTGAAGCAGAAGAGTCTTCACCATATTCCCCTTCAAATAAATAGCTCCTATAGCCAGCTATCGGACATGAGGTAGATGGATCTGATATCTTAGTTGGAACTGCAGAACCATAGGTATAAAGAAGAATTATACATTGTCCATTATCATTGATTGGTTGTAGTACTCTCCTAACTTTATTGGTTGCAGCATTATCTCTGGTAATATCTAGAGAGTTGTAGTCTTGTTCAAAATCTTGGTCAATTTGTGGAATAAATCCTGAGTATAATTCAGTGCATAATATTCCTTGTATGGAGCAAAATAAAAACACTAAATAAGTTATATAAGATAGGCCCATTTGATTTTCTGAAGATAATGTAAAAAGTATTTTCTTTAAGAGTGTAATACAGAGTAGCCCTAGGCTACAATGTATTGCATGCAGATCTTGAAATACGCTGTATCGATTCTAGGGTAGACAAGCTTAAGATCATCTGTAAAAAGCTGATAACTTGAGTTAGTGAAATAAAAATATAATATGATATATTATTAAAAGTTTATGGTTAAGGACTGAAGATAATTGTCTCAGCTCTTGTCCTACCTATCTTCCATGTAAGATCCAGAGATATTATTAAATTGAGCCTTCGGATGAACCTGAAGGGGAATCTGTTGTATTATTTGAATATGCTGATCCATAAGCTTTCTGTGAGATTTTCCATGATACCTCTTGTAGTTGTCTTGTTTCACTCCTAATTTCTTCAGGCTCTAGTGAAGAAAAAGTACTCTTCACTTTTTCAATTTTACACTGTAACTCTTCCTTATCACTTGGTGATAGCTTATCTGAGAGATCTGTAATTTGTTTTTCAACAGAATATATTAAGGTTTCTGCATCATTCCGTGCATCTATAATTTCCTTTTTTGTTTTGTCACTTGAGCGGTACTCCTCTGCTTCTCTTATCATTTTTTCTATATCTTGAGGGCTAAGACCTCCAGATGACTGAATAGTTATTTCATGTTTCTTACCAGTTGATTTATCTACTGCGCTTACATTCATAATACCATTAGCATCTATATCAAATGTCACCTCTATTTGAGGGACACCTCTTGGAGCTGGGGGGATACCTATTAAATCGAATTGACCCAACAGTTTGTTATCCATTGCTATCTCTCTCTCTCCTTGAAATACATTTATACCTACTTGAGTTTGATTGTCAGCAGCAGTAGAAAACACCTGACTTTTCTTTGTTGGAATAGTAGTATTTCGGTTAATCAATCGGGTAAATACCCCACCAAGAGTTTCAATTCCCAGTGATAGAGGTGTCACATCCAGTAAAAGTAAATCCTTTATTTCACCTTTCAAAACTGCAGCTTGGATAGCTGCCCCCATTGCAACTGCTTCATCGGGATTAATACCTTTGGAGGGTTCACGTCCAAATATTGAACGCACTATTTCCGTTACCTTTGGCATTCTAGTCATTCCACCAACCAATATTACATCACTAATATCTTTCTTTGAGACTCCAGAGTCTCTAATACATTGTTCACTTGGAACAACTGTTTTAGATAAAAGGTCATGTACTAGATCTTCGAGTTTCGCTCTTGTTATCTTTACATGTAAATGTTTTGGGCCTGCTGAATCAGCAGAAATAAAAGGCAAATTAACTTCTGTCTGGCTTTTCGAACTTAATTCAATTTTGGCAGTCTCAGCTGCTTCTCTAAGACGTTGTAATGCAAGTCGATCCTTACTTAAGTCAATTCCTTGATTCTTCTTAAATTCTTGCACTAAAAATGTCAGCACTCTTTGATCAAAGTCCTCCCCACCTAAAGAAGTATTTCCATTAGTTGCTTTCACCTCAAAGACTCCTCCTAATATCTCCAAAATAGAAATATCAAAGGTCCCACCGCCTAAATCATAAACTGCAACTGTCTTGCCATCAACCTTGTCCATTCCAAAAGCCAAAGCTGCAGCAGTTGGCTCATTTATAATCCTTAAGACATCTAATCCTGCTATTTTACCAGCATCCTTCGTTGCTTGTCGTTGAGAATCATTAAAGTAAGCAGGTACAGTTATTACTGCTTGTTTTACTGTACGTCCTAAGTATGCTTCTGCTGTTTGTTTCATTTTCTCCAACACAAAGGCACCAATTTGGCTTGGACTATATTGTTTACCATGTGACTCTACCCATGCATCTCCATTTGGTGCCTTGACAATTTTATAAGGTAGTATGTTCTGCTCTTTTTTAGTTGCATCTTCGTCAAAACGACGTCCGATTAAGCGCTTTGTAGCAAATACAGTATTTTCTGCATTTGTAACTGCTTGTCTCTTTGCAACAATGCCAATAAGACGTTGTCCATCCTCAGTAAAAGCTACAACTGATGGTGTTGTCCTCATCCCTTCGGAATTTTCCAAGACTTTGGGAGAACTTCCTTCCATTATTGCTACACATGAGTTTGTTGTTCCTAAATCGATTCCAATGACATCTCTACCTATTTTATCTGAATAACAACTTGCTGAAGTGCCAATATGACGATGTAAAATACCAGAACTTGTTTTGATAAGAAAGGTAGAGATACTTTTAAGGGCATTTCCAAAATTACTATTATTCTTGTACCTAGTACAAAACATCCTGTAATTACACAATAATAAATCTACTATCTAAATTTAAGTTTGCGTAGTCAATATAATATACAGTTTAGTACTGTAAGTTATCTTCGTTTCCAAGCTTTTGTCGAGTTATCTGCACTCAGTATAAACTTAAAAATCCGCGTCAAATAATAAACTTAAGCGCTCTACTGTGACTCTAACAGTTGAAATATGGCAAATTTCAATGAGAAACTGAAACGAGGGCTTGCTATAAATACACTATATAGTTAAACATGCACCTTAAATCTCATTAAATTTAAATTTGTTATTTGTACTTTATTAAAAATTGCAACATAGTCATAATACATTCCAAATCTACAGCATTAATAACTAATCAAGACTCTAAGTGCTTTCTAAAACGCTTGACATTATGCCGACTAAGAAAAGTGGGATTTGCTACCTACCCTGAAAATTCACAGTATTAAGACATTGAAGAATGACATTAGTTAGGATGATAAAGGCTACATCATTGTTTATAAAAAATAGATTTTTATATCTTGCTAGTACTACTTAATTGCAATAGGTAATGCTAAATATACTGAGAGAATCCCAAGAGGATTTTTTTTGAACCTATAGAGGGGCACTACTTTTGATACAAGTCACTGAACAGATAGCTTGGAATTTCAGTAATTTAGACTTTATAGAAGTTTAATAAGTTAAACACTTTAATCGAGGGTCTGGACTCGAACTATTTTATTACACTAAATAAAGCAACTGATACTACATTAAATCTTATTAATAATAAAGGTTAGTGTATCAATATAAAAGTCTTAGATGACTATCAACAATTTTATAAAGCTCTTGAATGTATTCACTAAAAGCTTTTAATTTGATCATATATCTTAGTTATATTACAATTAATATTTACTGCAATCTATTAAGAGCTTTAAAGCCGGTAACATTTCTATCAGTCATACATAAATGACTTCTGCTTCTTAAAACATTATATATCCATGGAGTGATTTACTTAATATTGTTGCTATGCTATTTAAACTAGTGAAATCTACAAATTACAAGTATTTAATAGGATATATTTATGGTCCAATTATATCTCCTGTACTAGTGAACATTCTAAAACTCAGGGATAATGGCTGATATAACACGCCATTAAAATCAATAGTACTAAATAAATCTTAAGTATATTCTTAAATCTAGAACATAAAAATATCTTGATTTCTTGATGATCTAAACAAGAATGGTAGTATATTTCTAAAAAAAGAAAAAATAAATTTTTACTTAAGATGTAGTTAGATTTGATGATTCTCTATATGTAAAGTGAAGGATATATATAATACAGTTTATTTTCTACCTGAAAAGTAGTTACTGTAACATAATAATGAATTATTAACTAATTTTAAGTTATTTATTATAAATTTCTGTTGAACTCTTATTAAAATGGTCTAAGTGCTCCTTTTATTTCGATATTTTCTTTCCATAGATGCTTCGAATGTATTTCCACTAACTCATCATTAATTTTGATAAAGGAGCTATTTAAAATACAATCACCTTCACTTTTACTTACTAAATGTGGTAAATCTCGCTTTAAAATCTGAATAACATAATTTGAGGTGACTGGTTTTACCTTAGTTGAGATTAGAGTAATATGAGGAACCCCATACATTCTAAATGGTAAGTATTTCCTTATGAATATATTTGTAGGTATCTTTACTTCCATTAAGTATCTACTTTCGGAATTCAAGTTATTAGAATCATTCGGTATACTTAGGAATTCTTGTTGACTTTCAAGTACAATAAAAGATAAGCCCCATATTGGAACATACACAAGAGATATGCACCGAAATAAATAAACTTCATTAAAAAAGGACATAGATATTAGAGCTGCAAGGTGGTTTAATTTTGAATTACTTAAACTAAACAACTCAGGACTAGTCTTGTTATTTCCTCCGTTGATGTTTCCAAGATTGTTACTTTTAAAAAAGAATGTTGTAATGTGTTTTCTAATTAATTCGTATTGTTTCATATCTATTGGTAATTTAAAATCTTGACAGAAGTGCACCCATATTTCTCTTATTTTATTTAGTATTGATTTATCTACTAATGAAATTGCGGCATAGTCAAAATCTTCTTCTAAAACAAACACTTTTGCACTTTTTATATGACTTATTTCACGGTTCATACTATAGGTACCAGTGTAATAATTTTCTTTAGCTGTATTTACTTTTTTTGGCATACTAACTATCTTAAATAACTGATTACTAAAAGCTTCTAATTTTAATTTTATTGATGGAAAATATGAAATTCTGGAGGAAATCTTACTAATAATTGATAGGAAGTCTTGAAACTGTAGTTGCAACTCGCTATTACTTCTGAGCAATTTTATGTTGGGAATAATTCGTCTTAATATACATATTGCTTTTTTAGTGAGATTAGATTTGAGTATCATATCTGAATCACCATTTGAAAAGGTATCAATAGATATGTAGCCATCAAAATTCAAGACTTCAAAAAGTTCTTTGGACAATTGAAACATATTTCCCGTATTTAAATTCGTATTGTCTTTGACAAATACTTTTTTGGAGTACAAGTTCAAGAAGCATAAAAGTATATCGATATTTTTCTGTGTAAGACCCATTAAAGTAGGATGGTATTGTCTGTTTGCAATCCGTATAATGCATTGAATTACAACTTCTGGACTCCAAATATATGGCCACTCATTCTTCGAAGACTTCGCAGTACATTCAATAAAATCACTTTCATCGTCCTTATTTATAAAATTCAAAGAATCAAGAGAAGTTTGATTAAGTTCACATCCTAAATATTTCGTCGCATTATCTATATTATCAGGGTATGGAGTCAGCATAGCAATAAATCTAAACAGTATATCATTCTGATAAGATTCATTGTTATAATGAATCATCTGTAACTTCAAAATATCTGGTATATTATTGGCGTCAATTATAATTAGTGCTTTTATCTTATAATCATGAGAGTACATTTCACTAAGTTTAAAACACCATATATCCTCAATTTTTCCAAACTTAATATCCAGACATTTGCATAATATACTATGTACAATTGAATGCATCATTCTTTTCCCTTTCCTTGAATATTTACGAAATTCGCCATCATTCAGACCATAAATGTCAGTTGAAAGATTACAGCACTTCCCAGCAATATTCCCAACTTTTGAGTAATATTTTGAACTAGATTCAGATTTAGAGAAGGGCTTTACACCATTAAAAGCACCTTTAGTACAGCCATCACTTGATACATAGAGAACTAAGTCAAAATATGAATATACAGATATTAGAGATTCATTATCCCTTGGAAGTACAGCTAATGAATAAATAGCATCATCTATACAGTCTTCAATACTACTAAATAAAAGTTCTGCATTTACTGTGAGTGTCTCCATATGTATTGGATTATTGCTTGTTGAAATCTGCTTCATAAATTCAGTTAGCAGAGAGGTTTTGCCACTTCCTGGTAGGCCGCAGGGTAATATCACCGTACACTCAATAGTATGAGAATTTTCACTATGGCCTAACTTTTGAAAAGATCTCAGTCTATTAGAAGCAGTTGAATACCCAGATAAACAGTGAATAAATCCATTATTGAAGTTTTTAATTGGGTAAAGTTCTGCAGTTGAACATATTCTGTCAGATGCTAAGAAACTCAACTTTATTAGTAATTGGAAGTCCCTCTTATTTAAAGCATAATCTGGTGGTAGAAAGTCAGATATAGTCTGACAGTTCCATGGCATATAGTTTGTAAGTTCCGATATACTCGAAATTGTCTTAATATCTGAAGTAATAGGAATATTTATTTTATTCGCATATAAAGTATTTATTTGTATATGTTTGCTCACTGCTCGATCTGAACCAATTATTTTGCAAATTTCACTGATATATCTAGATAAAATGTTAGCTGTTTGCAAAAATGGTAAATCTTTAGATATAAGGAGTTGTGTAATAGAAGGGGTTTCTGAATGATTAAGTATTGTCAAATTTTTATAAAAACATCTATTCAAAAATTGAATATTGCCATTTAGTAAGTTATTTACATTTGAGTAATCATCGCCTAAACATGCTATATTCAGTATTTGAACTTTTGGATTTTTAGATGACTTTTTATTTAGATGGTGCATATTTACAATGATATTATTAGATATATTTCTATCTTGAGATTCAATTCCAAGTTTAGTACCTGTCAGATAACATTGACTACTCAAAACAAGTGTTTCCTCAGATACTAATAGCATTTCTGCCAATTTACTTCTTATATATTTCCAGGGTATATAAAATGGAGGTATATATACTTCTATTGCATAACTATTTTTATCTGGAATAAGTTTTGGATCGAGATTTCTTAGTGGAAATAATTTTTGTGCTACACTTTCCTCAACACTTTTGATAAATGTGCAAAAGTAGTTGAATAAGTTCATATCCAATTGCAAGTAATCAATATCTATATATCTGTACCCAATAAATACAATAGAAGTTATACGTACTATACAAGTTTGAAATAAGAGTATATAATTATAAATATTTGTTTCAGAGAAAAGTAGTACTTGTTTTATTCTGTGGGTTACTTTACAGTTACAACGTAGAATTTTGCGATATATATTTAAAAGTGTGTTAATAAATTTGGAAGTTAACACTGGTAGACGAAGCAAAAAGAAGTTATATAATTGATTCCATTCGTTGTTTTGAACCTCCATATTAATTTTATTATATTCTCTTGAGTATTTACAAAGTGATATAATTTCATTCCTTATAATACGCCTTAGACTTTCTCTTAAGCAACGACGGTAGATGTAATATAAGGTTTTTATTTTGAAAATTTGAAGAGTTTCATTATGTTGACATAATTCCAAATCTATACCTTCCAAAACCTGACAAGAATATTCCTTATTATACCTTGTAATATATATTACTGTACCTTCACAGTTGTCATTGAAACTCAGTACTTTTTCTTGTAAGTTACATAAAGACTTTTTAAGTTCATCCACAGATTTAAAGCCAGTAATTCGTTCTTTTCTTTTTTTGACTCTTACAATTGTAGAGTGAGAACCACTGTCTACTATTTCTAGAAATGGTACAATATTTTCTTGTAATTTCTGGGGAAATATAACAAATAAATCTTCGGGGTTGAAACATATATTGTTATTATTATTTGGAACCATGCCAAAAAAATATAGTTTTAATTCACTGTTTGTATTATAGTTTACGATATGTTGCCGATCTATATTTCCAACAAGTTCAGCTAATAATGTATTTCCAGACAATATATTCCTAATTCTATTAATATTAGTCATGTTATGTTCAATATTATATTCAGGACGCAAACTATCAATTAGATTAAACCAAGCTCTAGCTATTAATTTAACTGCAGTGTATCTATTTTCCAAGTATATGCTGTGATTAATATCGTTTGACTCTGAGCATAGTATCGTTACATTCTTCGAAGCAATTATCCAGTGATTTGTTAAGCTGAAAAATGATATCTGAGAGTTCTCACCATCAATCTTCTCTGTTAATATGATCTCAACATCTTTCAAGTCCTCTTCACTTTTACTTTGTAGATGGAAATCTTTTCCTAGACACAAATTCTCAAACTTAGGTAGTCCACGTCGTAATAAATAGACTACTACATTATCACCACATTCATACCAGTACTTCTGTTCCTTAGACCCATGAAACTTAATACCCAAAGAACAACCTCTTCTAACTATTTCTCTTAGGTCTGAGCTAGTTCTCAGAATTTTATCTTCTTCGTCTCTCCTACCTTTGATACCAATATCCCAAACTTCATCAAGTGCATCAAATGTTATTATCGAAACATCTCTGCAGACTACATGAAAGAAGCTATTATTTTGCCTAATATAGTTGTATATTTGTGTAGCTAGGCTCATCTTTATCTCAATTAAATAACCGTTTAACTCCAGTAATACTATATTACAAATAGGAGAGACCCGCCTGGATACTAAAAGAAGCTTACAATAAGGTGTATTTGCTTAGTGTATATTCCAAAATCTAATAAGGCCAGCCAGCCTAGTTTATATATCAACAGCTTATTTAGTATAACATATATTACATTAGCTAATAGTTACTAATTTTTTAACTTCTCAGACTTGGTTAGTTGTAGGTTCCCAATATTCCCTCAATTGTGGATGTAGAGACAACTTTATACTTTCATTAACTAGCTCCATATTTAGCGAATTACCCAAATCAAACATAAAATCTGTCTGTGTAAGAGTCAAATCTGGCATTACTTGAGCGATAACCTCAACAAACATACTGGGGGGAGGACTCATTATCTTACACTTTACGGTCCCTCTATCAGGTGCTTCAAATGTAGCTGTATCACCATCTACAGAAAGTACTCTCCCAACAAACCTAACTTGTTTGTTGATAAATTTCGGTAGCTCAGCCTTATTTATGCGTCTATAGGTTTTTAAAAATTACAAGATGATAAAAGTTAACGAAGAAAGTTCATTGACCAAAAAAGTCCCCTACCTGGCACATTCAATAGAGTTCTGCATTTTCAATTCAAGTTAGTATGAAAATTTGAAGTGTTTGACAGTGTAATGATTTTTTAGGGTAGTCTAAAATATTATTTGCCTCTTACTAGATTAAGGAGGGAAGGCTCATAGTGGGGAAAGAGGGGCAACTATAGTCCTTAATAGATTTGAAAAAGAAAGATACTCTAAGCCCCTCCGGAACACTTGGTATTATAAAGTTTAAGCATATATATGTTGATTAAGAGTTTACTATAAACTAATCTGAAATCTACCAAAGTTACAACAATTTATATCCAATTTACTTGTTACTTTATACTTAGAACCATTGCAAATTTCCTACTTTGCAGGAATATTAAGGCGAATATAAAAAAAGCTTCCTAGCTATAGTAGTAGGCTTAAGTTTGACTAAGACTGAATATACATTATAGCTGGGTAACTCTTAATTTTTTAGTGCAAATATACACTATTCTTAGGCTACCAAAATAACAAGCTAAGCTTCTTATAGCTAGAAATTATTCTGATTTTATTAAAAACTATTGGATTTTATAGATAAATATCTTCACTTTATATTTGTCCCATTTGTTTACCAGGATATTATATAATATTATATTATGTCCCTTTTTTGAATATTACCTCAATCTTCAATGTGCTGAAATTGATCTTTTGTCAGTGATTAATCTAAAGTTACAATCAACATAAAATCAAACATTGTGAATTTTTTAGTTACTCCTTACTATCTAATCCATTAAGGTGGATTTAAATTATAAGTTGACTAAAAATTTGATTTTCATTACAGCTATTAGAATGTCCAATAGTTAAACAATCGAGTCTAACATAGCTAAAATTCCATAGTTCCAAATACTTCATACTCACCAAGAAACTGAAGAGTATTAAAGTGTACTTTAACTTAAACAAGAGATAGGTGCTATCTAAACATTATATAGTAGTAACAAATGATAATTTTAAACGGTGATCTAACAGCCAAAACAAGCTCACCATTATGAAATAAGTCTTCACAGTGACTACCAGGAATCACATATGAGCTAACTTTAGTTTATATTTATGTAATCAAACGAGAATATATGAAAGTTACTAAATTGTTAATCTAAATAATTAATATGAACTAAATTGCAAATCATTCTTCCAATAAACTTTAGGATCAAATACTACAAAAAGTGCATTTGTACTTTAATTATGTAAAAAGAATAATGAATTATTGCTTATATATAGTATATTCACTCCATTAAACTTGTTGAAAGTCTTACTAACTAAGAAGTAATAGGATATTTTCAAATAACCTTTTAAATATAAATTGGAAGTGATCTATTCTTCACAACTAAGTTCCTACTAGCTAATTTTAAATTAGAACTTTGTATTTGGTGCTGTATAATTTTAGAATTATATCAAATTCAAAAATACTTGATGCACTTCTCTCTACAAAAAGTTGATTCCTAGTTTCAAATGACATCTCAAATTTAGTAGATGGAGGTATTCTTTTTTAATACTTAGTATTAACCTTTAGGAATATTCACAATCTTTGTATACAATCTCCTTATCTAAAGTAACACCATTAAAGTTTTCAGTAAACTCATTTATATAATTATTGCTATCGGGACTTCTCGTATTATAGGCTTACTCTGCAATGGTGTGTTCTATGACAGTTCAATAGCTTATTAAGTACACATCAAATATTAGAAGTTCTAAGATTATATCAATTGACTAGCAGTTAGATTTTGTTGATTTTAACAAAATCAATTCTCAAAAGACTAACATTATAACTACAAAATTCCTTATTGTCTATTGCTAAACTAAAATATTGTAAAATGAAGATTATATAATAGCTAATGCAATACTTCCTCATTAAATTGAAGATAATTCACAAGTAATTTTTTGATGTCTGTTCACTTGTATATGAATAAATTAATCTAATTATACTTCTGGAGGCCTCAATAAAACATATTAGTGCTGTTGCAGCACTTATTGACACGAAAGATATATTTGAGAACTTATTGTCCACAAGGTAAGATGTATTGATATCTTCAGATTATAATTATTTCTTAGGAAATGTTTCAATAGTTATTATCATACAGTTCTTTTATCCAAAAATTCCTTATTTATAACCAAATCTCTTATCCAAAATAATACTTAATTCTCACATTAATTTATTGCATATACATATCTATTTTTATAGGATCTAAACATTTTGAATATTAAATGAGTATAGTAGCTCATTTAACTTGGAATCGTTTTAACGGGATCATAACTTGCACCAAATTTCTAGGTTCATTAGTGATTATTTGACCAAAATGTATCTAATGAGTTTAAAATAGTAAGAAGTTTGACTATATTAAAAATAGCTACATAATAGCAATAGAATAAAATTTCGAGTGATCAAGCTTCTATTACAGGTAAATGACTGCTTCTAGACATTTATCACAAATAAATAACTCTCTAAAAATGTAATCCCAACTTGCTTATGATATCAAATATAAGCAGATATAAAAGACATGTACAAATAGATTCTTAGAATTTAGACTAGTTGTGCTCTATATATTTAAATAATAGAACTTATTTATAGTATAATAGTAGGTAATAAATATAAACAAGCTTTCACAATAAATATTAAATATTTTAAAATGATCTGAAGTCAAGTTCAAATTGAAATATTAATATTTCACTAATTATTGATCCCTTTCATACTACATGTTTCCTTATATGGTGGTTGATTATCAAGTTTTGTTATCTTAATTACTATGTAGTACCATCTTAACTACAATAAGAAAAATTGACTGGAAATAGCCAATCTACATTGCAACTTATATTTTAAAACTCGGATATGCCTCTATTTCATTTTAGTTTATAGTCAATCTTATATACTTAAGCATTATAATAGAATATTAGAAGTTGTAGATAGTTCTTCCTACATTTCAGTTTGAAATTAACATTCAATAAGCACTCATATATAGAAGTCAAACAAATATCTTGATTCGTAACTTTCATACTACAGGTAAAGAGAAGGTACTAAAGAAATTAGTATTTCAACTGTGCTTTAGAAAGATTTTAAAAGATTCCGGGTTATATATATATAAACTTAGTATTAGCGGTAACTACCACTAAGTCCGATTACTTGGAGATCTCCTAACTTAGTATCAAAAGGTTAAGTTTCCTGCTAAATGCAAGAAAGACCCAATAAATGTTCAGACTCTTTTAACTCATGTTCTTCTAAGAATTCTATAGAGGGGGGTAATGTTAACTTTCCTAAATTGGGTTTCCCAGTGGCTTTCAATAGAAGGGAGGGAGGAAATAATAGAAGAAAGTGTATATCTTTTAAAGAGTCTAAAGCTAAGGACATTGAGTTGGATGTTGGGGAGTCTCTGATAGGTAATTTGTCTGAATTGAAGATTAGTCATATAGATTTACTCAAACTACGCTGGACAAATCAGATAGAACAAGAAGAAATAGACAAAGATGAAAATAAGGGAATACATAGAATTCGATTTGGATTTGATGGAAGTTTATGCAACCAATCATGTACTAATATTGAAGATAACATGAAATACTATAATGGCCTCTATCACCATTCTGCTGAACCTGATAAAGCTGGTTACTCTTTGCCGGAGATATTACACCTCTGTAAAAGTAGCAACTCTGCACAAAGATGCATTGCATTACGTACATTAGTAAATATTTTAAAGAAATCTAGATGTATACTTAATAAGAATGAACCAAATATATCTCTTTCGAACTACTTGGTAGGATTTTCATTTGGGTTTGAAAGATGGTTTCATTATATAACAACAGACTTATCTGTTCATATAACTCTGTTGAATCTTCTATTTTTGGATTCGGAATTATCTAAAACTTGTGCTTATTCAATAATTGCATTGTGTTACTTACTATCAAATACATATGACTTTGAACAAACAGATATATGTAAAAATAATATTCATGAATTCAACAAGCAAAGACACGCTTTGCATTGGCTGCAATATTACCCTTCGGCAATCGAATTTATTTATGATATGGATAAAAATTTAGGTAAAATGGCCTTCTATTTGCCCAATGAAGCGTTGAGTTTAGGCCTTGATTACTTCTTAAATAAAGATGGTGAAGTTTTTTGGTATAATAACCTACTCAGAGAGGATCATATTCAAAAATATATACTACCAAATGGAAGTGAAATTACTTTAAGAAGAGATTTATTTCAGGAGATTTACTCCTACTATCCACACAACTATGAATCAAATTTACATCAAAATGCAGTCTTAATGCGTTTGAATTGCATGATTAAGAACAATAAGTGTGTTATTGATGCACGGATTGCATCTTTACGCATTTTAACTACATTTATTCGTAGACTATGTATAATTGATAATACTTGTGATCTAGCATCACTAATAGAAACAGTAATTACCAAACTTTCAGAGGAATTTTCGGATTATATACCCATGACTCTACCAATAGTTAAAGATAACTTGAAATTTCAGTGTGTAGACGAAGGTTTCTTACGATTATGGCTGGAATATCTCCTATTTCTACGTATTTATATAGAGTCTATTCTAGCCATACATAAGGATAACAAAGCAATTACTGACCATCTTGAACTATTGTCGAGACAGCTGGGCACTCATATAATTCCGTTAGTTAGGGTTTATATACTATATGGCTTTTATATATTAAGTATTAGTAGTAATGATGATATTACGAGAATGGAAAATTCAACATTGGTACTACTTGGAACTGTAGAAAGTCTTAGAATTTTAACATGTCTATCCTTTCACAACTATTATGCTGAAGATTTTGACATATACTTGCAAACTTTCGTAGATTTCCTTGCTTGTTACTCTTTGCCATATAATAATAAAATCTACCTTGGTATCCCAGCATATATGCTTTTCCAATTCTTTTCTTTGGCTACTTGCATCAACAATAATAGTTGTATAGATATCAGTAACAATATCAACAATATTTCAATGAATTATATTGGTGGCATAATCTCTAATGTCTTTGACTCACTACACAAAAACTTTAGTTCCAGTGATAAATCATGCTTGTCATACATTATTATTTCTTTATGCAGATTTCTGGGGTCATCCTATACAAATATCTCGAATTCTAATAATTCAGCTCTGAACTTAATTAAGGAAATATTCTTAGAGGGAATTGCTAAACAAGGGATTTTATTAAGCTATTTAGAAAAGCTAATTTTACAAAGCAGAAGATTAGGATCTCTATTAATTAGAGAAAAAGAACAAAAAACAGCTATAGACTTTATACCTAACAGTATCGATATTTTAATACTCACAATTGAGTCGGGGAGCTTATCAACTACTTTAGCTGGGCCACCTAGTATAAAAGGGCTTTTGAGTTCATCTTCACATTGTTTGACCTTGGATATTATTACTGCCTCTACCTGTGTTAGAGAAATAATGGTATTAAGCCCTATTCTAGAGGACAAAATATTCTTAAAACAAGACAAATTAATTAACTTCATGATTGAACTGAGGAACTACCAGAAATCTCAAATTGGGCCATTTTACTCCTTAAATAGCGAAATAGATATAGGCATAACTGAGATTAGCAGCGAAATACTAAATGGCACTTATAATTATAAAAACTACATGGAAATAGTTCATTCTGGGTCAACAGAATACCCATGGCTGAAAATATCTAAAAATTCTCCATTCGGTGCATTAATTTCATCAACTCTATTGTGTTTATTTGAAACTTTGTCGGTGAATAGCAATGATATAACAGGAATTGGATGTTCTCTACTACTAGAGGAGAATATTTACACAATAGCTTGTTCCATGCTCTCGTGTAGGCAAGTTAGCCAATTTATGAACACGATATATATATTAACAAGTTTACTTGAATCATCATCCTATAAACAGAATTTGAGCAATAGGGAATTCCTATTTAAGTTACTTTTCAGCTGTTTCTTCAAGTATTTTGGAGAGCATCAAAACTTGTGTTTCGAACCTTTGTTGCTGGTACTCTCTGCACCTTTATTTGTACCAAATATATCTAAAGAGTATATTGTGGAGATTTTCCAAATAACTTCAGTAATTTTAAAGGCATTTTTAATTGGAAAAGTTAATTTTGATTTTATGTTGAGACCACTTTTTGAGTATCTTACCTGGTCAATTGTATATCAAGATGACCTTTTAGGAATAAATAAGTACTCCCAAATCTTGGGAGATTACTACATAAATATCACTAACTATATTGAGTTTAACATATTAATTGGTGGTACAAGCTTATATAGATGGGATGTACCAAATAACGACATAATAACTAAATTAATTAAATTGATTTTTAATTTTGATAATTGTAAACCTATAAAATTTGAGATTCGGAGTGTAAACAGCATATTCAACCCAAATTCCGTTGTTGATCAAGTATATATAGATAGAATTTTCAACAGTTTGTGTGAAACAGTGTACAGAAGTCACATCGACTTCTCAATATTCTGTTATATTCTTCTGTTCTTTATATCACCATTTAATGTTGGTCCTAAAGTACAGCTCAGCTTACTGAATAATGAATATATTTTACGGCTACTATTTAGTAATACTGAGGAGAGACTCCTTGGTAGCATCTGCAATTATATTCCCTATATACAAGTACTGAAATGTGAAAAAGATAAGCAAGTACAAAGAGACTTAATTAAGAAAATAGATGAATTAATAACGACTTATTCTGAAATATATGAACCAATGACTGAATCTTTAATTTTTAAATTACTTGTGATACAGTCACTCGTATATTCTATAATCCTTGAGCCTACAGGAGATAAGCGTATGATTATGATCTATAAAAGCCAATATTTGTATGAACAATCTCCTGACGAGAATGTTAGAATATTCCTTCGACAAATACAATTAGAATTGTGATGCCTGATAACTTATTAAAAAAAGATGTAAATGTGGATAACTCTGCACACTTCATAACTATCAAATAGTTTAAATCAGTAGAGTTTCATTATGTACATTGAATTTGAATGTCAACGTCTATTTCTTTTCTTTTTTGAGGTATCAATGTATGAACAACGTTGAAGGGGTTTTTTATGTTTTAGCTTCCAAATTTTTCGCCCCGATATAGCTGGCAAAGTATCAGGTGTAGATGTTTCATATGTTGGTTCCTTTTTAAGTTGTGACTTCCTTGAAATATCTTTACTTTGAGTATTATATTTATGTAAGTTATCATATCTTGATAGTTTATATCTCGGTTCCTTTTTTCTAAGTGCTTCTGGAAATTGAGTGTATATGGCTTGTTCAGTGGCTGTCGTGGCATTGCAATTTGGCTGAATACTTTGTACTATAGGATAAACTATCTCCTCTAGATATCTTGGTGTTAGCTTCAGATATTCTCTACCTGTTCCAGAAATAGCTAATGTACTGAGTAAGTGTTTATGATAAGATCTCAAAACACTTCTCTCTTCAGGGTGTTTACTAAAGTATCCACCCTTTATTAGCCTTGAACTAGACAGAATTAAACCTTGTATCTCCTTAAGTTTATATCTCCGGATATTTGTCTTAGTTATTGACTTTAAACAATCTTCTATCCTATAGTTAAAACAAGATACATCATGCGGACCAAAATCCAGTGGTTCAATCCCTTTATCGTCATTATATTTGTTCCTAGCTATAAGTAACTGCAATAACTCAACATCATTCGGAATATCCTTGTTAATAAAAGTTATTGCAGTACCCGAAGAGTTCCCACGTGCAGTCCTTCCAATACGATGAATATATGAACGAACACTTGTTGGACAGTCAAAGTTTAATACTGACGATACACCTTGATAGTCTATTCCTCGATATGCTACTGCCTCTTTAGACTTGGCACTTGATAATATATCTTTAGTGCTTATTTCATCAAGTTCATTTGTAATATCTGCAGTGATCAATATATCTATTGTTCCTTGATTAAAATACTGGATTATGAGTTGGCGTGTTGAAAATGGTAGTATTGGACTCATTATACCTGCAGATATATCAAATTTATCTAAAAATAACCGGATTGAGTAAGCCATATCAATGCTAGATGCAAATATTAAACACTTTATAGGTATAACTTGCATTTTAAATAGTACATAAAGCATCAACCACTTCTCAGTTATGTTGCTACAGTTCACATAATATTCCTTTAAAATCCCTTCTATGGAGCTTTTATCTAATACACTTTTTTCATTTGCCTGTGATATTTCATTGACACATATTGGTTTGTGCAGTAGTTTTGAGTTCAGTAGCTTCAAGTTCTTTGATAAGGTAGCTGAACAAAATATACATTGATACTTTTTACCAGCAGAGTTAGGTAATAACTCTAATATAATTTCCATATACTTTTCATAGCCGAATGCAAATAATAAATCTGCTTCATCTACTACCAGACAGGAAACATTGCATAACCACTTCACTTTTTTATCTTGGTCAGAGGAGTTGACAATATCATAAGGTGTTGATATAACTATATTACACTTACTGATATAACTCCAAGAAGAATTCTCGCTAATTAAATGAGATATTCTTATCTTGTTACCACAATATCTTATTACTGAAAGAAGAACATCATACACTTGGTTTACTAGTTCTCTAGAGGGAACCAAAATAAGTACCTTCATTCTAGAACCAGAATTTTGATTACTCAGTAAATTATGGCATATAGGAATTATAAATGCCAGTGTTTTACCAGAGCCAGTCTTAGAGTTAATCAAAACGTCTTTGCCTTCAATTACTAGACCAATTGCATCACTCTGTACTTTTGTTGGATAAACGAATCCTTGGGAATTTAAAGCTTGGACTATCCTTCTATCCAATATATTTCCACTAAAATCCGAAAAAGTCATCATCTTTAGGTTTAATTTCCTTCGCTCTTCAACACCCTACACATCTTACTATATAGACTTTATTTGTCAATAAATTACTTAAGTTGATTTACCTCAGGCGCCAAATTAAAATAACGTCTATTATAGGCAGATTAGAGTCTTTGTTTCAGTAATATAATATCTACCATTAAACCTAGTTCAATATTAGATAAAAATATTACCATTCGAGGCGCCTACTATGCGATATTGGTTGCTAGTTACTAGATAATAACTTGGGCGCTTTAGTATTTTGGATTCCTTGTAGCAATAGCTCAAATTGTTGTATATTCAGTATGCTAATATATAGATTATTCAGTAATATAAGAAGTGACCGTGAATTATTATATAGTTTCTAGTAAATGATATATGTGAGGAGTATTGGAGACTGATATCTTCAATTTGTAGCAGAAAGATCCAACCAGAGTGGCTGTGAGTAAAGTAAGAAATTCACTGTTACTAAATATAATAAGGCAATTAAGCTAGCTACTTAACTATGTGATATAATTAAATATAGATAGTTGTTTGTTATTCCATTTGTGATAAGTTTATGGACCAGATATATTTAAAGAGACTCTGCTCAAATATCAAGTGTTGTATACCCAACTTCTTAGTATTACACTACTAGAAATACACTGTAAGAACTTGAGTATAAGTTCCAAAAATAAAGGTTACTTAGGTGAATTATTTTAGTCGCTTTTGTCATTGGGAAGATTACGAGACTTTGCGTTTGAACTTTCTTGTGAGGTAGAGAAACGTAATGAGGAATAGAGTAAGCTTTATGTATAATTGTGTGGTACAAACCTTGATGTGGTTCTACTCAAGGTCTTGGATTGCAGTTTATATAGCTCAAGTATATAACTTAAATGAAAAGTGGATCCAATTATTCATACTAGTGCACTTTAGCTTGTTTAGTTTCAACTTCTTGATTAGATCGTTTTGTCAAGGTGATATATCAGGTCCCCTATTTCCCTGACGAAGTCACAAGTCTTAACTTTCTCATATATAGGGATAGAGTTCCAAATTTTGGGGACCAATATTACATATTAATATCAAGAACTTCTTTTGATAAAGTGGAATTCAATTCCTACTTTTATAATGGTTATCATCAGACGTGAATAGCACCTATCTATACTATAAACAAACTTGTATCTAGATATTTACTACTTTGTATAGGAATTTTTGGGATGAGCTAAATAAACACTATGCTAAATGAATTTCTCTAGTCAGCAGGAAGTTATAAATTTCGAACACTTACCTTTATAAAGCTGAACTCAATAGAAGTTTCTTTCTATTTATACACTTCTAAAGATGTAATCTAGTTTATAATTAGTAGTCAAGTAACTGATACGTCACTCTCACAATTTGAATACTCCAAGTTTAGTACTAAAGTGTGAAATAAGTGCTTCTTAAGCGATTTGAAATCCAAGGAGAATGTACTTTGGCTGAAGTACATATCTCAAATAGTGTAACTTTATAAAGTATATTTAACTCTTTATTTCGAATATATGTTAATACAAGATATTATTCTACTATATATGAATAATATTGAGTATTTCTATAACTGTAATTATGTATATGCAATTTAAGGTAGTAGTCACTATTACATATGACCACTGTATGTTGATTTATTCTTTATATAAATGTTATATATGACGAATTTTTCAGAACTCCTAAGCTCATATATTGTCTATAGAACTTAATAACTACAAATATGTACTTATTAGCAAATAATTTAAGTTCAATAAGCATAAAACTTTCCTATAAAATTATGTAGTATATACGTAAAATCCCATTTGATAAAATATTCATAGAACCAGAGCCCTATTAATATGTATACTTTTATAAACTAAACTCTTCCATAAACATGTATTTATAGATTGTTTGAGTTTCCATGTTTGACTGCTCTACAATGAAGTTACTTTGCTAACCAGTATCAATAAGATGACACTTTTATAAAGTAAAAGTGTTCATTTTAGACGTTTGATAATAGCTTAAAAATTTCATCAAGTCAGTTCTACCCAGTTACAAACCTCACACTACCAGAGAAATCTATAGTACTACTTATATACTATTGACTTTCAATATATTGTTAAGTCCCACAGTATAATAACCAAGGAACATGAATTTCTTAAGTTAAATTACTAACTATTGCAAACATATTCCTTTTAAAATACTTCACTTTTTGATTAGGTAATCACAAGATGTACTTGCTAAATTAGATACCTGATAATCTCCCCTTTAATGTGAATAGAGATTATTTGCCGATCTATTACTCAGAAATATAAAATAACTTAACTAAATCCTGTTTTTAAAGAGAATTCAAAACTTTTTTTGAGTTATGTTTTTATATTGCACATTTCTGAAATAGTACTATGTCAAGTATTACAGAGCTACTTTAGTACAGTTTTTAGATTTACTAATTAACTTTATATATTGTTTAATAGTATGAAATATTTCTAATAGTACTACTGTAGGCTTAAAACAAACCTCTGAAATAACAAATATTTCTGGATATAATAACATGATATAGATTAGGATAAATTTGGAAATTACAACACATCTTCGTAGTGTACAGGACTTTTTATCCAAGTTATACTTCTCATATAAAATTACTAGCTTGTATTTAGCAATATAATATGTTGCATAATTCTTAAATTATGCGGTATTGTAGTTCTATTTTATTTTTAACTATGTTTATACAAGGTTGCGTAGAAATATTAAGATGAGTAAATCTGATTTCCTTTCTTTTCCTCTTCTTGGAACTATCTATCGATCCAAACAGATAAATATGAATTATATACTTACATGCAACCTATTAATTGGCATTATTAGTATCATATATTCTTTGTAAGTATCTACTTAAGAAGCTTATTATTTTGTCAAGGCAATATTTCATAGTATACCAGCAATAAATTAGTGCCCAAATTCTCTGTTATTTAGTGATATATGTACAGTAAAAACTGATAAAACTAATACTAAACCTTTATCTGTTGAAATCTACAAAAAAAAGGATTTAAATGATATTTCAGTAATAAACTAGACCTAAATTTATAGTTAATTCAAAACTTAAGTTCTCTAAAAATACTTGAAACCAAATTAACTTAAACTAGATTGTCTATATTATTAAAAATAAGACTAAATTATCAGGTAAAACTAAATTATATTTAGTAATTCAAAAAGGAAGATATAAATCATTATTTGAATTTTTCATGCTTTTAAGTTGCATGCGCACATGTCTAGTCTTCACTCAGAAAGTATCTAGAATTTTGATGATATACTACATTGCCTAAACTTTAGGCTATTATTAAAAGTAAAGTCAAATATTTTAAATTAAAGAAGTATATACAGACTTATTAGTCATTTCATTCGCAATAATTGTGAAATATTTGATAAGCTAATTGATATATTTGACTATTTTAAAATGATGTCTATTTCATATAAGTATCTCTTTTTACTAATAACTACTATCTCCTCAATAATAGAAATTATCTTTGCACAACCATTAGCTGCATCAATATTACAAGAAAATTGTAGTATTAAAGGATCATGTGAGTCAGGGGTATCTTGTACAGGGGCAGGTATTATTGGTCTATGTTCTAATAGCTTATTAAATAAATATGCAATTCAAATAAATGGTACAATTCCAACTGGACCTAATTTATTGTTAACATCACATTATCAGATACCATGGTATTATACACAGGTATTATACCTTATTTTAGATGGAAATGGGAATCCATATATTGTACTTCATATTGGACAAGAATCAATGGGTCTAGCATTAATGAATCATTATAATATGATACTAACCCAAAGTAATCAGTATATTACTGTGAATAGTAATTTATATCCAGGGAATATTGGAAATATGTATCGTGTTTCTCCTAATGATAATTATATTGTCTGGCTAGTATATGAAGATAAAAAATTATCACTATATTATGATTTATCTGGTACAATATATGAAATGGCATATATTAATCTTCCTGATGATCCTATAATAAGTGGAATTATCCCCTATTTTGGAGTCCAACAAAAGGCAGTAACCTTCACTCAGTTCTTTAATTTTTCTTTATCTAAATTTACACGATTACAACAAATGTCATATGATTTATGGCAACAGAAAGTAGATGCGAGTTCTGGGTTATGGAGATCTGATTGGTCATGCTTTTCAGGAATTTTTGGATCATGCATGCATACATCTATTGTTCAAGCTGGTAATAGTCCATTTTCTGAAGGTTACAAAATTTCTGTAGACCAAGGGTTATACGGTACTCCATTTGTTTTCAAGTTTAGTAATATTCAATCTGTTGTTGCTACATTTTCTATCAATTATCCAGGAGATATTTTTAATGACGTGCCAGTTACGTTAAAAAATTTAATTACTGGTCAAGAGTCTAATTATACTATACCTAAGTCTTTATCTATAAAGGCATCACAAGGTTATTACAATACTTATAATAATCTGAGTTTCCTTATAACTGGTGGATACTTGTTAGTTGGTTTTGAAGACTATTATTTTATAGGAGTTAATGTAGAAGGACTTGGTATTCATTGTGTTTCTGCTCCAGTTTGGTTCACATCGATAATAACAACAGTATATCCTGAACCTACTACTTTAGGAACAGCTTCTGGTCATACAAAATGTAAAGTTGATGAAACTAATTGTACTGGTAATGAAATGAGGCTAACTACACCACTACAACCAGGTAATCAAATAAAGATTGTAACTAGATTTGCACCTGAAAGTTCTAAATATATTCAGGAACTATTACCTACTATACCTGGAATACGTGGAGCAATTACAATGGGAGATGGAATTTATATGAGAGCAGCAGTATTATTTGCACAGTCTTCTGTATCTATTACTATATTTAATAGTGTAGGAGTTTTAATAGATAGTCATGCCATATATTTACCAGAAAATAAGGAATTAAATTACAATGGTATTATACAAGTATTTATTGGTGTTACAAATAATAATAAATTAGCAGTTTCAATGATGCATAATGGAAAAACTCTACAACTCTGTTCTATTCCATTATTAGGTATTTCATTAACATCATTCCGTGTAGTTAGTGGATATATTGAGGGTATTACATCGAATTTTATTTATTCAAGTGATGGTTATCCAGCAGAAGGATACCCAGAACTTGTCAGTCAATCATCTCCTAATTCTGAAAGTTGTTATATATCTGTAAATGGTAAATGTTCTTCATATCAAATTGTAGGTATAGATACTAATGGTTTAAGTAGTGGTATTTATAGTCTTATAGAGGCTACATATATTACATTACCATTAACTATTCAATTTTTAGAAACATCTTCAGGTAAAGAAGCTGTTAATATATATATAAGTACAAATGGTATAATTAAATTATCTAATATGTTGCAAAATGTATCAGTAAGTGGTATTTTGTCATCAACATGTATTTCTAATATCATGTTCAATGGCTTATATATGGTATTATCAGTAGATAATGATAATGTATATTTAATATTATGCTCAAGATTAGTAGCAACAATACCTAATAGTGGTTTAGATGTATCATTAACTGTAATATTTGATGAAAATATTAGTGGTATAACTAATGTAATCTCAGGATTCCCAGCATTTTCATTAGCTTCTGAGGAATCATTACAAATTATAAATACAAATGATAATTATCTTACCGAATTTAATTTAACTAGTTTAGAATTTTCATCTCCTTGTAGCATGAATGGTTTATGTAGTGGTAGTACATGTTCTGGTAGTGCAGCAACAGATATATGTAATAAAGAATTATCTGATGGATTTGCAGTCTCAATTTCTGGAATTGTTCAGCCTATTCTTTCTTATCCCGAGCAAACTATAGGTAATTCATTCCTATACTCTGATACTATTCAAATATTTAGTTTTATACAAGATAGTGGACTTGAAATATTTCAATTAGTTATTACATATAATCAAATTGCACTAATTGATGTTAATGCTGGTGTAGGTGTTGGTGGTTCATTACCACTTGGTATGATATTAAATTTAGGATCTAAATATTGCATATGGATTGGATTTTATAATTCTAAAATTATTCCAATGGTTGAATTCCCTTATGGTTCAAATAAGAAGTATGTTATACATTCATTAACAAGTACTTTTGCTGATTGGCCACAGAGTATATCTCAAACATCTAATAACATAAAACCAATTTCAAAGATTATCCCTATTCTATTTGTTCAGAATCCATATACATATTCTATTGTATATTCAGATTCACTTTGGTATCCTTGGACTGGTGTGTATATTGGACAAAATGAAGGTTCTGATAGTTGTACTTTAACAATGTTTGGATCATGTATTTCATCAACTATATATATGCCTGCAAATATAGATACAGTATCAGATATTTATCTTGATATATATCTTCATAATTGGTCTAATAATGATATTGCAGTATATTTAAGGAATTCAGCTGAAGAATCTATAATTACATTATCAATGTCATATACATCAATATTGTATGAGGGTAATAGAAGCTTTAATATGAGTAATTTTGCAGGAGATAAAATAAGTTTCACCCTATATAATCAAAATAGTCGAGTAATTAATATAAAATTAAATTACACAGCTGCTATAAGTATCTACATAAATGGACAAGTTCAAAGTACAATTTCTACTCGTGGTAGGAAATTTAATCATATTACAACATCTAATATGCCACCAATGAATGTTAGATTAGTAAGATCATCATTTAGTCATCAACCATATTGGCAAGCTCTTGAATATGCAAGTGAAATAGCTAGATCGGAAATAGCAGCAGGTGTTAGTGGTTGTAGTCAAAATTCCCCATTTTATAATTGGTATTCAATAGCAAATGAAATAATTCCAGGATCTGAAATACAATATTTATGTATGCCTAATCCAGATAAATATACCCTTACATTTAAGTCAATGATTCCAGATTATGTTAATCAACAACTTGGGCAAGCCTTTAGGAATTTCCCTGGATTTTTACAAGCAATAGTTCTTTTAAATTATGATAAAGTTGCTTATACAGTTATTATTGCTAGAAATTATATTTCATTTTATAGTTCTGACTATAATGGTACAGCTTCTGATTATAGAAATTGTGCTGCTAAATTAATAACAGATAAATTAGAATTTGGAGATGAATATCAAATATTTATTACTGTTAATGGTAATAATATTTATACATATCAAAAAGATTTAAATACAGGTGAAATTGGTTTAATATGTGGTATTCCATTTACATTATCATTTAATAGTGCTAAATATTTAGATCAAACTAATGGGAATTATCCTGTGAGTCTTGGTGAATTCTTTGATTATGTTCCAGATAGTAAAATTACTTCTAATAATGCTAATCAGTTATATCCATTGGGATTTGTAGAAGATAAATCAATTATATTGTCATCTGGTTCACCTTTTTCTCTTGGTAATAGTATGAGTTTAAGTGTTCAATGTAACCATGAAATTTCTTTTGGTGGAATGAGTGGTGAACCTCAAATTTATATTAGTATAAAAGATAATAAAGTTGAAATTTCTAATTTAATAGAACAAGTAACATCTATTGGTAAAATTCCAGACGAATGTAAATGTTTAATAAACTCAGATAAAATTATTCTTTCTATTGTAAGTCTTGAAGATGGATATACTTTAGTAGTTTGTGGTAATATAATTGCATCTGTTGATTCGAATGGTACATCTATTTATCAGATAGCTAGTGAAGAAGTTTTAACTGTCCATTTACGTCCTGATATTCGTCTTGCAGTTGCAACTAAATCTAATATAAAAAATATTCAAAATATATCAAGTGATTCCGATGAAACTTCCAGAACTAATGATAATGATGATAATGATGATAATGATATTGGTACTATAAAGTCAATACCAACAGAATTACCAAATGAATTTAAAATTATTACAACACTATATGTTAAACCAAGTTACAAATAAACTAATGTTGGTAATAGTAATAAAAAGTATGTATTAAGGATAATAAAATGTGAGTAGAAATCCCATTTTACATATTGTTCTATCAGTTTATTGATTTGTATTGCTTTTTTGTTAGTTAATTCTAGTTTAGTCAATTCCTTAATATTAATATTGAATTTCTGACTTACTTTTCTCTATATAATTATAACAGTAATAATACTCAGTTAACTTCCCTACCAAATAACAAAATATATCTTTATATATTTAATAAGTCAATATCTAGTGTTGGTTTGAAATAAAGTTCCATAGTTATTACAAATGCTGATTAGTAATTAGTGAATAATATATAGACTTTACTATTTAGTTATAAAATTAAATGATATCATTAATCAATTTATTAGTATAAATATTGAGAATTAATACCGCTGCAAATTCCTTTAAGATTTTATTCTTTTTTTTAACTTTATATTATTTTCATTTCAAATAAGTATGACATTTATCGTTCGAATATAATTACTCAATTTTTAAAGTATTTAGAGATAATCTAAAATATTACACTTGTTGATACATTATAATGGGAATAATATACTAGCCTATTTTCATTTGTGTTCATCTACTTTAATATTAATTTGATATTCTAGAGGTGAACTAACTTCTTAATGGGAATTTTTAATGAAATCAAATATATTTTAATTAAGTACTTAATATATCTATCTTTCAATTGAACTGATCAAAAATCGACTAAAGTTACTTTTCCATTCCAATTAAACCATAGTACACTTCAAATTTCAATGGAGATATCTACAAATCTTAATATTTTAGTGGAATGATACTATAATATAACTATTACTCTCTCAATAAATCTTAAAATATTTTGTGAATTTGCATTTACTAAACTGATTACTAATACTTTTGTGTATTTGTCTATGGTAATTTATTAAAATTATCTATTTGTTCTTAAATTAGTTATTAATATAATAAGTACATCAGAGGCACAAATCATATTGGTTAATTAAAATTACTAAGCTGTTTAAGATTGACTATAGCTATTGTTTTTAAGTTACTTGCAAGGAAAATGTTATATTTTAATACTATTAAGTTTTCGAATTCATTGGAGATAAAATTATAAAACTTATATTTATTTGAAAATATTCCAAATGGAGTTGGTACCTTTTATTATTTGAAGCTAGCATATCTTTAACTATAAAACATAAACTTTATTGCTAGTATAAATAAACTTACATATTCAATTATAATAAATTTAGGTTCAAAATAGAATATTGATCTTTATAATTTTGTTACATTCACATAGTTTTCTTTATAATATAAACTTAGCTATTAACGAGAATAAAATAAACAATTCTCTACTCATGAACTTATTTTACTATTAATATTTGTGGTGTTAATACTAGTAATGTATTTGAAACTATAAAGCATGCAATTTTGTACTTGATATACTACTAGGTTAAATTATCTACTATGAAGTTAATTAAGAGTATAAAAGAATATGTAAGATTCCTACTAAACTAGTTTCAATGATTATTAATTATCTTAATACAGTACTCAATGATACAATGTATTTTATTATGGACATTTATTAATTTGTCAATATTAAGTATTTTACTAATAATTTCAAATGAAATATTAATGTTTGGAGAATTTAATATAAGTAATATTGCTTTTTCTAATAATAGAGTTAATACAAAATAATATTCTGATATTTTTACAATCTGTTACAATATAAATAATAAAGATCTTCAAACAAGTATTGATTATGACTGAAAATATATAATTTTAAGAAGTAGTTACTACTTACTTCACTAATAGCTAAATTATAATTAGTTTAGCTATAACATCCTAATAATATATTTAGGTTATTGTAAAAGGATGCAATTAATAATTGATTATTACAAGACTATATTCATAAATATTAATTTTGTAATTTCTTGATTATATAATAAAACATTTTTTATTAGAAAATATAAAAAAAAATTATTAGCTTTTTTTTTTTTTTTTACTAGCATATTTATATTTCAGTTTATAAAGAAAACATTTTATTTGAAATGTTAAGAATATAGGATATTAATAAATACTCTTTATTCCGAATTTTTGAAAATCAATACTTCTAATAACATCCACTATTAAATCAAACTAATAAAGTAACAGTATACCAATAATATTAAAGACTAAATATACTTTCTAAATTTAAAAATGAAGATCTGGATTTTAATTGTTCATAAAATTGTTCATAAATAAGAAAAGAAGTTGAAAATTATTTGATATAATTAAAATAATCGGAATTTTTAATAGCTATTTATATAAAATCTAATATTAATTTTTGTAACAAAATATATTTTAACTGAATTATAATAATATTATCCTAAAATAATTTCTAATAGAATCTACTTATTTCCAGTAGATAATACTTATTTAATAGATCCACCCCAGGATTAACTACCTTAATATAGTCAATGCTACTCAAATACCTAATCAAAGTTATTTCATAATATTATATTAGAAAAATATTTTGTATATTAGTATCTAGTAATTTAAAAGATAATCACCAGTAAAAAAAAAGAAAAAAAAAAGTGGGAACTTTACAATAAAATAATTAATTTCATGAATAAAAAATTCCAATAGTACTTTTATCTATTACACATGATATTATCATACAACATTAGTGAAATTATGAAAGTTATTGTGATTATTATGTTTCATGATAGATAATTAACTCAAAAAAAGATATTTTATAAAATTTCATCAAAACACTTAATTTTGTGAATAATCTCAATAATTAGTGAATATTAATTTACATTTAAACACATCTTTTTTTTACAAACACCTGGTAATTAAGAAACTTCCACTTAATATTTACAAAGTACTTCATTTATTTGTAATATAAGAAAAGTCACTTAATTTCTTCTAATCTAATATGATATTGAATTTATTATAAGTAGCTATATATAATTTTAGAGACAATATATTATCTACTAATTCTCTAAATAGTATAAAAGCAAAAATATAAAATGAGTGCCCAATATTACATTATCAATATTTGATTTAAAAAAAAAATGAATTGGATTTTATCTTTAAAATCAAATAATTCCTTATATACGCACACTATGGTTAAAAGTTGCAATTATATTCTTGTTTTCATCTTCTATTAGGAGATGCTAAATTTATTATTTAAATTACT